GCGTTTTCTGATGTCAAAAAAAAAGTGGAATAGAGAATTTGCATAGAATTTTGCGAAAAAAATGGAATACAGTGCTGCAAAACACTTGAAATATTGACAACGGCATTTGATAAATCTACTACTGGTGTTGAAAAATCGTCAAATCACCATTAGAGAAGTGGTTGAAGACATCGGCATCTCTACTTTCAAATAATAAAATATATAAAACTGCAATCGAGTCTATCCTTGTTACATTGCGAGAAAAGAAAGTTGGAAGACTCAAACTCACTGTGGATATGTTTCATCTTCTAATAAACACAATGCATTGGTGTTTCTTCAATTGTTCCTACGGGTTTTTAAATAGCGCCGACTTCGTATAAGGTAATGGGGTTTTTTTTTTTCATTTTATTCGAAAAGCCGACACGGGCCCGAGCGGAAATCGCGTGATTATACTCTGACGCATCCGGTGAACGGTTAAAGAAATATTGTGGGAAGTTCATTCATTTCGCAGCGATGAAGTTCAGTTGACTGACTATACAGGGTGTTTCTTATAAGTAGCTTATGCTCTCTCATAAAATGTGAATTTGCAGAGACAGTGATCAGTTTTTGAGGCTCACCCATCTGGAAGCGTTCCTAATTTAAGGTCACCCAATTTGCGTCTCTCTCTTTCTCCAACGCTCCAAACGCTCCAAACTAACCAAAACTTACCAGCACAGGTTCAGAAGTGCAAACTCTATATAAAAACTTGGAAACACTTAAACTATTTTCAGATGTGACGGCAAGATGTGGTATATGGGTAAAAGGAATACTGTTATTATTAAAAATTATATTTAAATTGAAGTTTGATTAATTCATTAATTCATAATTTCTGTTTGTGAATGTGCAAATTAGTGAATTATATCTTGTTACATATTGGTAAAAAAATTTATAAACATTTTTAAACGATGTTATTACCGACTAACGTGAAAGTAATGAGAGACTTTAATAACCATTAAATGTATAGCGAGATGCAAAATAAATAAGGCATAAATATAATATAATATGTTACGACGGTTATAGCAACAAAAATATATATTCGACGTAGAATACCAGGAAGAGAAAATAATAATTTTATGAGAACCAAATATGCAAAAAAATAAAACTGAAAAGAAAACGGTAACATTTGTTATAGTATGAAAAAAATAAATAGGTCACTGTAAATTAAATCGTTTAAAAATTGATTTTTGGAGTAGGTATTTAAAATAAAGTTTTGATTTTATTAACGATTAATAAAAAAAATCTAGGTGCTTTTAAGATGATCTGTGAATGTTAGGGAAATTTGTTTTGATTTAATTTCCTTTTTTAAATGATTTTAGTATAAATCACTGTATTTTTCTGTATAATTCTTTAGATTAATTATAAATCTACAGGTTGAAAAGGGAATAAAATGGGAAATATGAACAAAAGTCTTTAAAATAAACCCATTTTTTTTGCTAAAATAGAAAGTGTATGGGCTAAAATGAATCTTGGTGGTTATTGCAAAGAGGAAAGACAGCTGTTTGCAATATGCCAAGGTATTCAACAAACGCGTATCGTGATTACGACTGGGCAGAAATCAAACGACTTTTATGGCATTTGGATTAACGATAATGTATTTCTCACATTTCATTGTCCAACCCTTACCACAGAAGGATCAGTAATCTCATAAAAAACCAATAACAAAAAGTTGTCAAATTTACAAACTATCAATAAAGGAAACCAGTTTTTCATAATTCAGAAATAGGTTTTGAGCTGAGATATATTATTTTTGAAATGCCTTTTTCTCTAAAACTTAAAAATTGAGGCGTTAAGTAATCGTGTTTAGAAACTACTTATTCCAATAAAGGACTAAAATAAAAAAAACAATGTTCAGTATCCCTCACATCGAGTAAAGCTTTGATATAATTTACGAATTAAATATATCGTAACTGACACATACATAATTTTTCAGGAGACCAAAAAAACTAGTTCATTATTTTAGAATTATATTTGAAATAGTTTTTATTTTGATCTGCCCATTCGATCTAGATGCAAACATACAAATGACTCGATATAAATAGATAGATCATTTATTCACAAAATCATTACAATGGATGTTTCGTTACAAAAAATAACAATCAAATGTTTTAAAATAAATGAAGTTGAAAATGTGTATGTCTTACAATAAAGTTATACATATAAGACAATCAAATAAGATGTGTATATAACAAACAATACAAATACATCGATATAACATTACAAACATTTATTTAGAACATGCGCTTCGAATTCACTTAGGGTATAAAAAGCATTGGTTGTCAGATGCTTCTTGATATGTTTCTCAAGTTGCTTGGTAGAAAGGTTCTTTAAGCTTGACGAGAGCATATTATAATAGTGTGACCCTGCATAGCCTAAAGATCATCTACAAAATATGTGATTCAGTTTAGGCTTTAAGAGATTTTCTCTATTACGAGTGTAGTGACAATGGTTATCAGTGTGTTTCTTATGTAATTGTTTATTTTTGTATGTAACTAGCAGTATTTTCAGTAGGTATATACAAGGAACCGTCATTATTTTGTGTTGTTGAAATATTTCTTTGCAAGACTGTCTCGGAGAAAGTTTAAAAATTAGCTTAAGTATTCCTTTCTGCTGTACAAACATCCTTTTAGCATCACTAGCTTGCCCCCAGTTCACAATGTTGTAAGGAATTGAGGCGCATGCCGAAGCATAATAAAAGACTAATAGTGATCTCTCAAGAAATGAGTCTCTAATTGTTAATATGGCAAAGAAAGTTTTATTTAGTTTAATACAAACACTATTTATGTTTTGATCCCACCACAAGAAATCTTGTGCTCTGACTTTTTTCTAAGGATGTTCCAGAGAAACTAAAAACTGTAAAGGTCTAATGTACTGTAAATCTAACCACAACTGTTTTCTCTAAATTTATGATTAGATGATTTTGCTTGCAAAATTTATTAAACTGTTCAACAGCAACAGAGACATTCGTTCACGTATAGAAGAAAAAGTAATGCCCCAAAATGCCCCCTTGAGGTGTTCTTTAAGTTAATATCATACAGATCCGAATATGTTTTGTTTAATTATACACTTTTTTCTTTGATTCATATACGACATTATTAATGTTCTCTTATGCGTAAAGATTCCAGCTTTTCTGACATTATATCCAAATTTCTCTCCGACATCGAGTTTATCATTAATATGTTGGACAAGCTCGATTGTGCCCGTTTCCGTGGAGCACCCTTAGCGGGAACCATGTTGAAATTATTTTTTCTTGTTTCAAGAAATGCTGAATTCGGTTGTACACTGCCTTCTCTAATATTTTAGATAAGCAACTTGCTATTGTTATAGGTCTACAATTATCGCTTAACGTGGAGTCCCCTTCTTTGAATACCGGGATCATTTTCGAGTTTTTCAACGCTGAGGGAGATTGCCCGAACGAAATTGACTCATTAATGATTGTTGTTAAGTACGGAACTAGAATATCACAACATGCCTTTATAAGTCGTATATCAATTTCGTCAATACCAGAAGTAGGCGAAAAAGTGCCACTTTTATTATTTGTGAACATCGAATCCACTTTTAATTGCACGTGAGTAGCAAAAAATTTTCGAATTCGTCTGCTATTACTTTATCGTTGTTAAAAATAACATTGTTAATATTTAGTTAATTAATATTCCTGTTTATTTTTGTACCTAATTGATCGTTGACCAGTTCTTCGAGATTTATGAAGTTTGAAAAGAAAGCTTTTTTTTTTCTTCAGCGACCTGCTTATTTACTAGATTTTTTTCATCATTAGAGAATTTTCGACTCCAATTCAGCTCTTTTAATATATACATATCATTTTCAAGTTTTTCAGCGAAAGGTACAGAAATTTTTTGATTTAAGGTTTTATTCTGAATTTTGCGTACTGGATGTGAAACTTCAAAGCACCATAACAAATGATCCCAGAACCTATTATAAGTGTTCGTATACCCCGTAAGTATTATAGATTCCTTTTGAGACTAGTTGTTATTTCGGAGCTTATTTTATTGGAGTGGAATTTGAAGCTTAATTTTTAAAATAAATGATCTGATATTAATAAGTTAATTTGATTAAAAGTGGAATTTTTGACATTTGTTACTATTTAATCAATTGTTATTGAACTCATATGACTAGTGCTAGTAGTCTGAGTTCTTGTGAGTGAAGACACCAAATAAATTAAACATATCAAGTAATTTTTTTGTTTTATAATCATTTTCTTCACTGTCGAGGTTAAGATCTCCACACAGCATTATCAATTCGTATTTTGTGGTAGAATATTGCATTACATCATCGAGCTGGTTTAAAAATAAATTATAGTCATCTAGGGGTGGTCTATACAAGCAAATAATGCACAGTTTGTTTCTATAACTAACTAACTATGACAACTATATTATTTAAATAGAACATAAGATCAATTAGGAAACTGTTTTTGACATTTTTCGTTTTTTGGATAAAACCGCATTCATTTTTATATTGGAAAGTACATCCTAGACCTATAAAAACTAATTTTGTTCTAATTCGAAACGCAGAGTACGTCCGTAAGAAGATTCATCGAAATGTCCAGAACAGACTCTGGCAGTTTTTACATGTCTTGTCTACATATTGACTACATATTTGGGGATCCCAGAAATGTATGCCAGTGGCGTAGCAATTTGAATTTTTAGTATGTTATGTATGTATGAATGTTTTGTTTAAAATAGTAAAGGTTGTGTTTCTGTTAGCTCATTCCGTATAACTTTAAAAAATATGAAATCATTATTGAATTCCACACATTCTATAGAAAGGTGTTGATTGTCGATGTGATGAAGGAAAGATGGGTATACCGAACCTAAAGGAGAACATGGCGGTTCCTCAGATACCGAAGAATATTATGAATTTTTATAATTTAATGTGTGTATATTATTTAATGAAAAATAAAGGTAGCTAATGAAGATTTGCGTTTGCGTTGCAAATATGTAACGAATAATCATTTACGTTCATTGCAGACCCATCCGGGAATAATTCAAACTATCCAGCAAACGTCGGACACCACGTACAGGGCGGCGTTTCATCCCACCACAGATTACTACAACAGCGGCAACGCCGCACCTAGAGTTGGCTGGGATTCGTCCAAAATCGCGTCCCGCCCTTATGCGCCGCCCCACGGTGAGGATCAGAACCAGCAATGTGTCTCGGTTCAAATCGAACAGCACCAGAAGGATACCCAACAGAAACAAGTCGCCAATGGGGTCGCCAAGACGTACCACACCATCAAAGACATTATTTCCAGTAAATTCAGGGGCGAAAAGGACAGTTCCGACAAGAAGGAGGACGGTTCGAGTTTGAATAACGTCGCAGAGGAGTTGAGAAGGAGCCAGGGAAATGTCGTTGAAGATGTTGAGAAGAAGACGGTTAACGACCAAGGTAAGCCCCGTAGATTTTAACCCCTCAGGATTTCCTGGTTCAGTTAATGTTGTAACAGCAAATTTTAATAACTAACTGTATCCTAACCTAACGCAACGCGTATAAATTAACAACTCTATTAAATAGTAAATTTTGAATTTCCGTGAATGTTCGGGTTTTCGCGGAAAATCCTCGGCACATTACAGACACTAAAATATTGATAACCATAAAACACGACAAAATTGATTGCGTCATGTATTTAATACGGCCGTGCTAATTTCAGCTCTTGAAAGATTTGTTGCAGCATCACGGATACTGACAACCATATTTTCAGAGGTAGTAGGGCGAGTTTGATAAACAGTATTTGTTATTCCACCCCAAAGGTAGAAGTCCACGGCAGTAAAGTCTGGAGATATGGTAGGCCAAGCAAACAAACAGTCCCTTCCTATCCAACGGTTTGGATCTGCTTGGTCTATAATTCTTAACTTCAAGTTCAAATAAATTTGGCCATTAACTTTACCATTAAAAAAAAAATGGTCCTGTAATTCGATCAAACACCACTCCACTGGCCAATACAAAAGTAGCTTCATCGCTCCTTAATTTTGGATATAAAAGTCGATGTCTTTTTCGGCGTACCGATGTTTTACTAATATTCAAGTCCAAATTTATTCTTCTTAAGCTTAAATAAGTATTTCTTCTAGGCACTGGATTAGAATAAACTCATCATGTTTCGCGTAAATATTTATTTAAATGACGAAATACCAATCCACACAATTGCATTTTGATGACACTGGGAAAACATGACCCACATGTCGTATGCTTCGGTTTATTCGACATCTTTAATGCAATACCTACACAATTGCAATAAAAAAACTCAAAGGTTAGACAAATTTAAACTCTTGACTCTTAAAATTAAACTCTTGACTATTTAAACCAGAGACATGAAAGATTAGATTAGATTACTAGAGAGTTCTTCGCTTACTTAGGGAGTCTTTCTTTCTATGTGTTCTGTTATTGTTCCATTTTATTGATCTCTAATTACTGTCTCTTGATATTCTCAGAGACCTTCAAGGCTGCCATTTCTACGGCTTCTGCTCTCTTTAATTATCCATTTTTCTTCACCGTACAACAGGCTGCTCTTGATCAACGCTTCATATATATTAAATTTCCATTTTTTATTAATCTCTTTATAATAATAACAATAATAATAATATCTTCATCATCCCAGATATTTAGAATACAATTAGTGTATAATAGATTTCGTCAAGTAGATCATGCAAATGAGGCAGAAAATTACATTAAAAATCTATATAATAAAAATATATGACAGAGCACAACAATACAGTGATGACAAATATTGATAGGTAAAATACTCGTTTAAATTATAAAAACAGTTTTCTAGGAGGAAAATCTTTAATTTGGATTTAAAAATGCTTACTTATACTGCTCTTTAGCTCTGGGTACAGTCTATTGTAGGCTCTAATACCGGTGTTCGTAAAACATTTTTTTTTTAATTCCAGTGTATTTGTTTAATGGAGAAACAGTGTTTGTTACGTGTACTATAGTGCCTTATTTCAACATACTGCCTACGATTTGTTAAGAACAATATGAACCAGTTCAGAGCTATTCCACGAATTCCGTATTGTTCCATCCTATTCAAAGGAATTTTGTGGTTCATACAGTCAAGCGCCCTGCTAAGATCACAAAATATTACAGCAGGGTGCTCTCCAGACTCAATATAGTTGATAGCGTGCTCCAAAAATGAATGTATCGCTGTTTGGGTTGATCTACCTGTTCTGAAACCGTGCTGACTTTCAGATAAAATTTTGTTTTTACTTAAATAATCGGTCGAACGGTCAAGCATGGCGTATTCAAATATTTTAGCAAATCATGATGTGATTGCTATTGGACAATAATTTTCTGCAGAATGTCTACCGCCCTTTTTAAAGATGGGGGCGCACACAAAACTTTCAGGGCTGTAGGAAAAACTCCCTCTGTTAATGATGCATTTATCAGGGAGGTCAATGGGCTCAGGATATAGTCGGCACACTTTTTGAATATTACAAAAGGCACACTATCAGGACCATAAGATTTTTTTTTTGTTTATTTTTTATTAAGTTCGATATTTCCTCTTGAGAGAAAGGTCTAATGTACATACTTTCAGGGAAGCTTCCAATTACATCTAGAAATGAATTTTTGTGCATGTTAGATGACTTTTTTAATTTTGTCCACTATTTTATTAGGAGCTTCTATAAAATAGTTGTTCATAAAATTGGAGAATGCTACCGGTTCCTTAATAATATTAACATTATTCTTAATCTCAAAATTCTTTGGCCGTTTATTCATTCCACTTCTCTCAGACACAATAGACCAAGCAATTTTATTTTAATTATCTGACTCTAAAATTTTTGGCTGATAGTAGCCTTTTTTCGATAAATTTATTAATTTTTTATGTGTTATTTTCTCATATTTATATTTTTCTCCTTTTTTGTGCAAACTATTTAATTTTTTTAGATGTTCGCTAGAACTCTTTACTCACACGGAAACACATGATTTCCTATTGGGACATTGAGAACAGGTTTTTAAAGAAAAATGTTTGTTAAAATATCACAGGAAAGTAAATTAAAAAACGTTACTCTATAAGATTTCTGGCATGATATAGCTCGTTTCCCATATGTTATTCTGCTTTGAATCAGGTTGTCAGAGCAGCCGCTATCTATTCGTGGCCTTAGGGTATTTGTCACCGACATTCTACGGTGGTTTCCAAATTATTTTGGGTCGCCTTTATGCGGTAGCGAGTAATTATTTAGATAACCATTGAAGACCGTGCTGAGCATCCACTGGAGTTTCTCTCCAGCTCTGCTGGTATTCTCTGGATTTTCAATTCCTTCATTTTTAGGCGTTATTATTAATACCCGCTTTTTCTTCATTATATATAGTTTTTTATTATCCTCTGATTTTGTATTAAACCACTGCCAATTTTATACTTGGACACAAATTTTGACTTTATAGTAGACATATTGAAATTTTTGAACCCTGTTAAGAGTATTTCCTGCTTGCATTTACCAGTAGATTACAAAAATGGAAAATATTTACAATTTTGCTTCATCATTTAGCCATGTACAATCAGCCCCCGGTACAACTTCAGTATAATCAGCACGTCCTGCAACAACACATTCTTGCTCACCACGCCCAGCACTATCAACAGCAACACCTCAGAGTTCAACAGCAATACTCGCAACTGGCTCAAGCTAGATCGCAAGAAATGCTGGTAGGCCGACCAGATGAGCATGCGTATTACCAAGGGTACGGGGTGACGGGAAATCAGAGGACGCCGCAAAAGTTTTCACAGCAACACCAGCAGGGTCGAGAACAAGTGCAAAACCACCTACAAGTATGCTAGCGCAAAACTCAGCTTGACCAACGTTGCGGTTAACTCGTTTGATTTAGTACGTAGCTGGGAAGGACATACCTCTCGACAGACAATCCGCCATCACAGCTTTTGAGAGACGAAGCGCCCAACAATTGGAAAGGGACAACTTGCGGCAAAAAACTTTCGAAACCAGAAGAGCGGCATCCCAGCCACAATTGTCTTTGGATGACGAGCACATAAATGAGACAAGTGAGTTTAGTCCAAGATGATATTGCAGTTTACTTCTACAATAGTTATTGGTAACGGAAGTGTCAGTTGGCACGCCCGTAGTGTTCCATAGCAAATTTTTGTAATTTGTTGACAAATGTCAAATAACCATACATGTATTTATCACCCATTTAATATTTTTCAAAGAAACTTCGACAGGCTACTGTAATACTTTTTATAAAACTTCTGGATTCCAATCATCCTGTTGGCTTCTTCAGAGCTTGACTGAAACTGGCTCGCATTTTACTCTGGTCTGTTCATAGATATAAGAAAGTGACCAATTGCTTTTGAATGGGATTATCCAAGGGTGGTCATTATCATACAATGCAACAAGATTATTACCTAAAGTTTCGGAATTTAAATTCAGGTAAAATTGTGGTCCGTAATAGAAAATAACTTTATAACTACCTGTGTTTAATACTCTTTGGTTTGGTATACTACTTAGTTTAAGTTTATTAGTAATCATTCTTATTTCGTGTGTAATACAGCGTTTGTTGAATCGTGTGCGAATTATGCAAAATATGTGCGAGTCTAGTGTAGAAAACACTATTCTATTGAGACTAAGGAAGTTATAAAACAATGTTTATTTTGACTCTCATTGAACGTGGTGCCAGCAAGCAAGCATCTTTAGAAGAAACGGCGACATTGACGAAAATTCCAACATCAACTGTATGGAAAATTGTGAATAATCCTATTTCAGCTAGGAAAAAAAGAAGCGATGCTGACATTTTCTCGAGTGTAGATGAAAGTGAGCAAGATATAATACGTCGTAAAATTTACCAGTTATACGAGGAACAAAGCGTGTCTACATTAGATATCTTAATTAGGAGGCTTGAAAAAGATGAAACCGGTGTTAAATATGGCAGAACTACCTTAGGGAAGTGTATTCACACATGGATTTAAGATTTAAAAAAATTGACAAAAGGCAAGTTTTAATGGAATCTTTTAGAATTCGGAAATGGCGACTGGAATATCTGGAAAAAATTAGGATTTACAGAGAACAACAAAGGCCAATTATTTACTTGGATGAAACCTGGTTCGACACTTATGATACCCCGGAAAAGGGTTGGGTTGACTCAACTATAAGTGTAAAACAAACGCGCCATCAAAAAGAGATAAAAGAATAACTATTTTGTATGCTGGCTCTAAAGATGGTTGGATTTCAAATAGACTTTCTCTGTCTGCGAAAAATATTAAAGATTCTTCTCTGGATTACCATGAAGACACCACCGCTGATTTATTTGAAAGTTGGCTTAAAAACAAACTAGTTCCAAACATTCCCCCTAATAGCATCATTGTAATGGGCAATGCAAGTTATCACAGTAGACAGTTGACTAAAACCCCTTCCTCATGTGACACAAAAGCAACAATCCAAAACTACATGTATAATAACGACATTTATTTTTACGAAGACTATACCAAAAAGTAATTAATTGAGGTTCTACAAAGCTTGAACCTACAAAAGGAATACATCTGTGACAATTATGCAAAAAATCTAGGGCATATAGTTTTAAGGCTTCCAGCTTATCACTGTATATTTAATCCCATTGAACATGTTTGGCACCAACTGAAATCTGCCATTCGTCCTAACAATGTTTTTCCCCATGTTAACTCCAATATCCTCAAACTTATAGCAAGCGAAGTTTTTGACATCCCTCCACAAAGTTGGGCAAATTCTGTTAAACATATAGAACAAATAATAATTAGAACAGGCGATGATAGCGATAGCGATACTGATATATTATGTAAATAATTTTAAGTAATTTAAGTTGGTAATAAAAATAATTTGTAATTTTATTTTGATTTAAACATAAATACATACATAAATAAATAAATATTGTTTAGTATCTTTCCTAACAAAACCCCAAATAATTAAATTCTAAGCAAAGTACGGACCTGTTCGGCCACATTTCATTCTTACAGTTTGCCCGGGTCTTTTAGTCACTTATTACTTTTAGTCACTGATTACATGCAAGAAGTTTAGTTTTATCGAATAAATTTGCAGATATGCAGAGAAGTAAAAGTCCGTGCCCACATTTAAACAGTAGAAGTTGGGGGCAATCAAATTTCACTAAATATATTTTTTTAATTTTTGAATTTTTTTTTTTTGTTATTGTGGCTTCCAGAAAAACATGTTTTTCTCCATAACCATTCACCCGATCGGCAAAATTAATTAACAAGCAAACGCGGAAGATACAGTTCCATAACATTTATTTTAGGCATTTTTTCGATTATATACAGGGTTTTTCAATTATAGGCAAAAATCTAAAAAACCCAGAAAATTGTTCTTTTCCAAAGAAAATTATTGACCGCAAATCAAAAATCGTAAAAAATATGGCTAATCAGTTCAAGCAGTGTCATAGTCCGCATCAAGAGGTAGAATTTTTGTATTTGCGGTTTTCGTTTAGAAATGATCATCGTCGAAAAAAAAAATATTTTTTTTGTCTGTCCGTTCTCCGTTCTCGTCTTTTGGTTTTTCCTGAATACCTTTTGAACCGTTGGAGCTACAAAATTGAAATTTGCCTCCTTTCCAACTCTCCACGAGACACATAAGCTTATAAGAAATGGCCCTGATCCGACGCCGGTATCCATCTTTTCTTCGCGATTTTCGACTGTTTTTCGGACCTTGCTATGAAACACGATAAGTGTCCGAAATTTGAAGCAATTGACTTCATATTTGGCACATATATGCAACTTTGCCCCTTGACGGAACCTTTTGAAAATAGTTGGCCGGGGGGGGGGGGGGGGGGGAGTGGGTCGGTAAGTATTCTAAAAAAATAAAAAATCGCATGCGCAAGGGTCTACAAAAAACATTTTTCAAAAACTGTTTACGAGATCGAAAAAATTCTTGAACCAGAAGACGCAGAAGATACGGCTCTATAAACTTATATTTTTGACAATTTTTGAAAAATATACATAGTGCGCCGCAAATTGAAAGACTATCACTCACTTTCTTTTATATTGCGATATAGCCCGCATAGACAGCAAAAACTTTTGTATTTAAGATTTTCACCTATGAAAAATATGTTAGATGTCCTAAATTTGCAGATATCAACTTCAAATTTAGCAGAGAAGTAAAAGTCCGTGTCCACATTTAAACGGTAGAAATTGGCCGCAATCCAGTTGCACCAAGTATTTTTTTAAAATGTTTGAACATTTTTTTTAGTAATTTTAGCTCCCATAAAAATGTTTTCCTCCATAATCGTTCATCCGATTGGCAAAATTCTTTAACCGGCAGATGCAGAAGATCCAGTGCAATAACATTTATTTCAGGCATTTTTTCGATTATATACAGGGTTTCCAATTTATAGCCAAAAATCTAAAAGACCTAGAAAATTGTTCTTTTACAGAGTAAATTATGTCGCAAATCAAAAATCGTAAAATATATGGCTAATTGGTTAAAACAGTGTCAGTGTATACATACGCAGCTCGGGATATCCATATTGAAATTGTTACTTCCGGAGCTGTCAAGACGCGATGACGTCATTGATTATTATGGCGCGCTGCATGGTTTCAGAAAAAACTTATTTTCTCGAAAACCATTTATTATTTTCAAAAAATTCTTGCACCAGGACGCGTGGAAAATCCAGGGCTATAACCTCTACTTCGAACAATGATTGTATCATATACAGGGTGTGTCTAAAATATCCTAAAAATTTCTGTTGTTGTGGGTAAATTATTGGCGATAAATAAAAGACCGTTAAAGATGGGATAATTTTATTTGAACAGTATCGTAAACCCTGTCGTGAGAGAGTTTCAGGTTTCGTCAGTTATACGGAGCGCGAGATATTTGAAGAAATATCATTCAACCACGCTATTATTAGTGCAAATTTTAATATTTACCGATGTTTGCTGTAACTTTGAAGTTCGACGAGATGTGAAGGACATTTTATACAGAGTACATGCACAATTAAATTACATCGATTTTTATAATAAAAAGCCGCTTCGCGCTACGCGCTACGAACTTGCCCCGCCCAGTGACGATTTTTCGAAAGCAACCTTGTTCTTCTTGCTATTTATAGTTTTCCCATAACACATCGGCGACACACCCTGTATAAGTAAACTGCAGGATTACCAAAACAAATTTTAGACATGCAAAAATTAACCAACGCCTCCTAGTTGTAGTTCATGACAACAGACCGCAACCGCAGGCAGCGTCCATTTCCACGAGGAGAGGTTCCCATGGCAATATAGTGGAGACGCAGGAGGGAGGAAAGTCCAAAACGAACGACAACGAAAAGGACAGCGACGACGGTGGATTTTTGAAAAGAACGGGCTCCAAGGAGCGTTATCTGAGTAACGTCCCGCAGACACCGACGAAAGAGGTGACGGAAATACTGCAGGGCACGCCGAGGAAAAAACTGGAGGTGGAAATTGGAAAAATCGAAGGTGTCTACAACGTAAACCAAAGGACTAAACAGGACGTGAACGAAATCAGGGGCAGTGTTAAGAAGGGAAATCTGCCGAGTTCCGCTGCTAGTTCGGACTATGACAAAGCGGGAGGGGAACATTCGTCTTCCAATGTAGACTCAGGACGTGGGAGTGCGGCCTACAGTAGCGGTCGAGCCCGAGCTTTATCGGATATCAACGGCGGCAACTCTTTGGATTCGGGACCTTCGACTGGCGCCGGAAGACACTACAAGGATGCCCATGATCAAGGTAAGTCTTTCCTGTAGTCTAAGTAATAGAAATGCCAACTCTTTGACAGATAAAAAATACATGCATTCAAACGCAAAGACAGAAATGGAACGTTGAAAAAGATTTTTTACTACTCCCGTCTCTAAAATACCCAATTACACACCGATCTAGCGTGCGGGAAGCGTCACTTTACCACGTCACTTTCGTTTCCCACAGATCCGAGCCACTTCGGACATTTCCGAGATTTTACCGCACGGGAGCAATCGGATGTTTTCGGAGATATTTCCCACTCCTTGAATTTTGACGTTTATCAATTCTGACGGTCATGTCAGTGAATGTATTCGTGTTGTTTTGCGAAAATGTACCCAAAAACTAACGGTCGTAGAAAAAGTATAGTGTGCAATCACTCGCTCCGTTGCGTTCCGCTGGTGTCAAATAAACTCGTGAGTCAAATTCCGTTTACCGCACTTGTTGCATAATATACTATAAGTCACTCGTTTATTAAACACTCGCTCCGCTCGTGTCAAATAAACTCGTGAATCACATGCCGTTTTCCTACTGCCGTTTTGCACACCGATCTAGCGTGCGGGAAGCGTCACTTTACCACTTCAGTTTCGTTTCCCACGGATCCGAGCCATTTCGGACATTGCCGGGATTTTACCGCACGGGTTTGGGAGCAATCGGATGTTTTCGGAGATATTTCCCACGCCTTAAATTTTGACGTTTGTCAATTCTGGCGGTCATGTCAGTGAATGTATTCGTGTTGTTTTGCGAGAACGTACCCAAAAGCCAACGGTCGCAGAAAAAGTGTAGTATGCAACACTTTTGAAATCACTAGTTTATTAAACACTCGCTTCATTCGTGTCAAATAAACTAATAAGTACCGCACTTGTTGCATAATATACTATACGATAAATGGACATGCAATGAAATATTTGTTATGTCGTAAACGAAGAAAGATATGGGAAAAATTCAAGTAGTCTGTCAAAACTTCCAAAGCTGTTTATAAAAAAAATTCTTAAGATTTCGGAATTTTAGAGTCTATTAAACATAAGAACCTTTTGAAGTGTATCAGTGAAAGATCATCAGAATTATAAGTATCATCGTTAAATCTCACAATATTTTTATCGCCCCACCCCCCGTGTATTGTACATTTTTATCATATATTTTTCGCCATCTTCCCTCGACTTGATCAAACAAGAGCTAGTGAGTTTCAATATCGCGTTGTGTCCTGCTGCTACTTGCACCCATATCACTTCTATAGGATTTAAGTCGGGACGATATGGTGGCATACGAAACACACACCTTAGGAAAGACAAGCACAGTTTAATGTAATGTTGAAAAAAAATTGTTTTTCTCAATAATTATTTTGTATCAACTAATAAAAGCCATTGTTGATGAAAAATATTCAAGAAAAAAAAGCATAGGTTAAGACGAACACTGTAAATGTAAATTCTATGGTACATTTTAATACAGTGCTACCTACCGACAGTTTGCGTACTATACTCTTCTTCCTCTTCTTCTTCTAATTTTAGCGCACTCTAACAAAATTGAAATAGGTCACCAGAATACTATTTACAATTCTTCTGGGTCCCTAATCATGAAACAAATTCAGTTTAGTTCTGAAGAACCCAACAGAACGATTGGCGAACCATCGTAAGATTTATAAATAGTATAGTGGGAGAAAAAAGAAGACGACTTTAAGTAGGTAACACATTTTCAACAATTACTGTCACAGGTCACGAATCGGAATGGGTTGACATAGTGGAAAACGAACTCAGGCATATTTTGGAGCCAAAACTGCACGAGCTATCTTTGCACGGAAACAATGCCGGGATCGCAAACTCGACAGTGAGCGAAAGCATATCATCCATGACTCCTCCGCTGCCACCACTGTCAGCCGGTGATAATTCTTCGCCTACAATGACGCCCAAAAATATGGGCCGTTATAAACATTCAAGGTAATAATAAGCAAAAATCATCAATCTACAAAATACAGAAAAACGAAGAGAAAATGTCTTTTTTTTACATAAAGTTTGCTTTTGTGATAGTTATAACAAAGTGGGGTTTTTAGATTGGCATGGTGCAGCTAGATGGCGGTAAACAATGATCAGGCGTTTTGTGCAAGTCTAGAAAAACTTAAAATGTCTTCGCGAAAGTATAAATATGATGCTGATGCATGCAGTTCGAGACAAAAAATTCGAACTAAAGACTTCTTTCAAATATAATATAAATGATATTTGCAATACCTAGGATCGTGAAAGTACAAATGCATAACCTGTTGAATGTCCCGACCTGCACCAAAATAACCACAACACCATCTTATTACTGCAGATGATGTTAACGACTTGATAAGGGATTTAAACCTTCCAAAAAATGATGCAGAGCTTTTAGTCTCTCGCTTAAAACAATGTCATTTGCTTGATGACGCTAATATCACAGATCAGCGCAGTAGACTTGAAATATTCTCAACGTTTTTGACAAAAGATGCACTTTGTTTTTGCAATCACATAAATGGTATGTTCGAAGAAATTGTGTTCGTAACGAGTATGTGTTTATTTATTCACAGTTAAAGGTTGCTTTATTACACAACTCTTACATCACTTCCAATCCGTCACTCAGTACACATTAACGAAAATGATGAAAATGTAAAAATCTTGCCTGAATATGTAAGCATCGCGAGTATAACCGGCAGCTAACTGGAGATTTTAAGATGGTGGAACTTTTAATAGGACGTAAAATTTGAACCCATTGTTGAAGCGGAAAAAGTATTAATCCCGACCCTGCACATTAAGTTAGGATCGATGAAACAATTTGTTAAGCAATTGGATGAAACTTCCGAAGCTTTTTTCAACTTAAAAAAGTTTTTTCCGAAGTTATCAGAAGCAGTTGGTTATTAGTCTGCAAATTAGACAAATTTCAAAAAGCAAGTTGGATTTTTAGAAAATAACAAAGCTGAAAACTACGAAAAGTTAGTTGAAAACATGCTAAAAAAATAAGGTTCTGGACTGCAGGATGTCATTAAAACTACATATGTTGTATGCTCATCTAGATAAATTTAAAAACAATATGGTCCAAAAGAGCAAGGATAACATTTTCATAAGGGCATTATGAGCTTCGAACAAAAACACAAAAGAAACAGTAAAAGCGCACACTTTTGAATTATTCTTTCCAAATTATTTTGATGATAAAACTTATAAACATAATTACTACTACGGTTTACTAAATACAAAAGCAAGCTTTTTATGTCATTTTTTTTTCATCTAATGACGACCCAAATTGTCGAAATTCTATGCTTACAAATCAAAGTCAAATTTTGTGTTAACCCATGAAATACGAGATGTGTTCAAAAAGTAAGGTGACATTTCAGTTTTATCAAAATCGAAATTAATGTTGTTCCCTCCAAAGTAATAACAATGCAAAATCCTTGAATTGCTTTCCCACAATTCCGGAGTTTTTCTTAGTATTGCTTCTCGTAAACGGCGCATAACTTCAAAGATAACGGTAAGCAAAACCTTGACATTTGACCAAACTGGACGTGCTTATTCGTTATTGGCGATTATGGATTCTTCAATTGGGACCATTGATTCGTCACCAGTTTTTTACCACTTTAGTTTTGGCCTGCCTCGTTTTCTTCTACCTGTTGGTTGCCGGTCTTTTTTTTCATTGACATTCTTTCCACGTGTCCGTACCAAGTAAGTTGGTTTTTCTCTATATCCTGTGTTATTGTGCCTTCTAATCCCATCCGTTGTTTTATGGTATCGTTTCTTATTCTTTCTCTTCATGAAATGCGCATTGATCTTCTAATTGCATCCATCTCGACAACCTTAACCATTTTCTAATATCTATCGGAAATTCTCCATATCTCTGATCCATATAGAAGGGTGCTTTTTACCATTAGATATTAAATTTCCGTTTCTTTAATATTTCTCCTATTACTTTTTTGGCTTTGACTATTCGTTTTTCTATTTCTTTTGCATCTGTTCCAGTGTTGTCGAATGTGATGTCCAGATATTCATATTCCTGACATTGAAGGACTTCTTGGCCATTGCCTAATTCCAAATTTCTGTCCTGAGTTCCCACACATAGATACTTTGTCTTTGCTATGTTGACTATCAAGCCCCATTCTTTATACTCCTCTATTAGTTTTCGAATCCTATATTGCATATCATCTTTATCATTGGCCACTATGACTTGGTCGTCTGCGAACTGAAGAGTAAACAAGCATCCACCATCAATTTCTATTCCCATGCCCTGGACCTTTCTTTTCCATTTTTTTAGTGCCATTGCCACATATATTTTGGGTGGGGGAGACACAGCATCCCTGACGTAGTCCTTTATTCACCATGAACTCCTCCGTAATGCATTGGCCGACATTTATTCCTGATTTTGATTCCCCATATAATTCTTTAAGGACCACTATATAGGTGTGCTTAATGTTGGATTGCTCTAAGACCCCCCATAGCTTTATTACTGGGACTGCGTCGTATGCTTTTTGTAGGTCAACAAATGTTAGGTGCGTTTCCAAGTTCCTGGCACTTCTCTTTTCTATAACTTGTTTTAGGGTAAACACATTATCAGTACATGATCTTCCTGCTCTGAAACCACATTGTTCTTCGTCCTTTTTCTCTTTATAGTCTTCCTCAATGAGATCACGTAAAATTCTGCCGTACAGTCTGCTCATTGTGCTTGTAACCGAAATGCCCGATAGTCATTGCAGTCCAGTTTATTTCCTTTTTTGTGAATAGAGGAGACAAGAACCACTTTCCATTCCTTGGGAACGGGATGCCCATCCATGCTTTTATTAATTACAATTGTCAGATTTCTGAAAAGGTTGTGAGTTCAATATTTTAACTTTTCGGAGTATATTCCTTCCAGGCCACTAGATTTACATCGTTTAACATTCATAACAGCTTTTCTTTTCCTCAGGTATTTCAACTTCTTCTCTTTGTACATTGAAGTGTCTTGGAGATTCAGTTAAATATTCTGGTCTAGATGCCTGAAGTAGGTCTTTGTAGTGTTTTAACCACTTCTGAGCATTTTCTTCCTCCAATATCATACCAACATATAAAAAAATATATCGAAAATCGAATGTTAACATTAACATTAATATTGACAATTTGGATGACTTGGCAGTTTACCGTATGGAAGCAAGCCCGATTACGAAAGTTACAAGGGAAAAACGCACCCCAGAGAATATTTGGGCAGATATAACGGAGGTCCTCCTCAAAAGCACCGGTCGAGTAACAAAATGGACCACCCTCTGCTGCGCGGAAAGCAAAGTAAGCATTCAAGCACTCCGAAATTTGTTGAGGCCGATAGGTAATTTTCAGTATTCGGACTGGATACCACGGACCTAACCTCGACCACCACCAGGTCCTTAGACCTGGAATCGATGCTTGACGGTCAAACAGATTCGGAAGGTGACTTGAGCACCACGGACGCGAGAGCAATTCGCAAGCAATTGGAAGGTTTAGAGGGCATGTACTCTGAAGTCTTAAAGCTTCTCAGTGCCAATAAAAAACACGGAAGGTACCAGCCGTCCGATCCTAAACTGAGCAAGAGAAGGTAGACTCAATGCATCTAGTACTACACATGGTAAATCTAAAAAACCACAGGTACGGAAGTATGTCTTCGCTGCCATCATCATCGGTGAGCAGCAGGGTCGCAGTTCGAGATAGAAGAGGGATTCGAGGCAACGCAGCGGAAGAACGCAAGAAGGTTAGAGATCTGAGGGGAATCAATCGAAGATTTCAGAGGCTAGAGGCTCACGTGGTCACGTTAGCCCGCAGTGTAGCCCACTTGTCTTCCGAAATGCGCACCCAACACTTAATGATCCAGGAGATGGAAACGATAAGACAAGAAATCGCAACGCTAAGAACTCAGACGAATATGCTCAACATCCGGTAAGAATGGGAGTTAGTAGTTTCGCATTAACTTTCACATTACAATCGTAAATCATGTACAGGGTTTTTCAACCAACCAAGTTCAACAAGGTGTTTTTTTAAATATTTTCAACGCTCTGTCCCTTGGGGTTCAACCGAAACTTGCTGTCAACTTGCTGACTTCAAATGAAACGCCCAGTGTGTTATTACGTTTTGACATGCTGTGTGAATGTTACACATTAGGGTGCTTCAAAAAAAAATTAATTTTTTTTTGAGCTCTTACCCTCTCAAATGTTTCTTTTTGATATATAAAAAAAAAATCCTAACCAAAGATGAGCCCTGTAGCTCAACTCTAAAGGGTGGCTGTTTTTATTTTAGTTTCCCATTTAATTAACATGGGAAAAATTCTTTTTTCACTAAAATTAAATTTACGTATAATGTTCGCGATTTTTTACAAAAAAACAATTAATATTGTTAAAGTTGAGTCTATAAGCTTTCCATAACCGTATAAGAAAATATGATTATCATAAAAGAAGATTAATTACAGCCATTTAAAAATTATAAAATTTTGAAATTTTCAGAAATAGATTCTAATAATTATTTTTCTAGATAATTTCTCAAAATTTTTATCCTAATTAATAGACTGTGTTTTAGGGATATCAAATTTTAAAATGGTTGTCAGTACGTAGTACAGGTGGCAGCACTAATTATTTTAGATCATACGGTACAGTTGTCAAATTATCAGTGTCTGCAACACATATTAAAAAAATATTGTGTATTGTCGTTGTTTAAAGCTCTCAGTAATTTCAATTATTATCAGTAAAATGGCTGAAAAGAAAATGTATTTGGTTGCTTTTTCTTGTAGAAAATTAAGTAAATGAAAATCACCGAGAAAAGAAAAGTTTTACAATTATTTTTCTACAAGCATACAGATTCTAACCTCACAATTCGACAGTGTTTTGATGAAGTGATTCGTGATTTATGAAAGTTTGGAAACCTACTGGTATTCCTGTCTATCAACTATATAGCGCTATTACTAAAATTATGAAAGCTTATCGAGAGTGGGAACTTTTCAAAAAAAATAAAAAAGACAACTCAAACAAAAAATTAAGTAGCATACATTTAAAAATCGCCTTGAGAATTTGTTTGATATATCTAATCATAACCCAACACATTATTTAACAGAAGCTCAGTCTAAATATTTAAATGAACAATGGTAAACGTCAAATCGTCAAAAATCGTCAAAAAATTGTAATCGGTAATAATACATATAATTCATTTTTTCAATTATCATGTTACGTTCCAAGTTCGACCTTAGGTCATAGTTTCAGTAAAGTAAAGAATTACTTGTGTATTTGGGTTTTATTAATTAAATCACGCTTCTCGTGCTAATTGCCTTCTAGTGTGTTTGGTACTTTCCTTCAAATTAATATTACTTTATGTTTCTGATTGCTTTCTTCTTTCTCTCTAGGAAGATAAATCAGTTGTTACTTACAGATACTGCTTTTTGTTAGTGATTATACCTTGCGAATGTTATCCTTTTCCTCTGTGTTCGAATGTATAAGTATGTAATGGTATAGCGGCAGGATATCGAAAAGACTCCTTTCACGGTATTGTTGTTTTGCTATTGTTCGAGCTGTAATGAAATACGGTAGAATCAGCAATTATTCTTGAAGCTTCATTGGCAGTTAAAATCAAAATTGTTTACTTACATACGGCTGTTTGTTTTAAAGTCAATCTTTGCGAAGTAAATAATATTGAATAATATTGATCTGACCGAGAGGTTATTTATTCATACGTCTATCAGCCGATATGCGTTGGTGGTTCGTTGATCACCACTACGTCTAGTAGGCAACTAGTAAAGCGCGTTAAGTTTCGCATTTTTGCATGTTCAGAGGAGTTTTATTTCGCTCCCTAAATACCGTCACTGTTTTCATGCCATTTAATAGCAGCTCATAATTTAATATTTCTTCGCATTCCTTTTTTTTTACTAATAAATACATTCGAATCACACGGCAAAGTGCGCAACTATTCTGCGATCGATGGTACCACCCGATAGGATACTTTGGTTATCTGTAGGGTTGAGCTATATATTGACTATCAATTTTATTCGCAGTATCGATACCTCGACTGGGAAAATTTCCAGCACCTACTAGTTTTCTTAAAATTTTATGTAGAAAATCTCGACGATTGTTATCCAGATACATCAATTTATTATAAAATTTTCCAGTTACATACAGCCCCTATTAGCCATGTGCGATTCGTTAGAAGAGCCCAACCCTATCTGTTTTGTTCTTTGATCTAACCACGCAAATCGCGCGTTTTTCCGGCTTCTCTTTTCCGTTGGTCGACGTTCTGCAAGCAACAGGCGCGTAATTTTGTGGATGTTTTACCTATTTTAGGAATTTGGAACCTGTATGCTGCTTTTAATTTGGTCGTTGTGCCTTATCTTGCGTTTTGGGTTTGCTTTACCTTTCCTTTCGGCACTACAACCTCACGTAAAGGAATATTCAGCCCGACAAAGATTGAAGTCAAATAATTTCTCTTCGTTAAGCCACGGGCCGGTTTCTCGATTAATCGGATGTAGGCTATATATATATATATATATATATATATATATATATATATATATATATATATATATATATATATATATATATATATATATATATATATATATATATATATATATATATATATATATATATATATGATGACACTATATTCCGGGATATCATCCGTTCGCTCGTTGAACTCCGACTGGAATCCTGCTGAGTGTTCGAAGTGTTTTCGGAGCGCGAGCATTGAAGATGCCAAGTGAGATTTTGGCGAAACGTCTGCAGGATTCCAGTCGGATGCAGGATTTGCAGGATTCCAGTCGGATGCAGGATTCCAGTCGGAGTTCAACGAGCGAACGGATGATATCCCGGAATATAGTGTCATCATATTTTTCCATCCGTGAATCAATACGTGAGAATATATATATATATATATATATATATATATATATATATATATATATATATATATATATATATATATATATATATATATATATATATATATATATATATATATATATATATATATATATATATATATATATATATATATATATATATATATAAATTCTATCCCCGAATAATATTATTGGGCTTAATTTACAAATATATATATATATATATATATATATATATATATATATATATATATATATATTTTTTTTTTTTATTATTTTATTTTTGTCTTGTCTTTTTTTTATTAGAGATTATAGTAAGTAGGGTCCAGGTGTGTAACGGAAACCCAATACCACACATGGGGAATTCTGGTACATTCCGTCACAGACCAGTGGCGGCCAATAACTCACCCCTACTCTCCGGTTAACTTAATGTACTTTGATTGTCGTCGAGCTAGGGCATATATTTGCACACATCTAGACATCCGTTACGACCTGCTCGTTGCTTTACTGAGTGTTCCTTATATACATTTATTTATATTTTTTCTTTATTTTTTTAAATATTTTTCCAATTTTCTAATTTAAATTTTCAAAAAAAAAACGACAACCATTTTTGAAATTTGTAATCCATAAAAATAATAATACTGACTTATTTAAAAAATGAATTGAAAAGTATTGAAAATAACGACATTGAAATACTTTTAAATTCCTTCTCTTATGCAGAATTGAAATTGTCAATTTTTTTTTTAAATTCATTTTTCTTATCAGGGTTAGTTAGGATAAAAATTTTGAGAAGTTATGTAGATAAAAAATTATTAGAAGCTATTTCTGAAAAGTTCAAAATGTAGTAATTTTTAAATGGCTGTAATTACTCTTCTTTTAATGATAATCATACGTTATTAAACGGTTTTGGAAAGCTTAAAGACTCAACTTTTTTGCAAAAAATCGCGAACATTATACGTAAATTTAATTTTAGTGAAAAAAGATTGTTTTCCTGGTTAATTAAATGAGAAACTAAAATAAAAATAGCGACCCCTTAGAGTTGAGCTGCAGGGCTCACCTTTGGTGAGAATTTTTTTTATATCAAAAAGAAACAGTTGAGAGGGTAAGAGCTAAAATTAAAAAATTTTTTGAAGCACCCTATTACACATATTTTGTGCATAATGTCCTGTACCCATATCTAACAGTTTTTGAAATATTTTCAAAATTTGATCCTCATATTTGGCAAAATGTTCACGTTGGGAAAATAGTCGGAGAATATCTCTTCTTCCCAAGTGGTGCATATAATATTTTTTCTACTCAAGTTGTCCTGAATCCAAGAAGCAGAACTGTTCCTATTTAATCAGTGTCAAATTGTGTCTGTACGTACTGCAATAGTAATACCTTCGGACATCCCAAAAATATCGTGTAGATTTATCATTTAAATTCTGATTGTTGCAGATGAACTGATTCTGGTAATTCTCCACTTTCTGCGTTAATAACTTCTATAATTTTTGACCAACTGAAAAGAAATTTCGTTTTCACTAAGCATGATGACAAACAAAAACTTTCCCACATTGAGGTTTACAAGGTTTTGTAATTAACAAGCAGTATTTCTTGTGATTGTTGTAGTAAAACTTGCATCTTAATTGTTTTCTTATATTTCCTGTAATTGTTATTATTCTTATATTACCCAAATATCTTTTCTTATATAGTTTCTTAATAGTTACCTTGCAGTTAAATCATGTTAAATCATTGGGGTTTGTCTAAGGTCCTATTAGGTCCTTATATTTGCCAAACTTGTTATAATTTCGTGCGAAGGAGTAAATATTGAAAGCACAAATTACACAAGTGTGTGAGTGGGAGCCCTATAGAAACAGGTACATTCTTTTCCTTACAGTTTTGATCACAAACACAAGGTTTTCACAAAAACACGAAAAAAGTGCAGAGAGATTCGTAACCACCAAAAATGTAAACAACAATGCCGCAGCCTGTTAGTATTCTCTGGCAATAGCAACTCCTAGCTCGGCGTTGCCAATTATATTAGTATTTCAGAGACTGATTTTGCGTTCCTATGAAAATTAGTCAGTTTTTTCAGAAAAATTACTGCAACTCAGACAACCTCCCCTACGAAAATATCATGGCCATCTGCGGCGCATCACTTTTTACCGTAGCAGGGCCACCATATTGTCTTATAACTATATGTGTAAATCTAATGTCTAGATCGCAATCGACATCAAGGGCAGTGAGCAGCAGAGACCTGCCGACGTTGGCCAATCCGACCAGAGTAAAGAAATTGACGAAGTTTTTTGGAGACGAGCCGCCACTACTTAGATTATTTTTGAGAAAACTGGGATACGAAGTAATAAATCCGATGACTTTTTGCGTTAGCAGTCGTACATTTGGCTTGTTCTAGAAATACGCAAACGTGTTTGAGACGGAACGCGTGGGAATGGTGGAATTGCCGTATTTGAGCGAAGAGCGACTCCAGAAGATGGGAGTTCCTCTGGGACCACGGTTAAGGATTATGCAGGAAGCTCAAATCTCGGTCTGCAAGGATAATACTTTGTGTATCGTATAGAAATGGTGCTACCGATTATTTAGGAGGTAGGCAATGTTGTCGATATTTCTTGGTGGATGGCGGCTCATCAAAACATACCTTGGTCATGTGGGTAAGGCTTTGTTTACTTAACCTTCGTCGTACCGCGGTCAAAAAGTTACGCGGAACACCATGTGGGGTACAATTGTACCCCACTTTAATTCAACAAAATAAACAATTCTCAAAAATTAAAAAAAAAAGTTAGACGAATTCCTCTACTCATATTAATTCTTACGTTTTTTCATACACAATCTGCAAATTATCTGTTTTACACTATGGTCAGTGCATGTAAATTTTTTGCAGTCGCGACATTGTTGCTTGGACTTGCGATCTTTCTTTCTATTGCACAAATAATATCGTCCAGAAACAGGTCGTTCAGGTTCTTCGGAATGGATATCATGGTGCTTTTCCATTTCTGGCACATATAATTTGACACTGTTGAGAATTCTTGGTTCTGTTTTAAATCTTCTTATGGCGTTTTCCATAATCAATGACTCTCCTAAGTCCAAAAGAAATTTTCTTGTGCTCTCTTTGCTCTTTGATTTTTCGTCTGGAAATTTTGCACTCCATAAAATAAATGCGTTTAGTGCCGCGACGTCTAATAGCTGTCCAAAAATTGCCATCGGCCATCTATTACTAATTCGACGAGCTGAATATTCTTTTACCATTTTATGGGTAGTGTCTACAGCACCTTTTGTTTTATTATAATCAAGTATTATGTCAGACTTGTACTTCACATTTTCTCCCGCAACAGAATCATCATGATGCTCCGTAGACTACATAAGAATGCTAGGCACATAGGACACAATTGTATGTTGTTTCCGAAAACCAAAGGTTGACGAAAAAATGGGTTTATAAGGTTTTGGCAAGAGTTCTTCGGGAATATATGATTTATTCTTTCGTAATGTTCCGCAAAGAGGGACATAGTATAGAAATTATCTGTGGTTATGCCATACCCGGTTCCTAGATCTCCGACAAGATTTAAGACGTCTCTTTCGCCTTGATTCTTTTCTGCTGCATTATTAATTTTTCCCAAGTATAGTTGCATATTTATAGTATATGAATTTTCACTATCTGCTGCCGCCCAAATTTTCAGACCTCATTTATCTCTAAATCCAACTAGTTGCTCATCTACTGTAATATGGCTTTCGGGATTATAACACTTTTTGAAATTAACCAAAACTTCTCTTACCGATGCAAGCTTATCAGTTTTCTTTCTGACTTCCCTTGTTTTTGGATCGTCAAAACGAAAAAAACTCGTCAAGAATTAAAAACTTGAGCGAGACATAGTTGCATAGACATAACTGGTCTAGTGTAACCTCTCTTGGTACACCACAACATTACTATCGGTTATTTTGAAGCTTGAAGGGCACCTAAGATCAAAATGAGGCCAATGTATGCCTTTATTTGAACAGCATCTGTTGGTTTCCATATTCTTTGTAGAGGTTGTGTTTGATTTGGGTGTTTTTCATTCCAAAGTTTGTAAGTCTGAAAAATTTTACAGGGATAGGTATTATTATTATAATCGTTAGTATGCCGGACAATTATTTCTATAATTTCGTCTATCTGAAACAGTCTAAATGAATCACGTTTTGAAGCAATATTGATACTATGTTGATTTAGTCCAGGCTTTTTCCTAATTATATTTGCAACTGTTCGTCGTTTTTGTCTAAGTGGCATTTTATACCATTTTGTGGTATCTTTGGTTCGCTAAAATAGTCTACCTTCTTCTAGGATTTCTTCATTATCGTCAGTCTCTATTACACTGCTCACTGTCATTTTCTTCTTCTATAACCACATTTTCAGGCACTATTTCACTCATTAGAGCACAACCGTTATTTATTCCTTCTATTATATCATCTTCAGAATCTATCATTTCCAGAACATCATCACTATCTACTTCACTATCACACAGTTCTATTTCAGCGTGATCGAGATCGTCATTCAGTAATTGATCTAACTCTAAATCGGTTAATTTATTTGGATTGCGAATATTTATTTTATCAGGCATTGTGTAACATTTCACGCTAGCGTTATGATTTAAAAAATCAAAAATGTCTGACACCAGCTGATGTTTACTGTATTGCGCATAACCGTGAATAATCAAAATGAGTATCTTGGCATACCATACGGGGAACAAGTGTACCCCACATTAAAAAAAATTTGTTTTTGACTTTTTTGATGCACGTGATAACTAAAATATACAGAAAATGAATCTGTAAATACTAAATGACAATAAATAAAATTGCGGAACACTTGTGTAAAGTTTCTAAAAAGATATAAGAAAAATTGAATACTGTACGACGAAGGTTAAAATCGAAACAGAAAGTAAATAACAAAAATAAACTTTGCCTAATACAGAAAAGATAAAAAATTGTAAATATCATGAATGTAAATAAAAGACAATTTATATTTCGCCTTTAAATACCAAAGATAGATTCTTTGTAATGTTCAAAAATTATATGTATCTTATGTAATTTTATATTTTTAATAAAAAAAATAATGAAAACTGCATTGTAATTTTAATAAAAACGCCTAATACCTATTCATTCTATTCGATAGGGAATATTTTGGTCAAAATACAAGGTCAGGGTAATTTATTTAATTAGATGCTAAGTATCAAAGTTGTGTTTATTTTATTGTATTACAATTATAGGACTTTTAAATTCCAAAGCCCAAATAACTATGCTTTAATAACTGTTATAATAACTAAACCTTAAACTTAAACTAAACTTTAAATTTTTGATTTCTCAAATGCATAAAAAATATTGAAATGATAGCGAAATTTACATGTGTAACTAATAGACGATATGTTATATCCCGGTTATAAAAAACTTCCCGTTTCACACAATAACAACTGATAAAAACTTCAAATGGCACTGTAACTTGATTGATTGAAATGATACGCCACACTTTGTAACACAAAAATTATAAAATAACAATAGTGCTGCTGTCAATGAATTATTTGATTTGGCTAGGACACCCTTGTGGAATTATTAGCCTTTGAAAATGTGTCTTTGACTTCAATAAATTATAAAACTTTTATGCCAGTATTATTCGCCCGACCCTGCACTACATCTTTTGGCATAGTACAACAGGACCGACACAATTTTATTGTATTCGATAAACTAAAAGCACTATAGATGCTTTCCAGAGTACGCCTTTAAACACCATACACACACCTGCATTTTGCTCTAAATTCTTTCTAAACACTTATTTTTAGAAAATACCACCGCAAAAACATTAAAACCATACTGGAACCTGTCGAATTGACGAATTGTCAGCAGCCATGTTGGTTATTGAATGCTACTTGCTCTTATTGGTTGGTTTCAAATGTCATGAGATTATAATTGACCTAATCATGGTTAATCTAAGTTTTCAACATTTTTAGTTATCGTCGTTGAATACGATATTTCTAAAGTTGCGAGATCATTGTACAAAGATTTGGTAAGTACTACATTGGATAAATCTGTTTATAGAAAAACACAGTAATGCATTACAGAAACAAGTTAGGAAACTTTACCAGCTCCACGGGCTAATGTTTACCGTGAACAGAATTTTCTGAACTTACCAAAATAAATGAAGTGATTCTCTGCTTTACATTTCTTCTCCATTGTTCTCTGCCTAAATGAAACTAGTATTCTGTGAAGAAAATGAATGTTAAGAGTGTGTAGAACTAGATTTGAAATTATAGTGTAATTTATTAGAAAAAATTATGGATTCATTGCCGTCGAAGGCCGATATGGAACTGATTTTTCACAGATTAAAAGCTCTGCCTGCTAATAAAGTATGTTAATGAATAATTGTATGTTGTAATTACAGGTTATAATTTCGATGACGTGTCTTTTGCTTTAATAATGATAAAATAAATTCAGTTTAATTCTTATTACACATTTTGCATATTTCATACTTGCAGTTACATAAGTCTAAGGTCTGTTAATCTATTGGGCGCATTAGGAATCAATTTTATCCAATATGTTTAAACAGGTAATAACGTAGGGTATACTTACAGTCGTGTTTCGATTGTGGAGCAAAGAACCCCACCTGGGCCAGTGTAACATATGGTATATTCATATGCATTGATTGCTCCGCAGTCCATCGAAGTTTAGGTGTTCATTTAACATTTGTCAGATCAACACAACTTGATACAAACTGGACCATGCAGCAGTTAAAACAAATGCAACTAGGTGGTAATGCGAATGCTGTGAGTTTGATTAAAAATCTGGTTGTTTTTAAAATTCCCAATTTCTATTTTTTCCCAGATGCAGTTCTTTTCGCAACACAACTGCAATACAAACGATGCCCAGAAAAAATACAACTCAAGAGCTGCCCAGTTATATAGGGAAAAATTAAGCTTTGCAGCGCAAGCAGCGCTCAGAGCCGACGACAAGGTGACGCTCTTTGCTAAATATTAATTATCTAATAATATTTGAAATTGGATGTTTTTTTAACTGTGTGAATTAATTTTAACATTAGATTTCGCTTTTTTTTTTGTGTAGCTTCATTTCCATGAGGACAAAGAAGAGAAGTTCGTTGAAAAAGAGACACCCGATTTTTTCGCCGAGCATGAAAATTTTGATATAACAGAAAGTGAAAGTCTGAGTGCCCAAAGTCTTGTAGGTTAACATTCATGTGTTATATTGCTTTAATGAGCAGTGAGAAAACTATAGCGAAGCTAAAGGGACTGAATGTTTTTACATTTTAAATAGCCCATTAGTTCTATCTTCGGTTTCTTTAATGTGCCATTGTGTATCTTGTGCATATTTATAGCTTTATAGTATTTTTTAAGAGTTTCGCTATAGAAAGCTTTCATTGTATTTATTTGTTGAATGCAAATTTTTCAGTATGTGATATTTAAGCTATAATTCTTAAAGGAAAAATCTCAATCCAAGGAAGAGATAAAAATTCCAGAGGGTGAAGGTCCAAAAGTAGATTTTGGCAGTCATATCAAAAGTGAATCAACAAAATCGAACATTACAAGCAGAAAACCGGCTGCGAAGAAAACGATGGTATGGTTCTTCCATTATCTTCGATTCGTGTCTTCATATTTAAGTTTCAGATGGGCGCTAAAAGGGCGGGAGGCTTAGGCGCCACCAAGGTTAAAGCCGATTTTGCTTCCATCGAGCGAGAAGCTGAAAGAGCGGCCGAGGCAGGTCGTCGGGATCGTGAGGAAGCGGCAAGCATAGCTCGTCTAGCCACTGAAAACGCCGAGCGGGCAGAAGCCGCTCTCAGATTGGCTTACCGAGATGCAACTGAAGAAGTAAAACGTCAGGGCGGTCCGCCTTCTAAAGTTAACCAGATCGAACGACTCGGAATGGGCGTTTCTAGTAGGGGAGTCGGTAAAGGTGTTTCTCATTCCGCATTGAGCGACATGAAAGTAATTGAACAGGTATGTATTTTTTTTTTTTCATTCGTTTTTCTTTATTGTCTAAAAAAGTGATGCACAACACTCTAAAGGAGGACCTGATTGCTGTTGCAAATTGTTAAAAGAACTAATAATGTGCTTTTGGGCTATGAATGTACAATTTGGAAATGAGAAAGATTCCCTAGTAGGTTGCCACGAGTTTTTTACAAATAGATAAACATGAAATCAATAAAAATTTTAAAAATCCAAGTTTATTTCTTATAGTTATTTCAAAAATTGTAAATTTGGCTGTCACACCCTGTATATTATGTAAAATATTTAAACGACATTGTTCCTTATTTAACTTCAACATCCCTAATCTTATTAACACTTTTCAGGAGGAAGTTATTGAAATTGCGCTAAAAAATATTTAAATTTTTGTAAAATTTTGGGTTAGAACTTAAACTTAGAAAATAAGACATTTAATTTATGATTACTTTGAGTAACCACTTTTGCATATTTTCTCTGATTCTAATATTAATGTGGATATTTTCATATAGGCTATAGTTGCTTTGAAATAATTGTGTTTCTTTTTTTTAACAAATTTAACCAATGAAAGAGAACAAAGCAGCTGCAAGCACATCAAATTTTTTAAAATAGGGTAAGCATGGATCCAAGTTGTAAATGAATCTAATAATGCGCTTTTGGGCTATGAATATACAATTTTCAAATGAGGAGGATCCCTATATAGGTTTTTCCAAGTGTAGTTAATCATAATAGCTTCTTATTTGAAAAAAATTGAAAATTGTAAAACTATGGACATGAAATGAATATAATTTATAAAATTTATTCCTTATAGTTGTTTCAAAAATTGCAAGTTCTTTACATGACATTAAACTTGTTGCGATTCTGAAAATTATGATGAATAACTGTATACAGCAGAACATAATTTTTTAGATAGTTTGGTATCTGGTTAATATTGCGTTTTTTCTACATATGTACATTAAAAACATTTTATTTTTGAATTAGATAGAAATAAAACACCTTATTCGTCAAATATAATTCAATGAATTAAAATGGTTAACATTATTATTACCTTATAAGAATAAATTTTGAAACATGTATTTGCGTCTAACACCTAGAAATATATAAACCATTTACTTACCCTATATTGTCCCAAGCATAAAAAAAATACTTTTTTGCTGTGAAATTATTTATTTTGTTGCATTTAAGAATACATTACATGTGTCAAAAAAACTCGAAACATACAAAAAAAATACTGGTGCGTAAACGAACCACTGGGAAAAAACATTAAGTAATGTTTTTGGGCACATAAGATATAACATATAATCTACATACATACATAAACATACGACAGAAAACAACTAAAAGTTGATTGTTTTCCAAAATGGAGCCTGATTTGATACAAAAAAACGCATAATATTTTATGGTGCGTGAACGCACCACTGGTAACACCCAGTTTCATTTTTGGTGATATTTTACAGAGCATAAACTATGTAAATGCACATTACACTTATTACAAACGTAAATTGTGTGGCTATGGCAGATTCTACATCTCCTTCGAGCTTTATTAGCATGAACAATCATGAAGTGACCTTGATTGTCATATGTCATATGTCACATGTCCTCTATGGCAGGTGCAAGACTTCTTTGAGTAATTGTTTTATCAGTTTTTAAAAGTCGAAAAGCAATGTAAGATTTAAAATCAAATCAATAACTTCGTTATCAAAAAACATAAATAATATATCAAGCGGAGTTTTTCCAGAAAGTCTATTTTTTAGTTCCTCACATGATCTAAATTCATCGGATATGGGTGTGTGAGTGTACTCAGTTCAGTAGTTGATGAATTAAAGGACTGTTGAAGGACAGCTGTATCATTCGGTGTATGTAACTCGAAAGTTCCAACTATATCAGTTGGTTCCTCAAAGTCTTGTAGGATTTATGTTATCGTTCATATCTTCTTCGTCAGTCAAGGTATCCACGTCGGGTGGAATATAGACCGCGTCAGTATGTTCTGTAAATATTTTTTCACGTTATTTTTAGCATAAATTTACAAGGAATGGAATGCTACAATACATACGAATAGGTAAATCCAAATAATACTTACGACTTTCATTGTTATTGAACTCATCCATCACGATCTCCTCCAAATACCTCGGAAATGTCATATTTTACGAACTGTAATGTTCACTGCACAAGGCACAAATTAATACTAAAGAACACGCTAATTGTTGGATGTTTATTCTACATGGGCTGACTTGTCTAGACTTGCAATAACAAAGTTTTGTTTCATAGATAAAACCAGTGGTGCATTCACGCACCAGTAAATATTTTCAAAAAATAAAGCATAATCAGTATAGAATTTTCAATATATGTTTTCTGCGATGTAATCTACATGCTATAGACTTATGCATGCTATAGACTTAACAAAAATTTTTTTTTTTTACTATTTTGGATTTACTTGAAAATGTGATACAAATTTATTTCCCGCTTTTGTTAACTTTTGAAGTCATATATAAGATCTTTCCTTTATACATAAATTAGCGATTTCTACCGTTTTATGTCCTTTAGAAGTGATAATAATAAATTTTCTAAATGGATGTGCCAAAATATTTCCTGGATGTGACAAAAAAAATCATAGAATAGGTGGTGCATTAACGCACCACTGGGACAAAATGGGTTAATATACTTTGTAATAATAGATATGAAATATTTATAAACATCTAGGTGAGCCTTAAAATACAACTTTAAAACAATAATTAAAATATGTAAAGCTGCCAGTTACCATCAGTGACCTCTGTGATGGATGGATGGAGACTATTTTCGATGTTCATGAAAATGGAAGTTTGAAACTGTAACTAAATTAATATGATCACTTTTGAGATTAGGAGAAAAATTAACACCTTAATTTTTTGTTTAGGAAAAACCTGTGCCCGCGTCCATAAAAACGTTGGATACCCTAGGTCGGTTAAATTTGAGCGAGAGCTCGGACCCATTCGAAGATTACGTCAATGGGGTTGGTATTTACTCGAAAGAGTCTAGCTGGGTTGTGGTAGAGGAGTCGCCATCAAGGCCCGCCGAGCCGGAAAGGGCTCCGACTCGCGAAAAAAGTAGTAGTCGGTATCCGGTTGAGTTTACCCCTAGCACGGACGAAGCCCAAAGAAAATTTGGCAATGCCAAAGCCATATCGTCGGACCAATTCTTCGGAGACAACAGTGCCGATAGCGAGGCCAAGGCTAACCTTAATCGATTTCAAGTAAGTATAAAATTAAACGATGATGTATGTACTAAGAATGAATGAACAGAAGTCATTTATAATTTTTATTTAAAAATTTTATACACAAGCTGTAGGGTTTAATGTGTAGATTTAATATTACATAGCATAGCATATCAGATTTATGTTCTTGTTAAAATTGAAAGCGCCGTATAAACAGAAAGGTCTTTTTATGCTGATTACAAACATATTTATTAGCATATTAGAATTAGCAAAAAATATAATCATCACTAGTACTTCATAGATTCTAAAAGGGAAAAGATATTTAATTGTTAGGGGGGTTGTTTTTCTGCTGAGTGCGTCCAATTTTTATAATAATGATAAAGCTAGCTTAATATTAATTTATATTAAATTCCTTCCACGTGTTTCTTCTTGTCCTGTTCATGTTAAATTGTTGGGCCCCTGCTAATAATGATCAACCATTTTCTAATTTGGTGCAATTCTTACATTTTCCTAAACCTAATTATTTTTGAGTTGTTTATTTGAAAGATAAAAATTATGTCTTTCTTTTTAAAATAAATAAATTGAGTCTGTTTCGTTTAGATGATAAAACAACCAACAATAAAAAAATGACATCGAACAAAGTACTGAATACTCTAGTGCCTATATACTATGACCATTATAAACACTTCACAAATTTACCAAAGAGGATTTCTCTTATTGCTTACAATAATTTCGTGTTCAAACAAACAGTAAACGCTGATAAACGCAAGAGTTTTTAGTAACAAGAATAGATTTAATAATACATTTTGTTGTAAGAGGTGGATATACTTTTCTTGTTTTTATGAAGCGAAGTGAAGTCGTGCAGTACTGCGCCTTCGACGAAACAGCTGACCTAAATCATTCGATATCCACACGGAATTTTCAAGCTTTATCAGTTTTTGACGAAACTAGCTGTACATATACCGGGTGACGCATTGCCGAACGAAACATAGGAAATCCCCAAGAATCGTAAACCTAGTAGAATTGCCTAATACGCCAAATCTGTCCGCAAGATTTTGAGTATTTTGAGTAACTAATATTGCATTTTGTTTGGATAATCACTTGTTATTTTCATTTAATATCAACATTAAATCGTTTTAGTACTTATTTAATAATTATGTGGAAATAGTGTAGGGTAGGGTCTCAGGTAGGGTAAAAATAATATTATTGCAATCAAGTTTGGCTTTTAAGTATTACCTTGAAATACATATATTAATTAAATATGGTTACACATAAATACATAAAACTAGCGAACAAAACGATTTACTTGTAAAACTTTGTGTTTTACGGCATTCTACCATTTTAACTAGAAATCCCTATTTTTGGATATATCAAAGAACATATTAAAAAACAAAAAATATATTAGGCATACATAACAACTATTTATAGGTGGTAGGTAAATAATAATATGTATTTATATGTACCATCGTATGTACATAATATAAAAAATACATATTAATACATATACTTAAATCTTTATTTTACAATTTTACCATACTTTCTAATTTTTTTCTGCGGTTATCATACTTTATAATTTATTATTTGGGGTTCGGAGACGGGTTCTGGCATGGATTTTGGAGATGGATTTTTCTCTAGAATTTCACTTGTGGTATTCGATGTTGTTGCTAAAAGTTCAGACAATACCTGCTGAGCTTCTTTTTTGGCATTTTTGGAATAAAGTCTTTTTGCTTCTGCTTTTGTTGGAGACTTCTGGTTAAATAATAATCGGGTGGGGGCAGCAGTTTTTTTAGAATCTTTTTTAAATGTAAACCTAAAATTTAAGTGTTGTGTTGAATTTAATGTGTTACTCAAGACAAAAAGACCTAATGACTCATTTTTTAAGTCTCTTTCGTAATCATTTTCAGTAAAATGAACTGAGCAGACATAGCTTGTATCTGGATTAAGTTTGTCCTCTCTTCTACATCGAACTATCCACTCGTTCCGAATAGTTCGGGATACTAGATCTTTCCCTTTCGGAAAGCGATGAAAACTACATTTTCGAGAACTTGCTATTTCATCAAAATAGTTGTTATTGCACCCACACATGGCACATCTCGTTCCAGGCATACCTAACTATTTTTTGATGTAACTTATCCCACTGAAAAAGGTAAAAGAAATGTATTTCTTACCTTTACCTTGAGCTTACTTCCTAACTAATAACGCCGCTAATAAGCAACACGAACACAAAACTTTTAAGTCTTTGTTTAAGGTTAAAAATACTGTTTTTCTCAGTTCTCGCCACTCATGCACATACAATTTTAAAGTATTTGTTAAAGCTTAAAAACGCTGTTTTGTTCAAGTTTTGTTTACAGAAATACAATTAACACAAACATAAGCGCACTACTCACTTGCTTAAATTATTTTAATTGATCAAAAAACACAAAATGCAACGGTTTAATACGCCGTCAAATGCTTTGACTGAATACACAAGGTTAGAGGACTTCGCTTACGTCAGAAGCGACCACGTGCGATCGATAATTTTGGCGAACGTATATCTTATGGGATTGGGCAATCCTATTAGGTTTACGATTCTTGGGAAATCCCATGCAAATTTTTGGGTGGTCATATATTGGCTCCCCTGTACATTTTATAGCAAAGTTGTAATATAACTTTTCGAAGGGGCTGATGTGATTTACTCATATTCCAATTTGAATAAATTTTAATAGGCCCATCTTCAGTTGTCGAATTGAATATAATGGCAAAATTGGAAAATTTGTATAGTTTAGATAATAAATCGAACACCAGTAAAATATATTTTGACAATGACTGCACGAAAAATCGTGATTGTTATACGTTATTAAACGCGCTTTAATTAAAGCTAACTGTGCGTTATTCAAATGAAGAAAAAGTAACCATAATTAAGTGGTATTATGCAGGAAACAGTCTGGAACGTTTTCAGTTTATTTTCCTGCTAAAACTATACCTTCGACTTCAACAATTAAACATATTCAGTTCGAGTCCAAAGGCATCGTAATAAATAATTGCAAATGTCGATAATAGAGCAGAAGAAACACTTGTGGAGGAAAACGCAATGGTTGATATGAAGATTCTTCGACAAGGTGTAAATAAACATCAAACCACAGTGTGGCACAAATATTTTTCCTATAAATACGAAAAGCACCAAGATACAGGGACGGCGATGAAGAATGAAGAGTAGCATTGGTTTTGAAATCATGGAAAAAGCAAATTATAATACTGATTTTTTTGGAAAAATATTTGTTTCACTGATGAACGTCCATTCATACCTAACAATGGACCAACTCTCGGTTTTGAAGCCAAGACAATGAATATCGAATATTTTGTAGCCGTATTTTTATAATAATTATTAATTATTTGTGTTTGTTTAATTCAATAACGGTGGATTGACTTACTAAAATTTATGTTAGTTGTATTTCAATTTTGCTATAAAATGTACAGGGGAGCCAATATTTGGGCACCTAAAAATTTACATGGGATTTCCTGTGTTTGTGGTTGAAGAGGTTAAGTAATCGCATGCGATAATCGCGATTCTTCTACTAGGGCTCGAGCAGTATATCGTCGGCCGATTTCTTCGGAAGAAACGAAGATGCCGCCCGGGGGGCTCACAATTTGCCCGCCTACGACATCGAAGACGTCAAGGAAAGCGTTCGCCAGGGGGTCACCAGGGTGGCCGGTAAAATTGGCTCGCTGGCCAACGGTCTCATGTCGTCCATTCAAGATCGTTACGGTTACTAGCAGAAATCGAAACGGCGGCTGCCCGATAGCCTCACGGCTGACACTTTCGACGTTCGTAGCTGCTCGATTTTGTATAAATATATAGGTAAAATCAATTCTACGATAATTATCATTTGTATTTAATTTTACTTGAGCCAGCGTTCAGCAGCTTCTGTAAGGGTCGGTGTCCATAGAATATTCTCTTTCGGTTAGTTATTGCATGTTCGAACGAATTTGTATTCTCTGTATTTGTAAAATAAAGCCTCTGCAATTTTATTTTAAACGTCGACTTTCTTTGCACGGTTTTGGTAGTTTGCCGAGATGACGTTTGCCATTTATCTTGATCTTAGGTGAGACAAGAGTAATAATTTTACATTTTTCCAAGAATATTCCACAGCCTGCTGTAATACTGTTTACAAATCTTTCGGATTTCTCCTACGTCAGCTGTTTATAAATCAAACTTTCTGACGTTTTGTTCAATTGTCTTGTTGGAAAAATCAGGAGAAATCAGGAGACTTGTAAATAGTATTACAGTAGCCTGTGGGAGTTTCTTTGAAAAATTAACAAGCCTCTATGGGGAGGACATCAAATGCAAAAGCAGAAAGTTATAAGATTACCTATTGAAACTGGTAAGATTACTCATTGCACTGATTCTGTTGTTATGTTGTGGCAATATGTTATCCCTAATTTTCTTAAAATATTAAATAGTACTTTACTTCGCGAAGTAAAGAAATAGACCAAATGAATAATAAACATGAGTCATGACAAAGCTGAACAACTTAGTTTAACTAATCACAGAATCACATTCAACGTCAACATTAGTGAAACCATCAAAGTCTTCGGGAAAATCCATTCTCGCCAAAGGTTCCAAACCTCGTCCTTGCCTAACGTATTATCCCAAGCTAAATCTAATATTCCAAAGCCTGCATACTAAAATCTTCTAAAGACTAATTCGACATCATCATTCTAAAAGCAGATGAAGGAAATGCTACGGTTGTCATGAACACAAGTGAATATCAGGAAAAAATTCAAAATATTCTTAGTGACGGATCCTATCGTCAACTTAAAATATGTTAATAAGGGTTCTTCTCTATCAGAAAAAGTCCGTCGGCCCTCATGACTCTAACATCCTCGTCTCTGCGAACTCCATAAGATTCACAAACCAGGATTACCCTTTCGACCTTCCGTAATATATTCTTCTCTAGCAAAATACCTAGCTTCTGTGTCGAAATCTTTTACAAGGAAAACTGACAGTTTCGTACTTAATTCGCTTCAGTTTATTGAACAATTTCGACGTAGAAATCCTCTTTACTTCAGATATATTGAAAACCGAGAATCTGGAACCAAACCTTCTCATTTTAATTGAAAAATTATTGTCTAGAACATATTTTTCTTGTAACGAATCAAATTTGTCAGCGGGAACAACTATCGGTTTCCCATTATCACCAGTAATCGCGAATATATTTATGGAAGCCTTTGAGAAGAAGGTCCTTCACATCTTCCATCTAAAATCAAAATTATAGAAACACTACGTTGATGCTTTTATTATTTTAGCTCATGGAGATTTTCTTTTCTATTTAAGCTCTATACATCCCAATGTACATTTTACCATTAGAAACTAATAATCTCCCATTCTTATACTCTTTATCAATAGAAAATCAGACCTAACATTGGGTCATTGTGTTTACAAAAAACCTACGCACACAGACCGATACCTTAATGCAATGTCCCATCACCATCCGGCCCAAAGATCATCAGTTATCAACTCTTGTTTACAGAGCCGTAATACTATCTCAGCCTGAGGCACTGAACCCACAATTAAAACACCTTACCTCTGCTCTTCTCTCTAATAATTTCCACATTACAGATATTAATAGCAATGAGTTGATAAACTCTTGTTTACAGAGCCGTAAGACTATCTTAACCCAAGTCACTGAACTCAGAATTAAAACACCTTACCTCTGCTCTTGTCACTCATGATTTTCACATTAAAGATATTAAGCGTCCCGTCACAAAATACACTCCACCACAAGCTTCCAAAGATAATGAGTCCGAAAGCAACCCCACAATTGGTTCTTTCTGACAGCAGAACACAAGAAACATACCCAATGTAGAGGAACAAATTTATCTGGTCTCGCAGAGCACCCATGGACAGAACATCACCCAATTAAATGGACAGACGCCAGAATTCTACAAAATGAAACCCACTGGAAGAAGAGAAAATTCATAGAAGCCGCTTTTGCCGTCATCATTCAAACGCTGTAGCACTACTGAACATTGAAGTTCTAAATCGTATGTACAAGTCTCGCGAGTTATTGGACACAATAAAACAGAGAACGATTCGGTATTTGGGTTAAATAATAATGATAATGGAAGGCAAAGTACATGCAAAAAGATCGATAGGAAGACGTCAGAAGTCAAGTCACCGCTCATCACCACAATAGCCGTTTGAATCGCCAACTTTCGCAAATAGAGGGCGTAGGTATTTTCACAAGATGTGGTAAAAATAGACTTTCAGTAAAACAACCTTTTCTTTTCGAAAATAACAACATTAGGTACACTAATCGTTTAATAGATCGTCTATTTCGTTGAGAAGGTCGTCTTCCGCCTTTAAGGTAACGTTGAAACCATCTTCGACGTCGTCCAGTAGATCCGATTCGTCCAAACTCAAGCGCGCCGAGTCCAATTTGATTTTCTGCTCCTCTAACGTTTCCGGACAATCACTTTTCCTTTTCTCTTCGTCCTTTAATCCTTTAATTTCGTTACTAGATACGCAATCCTCCGCCAGACTCTTCAACTTCTGTATATTCAGTCTTCTCACTTTAAGTTTTACTACAGGGTTCACGTCTTCGGTAGTCTCATCTTTGCTCGTACTAGTAACTTCAGTTTCTTCCGTGCCCAGTTTATCCTCAACAGCCGGTTTCCCCTTATCCTCCGCGATCCTTATAGGAGAGTGTTTCCTTTTGTACGTGGGTCCCTCGACGTCCGACATTTTCTCTTTTTTGAGGCTTCTCTGCTGGCGAATCTCATCCAACGTTTTAATTTTAATGTTTTCCACGTCGTTTCCGGCCAGTTTTGGTCTCTTGTACGCGGCATGAATTTTGGCCGGGTGTTGTTTCCTCTTGGACCTCAGTTTTTCCAATATCCTCTGGCGCAGGTCATCGTTATGCTCCTGCAATCCGATCACGTCTCCGTGATCTGAAAATTATAACGCTATTGCATTGGATAGAGGCAAGTATACAGGAAGAAGCTCCCTCCGTACTGAGAGAGCAGATAGTGATAACGTGATAATGTGAGGTAAAGAGGAGGGTGACCGTATAACTACTACACATATAGAGGCCCTGCCTATATTGAAGCAACAAGGATTTTTTTTGAGAAGATTTAAAATTTAGTTTTTAATCAATGACAGCTCTAATGGCGAATTCTGACGTTCGACTTATAAGACCTTGCGGCTTTCGACAAACGATATGGCGGCTGACAGGTCATCCATGTTTGGATGCGGCATTTTTACGGCGAAATGTAGGAATCCTATTAAATTTTCAAGCAAAAAAGGAGTTAAGGTGTGGAAAAGCAGTACAGAATTGAGTCTGCGTAGCTACGATACAATTTCTAAATCATGTAAGCTAATTTTTCCGAGACTTTTTTGCTTGTAAATTCGGCGCAAAGCGTTAGTTTTCATAAACTCATTTTGACATAACTTTGAGACGCTAGATATCGCACGAGAAACATTCAAGTGGAAAAAGTGTTCAAGAAGCACTTCCCATGGACAGTAGTTGACAATGGGTATTTCTTATACTCGTTCTAGTAAAAAATCAACTTGTAGCTTAATTGTTTTCTTATATTTCCTGTAATTCTTGTACACCAAAACATACTAACCAAACATTCTTGGTAGCTATTTAAGTGTACCTAAAAATGTAGGGAATTCTGTTTAGTAATTTCTGTAAATCCATTTTCCACATATTTGCCACATTTGTTGTAATTTTGTAAAAGAATAAAGTATTAAAAGCACAAATTATACAAGTTTGTGACATCAAAAATGAAAACAACAATGGTACAGGGCACAGAGTGTTGTGCGATGTTCGGATTTCAGAGATTGATGTTGAGATGCATACGCAAAAGATTCACACCTTCTCTACGAAAATTTTTGCCGTCGCAGGGCACTATATTATCTTACGAACCAAACGAACTGGTGAAAAAAGTGAAATGTTCAATTTGGTTTTTTTTTGTTCGATTTTCCTAAATGACATACAGGGCCGTCGCAAATGAAATGAAACCTATTTCTAAACTAGATATAGCAAAAGCGACTTACGTGTCAAAGGCTCGATTTTTGAGAAACATTTAATGGTTAAACCCGCATTGCGATATATGCACTACCAACTGAGATATAGGACGTTTTTCAAATTTCGTGCCTTTTGAAAATTGCCCATAACTTATTTATTTATGAAAATTTTCGACTCGGATAAAAACATTATTAGAGTATTTTTGCCACTCAAATTGCAGCGTGCTCAGATTTTTTCTACAGTTCTCTGTTTTCTCGCAAATGTGTACATCTTTCTTATTTTATATTTTCATAGGCGGGTGGATTTAAAGTAAATAAAGTGACTCCGTTAAATTGTGAATTAAAATATTGGAAAAACTATTTAAAAGGAATTCAAAACAAAATTTAAATTTAGCGTATTTTATTTTTAAAAAATGCATGTTTTATTCTTCGCGCTTTGTTAAACCACCCCGTATACTTTAGAAAAATTAAATTATGCATTAAAATATAAAAAAAGATTAAAAAGCTGAGGGGTTTTCAAAGGAATTCAAAACAAAATTTAAAGATAGCCTGTTTTATTTTTTAAAAACGCATATTTTATTCGTAATGCTTTGTTGAGCCACACTGTATACTTTAAAATAATTTTAAATTGTGAATTGAAATATTGGAAAAACTATTAGGTTTAAAAGTTGAAAGGTTTTAAAAATAAATCAAAATAAAATTTAAAAATTGGGTATATGATTTTTAAAATGCATGTTTTATTCGTCATCCTTGGTTAAGTCTCCCTGTATACTTTAAAATAAATTTAAATTGTGGATTAAAATATTGGAAAAACTATTAGGTCTACAAGTTGAAGGGTTTTAAAAAGAATTCAAAACAAAATTTAAAAATAGCGTGTTTTATTTTTTAAAAATGTATGTTTTATTCTTCACGCTTTGTTGAGCCACCCTGTATACTTAAAAAAATGAGCATTCAAATATTGGAGAAACTATTGTGTTTAAAAGTTGAAATTGTTTTAAAAATAATTCAAAATAAATTTAAAAATGGGGTGTTCGATTTTTAAAATGCATGTTTTATTAGTCACCGTTTGTTCAGTCTCCCTGTATACTTTCAAATATTTTTAAATTTTGCATCAAAATATTGCAAATGCTAGGATTAAAATTTGAAGGGTTTTAAAAATAGTTCAAAACAGCACTTTTTTGGGACGCCTTGTATAGTTGAAAATAATTTCAAATTGTGCAGCCTAACAATCTTTACAACTTTTCTATTTGCCATTTTCTCATCACTTTTGAAACCAAAGAGAACATTATAGTTGGATAAGGACAACACTACTTCACTACATTCACTACTTCGCAAAAATTACCACTAAAGAAATTGATGTTTTCTTAATATCTTGGAAGTTCACTTACTCGGGTAAGCATAGTAAGCGGCACTGGCCGCTTGTATTTTTTCTAACTGGATTTCCTCGCTGGTTTTTTCGTCGCTGATTCTATTTTTTACGCTGAGTTTGGGCGGCGACGTGGCCGTCCCGTATTCGTTGTCCGATTCTGCAAGAACACACCTCTGAATGACGAGAACGATAAAAATGAAACAAATTAAAACGAAAAGGTGCATTCTTGCAGAAACTTGCGCGGGAACGGGGCGAAAAGAAGACACTGGCGTAGAAAAATCAACTTTAATTCGAAAAACAATCCAACACAAATTTTTTTTAAAAAATGTAGGGTTACTATATCATAATTTCCCGAAAAAAAAAATATATTATCGCCAACAATACGTAAAACACTTTCTTCGTAGTAAAACGAGAGAAAAACAAAAACAAAACATTCGTAGGTCTTAAACTAGGAATAAATACTACAATGTTTGGCTTACATACCAATGCTGGGGGTTTAATAGGTTAATCCAAGAATGCACCTCGGATAAAATGAAAAAACCTAATTATTATACTCTGGTTTACGTAACATGTCGCCCTAATACCGTACTACAAAAATTTATATCACAATAGCCAGGCTCGACTCGCGTTAGGCATGTCAAGGCGCAAAACTGACAGGACCGCCAACTGTGACGAACGCTACGTCACATCAACGTCATAGCGTTACCTGATATAACAGGAGAGTACCACACTAAGATTAACGTATCACCAATTAAAGAGGCCGTAATAATTATTTTTCGATTTTTTTTCGCTTGAATCATTTCGCTAGCAGTTTGAGTTCATTGACGTCCCATTTCTTTCTAATGACGTAACTAGTACATAATAATTAGGATGGCAGAGTGGATAGACGCTGGAAAAAATTACTATTAAGCATTACTATCGATTAATTTTATATAAGGCATTATATAAAACGCTCTGCTGAGACTATCAAAATTCTATTCTAATGGCACTTTGACGTTTTAACTTTTATTTGAAAAGCCTACCTGCTTTAACGTCTGACTTATTGATACATATGGGATTAATAGTTCACAAATCACTTTTTTTTTTGGAAGTTTACCTGGCCTAACATCCAATCCAAGATTTTAAAATTTCCCAAAAATAGATGAAATTTGTAGTTTTAGTAGCCTAAAACTAAAACTTTCCTTTCAAAAAAAATCTATATAACACAAAAATTATGTATAGCTTGCATCCTTATACACGGTATTTCACTCAAAACATCCAATAAAAGTTTATAGAAAGAGAAACAAAGTACAAAGTGACAATTTTTGGGGTTAGGATGAGTGCCACTGTGCCCAACCCATTGACCTTTCCATAAGCTCTTGGAATTGTCACTCAGTAGTAGCATTTTAACACTAAAACCAGTAGTACTGGACACACAGACAACGAATGAAGTTTCACATCCCCAAAATTCAAACAAATATTTTTTTTCGATTTACTAAAATTCACTTTTTCCTCGGTATTTATTCCGAATGTCTTATATCACACCAACATGCGGCTCAAGTGTACGTAAGAGAAGCAAAAATTTTATTATGTTATTCATTTTTCAACTCCATAAGTCTTCTAACCTTAAAAGCACTTATTATTACTTTCAGTTTAGCTTACAGGCGTTTCTAGAACTAGTCCTAATTAAGTAAAGATTTTTTCTTTTATTTGCGATTCTGTGTTCAATTCTAAACATATGTTATCTACATAATTTAACATTTTTGAAATATTTGACCTTGAAAAAAAAAAAGCAGCAGCTTAACCAACTTTAACTAATTTTAAACACTTCTCTTCTCTTTTAACATTTTTGCCAAATATGGGTATCAAATTTTCGAAAAGTACAACAATATGCATTTTCAAAGTTAGTTCACCTGGTGGCACTCTCATTTTTCAAGGTCAAACGCTTTAAAAACGGTTGGTATAGGTATAGGAACGAGTATATTTATAAAGCATATGTATAGAATATTATACACAAAATATGTTTAGAATTTCACAAGGAATCTTAAAATGTAATAATATACAGCGTGTTCCATTGTTTCATAACCATTCATGGATATTAAAACATTTTCTTGAATTTTATTTCGAGTTATAGTTATCTGCAAAGAAAAGAAAAAAACCTTTAATGAAAACTAACACTAGCAACGATTGTAAACTGAAACCGGTCTATACAGAAAATTCTTGGTTGGTTAATATTCATATATATACGCCGAGTGCTTTTGAGGCTATAAAACTGGCAACAGAGTTGAAAAATGTCACATTAACATAATATAATTTCAGACAAAAATATGCAAATATTTTTTGAAAAACAAGTACACTTTGCACTTAACCTCAATAGCGTTTCTAAATTACATCTAGATAAACTTTTAACGAACGGGGTGGGTGAAACACCCAATATGTATTATTTATCATATAACAAATTTACATATGCGTTATTAAAGTTGAAAGCGCCGCCAAGTGTCTACTGTCAAATGAATATTATAATTGTTTATAATGTAGTACACAGAATAAGTTACCACCTTATCTGATACAGCAAAATTGTTCAAAAGAAAAAAAAATCGAAATTGGTAGCAGACTATTAAGCAACGCCATATTATGGAACTTCAAAACAATTTTTGGGCAATTTTTCTACTTTGTCGCATTAATGCAGCAAAAGAAATTAATAGATCAAGTAAAACTAACGGAGCTATTCGACATTGTCCTAATTTAAAACCTTGACAAACCCGCCGTTAACAAAAATATATATATTACATATTTTTCAAAATCAGAATTCAACTCGAACATTAGGAACCAAAAGTGCGGAAAATTGAGCTAGTTCACGAGTTGCATACCTTCCTCGAAATTCACTACCAGACTATCGACGGTAGGGACGTTTTTGTAAGCGCCACCTTGGCTGCGATCCTCGGCCAGTCCGGAATCTGGTTTTCCTAAAAATATTCGATGCCCGAGTGCGGGAAAGTTTTAGAAAATGAAAACTACTCACCGGCTTGTGCGTCCGGTGATGCGGCGTTTTGGTGCATGAAGGGGCAATGGGGCTTCAAACAACCACCCGGTTTAGTCTCCCAGTAACAGGGTATGGCTTTCCGATTTTTCTAAAAGCAAATATTTAACCAGTGAAAAAAAAAAGACGGATTTTTTTATTTTTTTGCAAAGCGCCCTTAAGACATGAAGGAGGAAGTGTAGCGGGGTGAGCTTACAGATAGGATATGAGGAAGAATATGGAAATTACATCTCTAAAACAAGACAAGAGCATCAGACATTACTATAAACCTAAAAAAACAAAATAGTAAACAGGAAAATTATTGCAAGATATCTTAGGTTCTTAAACCGGTAATAAAAGTATTGCCAATTGAAAACTGCTCTACAGTATGGAAATCAATATACTAGTAATCAATTGGTTCAAATTGATTAGCGTTACAACAAATCTGATCTGGTTTAATGAAGTTTATGGTGGAATTCTTAAAATGGACATGGAAAATAGCTTCAGTACAAATTCGCGTAACCTTTTAACCACATCAAGTCTTGAATCATCCTAAAAGAGCTTTGCTGGGTAGCTGAAGGGGACTTACTAACACACAACTTCTCAATAAAGTCATTAATATCTGCAAGAAAGAGGGAGAAACGGGAGGAAGAATACCCTCGGTGATCTCGCACATTTTGGTGACGCCATCTTTGGCATTAATTTTTATTTTTGCTTTACTTCATAAAAGCTTTTGGATATGGGGATTAACTGTAAGTATGAAAGAAAGAATTGAATCACACCGACAAGCAAATTTCCAGATTATAGAAGTCAGCAATGACCTTGAATGAATGGAAGAAAATCACTGGTCAAATCAGATTTGAAAGTTGGTTCAGCCAGAAAGAAGGAAAAGCGTGTGCAGGCCACCGCATAGTTGGAAGAAAGAAACGATGCAAAAAATTTCAAGAAACATCAAAACGCCTTTAAACTTTGCAACCTGCACACGAAGAATCCAGAAGATTTGTGAATGGTAAAAAAATAAATGGAGATATATGGAGATTATGACACAATAAATGTAGAACTCCTTTATATTGATCATAATTGTGAAATTAAATTAAAAAATGTTTTAAAATTCCATTTCTCTCCAATATTTAAGACACCCTGTGTAACGCTGACCAATAATATAAATTTAAATAGTTAAATCGTACTTTTGGCAATCTTTCCGCATCAAAAAGCAAATCCCTGATATTTTCCAAAAAACAATTAATTTGCACTTTTTGCAAAATTGACGAAGTTTAGCCATAGCACAACATACAAAATGTGTTTACAATTAAAAAAGAATTATGTAGAAATATGTAGGAGGTTGAATAAAAAAAAAAAAAAAATATATAATATATATATATATATATATATATATATATATATATATATATATATATATATATATATATATATATATATATATATATATATATATATATATATATATATATATATATATATATATATATATATATATACAAAAAGTGAACAGGATTTTGAAACAAGACTAAATTGAAACGAATTGTCGACACCACAACTAACTAAAATTTGGGACCGAGGATGGTTCGGCTGGTAAGGCATTAACCTGCCAACCCGAACTTGTCGGAGGTTGTAGGTGCGATTTCCACCGGAAGCCTGGGTGTTTGTGTTTGTCCTGACTTTAACGATTAAAAACTAATGTGGTGGCAAATTGTCTAAGAGCAGCGCAAAAAAACTAAAACTAACCAAAACTGTCCACACCACAAGGACAAATGTACAACCAAATTAAATTGATTCCACCAGGAAGAAAATTTTAAAAATGAATATTCATTGCTGTCTCCGTTTACCCAGTGGTGAAAAAGTGAACCACAAAATTTTTTGCATGAGATCAAGCTTAAAAGAACGGAAAAGCTCTTCCATATATGCCCCGTTTGTCCTGCATTTGCTACAGAAATGTAAGTACAATTGTATGTATTGTGTCTTTCAAAAATATTAAAGCAATCAATATCTCTAATACCTGAGGTATCTGAAGCTTTAATTAACACTTTTAGTGGTAATGTATAACATAATTCTTTTTTTGAGCTTCAAGATATTGTCAGGGTCCCATAACAATTGTTGTAAAATATGCAGATAACAAAGAGAATCTTTGATCTTTTCGACTCGAGATACATGTTCATGTCTCGCTCACCTGCGCACATTTCTAATTTAATTTTTCTTGTTTCTCCAATACCTCCAAAACTTCAATATGGGCTGCTGAACTTAATACCAAAAAAGTTATTGGTTTCGTTGTACTATCGAAAGCAGTTTAGGTTAGACCAGTAAGATTAAAAACACACACCATTATTGGCTATTTTTGTGCTAATATAAAAATATGGCTCACCCGCAATTCCATGTGCCTAAAATTGCAATGAACATTCAAGCACTTTCCCTCTTTCCAGAAGGAGCATACTGTCTCACACCCCAAAGCAGACGGCTCATGCCTAAAATTGCAACTATCGCCCTACAACATATGGTCGATTTAAAAAAAAAACAATAAAATATGCAGTGCGGGTATTACTACCTTGGAGCAAGTGGAGTAATAGTAAAAATAGCAGTCGTTGTTTTTCTTGGGAGATTCCAAATCGGTCATTTTTTGGAAGAAGTTATCGGTGCTGAAACAAAAATAATGCTTTTGCTCCATATGCAATATAAACAAAGTAACTTGCTTCAAAGAATAAGATATACGGAACATTTTTTTAATACCAGTAAGCGTGCTCTTCTGGCATTTTTGGGATTATTTCATGGAAATATACCACAATTAAAAAGACAACGGAAAACCTGCCGCGTCGTATTCGTAAACTACCAATACCTCGAATAATTTCGGAACAAATTTTATAAAACAAAAAACTTACTCGCTGGCAGAAAAAAAAGTTTTTTTCCGCTGCGTACGTGAATTTTTTCACACTAATTTGATAGTGGTCCCCACAAATGTCATTAACATGAACCTTCAAATTTGTACTATACACGGTTTTACGTGATTCTATACCATGGATAGCAGTAATAAGCTGAACGTCGAAACGTTTATTACCGGTATTGTACATACGTAATCGTGCCCCGTTGAGCGCAAATAATTCTAAAAAAAGGATGGATAGGGGATATTAAGCAACCAACGAACGCTTACAATTAGACGGGCACAATTTTTTGTATTAGTGTGTCAAAACCATAGCAATTTTGCTTCGGTTTGTGAGCGAGTGTCCATAGTACATTTGTCCAATAAAAGGCGGAATAGAAGTGCTCCTTTGTGTTTGTTGTTAACATCAGTTATTGTGAAACGCATTATTATACTTGTACTTGGTGTTGACATATGATACATGTCCAATGGAAAGGTTATTTAGTTAAATATTTTGTCTTTTGTCTATGTTTGTTAGAGTCGTAAAAGTTAGAACACTCCAATTATTCCATAATTACAATGTTAATTATTAGTCTATATCACGAGGGATATATGACGATATCAATTAAACATTAACCAAACTTTTAAAACGAAAAATGTTGAAGAAACTCTCTTCTATAAAGATTAAAGATAGTGAAAAATGGAGTGAGTGGAACATATGATTAAAAAATAGAACAATGTAGGAAGCTAATAACATGCCAGACTACTCGACTACCGAGAGGGTACATGAGGAACCAAAATTTATAATTGAAGTTGTGTAGTAGTAGTAGCCACATTACTCTCATTCTATAGTAGGCATGTTAGTGTGACTATAACTTGGAAACAATTTGAGGTGTGTGGGTTTTAAAATTTTTTTCAAAAAACAATCCTTGGCATTGATCTCAACTTTACAATTGCTAAGCTAACTAAATATAAATTTGTTTTCCAGCTTATTTATGGAAATTAATATGAAATATTTGCCTCAAACATGTCTCAATTATTTGGAAACATGGTGAGGGTTGTGATTTAAACCTAGGATGTGGTCCAGATTTCCTAATTACATTAGAGGAAGGGATGGATTGGTGTTAATAAAATGATATAAATAAAAAAATCGCAATTTATTGACATTGATATGAGACACAAGAAATACGATGAATTTAAAAACCAGAAATATTTACAAGGACGGATACGTTTGTTTGTCAGATTGAGACTTCGAAAATCTTTCATTAGCTAAATCTCTAAGCAGTTGGTTATTTTGCCGACCATATTCGGCCGCCTTTTCCTGGTAGAGGTTCAATTGTTCTCTATTGGTTTGTCTAAAACAAATAAGCTTTAAGTCTCCACAGGGCAATTTTTGATTGGTAATTCTACTTACAATTTTTCGCGTAGATCGTTTATGCCGCGTTTCAGTTTTTCGATTTCACCGTGGAGATCCTGATTGAGCAGCCTCTGATCGATAATTTCTTGTCTTGCTTCTGTCAATAATTTCTCTACCGAATGCAGATTATTACGCTCCTTTTCTAACGCGGCTGCCAGTTCTTCTTTGTCACTTCTGAGCGTGTCCACGTTCCTCGATATCTACGTCAATTGGTAGAATTTTATAAAAGCCACTTCGTGACGTTTTCTTTCGATAATCGATTAGCCAATTTTCTTTATGAACTATTATATTTAATGGTTATAGTTCTATGAATGAACTGAGCAATAGCACGAGCTTCCAGGTCAAAAATTTTATCGGCTCAGACAGTTTATTATAAATAAAGGCCGCTAATAATAATAATATCTGTTTTATTGTATTGTTAAGTCTTCTATAGCGAAAAAATCAACTAAACTCATTTAGTTTCAGAATATTAAAACCAAAACTAACATTGCATCGACTAACAAATTTAAAGTATTAAGTCTAGTCGAAGTGTTTTCATCAAAATAAATAAGAACTAAAAGTTCAGATTTTCACGAAATTATATATTTTTACATGACAATTGTTTCGACACCGTGTCTCTATCAAATGTAATATTTACAAATTACCTGCTACTATATATACCGAAAAATGACCATAAAACCTTAATTAATGTTGTGAGAATTTAAGTTCAATAGAGGAGAGTTATTTAAATCTAATTATTGATCGTTAAGCAATACATTTGAATGTCTCATTTTGTTGATCTCCATGGCTTCCAATAAATTTAATTTCTACTTTTTGTGGCTGTATGTAAAATATCAAAATTGTCGTCAAAAATGTGTTTTTCTGTGTTTAAGTGTGTAGCATAATTAGAATCTAGACTATTGTTTTTAAACGCTCTCTTATCTTTGTTAATGCGTTTCTTGAAGGATCTACCTGTTTGTCCAATAGAAATTTTAGGACAAGATCCGCATTTCAACCTGTAGACACCTGATTTTTGAGATTTTGGACATTTCGTTTTATTGTTTTTTTTTTAAATTATGCCATTTTTTATGTCCTGTATTGTTTGTTCTCACCGATGCTTGATAAATAATCTAATAATTTTTTTTTATTAATTAGATGATCATTTTCATTATCATCCAATTTTTTGCATAATATAAATATTTCATTTTTAAAATTTATCTGTAACACCTCTTAATGATATTGTCCATGAATGCAATGAATAACTTCACCGCCTTATCTTAAACTCACTTGAGTCGTGACATAGTTTACATTAACTTCATATAGCCTCCTCATTATTATTATCCTATCCACTCCGTGGAAATGTGATTTAAACTAATTACCTCATAAATTATTATTTATATGATCAAACCTAAAAAAAACACTTTGTTTGCTAATTTTTTCAGTTAACACCGAATTACGGTCTTCAAAATTTAAGGAATATTTTAATTTATATGACTCGAGCGCCATCTACCTTGAGATTGATGAAACATCAAGTGAATCATGCAGAAAGTACCTCAAGTACTGTTTATAAAAAAGGAGTTGATTAAATAGTGTAAAGAGTTAATATATTTTTAGAACTCAAATTTATTTTATATTAGTATCGTTTTTAACGTTTTGAAGTTCTTAAACTATTCCTGCCATCTCGCGACTAACGTTTTTATAGGGAAGTTTGACATTTTGAGGTTAGGTTTACTCAGTTAAGTTTTGACGAAAGAGTGTTGTTTGGGTTTTTTGTGATAAGTTAAAAACATTGTTACGGTTAAAAATGGAACTTAATCGGGAGCATTTTCGTGCAATAATCCTGATTTAGCATCTAATGACTTCCTTTTATTCCTAGACATTAAGAATAAATTACGTGGGCAACGATTTTTGACACCAGTAGAAGCGATTTATGCCTTTAAAAAGCATGTTTTGGAGGTGCCCGAATCGATGGGGAAAAGTGCTTTGATGATTGGTTTTATCCAATGCAAAAGCGTATTGATCATCAGGGTGAATATTTTGAGAAACAAAGTCATATTTGTTGGTCGCTTATAGTGTTTTATGACAAATCCCGAACTATAAAAGGTAGTCCTCGTAGTAAAAGCCTTTCAGGATTTTATTTTTACGGTAAAATAGACCCATAATATGCAAAAAAAAATTTCCAAAAGTGTGGTTTTAAAATCTTTGAAGTTTTTGTGTGACATTCATTTTTTTCAAAACTTAATTGTCACCCATATTTGGAATATATTAAACAAAGACATCACTTGTGATCTCGCCTATGTCAAGTACAATACTTCCCGTCAACGTTACCTGTATATGATAGTCTTCCTTACTGTACCGATCCTGCTTGAAATTGTCCTTCTCCTTGTCCAATTTCGTGCACAAGTCCCTCATCTGTTTAAGCTCGGTGATGCATTGTTCTTTTTCCGCGTCGCTTCGTCTCAGCTGCATTTCCAGACTGGCAATTTGACCGGTCATCTCTGTCATCTGGAACGAAAACGATGGTAATAGAAACCTATCAGAATCCATACGGACCAACAAACTTGTCTCTCGTAACAACGAATGGCGGACTCCTGATCTTCGATCTTCTTTTCGAGATCGGCGGTGTGATCGAGAGCCACCGACAACTGAATTTTCGACTGGGTCGCTTCATTTTCCAGGGTGTGGTTAGTGTTCTCCAACACGTTGGCCTCTTGGGAGAGACACTTGAACTGGTCCAACAGTTCGCCCCTTTCTATTTCCTGTGCAACAGATTTGCTGGTACTACTCGGGTACTTCAGTCGCGTTATGGAAAATAATGAAATTTGTGAATCTAGACAACGAGAACGCATCCTTATATCCTTGTCAGACAGATATGGTACACGGTGTTTCACCCTAAGTATATATTATATTAAATTCTAAATATTGGCTTGGTTTTGAGTATTTTTTGTCAATACATAGTTACATAGTTTTTGAGAAAAATGACCATTTCCAGGTTTTTGCGTAGGGTATTTTTTACACTTGAAAACTAAAATTTGAAATTTTTATGATTGCTTGAAGGTCGTGGTTAATATTTAACGCTTGACCTATCTATGGCGAAAATAAAACAAAAGAAGCTTTTATTTTAAATTGGAAAACACATTTTGTTGATATTCATTTGTGGACACCCTGTATAAGATATAGGTATAACGAAAACTCCCGATTTTAGTTTTCAAGTGTAAAAAAACACATTCACCCAAAGACCTGCTTTTTCGAAAAACAAAAATGGAAAAGCGAATAATTTGAATTTTTAAAAATATTCGTAGAATGCCATTTAAAATGATAAATAATGTATACATAAAAATATAAATGAAATATATACGTGACGTACTTATTGGGATAAGGTATAGGAGCACCTTAACCCTGTACAATATTATAAAGCGTCAGTTCGGTTGTATGTTATAGTGTCCTTATCAGTGAGGGGGTCTTTTTTTTAAATTATATAATGTTTCATTTTTTACCGAAGAGAATCTTCACCAGTGCAAAATGCTTTCATTTAGATATAGGTGAAGCCTCCAGCAGAAACTAAACCAACTTTAAAGCGCACAAAGAAATGAAAATATATCTGGTGGCCTAAGAAAAAAATAGTATATTATGCAACAAGTGCGGCAAACGACATTTGACTCACGAGTTTATTTGACACGAGCGGAGCGACTGTTTAATAAACGAGTGACTTAAAAAGTTTACCAAACGTATTGCATACTATACTTTTTCTACCACTGTTAGTTTTTGGGTACATGTTCGCAAAACAACAAGAATACGTTGACTGACATGACCGTCAGAACTGACAAACGTCAAAATTCAAATCGTGGGAAATATCTCCGAAAACATCCGATTGCTCCCAAACCCGTGCGGTAAAATCCCGGAAATGTCCGAAGTGGCTCGGATCCGTGGGACAAGAAACTGACGTGGTAAAGTGACGCTTCCCGCACGCTAGATCGGTGATTAATTAGGTATTTTTCAGACGGGAGTAGAAAAAAATTATCAATTATATTTATAAATTATTCACTTCTAATTCAGATTAGGAAACATGACTTATCTTATTTAAATTAAAGCCGAATGCTTAAAATTGCTTTCTACAATCAAACACTGTAATATTTAACTATGTAAGATTTATCAATTTTATGAAGTTACAAAGTAAATGTATCAATGATAATACCTATCAAATATTAAAAAAATTACATGATCGTTTTATTTAGGTCTCGATCCATACTATTTAATTTAATAATAATAAAATAAACAGTGAGTTTTTCTTATGTAAACAGGTCTGAAATGTCTCCTAGTGTATAACGAGTATGCTGCGTCGGCGCCCATTGTGTGGCTTTTCATTAGATCGGACCTATCTTATTAACAAATTATCCAAAATATCCAACGAATAGAGAGACGTGGCCGTTTTGCAGATGACGCAGTCATAGTCATTAGTGGAGAAAGGTGAAAACTGAATGATCCCACTATTACTGATGTCACTGTTCATAGCTTTGAGTGTTAAAATAGCCCCATTGCAATTCTAAACTTAAAATAAATAAAACTAATAAAATCAAATATCTTGGAGTTATTATAGAATCAAATTTAATTTAGACTAGGTTATGCTAAAAAAGGTACACTGTTCGTTAGTTAAATCACAATTTAATTACTGCCACTAAAATCATAATTGAACCTTTGATTGTCACTCAAAAATATGCCTCGAAGGTGATGCTGCGTAAAAACAAGTTTTATTCTATTTATTTAATGATGCCCGAGTATTACAAATTAATAAATTGTATATAAAATCAGCGGTAAGATTTGCCTAAAAAGATCAAAAATACTTCTACAAAACAACACGAAATATCAAGAGACACACACAAAACAATAACTGTATTATTTCAAATGCGAGACTATTTTGATGCTAAAAATATATTTTTTTTTCACTAACCAAAATTAATCAAAAATAGTTAACATGTTACCGTTGAATTTAAGAATAAACCGTTTCACAAAATCAAAAATAAACTCAAGCAGTGGCAAATAAATAATAAAAAACTTGGTTTTGTGCTTAGTACGAATTGTATAACCGCGATGGGTATACTCTCTGCATATTATTGTTAAATGTTACAATATTTAAAATAAAAAATGAGTAGAGATAGAAAGTCGAGAGTTTTTTCTGCATCCCCCGTATATCAGAAGCATATCGACTTTTTCTCCATTGATTGTGATATATTATAAATTGATTATTGTTTCCCATGATAATCCAAATCCATAACACGACAAAATCGATAATCAGATAAAAATGTACAAGCTGTCAAAATTTTCAATCATGCCGACTTGATCATGAATAGAAGCCAACTAAGTAATATTTTGTTTTTATACAAAAGTGTTCACTTATCTGGTTTTTTCCTTCCTGTGAAATTATTTTTTAACGGATTTTGAAACATTTGGTGTCAAAATGTTGCAAAAAAGTACGTGTTTTAAAAAGTTTTTGTTCCCACTAGGGTGCTATTTGAAAAAACTAGGTTATCCAAAAAAATAATAGTTTATTACATTAAATGCTATTTGCCATTAGAAAAGCAAAGAAGAGGGTCATTTAAATTTTTTCACATAATCAGGTGACCCGGTCAATAGTATTTATGATGGTCACAGCTTCCTAGACACAATTTTAAAAAATTAAAAAAAAACAATAACAAATGAGAAAAACCGTCCTATGCTACTCAGAATTATCTCCTGAAACCAAAAATACAAAAAAATATAGGTTCTCACATATTGTCAAAAAAACCCTTCCAAATTTCAAATCGCTATCTGTGTCTATTGTGTCACCTGGTATATTTTCAATTTGAGGATAATATTGCATATGACCTTTTTTGTTCTGTTGCTGATTTACGAAAATTACAGCACGTTCCATTTGAAAAGAGTACCATTTTCCCCATTTTTCCTTAAACTCTACGTTCAATTGTTTTTCTGTTTTCATCGTCGTTATCGGTGGAAAAATGCTATCGTTACTTATAACTAAGTTACCAATGACGAATACTTAATGTATATTCTAGTGTATTGTATTTTTTTGTAATCTGTTAGATTTTGTCATCTGCGAAAATTTACAAAAATATTTGAAGCACCACAGACAGACTATGAAGTGCATAGTGTACGATATTATTGTTGCTGTAATCAATGTCCTTGGAAATAATAATAATAATTATTATTAATATTTAGAAAAGTAGACTTAGCGGTTACCTTTTGCGAGATGAGATCCTCCGTCCTCTTCACTTCGGCGACATAATGCTGTAACTGCCTTTTCAAGTCGTCCACCTGTCGCCTCATTAGTTCTAATTCGTGACGAGCATCACGACAATCACACGCCACACTGGACAGCTCATTTTGTAGTCGCCTGCACAATAGCACATATAAGCCATATCCGAATCTCTATGGCAGAGTCTTAAAGTTTCATATCCGTTACTTGAGATTAAATGGCGAAAACTAGGCGTTCACTTCTCTTTCATTAAATATTACAACCGGTGTACCTCAAGGTTCGATTCTAGGCCCCCTCCTTCATGTCAGTCACACACACACTGATAACACGCAGCTTAGAGTAAGAGAGAGTAAAACACGGTTAAATAGCTCAGTTGGAAGTGAGATAATTAGAATTGAGTAATGGTATCTATATTAGATCCATTTTAAAATTTAATACAATATCGTTAGATAAAAATATTGAAAAAGCCTGGGTCAAATTTGGCACTAGGAGCGGTTTATGAACCCATATTTAGATTTTTTTAAATATTTCGATAACACATTAACCACGTTAATCACAGAATCTGAGGCAGCCTACTGCGTAGGAGATTTTAACATCAACCTTTTAAATGTCGACGGTTGCGATACAAAATACTTCAACGATGTGTTTGAAGTTTTGGGGCTGGTAGATGAGGTAAGTGACCATGAACATATTGTGACGTCAATATTGAAATTACAGCAAATTTAAAAGTTTTTAAAACAACAAGAAATTTTAAAAATATGAGCAGTTTAGCCGAGATCTTCGGTCTATTACTTGGAACAACATTTATCAATTGTTAGATGTAGATAGTAAAGTTACAATTATTAATGGTAACATTACCACCTTACTCAATATTCATGTTCCTCTTAAAACCTATCGAATCACTAAACCATATGCCCCATGGCTAACTGACACCATGATGTATGACAGGGAAAAATTCATGGCTAGATATAAAAAATACAAAAAAAAGACCGATTTAGGTCAGTACGAGCGGCTAAGAAATATAATAACAATAGTCATTCGTACAGAAAAGAAAGTTATTTTAATTTTCAAGTAAAACGCCAAAAAAACACATGGTCCGACCTATAAACATTGAATATTACCAAAACGCAAAATAGATCAATATTAAATAAATCAATATTTCATTAATTGTGTTCAAAAACTTGTAGTTGACGATAACTTAGTAAGCTTCTATAATAATGGCTTAAAGGAAATCTCAGAAATTGACGTTCTTAACATAATTTCAAGTGTCAAGACTACTTCCATTGGATTAGATAATATTAATATTTTAACAATCAAATTGTGTCCACCTTTTCTCCTGCCCTATATTACTCGTGTCGTGAATTTTTTTTAAAAACCTCTCTTTTCCCTGCAGAGTGGAAAAAAGCTAGGATATTACCGCTAGCAAAAATATCTAAGCCGCTGTCATATAATGACCTACGCCCAATTAGTATTCTTCCCACATTGTCCAAAATTCTTGAAAAATCACATTCCCCCTTCTACGCAATCCGGGTTTAGGAAAGGTCATAGCTGCTCCACAGCTCTGGCAACAATGATGATGATACTATCGGCTACAGATAAAATAACTTATATATAAACTAAAACTTATTATGTTAGATTATAGTAAGGCATTTGACACTCTTAATTATAGTATTTTGAATTTAATATTGAACTATGTAGGACTGACGCAGAATGCACGCGTTTTGATAGCAAATTATCTCGATGATAGATCACAGGTTGTGACTTACGCAGGAAAAACTTCTCTTTCATTAAATATTACAACCGGTGTACCTCAAGGTTCTATTCTAGGAACCGTCCTTTTTCCAATCTATGTGTCGGACTTCCCTTCTATTTTTCAGTCATGCACCCAACATTATTACGCATTATTACATTATTATTACATCATTATTACCTGTCGTTTAGTCCCGACGAAATTATTCAAGCTCTTGCTGCCCCTAATTATGATCTTGAAAATTTAAACGAATTCTCCAAAAAATCCCGCTTGCAACTCAAGCCAAATAAATGGGCTGTTATGATATTTAGCAGGGAGATTGAGATAACAGATTTTGAAAGTACGCACAAACTCGATATTTTAGTACAGGGTGAGCCAGTTAAATTCTATGAAACTTTTAAAAATCCAGGCCTGACCTTAGACCAGGATATGCGATTCACAAAGCATGTAAGTCGTTGCCTCCAGAAATGATATATGAACTTAAAACGGATATATCAATACAGAAATGTCCTAACCAGAGACGTAAAATCAATGATGTGTGACTCGCTGGTCCTTTCGCAGATTAATTATTGTGATATTGTTTATGCTCGGTGTCTAAAAAGCACAGATGTAGGACGAATACAGAAACTTCAAAATACGTGTTTGCGCTGAATTTATGGAATAAAAAAGCGCAATCCGGTCAGTCATACGTTGAATGGTTGGATAAATATGTAAAATAGAAGACATGGTCTGTTCGTAGGTATAAAAAAGTGACCAATTGCTTTTGAATGGGATTATCCAAGGGTGGTCATTAACAAACAGTGCAACAAAATTATTACCTAAAGTTTCGGAACTTAAATTCAGGTAAAATTGTGGTCCGTAAGAGAAAACACTTTTATACCTACCTGTGTAATATTCTTTGGTTTGGTATACTACTTACTTTAAATTTATTAGTAATTCTTATTTCGTGTGTTGAATCGTGTGCGAATTATGCAAAATATGTGCGAGTCTAATGTATCTCAGGAGATGCTTCCGCCCAAATGTAGAAAACACTATTCTATAGAGATTAAGGAAGTTATAAACAATGTTTATTAGACTCTCGTTGAACGTGGTGCCAGCAAGCAAGCACCTTTAGAAGAAACGCCCACCTTGACGTAAATTCCAACATCAAATGTATGGAAAATTGTGAATAATCCCATTTCAGCGAGGAAAAAAAGAAGCGATGCTGACATTTTCTCGAGTGTAGATGAAAGTGATCAAGATATAATACGGGGAAAAATTCACCAGTTATACGAGGAACAAAGCGTGCCTACATTAGATATCTTAATTAGGAGGCTTGAAAGATGAAACCGGTGTTAAATGTGGCACAACTACCTTATGGAAGTGTATTCAACACATGGGTTTTAGATTTAAAAAAATTGACAAAAGGCAAGTTTTAATGGAATCTTTTAGAATTCGGAAATGGCGACCGGAATATCTAGAAAAAAAGGATTTACAGAGAACAACAAAGGCCATTTATTTACTTGGATGAAACCTGGTTCGACACTTATGATACCCCGGAAAAGGGTTGGGTTGACTCAACTGATAAGTGCAAAACAAACGCGCCATCAAAAGAGGTAAAAGAATAGCTATTTTGCATGCTGGCTCTAAAGATGGTTGGATTTCAAATGGACTTTCTCTGTCTGCGAAAAATATTAAAGATTCTTCTCTGAATTACCATGAAGACACCACTGCTGATTTATTTGAAACTTGGTTTAAAAACAAACTAGTTTCAAACATTCCTCCTAATAGCGTAATTGCAATGGACAATGCAAGTTATCACAGTGGACAGTTGACTAAAACCCCTCCCTCATGTGACACAAAAGCAACAATCCAAAACTACATGTATAAAACGACATTTATTTTCACGAAGATTATACCAAAAAACAATTAACTGAGGTTCTACAAAGCTTGAACCTACAAAAGGAATGCGCCTGTGATAATTGTGCAAAAAATCTTGGGCATACAGTTTTAAGGCTTCCTTCCACCTTACCACTGTATATTTAATCCCATTGAACATGTTTGGCACCAACTGAAATCTGCCATTCGTCGTAACAATGTTTTTCCCCGTGTTAGCTCCAATGTCCTCAAACTTATAGAAACCGAAGTTTTTAACATCCCTCTACAAAATTGGGCAAATTCTGTTAAACATATAGAAAAAGCAGAACAATCGTATATCCATATTGCAAATAATATAGAACAAATAATAATTAGAACAGGCGATGATAGCGATAGTGATACTGATATATATCTAATTTAAGTAGGTAATAAAAATAATTTGTAATTTTATTTAGATTTAAACATAAATACATAAATAAATAAATAAATAAATATCGGTTAGTATCTTTAATAATTAAATTCTAAGCAACCTGTTCGGCCATATTTCATTCTTACAGCTTGCCCGGGTCTTTCCTAATTCGTATGTTAGTCACTTTCTTATATCTATGAACAGACTTTACCTACATAGAGCAACTTTCTACCCTTTTTATTTTGACTAGTAAAACACCTTTGGATTTGTATCGCAAGATTCGCTTCATGAATGATGTTCACAACTTAAATATTCGATTTAAGAGAACACTAGCACCCCTCTCCACAACACAGAATTATATTGACGGTCTTTCTCCTACCAGATCTCAAAAGTACCTAACAAATTGCACCTTGAAGTTAAAGAATCAGTTTCAAAACAAGCATTTAAGAAAAAAGTGTCCCAGAAACTATATTCAGAACAATTAAAATAGGGCTGTTTAATAACCACGTTAAGTCGTGTGATTTTTTTGTTGTTGTCAAATTTCTTATTTTCCTTATGTTTATATATTTATTGAATAATTGTCTACTGCCGCCAGATTATGTAACCATAAACTTTGTTGTTTGTATGTGTCACTTTATTATTATTTTAGTTACTATCTTTTGTCTTTCGTGTTATTATTTCTTTTTTTAATTTGTTAAAACTTATATGATAATTTGGCTGTTACGTTCATCTTCTTGATTAGGTTAGATGTAAGAACTGACTTCCAGTTATTTATTTAACTTGGTTGTACTGAATCTCGCTTTTTTTTTTATAAAGGCCTTTATTATTATTATTTAAAAGAAACCCTATAGGCACAAGAACACACAAGGTGTCCTGTAAGCGATAAAGCAATTCTCAATACCAATTTCAAATGTACAGCGTGTCCCGTTTTTGATGGTTTTTACAATGGAGTTACACAGAACTGCAAGTGGACAAAACACGTATAGGTGAAAACGGCAAACAGTTCGAGCGGTTCTCGGAAAATATACAGTGTGTCCAAGATAAGTTGCCGGTTTCGTATTTATTTTTTTCTGGTGTTATTCAACGAGATATAAAAAATAAACGTCACATTTTAGTTCCCACTTTTTGAGCTCCACAAGATAGCCTTGAGTGATTTTGAGTACGACTTTTCGTTTCGGCGAAAATCACCATCAACTTTATTTTTTCATATGGTCCGTGACAAAAACCACACCGCAGTTTGATTTTTGAAAATGACATCGTTAAACGCCATCTAGAGTCTATGTCAATAGCTCCAACTTTGGCAAAAGTTAGAGTCTTTTGGTCGTAATTGGAGTGTTTTAACAGCAAAAACCTATTTCCGAACTAGATAAAGGGCTCGATTTTCGAGAAACATGATGAGCTCTAGAAATTAACTGAGGACGAAGCAAAAAAATATAACGATAGTAGTGATGTCGGAGAAGAGCAAAAAGAACTTTCGATGACGTTTGTAAAAAAGGAGCAACTGAAATCATGGATCAATTTGTTGAAAACGATCTAAATTTTGACAGGAGTTTAAAACCAAAACGACATGCTTTATTAACATTTAACAACTTCTAACAGAATGCAAACTATATTTTAGATGCCTTCGTGATAAAAAGACTGAAAATTGGAAACACAAAATGGACCGAATGATCTAACCGAGCTACCCTGTAATTTTTTATATCTTCAATGTTTTTTGGCAAGTGTAACATGCAGTTATTTACAGATAGATGATATACGACAGCTTACTTGTTTTCCAGTAGCGCCGCCTCTCTAAGTTGCTTCTCCCTTTCGTAGTTTTGCTCCAGGATCGCTAATTCTTGCTGTTTGGAACGCACCACCTGACCTTGGGACGTAGTTTCGTCTGCGTATTTACTGTAATCGAGATTGTGTTTTTGGGTGTGCTGACGAAACTCTTTTCGCGGCTGATTTTGAATTAATGAAATGTAATGGAATTTCAGTTAATGTACGAAAACTAACTCATTTTTAGGAACGAGTAATTTATGTTTGGAAAATTATTAATAAGGTAAGGTAAGGCCTTTTATATTTCGAGATTTTCTTCAACTATTCCTGCCATCTGGGGACTAACGTTTTTATAGGGAAGTTTGACACTTTGAGGTTCGGATTTGGCGAAAGAGTGTTTTTTGTCTTTTGTGATAAATTTAAAAAATTGTGACGGTTAAAAATGGAATTTAATGGGGAGCATTTTCGTGCCATAATTTTTTACAACTTTAGAAGTAGACTAACCCAACAACAATACATCGATGAACTTAATTCGACTTTTGGAGTTAAAGCATCATCTAGGACTACTGTTTATAGCTGGTTTTCGGGCTTCAGTCGTGTTCGTAGTTTTCTTAAGGATGAATTTCATGAAGATCGTCCAAGAAAATATTGATGCAGTGCGGAAACTGATTTTGCAGGATCGTCATGTGACTTATCAAGTAGCAACTGTGTCTTTGGTGAAAAGTAAAACAGTCAATTCTGAATGGTAAACAACCATTATGTTTTGCGAAAGTCTTCGAAGAAATTAGAAAAAGCAACCGTCGAAAACGAATAACTCTCTACGACGACAATGCAAGCAGACAAAGAACTTTTTGTACATTAAACACGTTGATATTTGATAAGCCATCCAGCATATAGTCCTGATTTAGCACTTCTTTTGATTCCCATACATTAAGAATACATTACGTGGGCAACGATTTTTGGCACCAGAAGAAGCGATTGATGCGTTTAAAAACATGTTTTGCAGGTGACCGAATCGATGTGGGAAAAGTGATTTGATGATTGGTTTTATCCAACGCAAAAGCGTATTGATCATCAGGATGAATATATTCCATTTCAGCCAGTGAAAGATCAGCTATGAATGTTAGTAAAACAACCCCCGCCAGAAAAATTGCATAGGTAGTTCATAGGTATTTTTCTTTAAATATAAAATTATTTCAAAATCTAATCTTTTAAGAATGCACAAGTGCTGCTGAGTCAGGATGCCATAATCTCATTATAACAAAATAAAAAGTACCCAAGTACATGGCATTTTTCGCGAATAACCGTTTTATGTACCGTGTTTCTAGTGGGCTCTACCATTTATAACACGATGACTAACATCCACGTTGTCAAAACCCCTAAAAAATAGAATTGTACAAGTTTTCAGCATAGTATATCCGAACGTGTCTACTATAAAGATAAAGATAGCTTTATTTCCATAAGACTTGAGTTACAGGTGTCAGTACAATAAGAATATAAAAATATAAAAGTATCTTAGTACAGTTAATAAATTAATAATAATAATTAATAATGTTAGATATACAACAAACATATAAATAATAAGAAGCAACGAATAAGTATTAAAAGGGATCGCAAGAAAGAATATCCTTAATATTGTAATAGGCGAGGAGTAGCAAATTTACTTTTAAGGGTGTATTCGAATTTTGTTGACAGTTCGATAGGTAATTTATTATAAATTTTTAAGGTCAAAACAAAAGGACCATTTGAGACAGTCGGTGTGTAGGTTTTGTATGTTAAGATTCGGTATTAAATTGTACTGAAATCCGTATAAGTTTGGAGCTTTTTACATAAGTGGCACAATTTAGTATCTACACCGTGTGCCAAATAAAATAATCCACTATACGAACCAGAAACCCATAGTAGATACGAAAAAACTTTCGTACAAAACAAAAGTACCCCCCGCCGACATCATCTTTGTTCTTTTAAACGGAACATCCTACATATCTCGACATTTGCTAAATCCTTGGTTAAAATAAAGCTCATTTTCTTAAGAAATTCCTATTCGAATTTTGCATAGTTTAAACAGAAATTGAGGTTATGTGTTTTTTTTTTTTCATATTTTGATTACCCCATACAAAATTGTGTTGTGACGCTACTGACACAGGTATTGCAACGAAAATTTAACCACAGATTAACTACTTAATCAGTTTGACGGATGCGCCTTAACTTATACAGGGTGTCCCAAATAGGCGGTGCCGTTTTGACGATTTCAAGTAACAAAATTTCAAGATTTCCAATAATCCCTATATTTTTATTCAAATATCGATTCTAGGACAGAAAAAGGTCAGTTTGTAATTTATCTTATATTTAAATTTTCCTTAGTTTTTGAGATATTCGAGGTTTAAGATAACCCTCGTATAAATTCTATTGCTAACAATTCATATTTAATAAAACTTCGGAATTTATATTTAAAGAAATATTAATTACTTAATTTTCTACCTCGATTGAAAATATCTAATAACAAAAATAAATAAATAAAGTTTATAGACTAGCTAACCAAGGTAACAAAATTGAATAAATAAATCTATAAAAAAAATTCACTAAAAAGGGTTCGTTAGTTAATTCTCTAAAAGAACAATTTTCAGATTTCAGATTTTTGTACATAACTAAAACACCAAAGTTATAGCGCCGGATCTCGCACATGTTACGGATGTAAAATTTTTCCGATCGGATGAATGACTTTGGAGGAAAAGATGTTTTTCTGGATGCCAAAATAACCAGAAAAAAAATCAAAAATAAAAAAAAAACTTCGCGTTATTTTATTGCTCCCAATTTAAAGAGTCTAAATGCGGGTACTTCTCTCCCGAGTCTGAAGTCGGTAGCTGCAAATTTGGAGTACTTATTATGTTTTTAATATTACATGGAATATCGCGAACACCCTGTACAATACTTAAAAACCGTAAATACAAAAGTTTAAGCTGTCTTTATGGGCTATATCGTCATGTAAAAGAAAATGACAATTTTCAATTAAAAAAAAATCAGTTTTTTTGAATTTGCGCACCCTGTATATTCTTGAAAAATTGTCACGAATAAAAGTTTATAGAGCCGTATCTTCTGCTTCTTCTGGTTCAAGAATTTTTTTGCTCTCGTATATATGTACCAAATATGAAGTCGATCCCATAGGACCTACCGTTACCGAGATATAAAATTTTTATACGAGCGCAGATACTTTCGAAAATTCGATTTCATCGATTTTCGAAAGTAACAAGATTGCTTTCGAAAAATCGTCGCTGGGCGGGGCAAGTTAGTAACGTCTAGCTTTTATTATAAAAGGACGGAACTTCGCGGTTTCGTGTGGTAAAGGGACGTAATGTTTTTCAATCATGCTCTTGTACAAAGTGTCTCGTCGAACTTCAAAGTTAAATAATAGCGTTGTCGAATGATATTTTTTCAAATATCTCGCGCCCTGTATAATTGACGAAACCTGAAACTCTCTCTCGACACAGTTTACGATACTTTTCAAATAAAATTATGCCATCTTTAACGCTTTTTTTTAGAATCTTTTAGATTTTTTGCCCATAAACGACACACCCTGTACTTGATTTAAACAATGTTCGAAGTAGAGGTTATAGCCCTGGATTTTCCACGTTTCCTGGTCCAAGAATTTTTTGAAAATGGTAAATGGTTTTCGAGAAAATATTTTTTTTTCTGAAACCATGCAATGTCTTGACAGCCCCCGAAATAGTTATTTCAATATGGATTTTTTCAAATATCCCGAGCAGCTTATGTGATAGACGAAAAGCGCAAATACAAAAATTGTAGTTCTTGATGAGGCCTATGACGCTGTTTCAACCAATTAGCCACATTTTTTTATGATTTTTCGTTTGCGGCTAATAATTTACTATGTAAAAGAACAATTTTCTAGGGGATTTTAGATTTTTGCCTATAATTTGAAAACCCTGTATATAATCGAAAAAATTCCTAAAAAAAAGGTTATTGCAATGGATCTTCCGCGTTTGCTGGCCAAAGAAAGAAAGAAAAAAAGAAGAAAAGAAAAAAAAATTCAATAAAAAAAATACTTGAAAAAATTTGATTGCACTCAATTTCTACCGCTTAAATGTGGACACGGACTTTTACTTCTCTGGTAAATTTGAAGTTGATATCTGCAAATTTAGGACACTTAACACATTTCTCATTTAGCACGGAATATCGGGAACACTCTGTACAATAGTTGAAAACCTTAAATACAAAAGTTTTTGCTGTCCATACCGGCTATATCGCAATATAAAAGAATATAAAAATAAGGAGACCCATTTACATCCTGTATATTTTTGAAAAATTGTCAAGAATAAAAGTTTATGGAGCCGTATCTTCTACGTCTTCTGGTTCAAGAATTTTTTTGGTCTCGTAAACGGATTTTGACAAATGATGTTTTTTGTCGACCCCTGCACACGCGATTTTTAATTTTTTTAGAATACTTCACGACCCCCCCCCCCCCCTTTTCAATAGGTTCCTTCACGGGGCAAAGCCAAACATGAAGTCGATTGCTTAAAATTTCAGACACTTATCGTGTTTCATAGCAATATCCAAAAACAGTCGAAAATCGCCAAAAAAAGATGGATACCGGCGTCGCCATTTCTTATTCATTATTATTTCTTAGCTTATGTGCCTCGTGGAGAGTTAAAATCAAAGACGAGGAGAACGGAGAACGGACAAGCAGACGGGAACATTCCTGTACCAACGGCGATCCCATAGGACCTACCGTTACCGAGATATAATTTTTTTACACGAGCGTAGATACTTTCGAAAAATTCGATTTCATCGATTTTCGAAAGTAACAAGTGACAGAAACCTAAAGAATGAAGTAAAAGCCAAAGCCGGCATTAATATCAGGACGATAAGTAAAGTTAGAATATATAAAACTTGCGTAAGACCGGTCATTAACGGCTCTTAAGAAGAACGGACCAATAACAGGACATACGTTATTCGATCGGAAGAGAAATGAAAGAGGCCATGTTGACAGAATGCCAAATGAACGATTAGCAAAAATTGCAAAAGGAAGGGAAGCCAGACACAACCCGACCTTCTTGACGACCACCTATAAAGATCAGCATCTCAAACACTCCTGGCAAACCCCTGATAAAAACACAGGACCTAGTCCTAACGTAAGAAGAAGAAGAGAAGAAGAAACTTGAAAAAAAAATTCGATAGCGTCATTGTTTTTAAAGGTAGATCACTCAAATCTGTTACTAGCGTTATTAAAAGATGACGCAAAAGACATATGCAACGGAATTTGAATTGGATGCTACAGAGTGTTCAGAATAAAATTGAAAAATGTCGATTTTCTTAAATGACACAGCATATATATTATTAGTTTTTCTGAAAGACCTTACAAAAACATACAACTTTTGAATTTAAAATGATCCAAATATATATGTTTATTTTGCACACCCTGTAGTATTCAATTCTTTAATATACTGACACCACAATAAATTTTAAGAATTTATTTACTCAGTTGTCACGTAAAAATGTACCGTTGTGGCAATAGTCCTAGACATTGAGAAGGGTAAATATTGGAAAAGTTAAAATAAATCGCAAAATATTAAATAAATATATGACACACTTAACAAAAGTTGTAGGTTTTTGTAAGATTTTTCAGAAAAAATAATAATATATAGGGTGTGCCATTTAGGCAAATCAAGATTTTCAATGCCACAACGAACTATGTAAGAAGCGTCTGCCGTGCCAAAAGGGTTGAGAAATTTTGGAAAATCCATCGAGAAAGGCGAGTCCCGACTCGCTTACTCCGACGACCTTGACAGGTACTTTTTGTTCCGCCACACCATTTGCGGCTGAATAAGCAGTTTAGTACCGGCCCGAACCTGGGTGATACGAAGTGAAATATGGTGATAAACTAAGACCACAGAACGCAATGACGTCGACATTAAAGGTACGACACTGCAATTTTATTAACCGAAAACAATTAAAAAGTATGCCCTTTTACATGTATTTTTATCTAAAATTGTACATTTAATTCTAATATTTTTATTGCAAAAAAGCAAATGGCTAACTTTATACTTACCACTGTTACAAGAAATACTTAAAATAACAAAATAAGAATCGAGAATAAAAGAAACCAAATACAATACAAAAAAGAAAAACAAACAAAACATTTAAAAAAAATTCATATGAACATATGTCCTAAACGTCATAACTTTTAAGATACAGGGTGGTAAGGTTTTCAAAAATAAACTATATTTGATGAAATTTTACACGTATGTACCCCAATTTTTTTAAAGTACACCAGTGGCGATCGAACAGAATTTCACATGTCTATTTTGGCAGACATTTTATGGTACGCCACCGATTTCTCTTAAAATAAAAATTACACAATTACAATCTCCAATCATTTCTAATGAAATTAAAAATAAAAACCTCTTCTCTGCATGCAGAGAGAAAACCGTACATCACACACGTGAAATTCCGTACACGCGCCACTGGTGTATTTTTTCAAAATTGTGGTACACTACTGTGGTGCTCTTGATACATGTGGACAAAATTTCATTAGAATATCTAAAGTTATACTACAGATATTAAAAGAATATGTTTTATTTCTGAAAAAATTGCCACCCTGTATCTCAAAAGTTAAGACGTTTAGGATGTATGTTCATGCGAAGTTTTCTTTTTAAAATAGACCCAAAAGACGCCTCCTTAATTATTAAAATTTATTTATATTTAAACTAGTAAAACAATTTAACTTAAAATATCTGCAAGCCAAACATCGTTATTTCAAACAATTGGGCAAAGTGTGATTAATACCAAAACACTAAGATAAAAAAAGTTTCTGGTTCGAAAAATATTAATAACTCCCTTTTTTTTCGATAATTTTAAATTCGTCGCAAATTATTTAAAATCAAATCAATTTAGCAAATGTTTGTTCTAATTCCACCTTATTTTTAAAATAATTAGCATTTTGAATTGTTTTGTTTTTTTTTTAAAGATTTTTGATAGAAAGCTGTAGTGTGTATAAATTATTATTAATACACAAACATAAAATCCAATAAAAACAATAGAGAAATATAGAGATGAGTAAACATTAGGACAGTCTGATGACATTGATTGTTATTGTCAAATATTAATTGTTTGATTATTAACAAATTTTATTTCAAACGCTTCCTCTTCCAAAAACATTCACATTATTTGAGAAAGCGGAATTTGTTTTAATATTAGATTAGCTTTGGGGGTAAAGTTCGCATCTGAATATTCTTAATAATTTTCTGTCACTTCATTACCAAAACCTAAGTAAATTAGATACGATCTTAAAAAAATCTGTTCGTTTTAGTGTAAGTAATAAGTCGGTTCAAATTTATTTCCAAAAAACTTTCTAGTCTAAGGATAGCGTTAACAGGAAAAAAAGGACTTTTCTTACAATTTTTTTTTTAAATACCATGTACAAATTGTTATTTTAAACATTTAAAATCCAAAAGCAAACAATACTTTTGTCCGTCTTAGTGATTTATAAAAAAGCACCAAAAAAGCAAAATCATATTTGATTTTTATCAAATCGTTTTTTCTCTGAATGTATGAAAGGCAAAATTTAATTTCATAAAACTAAAAATTTATCTTTTTTTTTACTTATTGGGATATTTTCTCATAATTTGACAAATTTTCGGAGATTTGTTCGTAAAAATATGTACAAAAAAGTTTACGTATAGTTAATAAAATTAAAAGGAAAAATTAATCGAAGTTTGGAATATACAGGGTGTTCCATTTGATGTTTTCACGAAAATTAATATTTTTCATTTTGATTCACCAAGCATAAACGAGTCCAAGTAAATTCAGGACAAGTACAGGATAAATGACTGTAGCACTTTATAAAATTTTTGGCATAGTAAAATTACAGCCGTCGGAAACGGCTTCACAAATATAGGGTACTAAGCACAGGACATTTTTGACGAAAAAATGGGAATAAATAAGAAAACACTCAGTATAGCCCATAACTAATGCAATAATCATAATAACAGAGTGTTCCATTTAAACAAACGTAAGTTTGGTTCCCTAAATATTTATGAAAATAATTTTAGATTGTTTCTTTGGATTCAGCATTGTTTTAAAACGAATAAAAACATATTATATTGATTGACACCCTGTATAAGTCTATATTGTAAACAAAATTCCTGACAGAGCGTGGCTTTTGCATACCTGGTGGAAATTAGATCCACTCAAGCGTACTAAATTGGGCACAAATACTGTTATTTAGCAAGAATTGTTAAAAATATCCACAACTATTTTTGTCAACTCAAAATCGTTGTGATATGCATTGTACTTGTAGATGTTCTTAATAATTTCGCACCTAACCATATAATTCCGAGGCGAATAAGCGTGTGGCAGTTCATCTGCATTTGTGTTAACGTTTCTAAATGTTAGTTTAAGTTGTAAAATCTTAAAAAAATAACTTTGGTTTAACTACTTAAAACTCGATCAACTCAACAATAACAATTTTACTTTTTTTAATGAGCAATATAAATATCGTTTTTATAAAGTTTTCAGGTTTACGTTGATTTATGTTTACGACTTCTCTAAATATACGGAGGAGTATAAAGTTTGCAAATAATATGAGATAAGTGTCTAGTTCAAGTGGCAACGCTGCAAGTTTTTAAAAAAATGCGATTTATTAAAAACCGACCATTCAAATTTACGAAAAAAAAATAGTGAAAGTCCAAAATTAAACGTATATTAAAATAAGTTTTGTAACACTTCCAGGTCATCATTAATAATCTATTATTGGTTTTTGGTTAAAATGCGGTGGCGGCTAAAGACTGATTCGCACTTGGCCCCCCAGCAGGCAAAAGTAGGTCAGCCATTACGTAAAGTGCTCGCGTAATTCGAATGACCGACCGATCGTCGAAATGAATGGCATTTTAATTCGGTTTACTACAGACTTGAAAGTTACATCACAGTTGCATATTAGACGTAATTTTTTGGGCGGACCTTCCAAGTCGTGAGTTATACATTGTAATTGTTCTCAAAATTCGGCGGGTTTCATAAACCGCGATGTTAAAAGTATATTATGCAACAAGTGCGGTAAACGGCATTTGACTCACTAGTTTATTTGACACGAGCGGAGCGCAGCGGAGCGAATTTTTAATAAACGAGTGAGTTAAAAAGTTTACCGAACGTGTTGCATACTATGCTTTTTCTACGACCGTTAGTTTTTGGGTACATTTTCGCAAAAGAACACGAATACATTCACTGATATGACCGTCAGAATTAACAAACGTCAAAATTCAAAATATCTCCGAAAACATCCGATTGCTCCCAAATCATGGGAAACGAAACTGACGTGGTAAAGTGACGCTTCCCGCACGCTAGATCGATGGGTAACTAGGTATTTTACCGATGGGAGTAGAAAAAATATTTTTAACGCAGCTATGTATTTTTTTTTTCAAAGAAACTTCCACATATATATATATATATATATATATATATATATATATATATATATATATACACAAAACGGTAGTCGTGACCGGCTAGTTGAACAACAAATTTTAGTTAATTGGGGTATCGGTCCTGATGAGGGCTCAAATAAAAGGCTTTTGTGCTACACCAAGCTTTCGAAAATGTTTATTTTCTTCTTCAGGGGCTACAATATGAAAGCGGCTCTTAGTTATTTAATACTAAAGTCTTATAGTTAAAGTACTTACTGCTACAGTGCCATTATAGGCCAACACCAAACTCATCCGGATAACAGAAAGAATCAAATACGACCGTTAATTATTATAACCGAGGGCAGCCATCTAGACGAAATTGTTATTACATTTTATTTAAACGAATTTTACTTCAAACGCAAAACGCAAATGATGGAAAGGTTTTATTAGTGGTGGTCATACTAATAAAACCTTTCCATCATTTGCGTTTTGCGTTTGAAGTAAAATTCGTTTAAATAAAATGTAATAACAATTTCGTCTAGATGGCTGCCCTCGGTTATAATAATTAACGGTCGTATTTGATTCTTTCTGTTATCCGGATGAGTTTGGTGTTGGCCTATAATGGCACTGTAGCAGTAAGTACTTTAACTATAAGACTTTAGTATTAAATAACTAAGAGCCGCTTTCATATTGTAGCCCCTGAAGAAGAAAATAAACATTTTCGAAAGCTTGGTGTAGCACAAAAGCCTTTTATTTGAGCCCTCATCAGGACCGATACCCCAATTAACTAAAATTTGTTATATATATATATATATATATATATATATATATATATATATATATATATATATATATATATATATATATATATATATGTTGTTTTATTTCAGAATGTTCAGAATTTCAGAAGTTCAGTAAGTTACATTACAACATTCTGAAATAAAACAACAATGAAAGATACAACATAGGAATATATTAATATAAAATTATAATATATAAAAATAATTTAAAATAAATAAAAGAAAAAATTATAAATTAACAAAAACACTCTGTATATCCTCTGAACCTTGCACCAAAACAATCGTGCATCGTACGATGTTTTTACAGTAACGTCGACGCGAGCAAACCTCGCGTATCGGTATTATTGTTATTATTATTTTTTTAATCTTCTCTTATATATATTTTAACTGTTTCGTTAAAGTTGTGTGTATTATGTGTGTGAGTGCCGTATACAAATCATTTTTTGTTGGACTTTTATCTTTTATCAAGGGTATGACTTTTTTATTCTCATAGTTGAAAAAAACCAAAACAATAATATTTCTAGGCACTATGACAAAACCAAACGCTTTTAAAGTATAAACTTCCATATGACGCTACCTCTTCAATTTTAAGATTTGTGTTTGTCTCTTTTTGGTAAGGTTCTTTGTAATTCCGTTGTGTATATGTAAAAAAAAAGAACTGTACTATAACATAATTTTAGACTGTACCCCTTTCTGAAGAAGGTCATAGAAGACCGAAACGTCAATATATGGACAAAAAATTTTAATCGCTTTTAATACAAAGACCTATAACCCAAGAACCAAAAGCTAAACATATATATATATATATATATATATATATATATATATATATATATATATATATATATATATATATATATATATATATATATATATATATATATATATATATATATATATATATATATATATATAATAGCTCCTACTTTTCAAATTATTTCGGATAATCGGGACTGTACTATGTTTGTTTCAGCTATGGATATTACTTAAGGCGGTTTGGTTCGCACGGATGGTGTCGGAGGCGGCAGTCATGCCACCGCCCTGGGCCAACCCCAAACTAAACCCGTGCGCATCTGAACCTCACGGATGGCAGTTGCTATTCTGGCTCCCGGATGGAAAGTGCTACAAAATTTTCAAGGTAATTCACCCACCCACATCAACATCAACGCCGCCTATTATTTTAGTTTAGCTTAAGTGATTGGTTAGTGATACGAGTTATTTCGGAAACTAGGAGTAAACCTATTCGAAGGTGGAATTTAGACGTAAATGTGGACTCAGTACCTTAGAATGCGGCTTTGACTTGAATTTATTCACAGTTGCTGCGAGACGAGAGAAAAAAAGAATTCTACGAGAGACACTTGAACAATTTCCGACCTAACAATCATACCAAACATTGTTTCTCGAAAATCCAGCGTTTTTCTAGGCAAAATAGTTGTTCGCGTAGGTCTAAAATGGTTGAAACTTTGGCGAGTAAATATCAAGAGGTGCACAACAACCACCACTAGCTTTTAGTGAGATCGGAAACTTTTCAAGCGACCCTTGTATAGTTAAAAATTTACCGCAAAGAAGAAACTAAAAGAATTACGGAAAACAAGGGGCGCAATTGAGATGCCTGGGGTACCCCGAAGATATTTAAAAAAACTAAAGATATATGATTACCTATCAAAATAAATTAAAAGCTGTGGGTGTGTTTATACAAATGGGCAGATAATAAACATGTATATTGAAGTAAGAATAATATAAAAACAGATAAAAAAGATAAAAAACAATATATAAGGTGGCACTTTTTGATTTATTCTGCAAAAGTAAATCAAATTGTTGTTATTGATCGTCACTTCAAAACACCCGATAGGACAGTTGAGGTGGGTAATTTTACATACCCTCTGTTTCTCGTCATCTTTTAGAAATGATAGGTTACGGGTTATTACTATTAAATAATATTTGCGCAAACTTCTTCGATTTTAGCAAAAATAGGTATCAATGTTTTTTTTTATTCCTCTTTACTATTAGCTAAATTTACACATACTGTTACATTTAAAAAACGTATTCTAGAGTTTAATGTCAAAAGCGTTTACCTCTATACATCTATCTACTGCCTTTTATATTTCGGGATTTTCTTAAACTAGTCCTGCCATCTAGCGACTTATAGGGAAGTTTGACATTTTGAGGTTAGGTTAAAAATGGAACTTAATCGGTAGCATTTTCGCGCAATAAATTTTTACAACTTTAGGTGTGGACTAGCTCGACTAATTCGACATTTGGATTTAAAGCACCATGTTCGTAGTTTTCTTATGCAGTGCGGAAACTGATTTTGCAGGATTGTTATATGACTTACCATGAGATTGGTCATTAGTGGGAGCAGCATACCTACAATTTTGCATGAACATTTGGCCGCTAAAAAAATTGTTCGCGTTGGATTCCACACAATTTGACGTCAGCTCAAAAAAAGGCTATGATATTGTGACAGCTGATGAATCATGGATCTATGCATATGAACCTGAAAGTAAGCAGCAGTCGACTGTGTGGGTATTTCAGAATGAGACAAAGCCCACAAAAATTGTTTGTGCGCGAAGCACCTCGAAACAAATGGTAGCCTGTTTTTTTCAAGAAAACTATCCACGTTGCAACTGTTTCTTTGGTGAAAGGTAAAACAGTCAATTCTGAATGGTTCGGAGAAATTAGAAAAACCAACCGTCGAAGACGAATCACTTTCCACGACGACAATGCTAGCAAACAAAGAACTGTTTTGTGCATTAAAACCGTTGAGTTGATGAGCCATCCGCCATATAGTCCGGATTTAGCACCTAACAACTTCTTTTTATTCCCAGACATTAAGAATAAATTACGTGGGCAACGATTTTTGACACCAGAAGAAGCAATTGATGCGTTTAAAAGGCATGTTTTGGAGGTGCCCGAATCGATGTGGGAAAAGTGCTTTTATCTAATGCAAAAGTGTATTGACCATCAGGGTGAATATTTTGAGAAGCAAAGTCATATTTGTTGGTAGCTCTTTTATTCATCATCATCACACTGCCTATCCACTTAATGGATGTTGGCGACCACACGCTGAAATTGGTCTCTATCTCTTGCCGCGTTGACAAGTTCCCCAATTGTTTTTAGACCTGTCCATTGTCTAATGTTCCTTGCCCATGACATCTGTTTCCTTCCTATTCCTCTCTTGCCATCTATTTTACCCTCTAATATGAGTTGAAACAGCTGATACCTATCATGTCTAAAAATGTGTCCGAGGTAGGCCGTTTTCCTGCGTTTTACGGCTGTAAGTAGTTCTCTGTTCTTATGAACTCTTCTTAGTACTTCGTCGTTAGTTACTCTGTCCGTCCACGGGACTCTCAGAAGACGTCGGTAGGTCCACATTTCGAAGGCTTCCACTCTGTTGTTCATTTTTGCATTCACAGTCCATGCCTCCACTCCGTACAAAAGTACCGACCAAACATAGCATTTTGCATATCGGACTCGAAGAGACAGGTGCAGGTCTCCATTTCTAAGGATTTTTTCATATCTCATGAATGCCGCACGTGCCATCTCTGTTCTGCACCTAATCTCTTTTTCCGAGTTCCATCCTGCATGCAGCCAACATCCTCAGTATTTGAACTGTGTTACTCGTTCTATATTTCGGTTTTCTATCTGAATTGTGGCATCTGTATACATTGGTTTTTTCCTACTGATTATCATAAATTTGGTTTTGTCGGCGTTAATGTTTATCCCGTATTCGTTGCTGCTGCCACATAACCTAGTACACATTCTCTGTAGTTCCTCAACATCATTGGCAATGAGGACAGTGTCATCCGCATATCGGATATTCGAAATTGGTATTCCGTTCACTTTCACTCCCAACTCTTGTTCTTCAAAAGCTTCGTTGAATATCGCTTCGGAGTATAAATTAAAAAGCAATGGAGACAGGACGCATCCCTGTCTAACTCCTCTCCGGATATCAATATCTTCAGTAATAATGTTTTGTATGGTAATATTAGCTGTTTGACCCCAGTACAATCTCTCGATACACCTTATGTCCTTGTCGTCGACGTCGGTTTTTCTCAAAATCTGCATGAGTTTTGAATGCTGTACACGATCGAAAGCTTTTTCATAGTCGACGAAACATAGAAATATGTCCTTATTAACATCTAGACAGTTTTGTATTAAGACTTGGAGTTCGAAAAGCGCCTCTTTTATTACAAATCCCGAAATATAAAAGGTAGCCCCCGTATGTGTGCATCCATATAGATCTTAGCCTCAACTTCGGTGAGATTTATAAATAAATAAATATAACTTTTACCCAGCACTTTATTTTAGCAGATAAATTAAAATGAAATTTTTGTAAAAATTCCACATTTTTTATTCGCAACCCCTGGCGGCCATTCTGGGAACTTGAATTCTTTGGTAATATTCAAGTCAATAATTCTCAAGATATGGCCGACGGTTGGTAGTTATTTTCTTGAATTTCCACTTTTGCACGGAAGCATTTAATTCGAAAAGCAATTAGCAATTTTACGTATCGCCTTTCATACTCAGTCGGTTATGTAATTTTATATGAAAATATATGCGGTATTCGTACTTAGAATAAATCGCTGAATGCAAATGGGAAGTTTTTACTCAATTCAAGGTCAAGCGTGAAAGTACCAATAACATTACATAATTGTTACGGCACACATTATATACAGGATGACCTAAGAATTGTTATACAGTGTGCCCAAGAAAAGGATCCTAAGTATGGGTGGGAAACTCGGGACCTATAATAAAATTAAGAAAAATTTGCGTCCTTTGTAGATTATTAACACATTTTGTCTATTCTATTTTTCGTCTATGATTTTTTTTTTGTCACATCCAGGAAATATTTTTGCACATCCATTTAGAAATTTTATCATTATCTCCACTAATTGACATAAAACCGTAGAAATCGTTAATTTATGTGTAAAGGAAACATCTTATATATGACTTCCAAAGTTAACACAAGCGGGACATAAATTTATATCACTTTTTCAAGTAAATCCAAAATAGGAAAAAAAAATATTTTGGATTTGTATTGCTATTTTTGTTAAGTCTATAGTATGTAGATTACATCGCAGAAAACATACATTGAAAATACTATACTTATTATGCTTCATTTTTTAAAAATATTTACTGGTGCGTGAATGCACCACTGGTTTTATCTGTGGAACAAAACTGTCATTGCAAGTCTAGACAAATAGAATAAACATCCAACAATTAGCGTGTTCTTTAGTATTAGTTTGTGCCTTGTGCAGTGAACGTTACAGTTCGTAAAATGTGGCATTTCTGAAGTATATGACTCAAAATGAATTAGAGGCGGCTATAGAGGCGATCGTGATGGATGAGGACAATAACAATGAAAGTCATAAGTATTATTTGGATTTACGTATTCTTATGTATTGTAGCATTCCATTCCTTGTAAATTTAGACTAAAAAAAACGTAAAAAAATATTTACAGAACATATTGACGCGGACCATATTCCACCCGATGTGGATACCTTGACTGACGAAGAAGTTATGGACGATAACATAAATCTACAAGAGTTTGAGGAACCAACTGATATAGTCGGAACTTTCGAATTACATATACCGAATGATACAGCTGTCCTTCAACAGTCCTATAATTCATCAACTACTGAACCTGAATGTTCCATCAGATGATGGAACCCTAGAATTCAAAAGAAGACCTATGTTTTCTGAAAACGACAGGCTTGCTTCTACTGTCAAATGGAAGAAAGGTCAGATTGAGTACACTCACACACCTATATCCAATGAATTTAGATCATGTGAGGAACTAAAATAAAGGCTTTATGGAAAAACTTCGCTTGAAATATTTTTTATGCTTTTTGATGACGAAGTGATTGATTTGATTTTAAAACTTACATAGCTTTGCGACTTTTAAAAACTGATAAAACAATTACGCAAAGAAATCTTGCACCTGCCATAGATGGAGTGCGTTATGATAATCAAGGTCACCTCATGATTGTTCATGCTAATAAAGCCCGGGAGATGTAGAATCTGTTTACGTTTGTAATAAGTGTAATATACTTCATGCTTTGTAAAACATCACCAAAAATGAAACCGGGTGTTACCAGTGGTGCGCTCACGCACCATAAAATATTATGCGTTTTTTTTTATGAAATCAGGTTCTATTTGGAAAAAATCTACTTTTAGTTGTTTTCTGTCGAATTTGAACTTAATTTTGTATATTTATGTATAAATTATATGTTACATCTTATGCGCCCCAAAACATTATTTAATGTTTTTTCCCATTGGTTCGTTTACGGACCAGTACTTTTTTGTATGTTTCGAGTTTTTATTTTTTTTTTTGACATATGTAATGTATTCTTAAGTGCAACAAATAAATAATTTCAGAGCAAAAAATTATTTTCTTATTTTTTTTTTATCGATTTTTTTAACTTGAAGAGGTATACGAAAACTAATACTTTAAATCAAAAATTTCGTACTGGATAAGAAGAAACAGTCCCTTTGAACCATGGCCTCCCGGGTCACCCTCAACCTGTATGACAGTGCAAAACCTCAAATCTGTATTTATTTAGATAGCCAAACTGTACAGGGTGATCATTTATAACGTTCCCACCCAAGAATGGTAAGGTACTTGCAAGATATATTTTTATCAGCCACAGATGAGTTATTTATTTTTTTAATAGTATATATATAATAAAATACCCAAAACATTCTGCACATTTCAAACATAAAGCGGCATTCAAAAATAAAATATCTGTCAAGAATTAATAATCTTTATTTATAAAATTCCTTATTCTGAAAGAGTTTTAATTTTGGAAACGCTTGTTTATTGGCTCACTATGTGTAATTTCATCGAATCTAGGAAAAACGATTTGTTAACAGTCAGAAAATCCATTTATTTTAATTGTTTTTTTTTTGTTATTTTAGTTATTTAGTTTCGGGCAGTGTCACACAGAGTAAATCAAAATATTCTTTTTCGTCGTAGCTTCAAAAACTCCACATGATTTATCATATCGGCGGTATGATAAATCGGAAAAATAGCGTAGTATTTGTTAGAGAATATTTAGATCAAATGTATAAATGGCCACCCAACAGTCCTCACCTGACGCCGATGGATGCATTTTTATGGGGAAATCTAAAAAATCGTGTAAACGCAAATACCATCGAAAACAGAGAACATCTAAAACACCTGATTAGAACGGAAATTCAAATTCAAAAAAATGATGTGATAACAGTAACAAGTGTGCATAATAATTCTTCATGCTGGGTCCAAAAATGGTTGGGTGGAAAATGCCTGAATGCCCGAAAACGTTAAAGATTCAAGTGTGAATTACGATGAAAACATGGCGACGGAAATATTTGAGGGCTGGTTTGAAAATACCAAGAAAATAACAAGACTATAGACAAATACTGTTACGCTGTTGGATAATACCTCGTATCATTCAACCCAAATGAGAAAAAATCCAAATATTTCTTCAAATAAGGAAGAAATTAAAGAGGAAAATAATTTATATTTTGAGGATAGCTACACGGAAAAACAACCTCTGGAAAATGATTCATAGCACAACAAAACGGACATTAAATCATGAGATTGCCCACGTATCGTGGTATATTTAACCCGATTGAGATGATTTGGTCTTACTTGAATGCGCATATAAGAAGAAATAACACTGCACCACAATTTAGTGATAGGACTATAAACGTAATTAGGCAAGAGGTAGCTAAAATATCAGTACAAAGCTTTATTATATTATTATTATATTTAATATTTTGTATATTAATAATGATACTATGTAGAAATGTAATGAAATTTCTTATATCCCTCTTGTTAGTGTAGGTGGATAAATTCCTAAGACGGTCCTGGAATGGTTACGGGTAAGGATCTGCTCGGCAGTTTTGGAGTAATAAACAGTAGGCAAAGATAATCACGAGGTCGGTTTTAAACGCACTATATTTCTGGTCGAAGTATAGATACATATTATATTATACCTACCTAAATTATAAGTTCTAGAACATTTTTTAATATTGCGTTTAAGTTAACTATTGAATTTAGGGATAGGATACAGGTGTTTGGATATAATTAGGAATTAGGATATAATACTATACGAAATGTTCTCTTCTTTCTGGATAGGCTGGACGTTACAGATTCGATAAACATTCTTTTTACTGGAACATGCAATCGTAGTTCCCTTGGAGAAAATTTAGCTGATTGAAAAAAAGTTTCTAAAATTCGTTGTTTTTCTCTTTGCAAATATATGAAAAAGGAGCATAATTTTGCTAAATCTGTAACTGGTAACTGTCACTGTCAGTTAGAAAGAAACATTTTGTTTTTTGGTGTCGACCTATTTTTCCTCTAGAATTCTAGAATATTATTTATTTATATCTCAAAAACTATTGGACTTGGAGATAGCATATATTATACAAGAAATGTGCAGAATTTTTAGGGGATGTTATTAAGAGTATAATATACAGAGTATCCAATAAAAATTGAACTTTTACTTTATGAAAATCCATTTAACAAAATAAATAAGAACTAAAAGTTCAGATTTTCAAGAAATTCGTGAAAATCTGAACTTTGAGTTCTTATTTATTTATTATTATTATTCATTTCCATAAAAAAATATATAACTTTTATCTGTGGGGGATTTCTGCAACACCGTATACATATAAAAATATATCTTGCAAATAGCTTACTGTTTTTTGAACAACTTTTGAATTTGATGTTTTTTCCCATACGCTGTATAAAAATTTTAAAATTATAAATGATCGCCCGGTACATAAATTTAAGCAGGAATATTGATAACGAAAACGGTAGGAAAAAAAGCTTCGCTCTAAAATCGGATATTTTAAAAACTGTATGGTTGCAAAAAAACAACCTCTGCACCTAACACCTTGTAAATTTCAGATGGGTTACCCGTGCCCGGACGGAATGGAACTTAGTCCTCTCCCCACCAAATCGGGTAAACTGCTCGCGGAATGCCGTTGCCCACCCAAAACCGCTCAAACTCGCGATGGCGACGAATGTTACCAACTGTTCACCCGAGGTCCCTGCCAAGAAGGGTATTATTTTGCACCGGAGATCGCCCTCAAAACCAACACGTATGAAATCTATAATTTTAGAGTATGGTCTGTTCATAGATATAATAAAGTGACCAATTGCTTTTGAATGGGTGGTTATTAACATACAATGCAACAAGATTATTACCTAAAGTTTCGGAATTTAAATTCAGGTAAAATTGTTTAATATTCTTTGGTTTGGTATACTACTTAGTTTAAGTTTATTAGTAATCATTCTTATTTCATGTGTAATACAGCGTGTGTTTAATCGTGTGCGAATTATGCAAAATATGTGCGAGCCTAGTGTATCTCAGGAGATGCTCCCGCCCAAATGTAGAAAACACTATTCTATTGAGTATAAGGAAGTTATAGACAATGTCAATTTGACTCTCATTGAACGTGGTGCCAGCAAACAAGCATCTTTAGAAGAAACGGCCACATTGACGAAAATTCCAACATCAACTGTATGGATAAACGGAATCTTTTAGAATTCTGAAATGGCGACTGGAATATCTAGAAAAAATTAGGATTTACAGAGAACAACTAAGGCCAATTATTTACTTGGATGAAACCTGGTTCGACGCTTATGATACCCCGGAAAAAGGTTGTGTTGACTCAACTGATAAGTGTAAAACAAACGCGCCATCAAAAAGAGGTAAAAGAATAACTATTTTGCATGCTGGCTCTAAAGATGGTTGGATTCCAAATGGACTTTCTCTGTCAGCGAAAAATATTAAAGATTCTTCTCTGGATTACCATGAAGACACCACCGCTGATTTATTTGAAAGTTGGTTTAAAAACAAACTAGTTCCAAACATTCCTCCTAACAGCGTCATTGTAATGGATAATGCAAGTTATCACAGTAGACAGTTGACTAAAACCCCTTCCTCATGTGACACAAAAGCAACAATCCAAAACTACATCTATAATAACGACATTTATTTTCACGAAGATTATACCAAAAAGCAATGAATTGAGGTTCTACAAAGCTTGAACCTACAAAAGGAATACGTCTGTGATAATTATGCAAAAAATCTAGGGCATACAGTTTTAAGGCCATTGAACATGTTTGGCACCAACTGAAATCTCCCATTCGTCGTAACAATGTTTTTCCCCGTGTTAACTCCAATGTCCTCAAACCTATAGAAACCGAAGTTTTTAACATCCCTCCACAAAGTTGGGCAAGTTCTGTTAAACATATAAAAAAAGCAGAACAATCGTATATCCATATTGCAAATAATATAGAACAAATAATAATTAGAACAGGCGATGATAGCGATAGTGATACTGATATATTATGTGAATAATTTTAAGTAATTTAAGTAGGTAATAAAATAATTTGTAATTTTATTTTAGATGTAAACAAAAATACATATATAAATAAATAAATATTGTTTAGTATCTTTCCTAACAAAACCCCAAATAATTAAATTCTAAGCAAAGTACGGACCTGTTCGGCCATATATCATTCTTACAGCTTGCCCGGGTCTTTCCTTAATTTGTATCAGTAAGTCACTTTCTTATATCTATGAACAGACTTTAACATATCTATCCATTCGGGGCCTAATGTTTTAACATATGTTAACAAAAAAAGCAAATCGAAGTTTGATGGTAATACAGATCTACAGTGATGATGATGTTTGAAGGCTTATTGTATATTTTTGGGGCCGTTTTTCCAAAAAACGCCATATTTTTGCTCTCTCACGTTATTTTTTTGTTAAATGTTAATTTATTGATATACATAATTATGACATGAATATGTTCGTCCCATGTTAGGCATGATTTTTATGAAATTAAATGTGATTTGGCAACACTGGCAACAGAGTTGCTGCAGAAGCATCAATCCAGCGTTTGGATGTATTCGTCGTCGTGCTAGTGTTGTCTGTTGTCTTCGTTGTTGCGTATTTCTAGTGTTCTAGAACGTATAAATAACTTTTGTTATATCTGTGGTAGTTATGTCGTAGTAAAGTAAAGGAAAACTATAACTTCTTTTGTGAAAAATGTATACCACGCTTATTTTGGTGTAAAAATTGGCGACCAAGACAAGTGCTGGGCTCCTCATACTATTTGTTCCGTTTGCGTCGAAGCATTAAGAAACTGGCTATTTTTTTTCGTATAATGGTCAAGCATTCAACAGAAACGAAAAAACAAAAGAACTAGAAAACATCATAGCGTCAGAATCAGAGCAATCTAATTCCGACCCAGATTACTCAGATTTCAGAGAATCCGAAGTGTTTAACCAGAGCGAATTAAATGATTTAATTAGAGATTTGCTTCGTCCAAAGAATGCATCCGAATTGTTAGCGTCCACACTTCATAAATATGTGGGAAATCAAACTTATATATTTAATATATTTAAATCGGTGCTGCAATTTTACTATGGCAACAATTTTATACAGTGGTTTTATATAATTTTTTTTTATATATAATTCATCCCACATTTATCTCGAAGTCAGTTCGAAATGAAAAATATTAAATTTTGTAAAAAAATCAAATGGAACGCTCTGTATGACATACTTCCGTTAATTACTCCAATTTTTTTTAGCATTCCTTATCCCTAAACTTACGTGTTTTGTAAGGTATACACATTTTATACAAATTATGAGAAATGCCAGGTTACGGACTACTTAAATTTATTAGATGGTGTATGAAACTGACCCACAACAAAAGAGGACAGGAAACAGAGGATAAGAGAAGCCTTTCAAAGTGTTAATCATGATATGCTAGCCGATACTGTCCAATCGAAGACCGAAGAACAAAATTAGTAAAACTCGATTGCCTTCTTAAAATCAGAATGATCTGTCGAGCTTTATATCTAATTGCTTTCAACAATATAGGAATCAGTCATTCGAGACAATGTTCAGCACCTCCCTTTGCTCCGCCTCCTTCAAGCCAGTTAAGCTCGGATGAATTCCGAAGATTTGCAAATAGTAAACTTAGTGGCATTTTTCCAAATATCTCTTCATTATCTCCTATAGGCTAGTTTCCACAATTTTAGCCTTGACATCAGAATAATTTATCGATCTTTATATCTACCTATGTCTGAAATCTCGACTATTGCAGATCAAAGCGCGCGTGGGGCACTTGCAAACAGATTGCCACCTGCTCAAGTTCGAGCGCCATCCATTGGCCGAAAGACGAAAAGTGTTACCAACGGCTTACTCGAGGACCCTGCCCCAAAGGGCAACTATTGACGGTGGACGCGAACCGAATCCCCGTCTGCGCGTGCACCAAGAAGAAAGAGTTCCGGGATTATCACGCGGAGGACGGGAATTGCTACCAGCACTTCACCAAAGGGCCGTGCAAAGAAAGGGGCCATTTGTTTCTACCGGACCGCACGTGCGGCTGCCACAGTTTCCTGCCTCACTTCTCCGACGGCAATTGTTATGAATTAGGTAACCACAAAATAGTGATTACTCAAATTTTGAGTACAACCATTTTTTTAATGACCTCAAGCAACTTTACTCATACAGTGGTATAGATGATATGGTTCGATTTTTTACAAATTCAGTCAAGCTTCACCATAGATAACTTCTAATATAAAATATATGATGCGACTAACAAACTAACCAAAACTAAAAAATTCTACTTCATGGGAAGAACATAAAGTCCATAGAAATCTTGTCGCAGTTTCGAGATCGGAGTTTTATTGGTTCTTCAGAAAACGCAATTAATCTTTCAACACCATACATACAGCAACGATCTCACTCAGTAACATATAATGGTTTAACTTCTTCATTCATAACCTCAGCAGTTCATTCTCTCGTTTCATAAAATTTATTAAATTAAAATTCTTAACCGGCAAACATAATACAAGGCTCTGCGAATCTCTAGTGTTTTCTCAAGTAAGTTACGGGGATGAAGAGTTAATTAATTGATATGAAAAATAGAATATTTCTTCATTTTGAACGAAACTTCTTGAACAAATTAAAGGAATTTCTGTAACTGTGTGCTAACTGAATAATTTTTGTTTGATATAAATTACAAATTAAAAAGTAGAAATTTGTGGACTTTTTTTTTCTCGTTTCTAGGTTCGGATAAAACTGGATACTTAACTTTTGCAGACTGAGTCTGGCCTGGTTATCAAACTGTTAACTTGTTATTGTTATATTGTTTATAATTAAACTAAAAACCTTCGTTATTATTATTATTATTATTATTATTGAAGTCTCCATGCAAAACAATGCCACAATTAAAAAGGTCCGGTAATGCTTTTTCAAATGCTTCTTGAAATTTAATTTTAAATTACTTAATTTTGATATCAAAAATAGGTACGAAAATATTGTTCAAAGAAACTTCTATATGCCACAAATTCCTCCTAAAACTAGTTTGTGTTCTACTCTGTACCTACTTATATATTGTTTGAGGGGGGCGGAGCTAAATGAACACCGGCTCCGATGACTGATTCCCATATTCACCGCAATAGTTTCTCTGAACTCTGAACCAGAATTAAAACACCTTACCACATTAAAGATATTAAGCGGACCAACACAAAATACACTGCACCACAACCCAACGAGTCTGAAAGGAATCCAACAGTTATACCACCAAAAGTTCTTAAGAAATATAACGCTAACCCCAAATTTACCACTTGTCCAAAGATCTCTCAACATCTACGTTCCTAAAGGACACAATTCTATTTGAAATAGCAAGAGAGAGAGAGAGAGAGGACGAAAAATATCAAATAGACTCAAAGGACATGAAAGAGTCTTGAGACGATGATAATTCTTCTATCAACCAACTTATAAGTAACCAAACAATCTTAACCGCAACTCAGGTCTTTAGCTTTCACCTCCGGCACCCTCAAACAATATATGAGCTGGTATAGAGTAAAATGCTAGCCCGGTTCAGTTAAGCTCTGAATAGATTAACAGGATTATTGGGGAAACGTCGGCACAGTTTTTTGAGGAAGGGCCAGTCAAAAGCCAAGACGACTTTGTGACACGCCATCATTTTTAGGTACCGTAGGGCCATGTAGCAAAGGCGAGATCTTCACGGTCCTCCCGAAAACCAGTACGGGAGGCTGCGTGTGCAAACCTGGAAACATCCGCTACAACGATTCCCCAGCGTGCTATCGACCGTTCACTCGAGGTCCTTGCGCTAAGGACGAGATTCTAATCAACGCCACCACCTGTGTGCCGCAGCCTTGCAAACGGGGCGAGCTACTACATCCCTCCGAAAACGCGTGCTTTAAAATCGGCACTAGAGGTACCTGCCCCAAAGGGCATGTCTTCTCCTACGACTTCGACACCCGGCCCTCAGTAGACGGCGTCTCCTACAACGGCGTATGCGTGTGTCAGCACAAAGACTGTGACGTCGACGAAGAGGCGGAGTTGGTGTGCGACCGGGCCGAAGGTCTCATTCGCTACGGCGTCAGATGTTATAAATTGTATAGTCGAGGTCCGTGCGAGAAAGGGGCGTGGTTAGTTCCGAGACGTCAGGGAAAAGAACTGTTCGACGACGAAGGACAAAGTAGTGACGGTGTATGTGAATGCGTGCCGGGTCACTCGAGACTAGTGAGGAGGATCGACGACGGCCCAGTGAGCGAGTGCGTGTCGCCCGCCTTCCACATAGCAGATTATTTAAACAATAACTATACGGCCGGTGTCGAACTGAATCAAATGTGATAAAACTGCTGTGATATTTTTGCCATTGTAACTGTGTAAGGTGAGAGAGGAGAAACTTTCAAATATTAAATGAAGTAACTTCGTTAAAACACAAATATCGAGTTCACAATCTGTTTACAAACAATTATTTCTTTTTTGGAATTTGTGGAAAAATTAGGAGCTCAACGAAACCGCACGTACGTACACATTCTTCAAACGAAACACTTAGCATTCCATAGTCAAATTAAGATTTGATATATAAGAATGTCAGAACGCGGGCCAGTTTCAGTTAAACTCTGAAGAAACCAACAAGATGATTGCCGAAACGTTAACTAGTTTGACTCAACAAAAACCGACGCAGGAGAAATCCAGAAGATTTGCAAATGGTATTACAGTAACCTATAGCAGTTGCTTTGAAAAATTCACCTTCATACCGTTCATCACTTTTGAAAACTCACCATTCCCACAAAAACAAACCAAACATTTTTATAGTAGCCCGACATTTTGTTAATCTACATCTAATAAAATTTCTACTTTTTAATTGACTAGTCAAAAACTATTTTAAATAACACCATACAATTATAGAGTGTTATCATTCATTATTTAATAATAATATGTATTTTATATTAAATTATTATGCGTTTGCGATGTCCAATTTACCAATATCCGAATACGGTACTTAGCGATTCGGGCAATCCCAATAATTTCGTTCCTAGAACGACGCGATGGCGACGTAACGCACAATATAAATAAATAATTTTTAATTTAATAGTATTTCATTTAATAGTATTAATAGTATTATTTCGGTCAACTGACACAAAAAAAAATTGACCCGTCAATTCTGCATGTCATGGTGGATACCCCTAGATCGTATGGAGTAGTTAAAAGGCCCTTAGAATGGATTTAATCTTCTCAACAATACGTAAGTATAAAAAATGTTGACAATCAAAATTACATACGAAATTTTAACTCAAACACCGTGAAAATTTTGGGATTGCCCAAGCTTCTATGAACCGTGTGTTTTGCAAAGTTCGCAGATCACTTGACATATAGCTTGTGTCTCAATTCCTCAAAATCGGTTGGTTTGAGATTTTATCACCCCCAAAAAACATACACAATACCAGAAATTATGATCACCGAAAAAACTAAGTTTCTAAACTTCAAATGCCACTGCCATCGTCTAGTCTCAAAAATACATTCAGAAGCAATCCAAATTTACCAATCTAATCAAGAGACAGCTGCAAGCTTTGTTTTAAAAAATTCAAAATTTTGAGCCTACCATGTCTGTATATCTTAGACATATGTCTGTATCTGTTCAAAAATAAAAACAAATTCTTGAGAAACTCAAACTTACGTAAATTTAAAATTTCTGTAAATATCAGCATTTTATCGGAATCGCCAAAAAATAGAGTAATTTTCAACAAGCTACCTACAGAAATTAAAAAATGTGAATTGGAGAAACTAAGCCAAAACTACAGAATCACTTAGTTGAAAAATGTTTTTACAAAGTTGGTTTACACCGGACTTTGTTAGATGACACTTCTTACACAAACTGTAAATTTGTCTTATGGAAATAAACTGAATGGAACTGACAACTGAGGCGGTGCTCAATACTTGGCAACATTGCAACGTCTACCTCTGTTGTATGTATATCTATGGTTAAAAACTGCCGGTGTTAAATTTTCACAAAAAAAAATTGACAAAGGAAGAAGAAATAAACAAACCATAGTTTCCACTGCAATCTGAAAAAAACTGTTGAGGCAGACACTTAGTACGGCACATAATCATCCGAATAGCCTTAAATCACTCACCTCATCTTTCTGCGCAACTCTTTCATCTCGTCTTCCAATCGTTCCACGATACTAGTTTTCGTTCTCAGCTGATTCTCCAATGACGCAATCTTCTCCGTTTTCGTATCCAGCGCGTTCTACAAAAATAAAAAGGTGAACGATTAATTCCGAAAAAATTTGTAGAGGGCACTGTTGACACGTCATCGCACAATTTATAATAAGGTTTATCTTCGAAAAATCAATACTACAATAAACGTTAGGACACCTACGGAAGCATGCTTGTGAGTGGAATCACTAGGCACAGATATAAATTTGGACCTATCTATTTTGAGTACTTAAGTGAATAAGCAATTATCCATTGTTTTGTTTTGTAATTAAATTGTTTCAAATTTTGGGTTTTTTCAAGCAACAATTTCATATTCTTTCTGTAATTTATACAGGGTGTCCAAAGAGTGAGTCAAAGTAATACAATTCGCTTAATATTTGTTTTAATGAAAAACGTTAAATGCAAATGCTCGTAAAAATTTGCCTATCTCAAAAAATACTAAGTGTAGGTATGAGAAACGCTTAATAAAATTGAAAAAGCATTAATAGTAGTAATTAAGGTAATTAATTAGATTTTTTCACGAAAATATTATATATATATATATATATATATATATATATATATATATATATATATATATATATATATATATATATATATATACATTTCGTTTGCTAGCCTGCATTTAGTCTTGCGTTTTGTCTTCAGATTTTACGTAAAAAGGCACCGAAAAAAGGATGCTCTCGTTTAAGGAAAAGATGCAAGTTGTTAACGTTTTAGAAAGTGTTTCAGTTCGTCGTCTGGCAAAGAGGTTTAATATTGGGAAAACGCAAGCAGCTGAAATAGCCAAAAAAAAGGAAGACGTCAGAAGTAAATGGCAATCTGAAACTAATATAAATCAAAAGAAGGATTTTTTGAAAAAGGAAGGTTTTGCTATAGACAAAAGATGTTTTGAGTGGCTTCAAAGGTGGCGCAAGAGACATAGAAAGTTATTACGAAAATTGTCTCCTTCAGCAAAATATGTCGAAATTGCATTTTAGACTTTTTTCAAAAACCTACGGAATGATATTTTTTTTTAAATTTTATATAAGTTGACGATAAATACATAACTAGTTTAAAAATGTTGCCAGTTTCTGTTTCCTTTACCTCTTATCATTACATTATACATTGTACGTATTTATACCTTATATCCTTTAAGCGGACACCTCACATAAGTTGATAAAAGCTATGGAACCGTGGGTGTCCGCTTACGGGAGCTTTCATTGTATATAGTTATGTGACGTCACTGAATGTAGCCCATTATAATTACGCCTTGATCGTCAGCGTTTTAAAAATCGTTTATTAATCAGTTTTAGTATTATATTAAAACAAAGTCGTATTGTAGCATCGATTGAATAAACTTTTTTCGTAATTCTATGTCAAGTCATAGCAACGCTTTTTTGTCCGATCTGGGCCTAATAAAATATCGATCTGGCATCAGCAAGGTGCCCACATTCACTTATTAGATATACGAGGTTTGCGCCAAAATTTCCCGGCCTGACATAAATACACAGCTTCAGTATTACGATAAAACTTTATCTTCTTTTAAATATATATCTTAGTAGGCTGCGAAAACAAAATTGAAGTCTTGCGTCAAATAGTTTTTTATTGACAGCATTTTAAACAAGACGTGTCTGAAAAAATGTTACAAATAACGCAAATTGAGTACAGAGCAGTCATAAAGTTTTCGACAAAAGAAGGGTTAGCACCTAAAATTATTAAAGAAAGGCTGGATGGTGCGTACGGCTAAAGTTCTCCTTCGTATTCTGTAGTGAAAGAATGGGCAGAACGTTTTTGAATGGGGCAGGAGTCCCTTGAAGATGATTCAAGAACTGGTTGACCAGTGGAGGTCATAACGGAAGATATTATTGCGATTGTGGCAGAGGTGGTATTGAGTAATCGACGTTAGTGCAAGATGGGTTCCTAAAAACCTTTCGTCTATTCAAAAACAGCGCCGTGTCGACTGTGCGCGGTCTTTTTTGGAACTCTGTGGGTAGGAACCAAAGCCTGTGATAGAAACTATTGTGATGGGAGATGAAACTATGGTTCTCTATTATGACCCTCTATCGAAAAAAGAATCAATGGAGTGCCATCGTAAGGGTGAAGTACCTCCAAGAAAATTCTGAGTCTGCCAGTCAACGAAAAAGGTGATGGCCACAATCTTTTGGGATTGTGAAAGAATTCTTTTGATAGATTTTAAAGAAACTAATACCACTGTCAATGGTAAATATTATTAATACATAAATTGCGAGACTGCATATGTGTAAAACGTCGATGAAAACTGACCAGAGGCGTGCGTCTTTTGCACAATAATGCACCCCTCCATACTGCTGGTGTTGCACAAGCTGCCATTTTTGAGTGTGGGTTCCAACAGATAGATCATCCTCCCTATATTCCAGATATGCCACCCAGCGACTATTATTTATTTGGATATTTGAAAAAGAACTTACGTGAACGTGGGTTTAACGACGAAGTTGAGTTAAAAGAGGCTGTTTTAGCTCATTTTGCAGACAAACAAAAAGAATATATTTTTAAAGGGATTGAGTTGTTAATAAAGAGATGTAATAAGTGTATTGAAGTTATTATTATTGAAAAATAATAAAAAAATGTTACTCTATTTTGTTTCTTTCATATTCAGGCCGGGAAATTTTGGTGCTGCCATCGTATATATATTAAACCCGTCATATCTATACTTAACGGTCGTGAAGAAATAACTATTTATGCTGAAATTTTTATCGCAACGTATTAAAAACACTGACCAATAACTCATCCTTCTCCTTATCCATTTGAGTGAGTTGGTTCTTCATAATCTGGACGTCCTCGGTGAGTCTGATTATTTCTCTGTCGTACGCCTGAGTATCGTGACTACTACTTTTGGCCTTCGATTGATACTCTGCCAATTCGGTTTGCGCGCGAATCACCTGATTCTGCGCTTCTGACAACGCCTTATCCGTCTGCTCATGAAGTGTTCTGTCAAAAGAGTTTAAAAAAATAGGCTAGAAAGCAGCAAATATCAAAAAGTTTATTACAAGGGTACGGACAATGCAAAAGGGCATGAAAATATAAATAAGAACTAAAACTTCAGATTTTCACGAAATTATATATTTTTACATGACAATTGTTTCGACAATACCGTGTCTTCATCAAATGTAATATTTACAAACTACCTGCTACTATATATACCGAAAAATGACCATAAAACCATTTAATGTTGTGAGAATTTCAGTTTAATAAAGGAGAAGTATTTAAATCTAACTCATCGTTAAGCAATACATTTGAATATCTCATTTTGTTCATCTTCACGGCTTCCAATAAATTTAATTTTCTAATTTTTGTGGCTGTATGTAAAATATCAAAATTGTTGTCAAAAATGAATTTTTCTGTGTTTAAGAGTGTAGCATAATTAGAATCTAGACTATTGTTTTTAAACGCTCTTTTATGTTCGTTAATGCGTTTCTTGTTGCGTTTTGTCCAATATAAATTTTAGGACAAGATCCACATTTCAACCTGATTTTTGAGATTTTGGACATTTCGTTTTATTGTTTTTTTAAAATTTTCCTATTGTGTTGTTAGTTCTGAAAGCTATTTTTAAACCACATTTTCACAAATGTTTTGAAACTTTTTCACTTGGTTCTGCTATATACGTAATTGTTTTAAATTGTTCGTATTCTGTATTAGGTTTCGGATAAATAAAGTTTACTGTTGTCTGGATTTGTTTTTTATTTATAATTTTATCTATAATGGACGGATTGTAGCCGTTGCTCAGTGCAATTTGTTTAAATATATTAAGTTCTTTATTGTAATTTTCTGTTGAGACTGGCGTATTAAGAAGTCTGTTTATAAAATCTTGGGCTGTTATGTATGACTGTGTCCGTGTGTGAAGGTTTATGATAAATTGAAAAATCTAATTTGTTTTGCACTTTCTTAAAAGTTTGTAAATATACAATTGTAAATATTTTGTAAATATTATAATACAATACAAAAAAAATTAATTTTGTAAAAATCTGAACTTTTAGTTCTCATTTATTTTGATAAATGGATTTTCATCAAGTAAAAGCCACCTCAGTTCAAATTTCAAAAGGGCGGGCACTATTTACAAATCTTCTAGATTCCTCCTGCATCCATTGTTTATAAACTAAACTGGTTGAAAAGTTCACTTTACCTCTGAAGACGCCAACAGGATGATTGGCGAAATCTCAGCTAGAATCCAGAAGAGAGTCAGTGCAAGTTTCTTTGAAAAATCATTAAAAAAAAATCTACCACTTAACCATAAGCAAACTATACTTTTTCAATAAAAAAAATGTTCCCCAAATTTCACATCACGTATTAACACATTTATTACTTTCCTCCTCACTAGATCTCGGTAACGGCAGGTCCTAGAGGGCGGCCAATGGTACAGAAATGATCAGCGGCGAAAAAAAAATTTTTTTTGTCTGTCTGTTCTCTGTTCCAGAGTTTTTCGACGATAATTTCCGAACGGTTTGAGCAACATGCTCCAAATTTTGCTCGTTTTTAACAGTCCATGGGGTGCATAAGATATGTAAAAAAGGCTGTGCCCATTTTTTTTTTCGATTTTCGACTGTTTTTTTAACGTTACTATAAAACACGATAAGTGTTCGAAATTTGAAGCTACCGATTTCAAATTTAGTAGGCAACAGCGCTTGGTCACCTAACGGAACCTATTGAAATTGGGAGGGCTGGGAAGTCAGGAAGTATTTAAAAAAAAAACAAAAAATCGAGTTTGCCAGGGTCTAAGAAAAAAATCATTTCTCCAATACCGTTAATGCACCTAAAAAAATGTTTGAACGAGAGGACGCACAAGATATGGCTCCATGAACTTTTATTCTTGATAATTTTTCGGGAATGTACCGAGTGGGCCGCATATTCAAAAAAACTGAAAAATGGGTCCCCTTAATATTGAAAATCGGATATAACTAAAAGGCTGTATCTCAGATGTTAGTTTCTTTTACATGACGATATAGCCCATATAGACAGCAAAAAAAAAATTGTATTTAAGGTTTTCACCTATTGTACAGGATGTTCCCAATATTCCGTGCAATATAATAAATGCGTTAAGTGTCGTAAGTTTGCAGATATCGACTTCAAATTTAGGAGAGAATTAAAAGTCCTTGTCCACATTTAAACCGTAGCAATTGGGGCCAATCAAATTTCACCAAGTATTTTCTAAAAAATGTTGATTTTTTATTTATTTTTTTTTTTTGGTTATTTTGGCTTCCAGAAAAACATGTTTTTCTCCATAACCATTCCCCGATCGGCAAAATTATTTAACCAGAAAACGCGGAAGATACACACACGCTGCCCGAGAAATGTGAAAAAATCCATATGAAAATCACTATTCCGGGGGCTCAGTCACGAAGCGATGACGTCATTGATTATTACGATGCACTGCATACTTCCAGAAAAAACTTATTTTCTCGAAAACCATTTACTATTTTGGAAAAGTTCTTGGACCCGGAAACGTTGAAGATTCACAGCTATAACCTCCCTTTCCGGATTTTTTCAAATATTTACAGGGTGTGTAGATTATGGGTAAAAAAAATTCTAAAAGACCCTGAAAATTGCCGCTTTTGTGGATAAATTATTGGTCGTAAATTGAAAACTACAAAACATGGGCTGATTTGGTTTACACAGTATCGTGAACTGTATCGAGAGAATAATATCATTGGAAATCGTTATTACTTGTACAATTTTTTATATTTGTCAAAGTTGCTAGTGACTTTGAAATTCGGCGATACGTGAAAGACGCTATATACAGGGTGTATGCACAATATATTTACATCGATTTTGCGAAAGTTCCATAGTGGAGGAGCATGATAGCAAAACAATGCGTTCCTCTAGCACAAGAAACCGCGAAATGGATATGTTTAAATGCGAAATCTAAGATGCTTCGACGAAGACTTATTGGCGGAATTTTTGAAAAAAACACCCTTTGAAGACATAGTACAGCTTTCTAACATTAATCAGAAAGTATCGCACTTTAATAATCGAATCGGGAATATCTTTGACGTTATGGCTCCATTAGAGACTTTAAAAATAAATAGGCAAAGACCACTATGGTTAACAGATACTGTGAAAATTATGAGAGATAAAACTTTTAAAAAGTACAAAATTACAATAAATAAAAGTCAATGGGATAGCTATAAGCTAAGCAACCAAATTAACATCGAAAAATGAAAAGAAAAGGCACTTCGAATCTGTTTCTAATGAAAACAACAATCAAATTCTTTGGAAAAAGTTAAGAAACTTAAATATATCATCTAAAATTACAAATACATGCCTCTCCGATGGCTTCAATAGACCTTCAGATATAAACCAGTGTTTCTTTACAGTTTTCAAACAATAAACAACAAGTAGATTCCATATTCTCATTCTCATTCAAATTCTCATTTTCTACGGTTGGTTAGCATTTAGTGATGGGCGTCTGGTTGAGACTTAATAAATATATAAATGCTGTGTTTCCATTTCTCACTAATATAGTAAGCTCGTGCCTCCTAGAATTAGTGTTTACAAGTTGCACGCATTACTGCACTTCCAAAAAATAATCAAAAAAAATTAAAAAAAATTATATATATATATATATATATATATATATATATATATATATATATAATTTTTTTTAATTTTTTTTTATTATTTATATATATATATATATATATATATATATATATATATATATATATATATATATATATATATATATATATATATATATATATATATATATATATATATATATATATATAATATAAAAATAAATTAAAAAATAATAAAATATATAGATTCATGTTTGAAAGTACTTGACAAGATATGCCTCTAATACCTAGTTATATCTTATTGTATTGTATATTGAATACAGCATACTAAATGTATTATTATTAAATATAACATTTTTGACTAAATGTTGCCAGTAGATTGCCGCACCATATTACGTCTCGAGATTTAAGTTAACGACTACTAAACTTAACTTTACAAAAATGTATAAATGTAAATTAAGAGTGAAATGTATTTTGCACGGCAAAAAAGGGAAAGGAAAAAGAATGTAATTTTACCAAATATGACTCTTTTAGTTGTGAGCCGTAGTGCTATTTTGCCAGTTGAATTAGATAGATTAGATATGAAATGTAGGTTATTTGAGACATATTATTTTATTAGTGTTCCACATGGGTAGGACTTGTCATTACAGAAGAATAATCAAACACAACAATTACGATAATCCCAAACATTTATACAATAATGTTTTGCTTTTTTTTCACCTCTAACATAAAAAGAAATCACACAGAACCCCAAAACCAAACTGACTATGGACAAAGTTAAACAGGAGACCAGAAAACTAATAATAAAAATCAAAAACCAAAATATAGGAACTCTTGGACCCTATGTACGAAAGAGCAGCTCCTTCTCCTCAAAAAAATTAGAAGGTTTACTATTTAAATTGTTTTTTTTTCGTGTAGTTGTATTATTGAGGTAAGACGTCCGCCGAAATATGCCCCTCAGACAAATACCCCGATCAAAGTCCACAGAGTTACCCTAAAAGATAATTCCATAGGTAAGGCTCAATTTTGTGTAGGCGTGATGCTACAATTCTCATGATCCACGCTCAATGACATGAACATCCTCAGTGCACAACTGTAGGGAAAAAGGTTATTTGACAAATTTTTCTATTCAACCTACTATCCAGGTGTACTCCGAGGAATACCGCTTGGGCCTGGAAAATAGTTGGTCACCATTGTAAATGTAAAAACCCCACCAGGTTGTCTTCTAAACGATACAATTTGTGTTTTGATCAGTTTATTTTCAAATTATCCTTCACGACATCAAGTGAGTTTTTTATTTTGCTAGAACACTCTCCATCTTATGTGTTGAGGAAGGTCATTAACATAAACTATATACAACAATCTGTCAAACACTGTTGTCTGTCATTCAGATAGCATTAAACTAGACGGAGAGCCACACCCCTAACATATCATAAGCTTACCATGCTAGTTTTTGCCCTAAATAGGGAAGAGGACAGCAAGGGCATCCAGTAAATCTTGATCAATTATCATCATCATCAATGAGTTGATGTTTGTTTTTAGTGGACCAATCAAAAAAATCTTCAAACTTGTAGATGTTTACGTATCTATGTATCAGTATCTATCTAAGTGGGTGGTTTAATACATCTTTGAAAGGTATTTTAGTCACCTGCCCTACTATTTAAATAAAACAATGAAAATCACATCACTCACTTGAGTTGGGTATAGTTCGCTCTCTGGTTGTTCAACTCGCTTTGAGTCGTCCGTAGCTGCTCTTTGATCACTTTGTAGTTTTCTTCAAGCTGCGTCAGATTGGATCGTTGAGTTACATCAGTCTGCACCAGGTCCCTTCTTTCATTCTCCAGCTTCCTGATGTGCTCTTCCATGTCCTGAAAGGCTATCTTCATTCGTTCTTCATTAAACAGGGTCGTTTCATTTAACGCCTACAATAAGTCGGAAACGTGGATTTAAACGTCACTTTCAAAAACGTCCTATACCTGCAGCTTGGATTTTATGGTGGCGCTTTCAAGTTCGGCTTGCTGAAGATCGCGCCTCAGGATGTCAAGTTCACGTTCTTTCCTCTTGCACAAGGGCTGGAAAATATTATGCATAATTTATCCCACAAGACTTTGCTTCGATTTTTTTCTAGTTTGCTTACTATTTTAATTTTTTTATATATTTAGATTATTTAACAATTAAACTTACACTTTTACGAAACTTCTGGATTCCTCCTGAGTCGGTTATTGATGGCTTCTTCAGGGCTTAACTGAAACTGGCTCGCATTTTACTGTGTACCTGCTTATATATTGTTTGAGGGGGGCGGAGCTAAGGGAAGGGCATGAACATTGTCTCGGTCTCAGACATCCTGCCATTCCTTTAGCTCCGCCCCCTCAAACAATATATAAGCAGATATAGAGTAGAAGGCGAATAGTTAGTTAAGATCTGAAGAAGCCAACAGGATGATTGACGAAACGTCAGCAAGTTTGATTCATTCACAACCGACGCAGGAAAAATCCAGAAGTTTTGTAAATAGTATCACAGTAGCCCTTGGAAGTTCCTTTGAAAAGTTGTGACTTTGTTGTGCTGTCTTTTTATTAGGAAAAATGGTTAAAAGAAAACGGAAAGTATACGGAAGGTGACAAAAAAGCTTAGTATTACTATATCTTTTTTTTTCTTAACAAAAATCAAATTATAATTTAATGCTATAATTTATATTATTAGTGCAACACCTACAATACGATGATATTCCTTGTCATACGTCTGACTAACAAGAAATGTCGGGCATATGGAGTCAACGTATCTTTGAAAGGCACTGTTTTCCCCGTATATTTTAATATTTAATATTTCGTGATGCTTACTACTACCGTTTTTGCTTGTGTGTAAGTCCCAGTATATAAACATTATTCATTAAAGTGCTTTTTTTTAAATAATTGTTACAAATATTCTATTGATCCTATTGACTTCTCTAGAGCTTAACTGATGACGGGGACCACGCCCACTGGTTAGCATTTGACTCAGTACTTGCTTATAAACTGTTTGAGGGAGGCAGAACTAAATCAGGTACATGGATGATTCACATGATTCTCAAATTTTCAAATAGTTTATAATGAGGTACAGGGTAGAATGTTAACCAAATTTCAGTCTGTAGGTTAAATTCATTAAGAGTCGTCGAAGTTTCTTTGAAAAATGCTCTGAATTTATTTTTGGGGACTTTGAACATTCTTAATTGGCTGATGAGGTAGCTAGCTCACATAAGGTGGAGCTATTAAGTTCTGGACCCACTATGTCGGCTGCTTTACTTCTTCCCACATTACTCTTGTCATCCCTATTTAGTTACTAAAAAAATAGTTATTAAATTTAAATAAAACTTTTGGTGAGTTTGGCTGGTTGAGTTTTCACTACAGGCGGCAACAATTTTTTTTTAGTTTCAAAGATTGTAATTCGTCTCCGTCCTAAGTTTGTGAAATATTTTAATCATCAATTATTTTTGAAGAACTTCGTAGAGTGGTTTACATATTATTACATGTATGTATGTATATTACTATAGCTTCTTAGACTGCAAAATTTTTCAATAAATAAACAAAACCTATAAAACATCCAAACGAATCTTCCTTTAAGACTCCATTATAAATATTATATTTTTAACTTTTTACTTTGTTAAAATAATTAACATAGTTCATTCTAAATGTAGATCATTTCAAGCCTATTAGTAATGTTCCAGACATTGTTTTTTTTTCTCTTGAAATTACAAACATTTAATGTCCTTAAATTGTGTAAACATTGTACTGCGCCGCTCCCTGACCAGTCAGTTAGAAAAGTGAAACCGGAGCGCGTACATTATATAAATTATTAGTGGTGTGTAGTGAAGAGTAGTGCCTAGGTAGTTGGCGATTTGGGTATTTTTGGAAGAAATAATTTTGAAGTTTCCGCAAATTTTACGCACAATGGGTGATAAATAAGTATTTATTGAAATGATGAAGAAAGACTTCGAACAGATCTAGAACAATAGAATCTAGAGTATACTTTTAAAATTAATTCTGTTTCAGAAGACAATTGTCTCAATAAGTTGGACAATACTTATGGTGTGAATAGTTAAGAATTATTTAAGTCATGCAAGCTTAAATTACAGGGAAATATTTATTAGTTAGCAATAATCGCGTTAAATCAAAGTCAAACGGATAAAAAAATAACAAATAAAAACCTTACCTTATTACAGGAACCGTTTGTATCGAAGCCGGGATCTTTCGAAACCAAAGCAGACTTTTCTTTTGATAGCTCCGTTACTTCGCTCTGAAGATGTTTAATAAGCTTCTCTCGCTCTTCTAACTTTTGTAACAGATCAGAACACTAAAAAACGGTTAATTTTAGAAGTGTTCCTCCATTAGGGGTGTCCTTAAATGGCGATACCACTGGATTTTTAAATTTAATTTTCTATTTAATTAATTAAATAGAAAATCGTGGTATAAATATTTTTAATAGGAAACTATCAAATGTGTTACCCTAAATTGAGCCTTGTTTATTAACCTTTTTCAATTTTAATTTGTTTAGAACATGTTGAAAGTTATCTTTCTTTTTTCAAAATGGAAGCTTATCTCCGCGGGTGGTTGATATATCGCAAACCATTGACGTCAGAAGAAGGAAAACAAAAAGGACAAAATGAATAATATTTAGATAAGTTTAAATTGAAATGGGACAAAATTTTTTTTTGATTTCAATAACTTGCGCTATATTTTAACTTTTTCAATATTTACCATTTTTTCTAAGACTATTGCTATAACATTAATGGGCCATGACAAAATAACGTTACCTGGCAACTGAGTAAGGTGAAGTAGTCTAATAGACGTATACGAAGGCGGTAATCTCTTCAGTGTTTAATGGAACGAATATAAAAAATGGTTTGAGGATTGCATCAAGCGCTGGATTATACTGACAATATAGAGTTAGATGAAAAACTTTTTGATCAAGGTAGGTTTTTCCATTTATTTTGGATACAGACAATCTGGCAATCTGGCATTTTTTGCCCTAATTTTATCAAATATATTTTATTTTAATTATTTTTTATTGCAGTACCTATACCCTATATACATTTTTTTTGTATGCATTGTTAACATGTTTACTGGGTACCGCTTATGCAGCACATTTTTTTTTAATTTTTAGAAAAAAAAAACTGTCTTCCATTGTTTTAGATTACCTGGAAAAACAAGGATATCCAATCACGGAAAATTAAAATTTATATACGGAGGCGAATTATGATCGCGATCAGGTGGTGCTGATTTTATACAAAGTTCGTTATAAATGCTTTTAATTGGAAAGTATTGGTCATCAACTTCGATTCGAATTAGTTCCTGCTGCTCAAGGATTACATATGTCCAAATGTACCTTGTCAAACTCATTATACGTTAATTCTATATCGTACTGTAAAGTCGCTAATTCTAGCTGGATCTTGTCGTAAATTTGTTTAAATCTTTTTATGAAGACACTTCTATACTTTTGAGTCTTGTTCAAAAAAATGTAGCTTAAAAGTGACAAAAAATAAAGTTATGTGACGCCAAAACACCACTTAAGTATTTTAAAACCTGCAAACGAGTCTCGTAAACCCCGCCAAAATAACAACTGATAATAAAAAAAAAGAAAGACGAAATCTTATTTGTAAATAAATTAGAAGACCAGAAAAAACTCTAAACCTTTTAATTCCTTACCCGTTTTGCGAATACTTCGCGCAATTTATGCAAGGTCGTATTTATTTTAACTATTATTTCCACCAATTCTTTAACGAAAATTGAATTTAGAAAATGCTATTAGGAAAAAAAAAAATTTTCTTTAAAAATCCGGCACGAAGGACCATATGTGAGACACTCAATGTTTCCTGGACTTTTGGAAGTCGCCGATGGAATAATAGTCTTCGTTCACAGGAATTAAAACACCACGAAACAAACCCTCGAACTTAAAATTCTAGACCTACCTTCTTTGAATTCTAGATTAAGAGAGTCCGCTCGAACTTTGTTGTCCGCTCAGAAACAAAAAATTTACTTAATGATAGATATTGGTGAAAATAATTACCGACCACTAAAAAGATTAAAAAATCAAAAATATAGAAAATCAAACATTACCCAAAACCTGAACAGTCTATTCTGATTACTTAATTCGAACCTCAATTTAAATTTAACTCTTTGTTAAGCATGGCTTACATTATTCGGCTTCTCCGGCTTCATCTGTTCCAGAACTTTATGGTACTCTTTCATATAATAGTCCTTTTCTTGTTTCAATAACTCCACAGATTGCAACGTCTGAAAACATATAGTGATTGACCGATACCCGACTGACAAGGATTTGGTATTTACACTCGCTTGCCTATATTCCATCTCCTTATTCAGGAGTTCCTTTAAATGCTTCACACAATTGTCGGGATCGCAGCAACATTTTTGATCCGTTTCGCATTTGATAGGAGGCAAACTTTTCGGGGGCGATTTTGACTTTGTCGATTTTTTCGAAACTTTCCGGGAGCTGGGTTTGGATTTCGGTTGTTTGTCCGTTTCCTTCATTTCATTATCATGAGACTCCTAAACGTGATAAGTTAGATATATAAGAAGCTTGTTTTCAAAACATATGACATTGACACATATTTTGACATCGTGACATTCAAATCAAAGTCTCAAAAATTTTTTTTATAAAACTATCCTGTCGGCTTCTTGATAGCTTGACTGAAACTGGCTCGCATTTTACTCTGTACCTGCTTATATATTGTTTGAGGGGGGCGGAGCTAAATGAGGAGCATAAACACTGTCTCGGATGACTGATACCTACATTGGTGACAGGTGAAGACCTGGTGAAGAATTGATTACATGCAAGAATTTTAGTTTTATCGAATAAAATTTTATGTCCGGTTTCGTGATTGTGTTCAGCAACTGCTGAGTTTATTTGTCTTAGTTCTCCAACATATTCTCTACCAAAATATCTAGCTGCCTTATTAAAACCCTATACAGGGCGAACTGACAGTTTCGTACTTAATTCCTTTCACTTCATTGAACAAATAAAACCCATTGCATTACATTAGATACACAAGATATTCTGGTTAGTTTCGACGTAGAATCCCTCTTTATTAAGATCCCTATTCCTGAAACTCTCACCGTCATTTCAGATATATTGAAATCCGACAATCTGAAACCAAACTTCTCACCATAATTGAAAAATGCTTGTCGGGAACATATTTTTCTTATAACGGTCAAATTTTTGAACAAACGTCGGGAACAACTATGGGTTCTCCACTATCACCAATCATCGCGAATATATTTATGGAAGCCTTTGAGAAGAAAGCTCTCAACACCTTCCCTCTAACACCTAAATTATGGAAACCCTACGTCGATGATACTTTTGTTATTTGGCCTCATGGTCAGGAATCCCTAGTAGATTTTCTTAGACATTTAAACTATATACACCCTAACATACGTTTTACCATTGAAATAGAAACTAATAACAACCTTCCATTCTTAGATATTCTTATCAATAGAAAATCAGACCTAGCATTGTGTCATTGTGTCTACAGAAAACCTACGCACACAGATTGATACATTAATGCATTGTCACATTACCATACTGCCCAAAAATCATCGGTTATCAACCCTCTTGTTTACAGAGACGTAAAACTATCTCAGTCCGAGTCACTGAACCCAGAATTAAAACACCTAACCTTTGCGCTTTTCTCTAATAATTTCCACATTAAAGATATTAAGCGTTCCATAACAAAATACACTTCACCACAACCTTCCAATAGCAATGAGGCCGAAAGCACTCCTTATATTCAAAACATCGCTGACCACATATTAAAAGTTTTAAAGAAATATAACGTCAAAACCAGATTTACCACTGGTCCAAAAATCTCTCAACATGTTCGATCCGTCAAAGACAAAATTTCATTTGAGATGCCAGGAGTTTACAGCATTCCATGCATATGGCAATAGTTTATTGTGAGTTACGTTAAAATATAGGAATAGAAGAATATAGAATAACCCTAAGTCTAGTACGATGAAAAGGTAATTATATGTTTTTTACAAAACTTCTGGATTCCTCCTGCGTCGGCTTTTGCTTAGTCGAAATTGCTGACGTTTCGCTGTTGGCTTCTTCGGAGCTTGACCGGAAGTTTCATTGATATTAATAAAGTTACAGCATTTTTCAAAAAGTGGCTTTTCACTCTCTCTTTGGGAATGTTTTAATTATGCGCATTTCTGCTTTCAAACTATATTAATATTTTTATTTAACAAAGATTGGATTTGTGGGTGTGCTTGAAATATTTTTCCAAAATAATTGGCTTGCCATAAAATAAAATCCGCATTTTTTCTTCTGCAACTTTTTTGTATAATTTTGTTCAGAAAACAAAACTTTGGGATAATAAACGAAATTTAAGTTATTTGCCACTTTTTCCAAATGATTTGTATTAGCGAAAAATTAAAGAAAGCTAGGAAAAATTCCCGCAAGCTAAAAAAATTGATAAAGTGATTTGGAAATAAACAAATAAAAATTATCTTGAGACTAGAAAGTTATAGTTCATAGCTCTGAAGTCATGTATTTCATAATTCATAATTTCATAAATAAAATTATCTATAAAACAAAATATGGAGGACAGTTTTAATAATCTTCAAAAGATATTTTTTATTTGTATCTGCTTAGTTTCTAAGTCGAATTGAAATAGTAAATAGCAACAAGATCATGCGTCTTATTTTTAAATTTTTTGTGACACAGGTAACAAAATTGTAGTCTTTTTTCATAATTTTTGTGGTATTTTTTGTTACTACTAATGAAAGGTTTTCACAGAGTACACTATCGAGTCAAATAAATATGAAGAAGTGATTTTTTTTAAAGAAAATGGAATTGTGTTTTAACAATTTTTTAATTTGAATAATTGGCAACGGATTTTTAGATTTTTTTCACAAATATTTTGGGCAGTATGTGATTTCTATGAGATGCAAACAGCTAAATAATAAGACATACATGTAATATGAAAAAAGTAAGGCATAATGTCTTAACACACACACTCCAGAAGCTTTTTACTCCCGGGTATGGACGATTTTTTGATGAAGACATCATGACAAAAAGTACTAACCATCTTTCGAGCACTTCGAACGTCTCCAGTTACTTGAGTTTCCAACTCTTCTATCGTAAACCTCTGTTGGGCAGTCAGCTTTGTCAGTCTATCGATTTCCATGTTTAGGTCGTGCTCTGAAAGTGCCCCGAATAAAATTAATATTTAACCCAGCACGCATTCCTGGTACCTATGGTAGAGCAATCTTTTAATTTAGCCATCAGTCGCTTTTTATCCTCAGCTTCTTCGTTCAATTGCCTCTTGATCTGTGATATTTCCGATTTCGCCGAATTCAAATCAGCCGTCAATTCAACTTTTAAATGCTTTAATTTCGCATTCTCCCGTTGCAAATTTTGTATGGACACCAGAGACTCGTTTATTCTGTCCTGCAATCTAATTTTTTAAATTACTAAATGTCTCAGATTTTTTACTTTGCAAGTATAGATTGTCGAGTACACTTCCTTATTTTAAATCGTACACCCTGCATAATAAGCCATTTTTTAATTCCTCACGACTCTCTAGGCAGCCTCAAATATAATAGCCTAAGCCAAAGTCTTGCCGTTTTTGGTATATTTTGCATTTTATTATATAAAATATCAAAAAACTTTTAAAAACAGTTATTTGAAATGACAAGTATAAATTTTCAAAAAAAAAAAAATTGCAATGTTACAGAAGCCAGCATTTGGTTTGTTTTGTTGAATATGCATTCGCTGCAGCAAATTAACATAAAATTATTTAATAGATTGTTTGATAAATTATTCGTCCGATTTATTTCCACAACAAAAAGACTAATAAAATTTGATTTTGTAAAATATCTTTGTATCGAGTTTTATGCAAAGCAAAATGTATGATGATAATAATGACCGAGTATTTTTACATTTTAAACAGTTCTAATTTATTAATAAATAATTAAATAATAAAAAGCGAAGCTCATAAAAATTTAAAACTTGAACACTAACTGTGGCAACACTGTGTAGGATTTGAAATAATATGCAGCGTGTACGACAGATCAACTAAAGTTGTAAAGTTGTTGAGGAATGTAATAAAATACCCTATGCCATTTAAAATAAAGGTTCTGCCATATATTGTTGTTAAAAACGACACAAATTCCCAAATTTTTGATTTGTTTTCGATTCTCGAAAAACTTCTAACATACCAATCACTCGGGATATGCTCTGCAGCAGCCGTGGTTCTTTATACCGAAATTAGAATCCACAATGACCAAAAATATTTTGAAAATTAGTTTTTTGGGGCTCAACTTGGAGTAATGTTTTTTTTATATTTTTTAAACAGGTTTCAAAACCGTCTTGAACCATAGATAAAGTATAAAAGAACGCTCAAGGTGTTTTCTTTCGCTTAGGTAACTTAAACCCATTGAGATTTTTAACATTTTCGAATATTAATGTAAAACGGGAGACACTGGTAAACGTTTTGATCTAACATTTTCGTAATTCTCAGAGTAGTTATAATTTTGTAAGAAAAATAGCGCCATTTAATTGTTTTCCAAAATCCACAATTTGCAATAGAAAATGCCGTCTAGCATATTTGTTTTAAACTTATGGATTTAAGAAACATTTCAATCGATTAGACGTTTCTAGGAATATTAAAATGCCTTCCTTTAATATGACAGATGACTCAACCTATCCAATGTAATGTATCCAGAAATTACCAAAAAGCAAGCTTTATAAAGTAAATAACAAACCAACTTAATAAAATAAAAAATAAAAACCAAAAAATCACAGTAATGGAAACAAACCTGGTCACTTTTTTGGCATTGTCTTGCACTGTACTATTACAATTTGCTTCAACATCCAATGCGATGGCGTCAATATCTTTCATTTCCTTCTCAAGTTGTTTGTTCCTCTCCGCCAAATGAATTGCCCTGCGCATCGCTTCGTGCTGCTTTGACAAAGCTTCCTTTAACTGGATATGCAATTCTTTCTTATCTTTTTCTAGCGATCTTATTTCATCTTGAAGAACACTAATTTTAGTATCCACATTTTTAAAGCAACACTCATCGCTAACGCTTTTGTACGGTCTGCCTCCTTCGAGCAAAGATTTCAATCTTGCTATTTCGTCTTCCCTAACTCTAACCTGCAAGTGACTTAGGAAACTTGATATTTACTAAAAAATAAAGATTAATTCACCTTGTTTTGTAGGTGATGAACTTCATCGACAAGTTTGTGATGTTTCTCTTTAGTTTCCAGCAACTGTGTGCTAAGATCTGCAATTTTTTCGTCAAAGACTGCTTTGGTAGTCACTAGGTCACTACCTATCTTGCTTTGCTTTGACAGATTCGTCTGCCCCTGCTTATTTATAAATCCTGAAAATTTAAACTAAAGTCTGAAGAAATTTTCCATTATTTGATTATGAATAAATATCGGAAATAAATGTTTAAATTAAATTACGATCAAGAGCACGAGAAGATCCATTAGAAAGAAGATTGACATATGCAAATTTACAGAACAATATGATTGAAGATCAGGTGCCCTAAATTATTGTTTAAGAATTTTTTGTTGGATATGTAAGTTAAAAAACAAGACTAGCAGCAAAACTAAGAATAGGAAAAAGCATTACTATTTAAGGTTATATATAAGTAATTTTATCAACTGATGTGTTTTATTTATTTTTTTCTTCATTTAGTTAATGGATAATAGTATATTAGTGTATAGTGTATTAGATAAAAAGTACTATTCCCTTATGTTCGATAAATTTCAAATTGTTACATTTAATTTAATTTGACAAACTAGTAACTTAAAATAAGTTCCAATTACCTTTTTTTCTACTACTCCTTTCTGAGTTCTCTTGCATTTGCTTAATCAATCTTTTTTTCTCCAAAAGGCACTTGTCAAGATGGGACTGCACATGTGATAACTGGGACTTCAAATCTAGAAAATAAACCTACACAAATGTTTCATGAAGCTAGTTCTAATCATTCACCTTGTTGATTTTTTTCTTGCTGTTCTCTAAAATGTATGAATGCTAAATGCAAATCATTACACTCATGTATGAGCTTGGCATTGTCACATTTATAAGGCTCAACTGCTATTTCCAGTGCATCTCTTTCCTTAAAAAATGACAAATTGAATAATTCTGCATCATAATCGACATCTGCCTACTTGACACACAACACAAACTTTAAAAATCAAAAAATTTTGCAATTTCCTTATGAGCACATACCTCCAAAGCGCGCTGCGATAATTTCATGTATTTTTCTAAATTGGCAGTGGTCAGTTTTAGGTCAGCCAAAAGTTTTTCAACCAAAAGAAGGCATTCCGGATGAAGGCGCTGATGGTATCCCAATTGTTGTAGTTCCTCTTGGAGCGTTTCAAACTTGCTTCCCATTTTGACTAATTACCACATCAGATTCCTATTGGTAGATGAATTCAAAACGCGCTTTACTTAACCATTATGTAGTATTTGGCACTTTTGCATACAAAATACACTCCACAAAATTGATACAAACAAAACCCCCCATACCCTTGCGATCACACAAATGTTGTTGGTTTTTGAATTGGACTTCATCTTTTACGCATATGGGCCAACTATGCCAGGATCATTCCACCAATGAACAAATCTAACAAAACCTTTCAGTTTACATTTTTCTTCCTCCATGAGTAAAGTAAAATCTACAACCAACTTACCAAAACTAACCAAAGTAGTTTCTCTAACTTCACTATTCTAATTTTGCAGTCGGAGGTCATCCAGGGCACTCGGCCATTACGGACTTCCGATGTAACCCAGAATATATTCCGGAAATAGGAGATTAGGTCTATATAGTTTTGTGGTATTCAATATAACCATATAGATCTAATCTTTTGTGGTTTTCAATATAAGTATCGCTTCAACCTATATAGCTACTAGAGATATAAAGGCCGGTAGCACAGGAACTTACGATGCAGCTATGAAAAAAAAAATTGAGAAGGCCCATTCCTAGCGTGAGATTTAAAATCTCTTACCTTACCAAACCAACCCAAACTAACCAATGGCCATGCGATATTCAACAACCAACATGGCCGCTGACAGATGGTGAATAAGTTTGGATGTGGCATTTTTGCGGCACTATTTACTCAAATTATGCGTAAATATTCCCGAGGCAACGAGTTAAGTGTGTGAAAAACACTGTTTAGAAAGAAAATGGCACAAAAATGCAGGTTAGTTATACCGGAGAATTCATTTCCTTCTCTACAAAAATATCAATTTAGTTAAATTTCTCACATTGTCCACAAAAAAAATGACATTTCCAAAATTTTGTTACCAGAACTGAACAATAAAGCCTGAATGTTGAGAAAAAAGTCTTCTCAAAAATCTGACTTCATTTATTTTAACCTAATGTCTGACATAGCTTAATTTTGACATTATAATTTTTGATAACTGCTTACAATTAGTTGTTATTGTTATAATAAAAATGTCGTTATCAAGACTCAAGACTCAAGTTTTAATCCAAGAATTAATTGTTAAAATTTGATACAACAAAACATATGCCAAACTGTTTCTATTAGATCCATCTTTCGGTACGTTTACCAATCAGAATAACCTGTTCTATTGAATACGGGGTGTTCAATTTAAAAAAAAAATCAATCGGTGCTTTGTTGTACACGTTTTGGCTAAAACTTCGTCGATTTATTGTTTATTTAATTCTATCTTTAAAAAGGACAAAGTTACAGCGGGTCGTGACGTTATCAAGATAAAACGGAAGCAGGGCACGTTCCTCGAACAAAAAATACACGCACCGACTATTTAAAATGGGATATACAATTTGTGCACTTTTCGTTAGTTCCTATTTATTTGTTTTTGTTCGTCTGTTGACCGTGCAGATTCTCGACGTGTGTGTTAAGCTGACAACCTTGGATATTGCACCGCACAAAAACAGCAAACGGGTTAAAAAAAATTCAGACTTATTCGAAACGCTTTTCGCAACGAAAACGACCAGTCGGGCCCCGATAAAAATCGATTAACGCGGAAATTCATTGTTTGAAGATGTCGAAGTTATTAGTGAATGTCGTTGCCGTCCTTGGTTTGTTTCGTATAGGCGGTAAGCTTTCTTTTCGTTGACTATTGAAGACGATCTAAGTGATCTGTACCGTGAGTTCAATTTATCTTGATAACGTTTTAATTGGCTGTAACTGTTTTTGTTTTTAGAGATATCAAGCTAAACAAAATGTAGGCTTAGTAGCCAAGTTTTTTCGAAGTGACTTATAAGACAAAACACTATCAATTTTCTGGAATATAAGCCTACATCACTATCATCAAGCAATCAGTTAAAGTTAAAAATTACATTTCGTCAGAGACTGTTGTGACGTCTGCTGTCCCACAAGGGGGACCTCTTTCCACATTCCTTTTCAATGTTTTCATTAATGACTTCAAAAGTATTTTTCGCTTTTGCCAATTTCTTGCATTTGCGGACGATTTAAAGCTTTTTTGACTGTCACCGATTACAGGAGGATCTTCATAGGTTTTCTTTGTGGTGCAGACAGAACAATTTAACTCTAAATATAAACAAGTGCAAAATTGTAAGCTTTAGCAGATCCAAAAATCCAGTATCTTTCATCTATCATTTGAATCTAGTTAAAGATCTTGGAGTTTGGCTCGATTCGGAGCCCACATTTACATATCACATTGATTTTATGACTAACAGCGCTATTCGATTGCTTGGATTCGTTTTTCGGACTTTGAAGGGTTTTGAAAACATCTTTACGTATAGGAAGCTGTACTGTGCGCTTGTGCGTTCAATTTTAGAGTACGCTAGCTGTGTCTTGCAACCACACTATGCAATTCACAAGGAAAAAATAGAGCGTGTGCAGCGTAAGTTCCTTAAATGGATAGGTTCTAAATTGGGAATGTCATTTGAGGAAACAAACCACGAGGAGATTATGAAGCTTTTGAATCTGACATCTTTGGAGAGTAGGCTCATATTTTTTGACATCTCTACATTGTACAAAATCCTTAATAACTTGATGGATGCACCAGATCTTCTGGCATCTGTTGATTTTCATATTTTTCCTATTAATGCAAGAAATAAGGCTCTTTTTAACATTGATTTTCATAGGACCAACCATGGCGTTAACTCGCCTTTGAATCGAATGTGCAAGCTGACAAATATTTTACTCTCAAATAACTAGCGTATTGATTTATTTTCTGACTCTCTCAGTACTTTTAATTGGCCTATTGATTTAAAGCGTCTTCCTGCATACCATATTTTAGGGTTTATTGACATTTCTGTCTGTGATAAAGATCAACTTCCTTATCTTATTCCTAAATATTTGTCTTCAGCACTTTCTTCAATTATGTCATTAGTGTTGGCAATTTTTATATAGTCAAAATCTGGTCTATTTTTCAGTATTTAAGGACAGGTGATGTTCGTTTAACCAGTCCCTAACCGTGATCAAACTACTCAAGTGGAATTAATGACATTTCATTAATATAAAGCAGAAAAAGCATAGTCCCCTGTGAGACTCCCAAAGTCACTTTCATCGGTTCACTGAGGAGATCATTTACTCTAAAGTGCTGTTTTCTATCTAGATAACTAGTAAAAACTGGCAACACATACCGATTAAGTCTTCGCCAATTCAAATTTGTTTAATTAGTGCAAACATTGCATCAACCGTATTTTTCTCTTTTTGAAAGCCATACTGATGGTTATTTAGACACTTTGATATTTACAGATTTTTTAAAAATTTTAAAAGCTTATTAATTTGGCTTTTGCTGTTTTTAATTTTAATTAATGATTTGTTAATAGTTTTAAGTTATTTACCCCCAAATTCGCAAATTGGAAAATAAGTTTTTAAAAAAAAAATTTCAACAGCCTGTCCGTTATTTTGCTGTATAAAATGAGATATTACCTAATTGTTTTCAGCCCTTAAATTTTTTGCTCAACATTTCTGGACCCCCCTGTATAGTGTTTTAATAACATCGCCCTACGGCTGCGTACGTAAAATGAAGACGTTTGCCTTGAAAGGCGATTATTTAAATTTCGAAGACAGTGAGGTTAATTATCACCTTGTGTAGTGCAATTAATTTCAGTTGCGCAATACGCAGCGTAGATATTCAGCCGGTGTGCTCGTTAAGAGTTCAATGAAATACGAGGGCTGGCTGATAAGTTCTTGTCCATTTGACAGCCTTTTGACCAAAATTGTATAGACATTTTTACAATTTTTTAATGTAATAATTTTAATATATATATATATATATATATATATATATATATATATATATATATATATATATATATATATATATATATATATATATATATATATATATATATATATATATATATATATATATATATATATTCTCACGTATTGATTCACGGATGGAAAAATGTGATGACACTATATTCCGGGATATCATCCGTTCGCTCGTTGAACTCCGACTGGAATCCTGCATCCGACTGGAATCCTGCAAATCTTGCATCCGACTGGAATCCTGCAGACGTTTCGCCAAAATCTCACTTGGCATCTTCAATGCTCGCGCTCCGAAAACACTTCGAACACTGTTCGAAGTGTTTTCGGAGCGCGAGCATTGAAGATGCCAAGTGAGATTTTGGCGAAACGTCTGCAGGATTCCAGTCGGATGCAAGATTTGCAGGATTCCAGTCGGATGCAGGATTCCAGTCGGAGTTCAACGAGCGAACGGATGATATCCCGGAATATAGTGTCATCACATATATATATATATATATATATATATATATATATATATATATATATATATATATATATATATATATATATATATATATATATATATATATATATATATATATATATATATATATATATATATATATATATATATATATATATATATATATATATATATATTCACGGATGGAAAAATGTGATGACAATATATTTCGGGATATCATCCGTTCGTTTGTTGAACTCCGACAGGAATCCTGCAGACGTTTCGCCAAGATCTCACTTGGCATCTTCAATGCTCGCGCTCCGAAAACACTTCGAAGTGTTTTCAAACGAGAAGACATAGCAGAATGTTTTAACAAATATTTTAGCACTGTTGGAAAAACTATGAACACTCTTTTTAACGACCACAAATATCGAAGAAATCATTCAAATTTTAACAACTCTAAAAAGTGGCAAAACTCTTGGCGACGACCAAATCAAAAGCGAAACTTTTAAAGAATACAAAGAATTTCTAATTTCTCTAGTCTACCTTATAAATAAATGTTTTGAAACGGGAAAATTTCCAAAAATTCTTAAAAAGGCCATTATCAAACCCATATATAAATCCGGAAATAAAAAGTTAGTCTTCAATTATAGAGCCATCTCAATTTTAAACGGTAATTGAAAAAAATTAAAAGTAAAAGTAATTAAATTATAGAAAAAAAAATTAAAAATAGGTTAATGAATTTTTTTTAAAAAATTGAATATTTTGTGTGAAAATCAATTTAGATTTCAGGATGGACTTTCAACAGAGGATGCCTTAATCAAACTTATAACAAGTATAAGCAACAAAATGCGTTTTTGTTGATTTGGCTAAGGCGTTTGATACGGTTGATCATCACAAATTAATTGAAATCTTGGAAAGAGCCGGTGTCATGGATGTTGCCCTAATTTTTTTAAAAAGTTACCTTTCTGAAAGAACACAGACAGTTGAAGTAGGAAATGTGGTTAGTGAAGAAGCAAATGTAGAGTTTGGCGTTCCCCAAGGGACAGTTTTGGGCCTGGTATTGTTTATACTTTATATTAATAATTTATTTAACATAAAATCTCTTGGAGAACTAATATGTTTTGCTGACGACTCTGCCATAATGTACAGAGATAAATCCTGGCAAGCACTTAAAAACAAAGCCGAACATGACCTACAGCATATATTTATATGGTTGAGTAACCATCTCTTAACTGTCAATTACGAAAAGACTAATTTTATGCCTTTTGGATGTTATTCCGACTCTCTCCCAGACTTCCAAGTACTGAATATCAAAATAAATGCTAATCATTCTGTGTCCATAAAATATAAAATCACAATTAAATATTTTGGGATTATACTTGATTCGCATTTACAGTGGGGTGAACATGTAAAATATAGAAGTAACTGCTTAAGATCTTTAATCAGAAAATTTAACGAATTGAAAACCTATTTTGAAATGTCTTATATTTCGCACTTGTTCAACCACATTTAGCTTATGGAAAATTAGTGTGGGGAAGAGTGCTGCTCATCTTAGAACGTTAGAAATCACTCAGAGTGAGAGTGAAATTTTAGATATTCGTCAACTTTTTGTGCAAAGTATAGCAATGCGACAATATAAGAAAAAAGACACGTTACAAACCATAAAGCATAATTATAACAACAGACACAAAGTAGTAACAGGTTACCTTCCTCAAACCAACACCTCACTAGGACAAGGATTCTTTTTGTACTTAAGCCAAAATATTCAGTGAGATTGAAATCAAAGATATAAATTCTTTAACTTTGTTTAAATCTGGACTAAACAAATGGCTGCTAAGTCAAGAGAGATCGGGAATTCATTCACTGCTAATGAAAAAATATGGCTAGGTTAGAAAGTACGACAAAAAAAATAATTTCTCGAATGTGTCAAGCTATCCCCAACAATGATAAAAACACTTAACCAAGAAAACGTATCCAGAACTAGACTAAACTGTACCTGATCTGATCAGGACAAACCAATGGCTAATAAATTTAATATAATTACATTCCAAAACAAGCTTGTTATTACAACATAATTTTATCACTCCTTCGCTAGCTTATTAAACTACGTCTTCAGTTTCATTTTCATTTTAATTTTGCATTCAATTTGTGACCGTTCGATTTTTCATTACCCTTTTGACTTTTCCAATTTGTACTGATTTTTTCGTATTTAATTGCATGCATAATTAAGGTAGGTATTCGTTATCTTTCATTAACATTTTTTACTTTCCATAATTATATAAGACCTATAAGTTTAATTCTCACGGACAAGAAGTATTTGCTTTGGTGTTATTTTAGTCTATTTATCAAATCATCGTAATTATTTTACTCCCACTTCTACTAAATAATATTTTGTTTTATTTTTTTAACGTTTATTTTTTCGGTTATGGCTTTACGGGAATTAGCATGATATTGATTGATAATGATAATGAATTCATGTGTCAAAAAGTTCAATTAAAATAATTTTAAAAAAAAAACCTTCTTAAAATGATTTGAAAAATTGATATATGGTATATGGTATGACATCCGGGAGAGTGAGAGAGATAACATATCCAAAAGCTGGCCCACCTGAAACTCTCTCTCGAAAACGTTGCTAGTTCTTAGACTAAAATATATGATACGCTCTTAAGGGGCCGTTATCTTTGCAGATTCCGCACCCTTTCACAGCCAATCCAAATTCAATTTCGACGACGATTGGGATTATACGAAAGCCCGCCATAATGTTCCACTGCTCAATGGTTCACTGGATCATGATACGTTGCCTGTTTACACGTACGGACGGGTAAGTTTTATGTTCGGTTAAACGCATAAACAAGGTTTAGCAGAGTCTGGATCTTTATCATCCTCTCAATACTCTGACAGAAAAAATACGTCCACAATAAATTTAGAAACTTTAACAATTTAAAAATTGAACTGGCTTTTACTTGATGAAAATCCATTTAACAAAATAAATAAGAATTAAAAGTTCAGATTTTCACGAAAGTAAATATTTTGACATCGTGTCATTATCAAATGTAATATTTACAAATTACCTGCTACTATATATATATATATATATATATATATATATATATATATATATATATATATATATATATATATATATATATATATATATATATATATATATATATATATATATATATATATATATATATATATATATATATATATATATATATATATATATATATATATATATATATATACCGAAAAATGGCATTAAATTAATTAATGTTGTGAGAATTTAAGTTTAATAAAAAAGAGGTATTGAAATCTAATTGATCGTTAAGCAATAAATTTGAATGTCTCAATTTGTTAATCTCCATGGCTTCCAATAAATTTAATTTTCTACTTTTTGTGGCTGTATGTAAAATATCAAAATTATCGTCAAAAATGCGTTTTTCTGTGTTTAAGTGTGTAGCATAATTAGAATCTAGACTATTCTTTTTAAACGCTCGTTTATGTTCGTTAATGCATTTCTTGAAGGATGTACCTGTTTGTCCGATATAAATTTTAGGACTACATCCGCATTTCAACTTGTAGACATCTGATTTTTGAGATTTTGGACATTTCGTTTTATTGTTTTTTAAAAAAATTCCTATTGTGTTGTTAGTTCTGAAAGCTATTTTTAAACCACATTTTGACAAATGTTTTGAAACTTTTTCACTGGGTTATCCTATATATGTAATTGTTTTCAATTGTTCGTGTTCTGTATTAAGTTTCGGATAAATAGAGTTTACTGTTACCTGGATTTGTTTTTTATTTATCATTTTATCGATAATGGACGGATTGTAGTCGTTGTTCAGTGCAATATGTTTAACGATATTAAGTTCTTTGTTGTAATGTTCTGTTGAGAGTGGCGTATTAAGAAGTCTGTGTATAAGGGGTATAAGGGTATAAGGGTGATTTGAGATGTTATGTATCACTGTATCCGTGTGTGAAGGTTTATGGTGACTGGAAAAATCTAATTTGTTTTGCGTTTTCGTAATAGTTGAATCTAAATAATTAATCGAGTTATCTCCATAGTGAATTTTATACGATTATATAAGTTAATGTAATTTAAAAAAAAATCAATTGTCTGTCCGTTCCAACAAAGACATCATCCACGTATCTATACCATCATAAAAACTTTCACTTAAAGGATGTTCTAGTATGATATTTTCCAAATTATCCATTATTATGCTGCACATTTAAACACAGAAAAACACATGTTTGACGACAATTTTGATATTTTACCTACAGCCACAAAAAGTAGAAAATTTTTGGAAGCCATGGAGATTAACAAAATGAGACATTGAAATGTATTGCTTAACGATCAATTAGATTTAAATATATCTCCATTATTAAACTTAAATTCTCACAACAACATTAATTACGGTTTAATTGCCATTTTTCGGTATATATAGTAGCAGGTAGTTTGTAAATATTACATTTGATAATGACACAGTGTTGTCGAAACAATTGTCATGTGAAAATATATAATTTCGTGAAAATCTTAACTTTTAGTTCTTATTTATTTTCTTCAATTTAAACAAAATTGTTTGTCTGATGATTTAAACTATAATAAAAATATAATAAAAAAGCTATTGTAAGATGTGTCTCTCAAAGCAATGTTTCATGTCTAAAGGGAACCCCATGAGTAATAGTGCTTATATTTATGAATACTTCACATTACTGTAGATTTTTTTGGGTTCAAGAGCAAACCACAAAAATTCTATTCGTTCAAGGTCACTGTTTGACTGTTTGACTGTGTGACATGGGTGATTTCTAAGCTCCGAAAACTAGACTTTTTAATTTTTTTATGCATATTATTCTTCTATTTTACCGTAAAAATTAAAAAACAAATGGGATTTTACTATTTCATTTTTACGGAAGGAATTAGAAGATTATTCTTATCACTCAGTGCCTTCGGTTTATACAAAGACGGATTTAATTTTTTTTTTTACATTTAGTATATTTAAATTTCGTATTGCGAAGGAAGACACTTTTTGGGGTAGAGTAACACATATTTCTCCAACATTTTTTATCGATTAACGCAAAAGCTGCCATAAATATTCCTTTTAGGACTTGAAGGTTCAGGGCTTGAAGGGCGGGGCCCACATCCAATATTCCGCGAGCAGGAACTCCAAAGGGATAAGGGATACCGTGTCGTCTAAAATCACCTGCGGAGTTTGCAAATTAGGTAAAAAAGTATATAAATATTTCCGTATCGAACCTTTTTTAATAACTTAGGCGTGGGTTTGCTAAACGCGGAAATAAGATCGGGCAGTAGTTTCGACTCGATCGGAGAAAAATTCGTTTCGCTATGCGTGACGTTCCGCATTGAAACTTTGCCGGTTTGCCAGGGAATATTCGACACGTACGCGCCGGAAATCCTGCCCGTCCTGCAAGTTTCTCCCATAGGTTTGTACTTGATTGTTGAATGGAACTAATACAATTTTACTGGTAGAGTTTTCCAAATGATATACCGTTTTTATGACATAATAAATGTTTATTATAATTATAATTGAAGGAGTAAATTTAGCTCTAAAATAATGTTACAATATTTATTAAAAAAAAGTTATTTTACATCAAAATAATCACACACCCATATTAATAATTAATTCTGGTACTAATGGACTTCTGTTAACATTTTCTTCTTCGATGACATGTTCTACACATTGGAAGCAGATATTTTTTGTACTTCACTCTAATTAATTCTATTGCCTCAGAATTAAGTTTCGGCGAGGTATTGTTTCTTTTTTTCAAAGATGTCTCCTGTCATGTTTTCGTGGTAGTCAACCTTTGTTTCTTTGACATCTTTTACAGAAGGCAACAAAGCGTTATCTACCCTAAATACGAGGTTAGCGCCAAAATTTCCCGGCCTGACATAGATGCAGCTCCAGTGTCACGATAAAACTTTGTCTTCTTTTAAATATGTATCTTAGTAGGCTGCGAAAAAAAAAATTGAAGTCTTGCGTCGAATAGTTTTTTATTGACAGCATTTTGCACAAGACGTATTCGAAAAAATGTCGCACATAACGCAAATTGAGTATAGAGTAGTCATAAAGGTTTTGACAAAAGAAGGGTTAGCACCTAAAATTATTAAAGAAAAGCTGGATGGTGTGTACGGCCAAAGTTCTCCTTCGTATTCTGTAGTGAAAGGATGGGCAAAAGGTTTTTGGTTAGTTTGATTGATGATTCAAGAACTGGTCGACCAGTGGAGGTCATAACAGAAGATATTGTTGCGATTGTGGAAGAGGTGGTATTGAGTGATCGACGTTTAAAGGTCAAGGAAATCTCAGAAATTACTAAGCTTTCTGATACAAATGTTCGTCGAATTCTGCATGATCATTTAGGTACGCATAAGGTTAGTGCAAGATGGGTTCCTAAAAACCTTTCGGCTATTCAAAAACAAAGCCGTATCGAGTGTGCGCGGTCTTTTTTGGAACTCTGTGGGTCGGAACCGAAGCCTGTGATAGAAACTATTGTGACGGGAGATGGTTCTCTATTATGACCCTCTATCGAAAAAAGAATCAATGGAGTGGCGTCGAAAGGGTGAAGCACCTCCAGAAAATTCAGAGTCTGCCAGTCAACAAAAAAGGTGATGGCCACGATCTTTTGAGATTGTGAAGGAATTCTTTTGATAGATTTTAAAGAAACTAATACCACTGTCAATGGTAAATATTACGCAACATTATTACATAAATTGCGAGACTGCATACGTGTAAAACGTCGACGAAAACTGACCAGAGGCGTGCGTCGTTTGCACGATAATGCACCTGTCCATACTGCTAGTGTTGCCCAAGCTGCCATTTTAGAGTGTGGCTTTCAAAAGATAGATCATCCTCCCTATAGTCCAGATATGGCCCCCAGCGACTATTATTTGTTTGGATATTTGAAAAAGGACTTACGTGGACTTTGGTTAGTTTTGGTTAGACAAACCAAAAGAATATTTGTTTAAAGGGATTGAATTGTTAATAAAGAGATGTAATAAGTGTATTGAAGTTAAGGGGGATTATATTGAAAAATAATAAAAAAATTGTTACTCTACTTTGTTTATTTTAGAATCACATTATGCTACACCCTTAAATTGGAAATCAGTTTATGTAGGAGATCAATTTATCTAACGGACAAATTCCACTTGAAATCGAGCTGCCTCAAATAGGTAGGAAGATTTATAACAAGCACACTAATATGAATTAACAGTTTAATCAACGAAAATTTCCCTACTCTTAAAATACAACAGTCCGCATGACACAGTCCTTGTCGGCTGACATCTTAAATGCGGCCCTGGCTTGTGGTACACCTGCTGAAAAGAAGGGTCCTTTGCGCTTTACAAAAACACAAAAGGTTGTAAACACTGTATATTGTTTGGAGAACTCTACTTGTCGCTTTCGAAAGATCGATAAAGCGAATTTTTCGAAAGATCCGAAATTTGAAGCTATCGAATTAAAAAATTTTGGACGTATAAAGCTTAACTCTCTAACGGAACCTATTGAAAATTTGTGGAATTATATACAAGGTGTTTTTTTTTTTGGGCAAAAATTCTGAAAATTTCCGGTTAATAGTTGGTTGTAAATAAAAAATGTTTAAAGACGGGATAATTTTGTTTAAACAGTGTCGTAAAATGTGTCGAAAGCTGGGTGGTAATTTTTAAAAATATACGGAGTGTGCCTTTTATTCGCAAAAAACTGATAATTGCAATAACTAGAAGACTGATTTATTTGTCCATTTATTTTATACAATGTTATAGCCTGTATAGACATTTAAAACTTTTATATTTAAGGTTTTCACCTATTGTGCAGAATTGTATATTAAAAATGTATTAAGTGTCCTAAATTTGCAGCTACCGACTTCAAATTTGGTAGAGAGCTACAAAACTATACTAACATCTACACTGTATAAACTAGGTTGCAATCGTATATACCCAAGTATTTAAAAAAAGATCAATTTTTTTTTTGGGTTATTTGTGCTTCCAGAAAATAATTGTTTTTCCGAAAGCATTTACCTTATCCGAAAAATTCTTGAATCAGAAAACGCAGAATATGCAAGGCTATAACTTTTTTTCAAGCATTTTTTCGATTAAATACAGGGTGTTCCAGTTATGAACAAAAATCCAATAAACCCTGAAAAGATAATACTAACTTTTGTATTAAAAGTTTTTCGCGGTGACTTTCGTTAACCGCTGTAGGCAGCTACGCAAATATAAAAAATAACCCTGTACAATAGGTGACAACTTTAAATACAAAAGTTTCAGCGGTCCATACGGACTATATTGTTATGTAAAATAAATTCACAACTGAAACGTAGCCTTAGTCTTAGCAGTCTAGTTATGACAAATTTTCATTAAAAGAGGAACCCAATTTTTCGATTTATGTGTCTAACTTTAACTCAAACCGTTTGGAAGTTAGACACGTTTTTTAATATTTAAATGCGTATAAACACTGTGTTCAATCTTTCGGTAATATTATTGGTTTATTGAGGTTAAACGGCTTTCGGTGTGATTGGTTAGATCGTGTATTAGACTAAACGTTAAATTCAGCACCCTTCTAAGAATATATTATCACAACTCTACGTAGAAGCACTATACTTTAACTAACTTACTTTCAAATATGTATATCATTGTTCTTTTGCTAACTAAAGTCCGACTTTCTTCGCTTTTACGCAGCACTAGCTCTGAAACAGTAGTTAAGCATTCTACTGCGAATGCACTACTTTACTTTAATTTTTAGTGTGGATTAGTGTAAAACTACACTACGTAGGTATTAAGATTAGTGTAAAATTTACACACTAATCTTCTGTTGCTCTTGTTGCTTTATCTATCTAATGTTTATCTACTGTTGTAGTGATAATTTTGTTCTAAGGAGCAGCAGTGAATTTTACACAATTTTCTACCGCGAACAACACTGGATGCATTTTTTGCTGTATCAAAAGAAAATCTTGCTTTCATTGACTATACTTTTGTTTGTGGAATTAGGGTGATCGGTCTGTTTTAGATATAAATGACATATGCGGTTTGTTATTCGGTGACGCTTGCGGACACACAAACATCCCGGAACACGAATGGAGCGTTGCTCTTCCGGACACACCCAAACCGGAAGTTCGAGAGACAGATCAACCTCTACCGGTAATCTCATTTGTTTTTCCCTTTCATAAGTATTGCAGCGAATCAAACAATGAAAAAATTCGCGATATTTTACAAAACCAGGAGATCGAGTTTTCAATACCGCGATGTATTTCTTTATCGAGTTAGCTGTGATCGTATCCGACAAAACGAAACTCTGATTGTCGGCCATTTTGGTTCAGTAATTTGACATTTAGTTGCTTTGTTTTGTCAAGTGTCCATAATTTTAAGACCATGAAATTTATATTTATTTATGTTGTGCGTATTTATATTGTGGGACCAAATGAACCCAATGTTATTATTGGGATTCTTGGAATCGCTTAGTATCGTATTCCGATATTCCTTGGAGAGGGTTAGAGGTATATAATATAGCGAAACTCTGTATAACGTAAAACTCTATATTACCAACAAAATTTGTTGTACTATTAGGTCTCCATACAAAGCTATATATTAATCCACTATATATAACGAATTTCTTACCCTCCATACCCAAAGAAAAAAGCGCACATCAGGCAACAAAGTAAGGAATGTAGGTCGACTTGAATTAATAGAGTCTCTTACCTTCTCAGAATTCCTTACAATAATAATCTGATTACCGAGAACCTGGTCGTCCTAAGTATTTTTCTCCTAAAAAGCGATTACGTTAATGCCTTTATCGGTATGTATAAAAGCACACCATTGTTTCAATCAGTTCTAATTTGACTTAGTGAATACGGCGAGCGAAAAATTTTATTTCTGGATGATAAAGTTGCTTTAATTCGGGAGATAGAACGAGGAGAAAAGAAAAGTGATGTGGGACGTCGATACGTACTTACACCGTCGACTGTATCCACGATTTGGAAGTGTAAAGTGGGTGGAAACTTTCTAAAGAACGTATAAAAGTGTTAGTAGCTGCCAATATGGGTGGGAGAGGAAAAAGAAAGCTAGTCGTGATTGGAAAATCAACTAACCCACGATGTTTTGAGAACATCAAGCATTTGGAGGTCACTTACAAGGCAAACAAGTCTGCATGGATGGAAGAAAATGTTACTTCTCTTAGATAACTGCCCTGCATATCCCCATATTCCAAATCTGCGGAATATTGAATTGGCATTTCTTCTAGCCAAAACAACAAGTGGAGTACAGCCGATGGACTAGAGAGTAATAAAAAGCCTTAAGAGTTGATACAGGAAAAACATTTTAATGGAAATGATCGAGTCCGATGACAAATGTTCCATTAATATGCTAGATGCAGTCAACTTTATTCGTAAAGCTTGGAAAGAGGTGGCAGCAGAAATAATTCAAACACAATGCGAACAGGACTTGGAATATGATCAGCCACTAAGCGAGTGGATAAAGCATTTTCAAAAAAAAATTACGTTTACAAGTGAGGAGTTGCAAGATTTTATGGTGATAGATCAGGATTTGCCTACCACAGTAGGCTTGACAGAGGAAGCCAATTACAACAAGCAAGAAAGGGTGCGGAAGAGCACCAGGAGGAAGAAGAAGATGAAGAAATTGATCTGGGACCACCATCAACCATTCAAAAAGCCCTATATTTAGTTAAGCTGCTAAAGAAAAATTTTATGTATATTAAATATTTATATAAAATGTTCCTAAGTAGATGTTAAAATATGTATATAATATAATTAAATATTACAGAACACATATGCGTATTGTTATTTTTCAAGCGCCTATAACTCTTTATAACGAAAAAAAAATTTCGCTATATAGAGTTTCGACTGTATTTTCCTTCTCAGTTGTTCAAAATTTAACTCTTTAGGTTTGTATTCTAATGTTCCCATTATGCCGCAAGGGGATATCCTCAGGCCATCTATTTAGAGAATAACTGTGGTATATCGTGTACAGTAAATCCGCAAGCTATCCAGTTAGAGGATATCCCTGGGATGTATTTTACAGTATATATGCTAACGTATATCCTAAGAATATCCTCCACATGTCTCGGGACATGCGACTTAAATGGGACATTGACCGGATATAGTGGGGATATTGTGGGTAGGTTTTAAGTACAGCTGAATAAGAATTCGTTGCCAATTTATTTATTTTTAAATCCATAATAGTACTTCTCTCTTGTTCAATAGTCTCAGTTGGCCGTGAAGCAATAAGCAAAACAAGGTTTTAGTGCATTTTTCAGAGACCCATCCAACAAAAAAATGTTTATCATAATCGAACAACAGATTTTAAAAGGGTGTACAGTTTTTTATTTTTATGACTTTACGATGTGACGAAATTTAATTGAACATTTACAACGTGATGTTCTATAATTTGTCAAAAATAAATGCATCCACGTAGAGAACAGCGGCCCTCAATGATCCATTGTCGTATTGTCTAAACGCGATTTACCGGACACAAGTAACGATTTGAAAGCACAAATTAGTATATCGACAGACAATAGAATTAGTACTTGTAAACCTTTTGAATTACGGAGACTAACTACACCGTAATTTTACGGTGTTTGGCGTTGTACGGCATTAGTAGGTAGGTAATTTTTAAATTAATGAATTCGCATCCGTCATTTTTCCCGTGATTCGATTCAAAGTAATAAATAACACTTTTGAGACGTGGGACCGACCGATCCCATTTATAATTAAACGCAAAACCTAATAAGCATACAGGGCGAGTCAACGATAGAGTAAAGTTCATTATAGGATGCACAATTTAAAGTTATTTCAAAGTATACAGGGTGGCGCAAAAAAGGGGCGACGAATATGACATACATTTTTTATTTATTTTAAAATTTTGTTCTGACTTCCTTTTGAAAATCTTCAATTTTTTTTATCAATAATAATACATTCGTAAACCTAATAGTTTATCTAGTATTTTAATTTTTCTAAAATACTAGTTTTCCCGCTGACGATTTATTCGAAGGTGACGTAAAAGACATATGCATCGGAGTTTGAATTATATACTACAGAATGTTCGAAATAAATGAATATATTTGGATCAATTTAAATTAAAAAATCACGATGTTCTTAAATGGCACACCACATAAATTATTATTTTTCCGATCTTGCAAATATCTACAAATTTTATTAAGTACGTTAAATTTTTAATCCTTTCAGATTTATTTTAATTTGTCCAAAACTTACCATTTTTTCTGTCTAATTGCTATAACCTTGGCTCTGACAAAACAATTAGTTAAGATTAAAAAATGAACGGGAGAAAGAGCCATAGCTAAAGGAACAGACAATTAATAACAATTTTAGTGAAAATAACGGACAAATTTTAAATTCATAGAAAAAGTAATAGTTTTTGGGTATATTTTAGTAAAACAACACTAATACATTCACTGACATGAGTGTCAGAATTGACAAACGTCAAAATTCAAAGCGTGGGAAATATCTCCGAAAACATCCGATTCCTCCCAAACCGGTGCTGTAAAATCTCGGAAATGTCCGAAGTGGTTCGAATTAGTGGGAAACGAAGCTGTCGTGGTGACGCTTCCCGCACGTTAGATCGGTGTGTAATTAGGCATTTTACAGACGGGAGTAGAAAAATAATATTAAATACCTATTACTACAAATTCCTCTTGGATCCATTCATTTCTGTGGATAATGATAATTCTCGAATTTCTCATGGGAAACAAAACTGACGTGGTACAGTTACGCTTCCCGCACTCTAGATCGGTGTGTAATTAGGTATTTTACAGACGGGAGTAGAAAAAAAAATTATGCACCGATCTAGCGTGCGGGTAGCGTCACTGTACCATGTCAGTTACGTTTTCCACGAATCCGAGCCAGTTCGGCCATTTCCGAGATTTTACCGCACGGGTTTGGGAGCAATCGGATGTTTTCGGACATATTTTCAACGCTTTCAATTTTGACATTTCTCAATTCTGACAGTCATGTCTGTGAATGTATTCGTGGTGGTTTGCGAAAATGCACCCAAAAAGTAACGGTCGTAGAAAAAGTATAGTATGCAACTCGTTTGGTAAACTTTTTAAATCACTCGTTTATTAACTTAACGTTATAAACTCGTGAGTCAAATGCCGTTTACTGCACTTGTTGCATAATATACTATTATTCCACTGTGCGATAAACGGCATTTGACTCACGCGTTTATTTGACACGACCGAAGCGCAGCGGAGCGAGTTTTTAATAAACGAGTGAGTTAAAAAGTTTACCGAACGTGTTGCATACTATACTTTTTCTACGACCGTTAGTTTTTGGGTACATTTTCGCAAAACAATAAAAATACATTCACTGACATGACCGTCAGAATTGACAAACGTCAAAATTCAAAGCGTGGGAAATATCTCCGATTGCTACCAAATCCGTGCGGTAAAATCCCGGAAACGTCCGAAGTGACTCGGATTCGTGGGAAACGAAACTGACGTGGTAAAGTGACGCTTCCCGCACGCTAGATCGGTGCGTAATTAGGTATTTTACGGACGGGAGTAGAAAAACTATATTTTAAACACAAAATTTCGATCGGCCCCTATTGCCTCATTTATAGCGGTGCAGAGGTTCACCCTTTGTCCAAAATCTTCAAGTTCTTGGAATATTTGTGTTTTCTAGTGGCCCGCTTAACGAACTTAAAGGCTAGGGATTATCTTGAACTTGAATTACAATTTTCAATTGTTCATTGTTAGCATTCCGGTTTACCACTTTCCGTTTTTCATATTCAATACTACTACTAATATCAAACAGTTCCATTATCTAGTTGGTATACATCTATTAGGGTACTTCGCCTTGTAAAACAAAATATTTTTCCCGCCACACCCAATAAATAAATCACATTAATTAATTCAGCTTTAGAAAAATCCATACTTGGTTTGTGATTTTTAGTTTTAATTTACTGGCTCCATAATTAATTTTAAGAATTTGTTTACTCAGTTGTCAGGTAATAATGTACTTTTATAGCAATAGTCTTAGACAGAAAGAAGGGTAGATATTGTCGCATCAGTGTTATTTATTAATTCGAACTTTTGAATTGTTTGTCCTTACTTACTTTGATAATAAACGGGCCACCCCGTATGTGGTATACTACGTAATTGACTAATCATGAAAAATGACGTGTAGGTATCATCCTCAGGCAGGTACCCCGTATTTCAAAGTACTGCACATATCGGATACCCATTACGACCCGGAATACGTGGAAGGTGCAATAGCCAACTGCCAAGAACCTCTGTGCTGTAGGCCGTACAGCACGGCCGGAAAGGAACCGATAATACCGGCAGGGAAGTGAGTTGAAGATTCAGTTTATGTCACAAGAAAAAATAACAGACGAGGAACATTCATTATTTTGCACAAAAGTGTTCCTAACGTTGAAATCGATAAAAGCAATAATTTCCAGACCTTTCAGGTTTTTTAAACAAATTGAACTAATACTAATACTAATAAAAACATATGCAGGAATACCGAAAGGATAGATCTGAAATGATAAATTATGTAATACTATTTACAACACTATTGGATTCTTCCTTCATTCCTCTGGTTGTCGATGAATGGAACTTTCTGACGTTTCGCCAATCGTCCTGTTGGCTTCTTTAGAGCTTCACTGAAACTGGCTCGCATTTTACTCTGTACCTGCTTATATATTGTTTGAGGAGGGGCAAAGCTAAAGGCGTGCATGAACGTTGTCTCGGATGACTGATTCCCATATTGGACAAACGTAAAGACCTGACTGTTAAGATTGTTTGTTTGCATGTAGAATCCTATAGATTCTCGACTTTTTCGTTGGTAGAAGAATTGATTGCATGCAAGAAAGATGGTTTAAGTTAAAATTATCCTTGCAGCACTATCTGCATTTCGAGCAATATATAGCGGCCCATTATATATAAGCGATGACTTAGCAAATTAGCAATCATTTACAGTGTATCTCACACTAATTCACTTAAAAATAACATCTTACAGAAAGCAGGCCACGAGAGGAAATCTTTGTATTTCTGCTGCCAATAAATAAAAATAAACCCATAACTTTCTTTAAGCACTTGTGTTGTAATGAAATCATCAACAGCTACGAGTAAATTGCAGCTCATGCTTAAAGATTTATAGTTCAATACGTGCGCTGAAGGTCAACCACACGGAATTAATGTGTCTTTTTTTATTGAACTTTGTTTACCGTTCATGAAGGAAAATATTTGGCAATTATACGACTAAATCTTGGCAAGCTTTCAAGAGGCGGACATATTCAGTGGGAAACTTGGTGATGGTCCACTTGCTTGGTCGTGGTAACAACCACGTTCACCTGATTTATCTCTGTTATATTTTTTGTGGCCATTACCGTTCTTGTAAAGTATTCGTTTCCTGCTGGTAGCTTGCCATCTTAATTAAAAGATGCCACAGATCAAGAAATACTTCCACCTAATGCTTGATGCCGATAAAATAGAAACCTTGTTTTTAACCAATGGCCTTGCGCCAATAACCAATATGGCCGCTGGCAGATCACCCATAAGTTTCCTAAAATATCTCTAGATCTCGTAAAAAATTCTGAGCAAGCAAGGTAAAAGTAAATGGCAGACAGTGCAGGCTTCAGAAATCTTGGAGAGTTACTGATTTTATGTTTTGTAAATCTTTAAATTTGCGTTCTGTTATTGACAATGGCAAATTATATAAAATATTATCCATCTGTTACTGCAAAACTCGTAAATCGGCTACAGTTGGATCAAAACCCATTTTTCCAAAGCGAATTGAGTCATGCATAAAAAGTAGTTTATATGCGGTGACTTTTTGGCTAAATAACGATGGTTCTTTCTGGCTTGGGTGGTTACTGACTATTTCAGATGTTGGTCAGATAAATATTTTTCTTCTAGCAAATTAATTAAAAAAGAAGCATACACACCACGTCACCTGTTCTTAATAATTCTCCCTCCTCTAAGTGTATTATGAAAAGTGTTGACTTGACCAGCACTAGTTAGTTCTGATCAAGCATTCTTCTTGTTTTTTGTTCAGATTTAGTTTATCATTTCTCTATAAAACTTCTGTTTCCTATTCCTCCTCTATTTCTTCTTCTTGTCCCTCGTCTTCTGTATCTTCTTCTGCGTCATTTGAAAGTGGATCAGTTTTACAATGTTTCGGAACTTCGTGTGTTGTTATTTGATTTGTTTTAGTGTCATTGCTTTCCAAAACCGAATTTTTTTTTGGATCTAGAACTCATATTTCTGAAAAAAAAAGACCTCGTATCTAACCAACCAACTACAACGTGGACTTAAAAATAATAACTGGTAACTGACATAACAAAATATAAATATTTTTATACCAGACAGCTACACATGTTTATTTTGTAAGACATTAAGCTGCATAAATATTTTATTTTAATTATTATTGACGTATTTTTCTGCTGATTTTGCTAACAGATAGAACTAGTGCTTTTGATATTTTCGTGTGTGTCGCGACATAAAGGTGATTTTTAGATAATTTTTGTACTAAAAAGTGTAATTTTTTGAGTTATCCAATTGTAGTATTGATCAGTCGGATTCCTTGCATCCGGGTAAATTAAAATTGGAATTCTAATATCTATTTCATGTTGCTTAGATGGGGTTCTTATCAGAAATGCGACGCTCCCAGAGTACTAATAGAGAACACTTTGAGGCATATTGCAGAGGAACATCCCGTACGAACCTTTTCTATCGAGGCAGTATAGAATGTAACCGATTCTCTGGGTTTTAGGATATCGATTACATAATGTGGACCGGAGATTTACCACCCCACGACATATGGAATCAGACCAAGAAAAAAAATTTGGAAGTGATTTCTGAAACTGTCAATTTGTTCCTAGAGGTGTTTCCCAACGTCGCCATATTTCCCGTGATCGGAAATCACGAGGCTTGTCCCTCGGGAAGGTAAGAAAAGCACAACCCTTGTTTGAAGAGAAAACTTTGCACAGTTGTAAACGTTGATTTCTCACGGCATAATCGACACACCCTGTACATAATTGAAAAAAATCCGGAAATGGAGGTTATAACCCTAGATCTCCCACTTTTCCACGTTAAAGAATTTTTTCAAAATGGTAAACGGTTTTCGAGAAAATCAGTTTTTTCTGAAACCATGCAGTGCACCGTAATAACCCCAGGAATAGTGATTTTCAAGTGGATTTTTTCAAATATCTCGAGCAACCGTGTGAGATGGATGAAAACCGCAAATACAAAAATTATAGCTCTTGACACGGTTCGAACCGCTTAGCCATATTTTTTACGAATTTTGATTTAGGGCTAATTATTTATTCTGGAAAACAACAATTTTCAGGGTCCTTTATATTTTTGTGTATAGTCCAAAAACCCTGTACATTAGCGAAAAAATGCTTGAAATAAAAGTTATAGTACCGGATTTTCCCCGTCTTTTGGTTAAAGAATTTTGGAAATCGGGTATACAGTTTTCGAGAAAATAATTTCATTCTGAGAGTCAAAATTACCAAAAAAATGTTTTCAAAAATGGTTCGAGGCATTTGATGACGTCCGGTTTCAACAGTTTAAATGACGGTGTGAAGTACTACCTCTCTGCCTAACTTAAAGTGGAAAGCTGCTTATTTAGGTCACCTTCCACATTTCGTAATATAGCACTTAATATCTTGAACACCCTGTACAATATGTAAAAACCTTAAATACAAAAGTTTTAGATGTTTATGTGGGCTAAATAACCGTGTAAAAGAAACTCACAGCTGGATCACAGCTTGCTAGTTACGGCAATTATCTTTATAAGGGGAACCCAATTTTCAGTTTTTTGTAAATTACCGACGCAGCACCCTGTACATTTTTAAAAAATCATCAAGAATAATGGTTTTTGGTCCGGATCTTGCGCGTTATACATACATACATACATACATACCGTTTTCGAAAAATTCGATTTCATCGATTTTTCGAAAGTGACAAGCTGAATATAATTATTATAAAAGACCAAACCAAACCAATTAGGAACTGAAGTATCGCTGATCGTATCCATGGACCATAGAATAGCACGGACCAAAAAAATGTTTAAATTTAGAACAGACAATTTCTTCATCCCTTGGTAATAAAGATGAAAAAGTAAGGTCTGTTCATAGATATAAGAAAGCGACTAACTGATATGAATTAAGGAAGCAAGTAGCAATGAAATATGGCCGAACAGGTCCGTACTTTGCTTAGAATTTAATTATTTGGGGTTTTGTTAGGGAAGATACTAAACAATATTTATTTATTTATTTATGTATTTATGTTTAAATCTAAAATAAAATTACAAATTATTTTTATTACCTACTTAAATTACTTAAAATTATTCACATCAGTATCACTATCGCTATCATCACCTGTTCTAATAATTATTTGTTCTATATTATTTGCAATATGGATATACGATTGTTCTGCTTTTTCTATATGTTTAACAGAATTTGTCCAACTTTGTGGAGGGATGTTAAAAACTTCGGTTTCTATAAGTTTGAGGACATTGGAGTTAACACGGGGAAAAACATTGTTACGACGAATGGCAGATTCAGTTGGGATTAAATATACAGTGGTAAGGTGGAAGCCTTAAAACTGTATACCCGAGATTTTTTGCATAATTATCACAGACGTATTCCGTTTGTAGGTTCAAGCTTTGTAGCAACTCAATTAATTGCTTTTTGGTATAATCTTCGTGAAAATAAACGTCGTTATTATACATGTAGTTTTGGATTGTTGCTTTTGTGTTGCAGTTGAGTCAACCCAACCCTAATAGGTTTCATCCGAGTAAGTAATTGTCCTTTGTTCTCTGTAAATCCTATTTTTTTCTAGATATTCCAATCGCCATTTCCGAATTCTAAAATATTCCATTAAAACTTGCCTTTTGTCAATTTTTTTAAATCTAAAACCCATGTGTTGAATACACTTCCATAAGGTAGTTCTGCCACATTTAACACCGATTTCATCTTTTTCAAGCCTCCTAATTAACATATCTAATGTAGGCGCGCTTTGTTCCTCGTATAACTGGTAAATTTTACGCCGTATTATATCTTGATCACTTTCATCTACACTCGAGAAAATGTCAGCATCGCTTCTTTTTTTACTTCGCTGAAATGGGATTATTCACAATTTCCCATACAGTTGGATGTTGGAATTTTCGTCAATGTGGCCGTTTCTTCTAAAGACGCTTGCTTGCTGGCACCACGTTCAATGAGAGTCAAATAAACATTGTTTATAACTTCCTTAGTCTCAATAGAATAGTGTTTTCTACATTTGGGCGGGAGCATCTAATGAGATACACTAGACTCGCACATATTTTGCATAATTCGCACACGATTCAACACACGCTGTATTACACACGAAATAAGAATGATTGCTAATAAACTTAAACTAAGTAGTATACCAAACCAAAGAATATTAAACACAGGTAGGTATAAAATTATATTCTATTACGGACCACAATTTTACCTGAATTTAAATTCCGAAACTTTAGGTAATAATCTTGTTGCATTGTATGTTAATGACCACCCTTGGATAATCCTATTCAAATGCAATTGGTCACTTTCTTATATCTATGAATAGACCATACCCGATATTTAACAATCACAATTTTGGTAACATTTGTACGAGGGATTTTGAGCTGAGTCAAATTTTGGTGTTAATGAATCACAATAAATATCTTGTATTCTCGTTCGAGCTTCGCTCCTCCGTGGATGAAGGACGACGACCATTCGTCCGCGTGGATCTACAATCAGATCGCCGAACATTGGAGCAAATGGTTACCAGCTAGTTCTGCAGATTCAGTGCTGCATGGAGGCTTTTATTCGGTTCTATTACGACCGGGGTTTCGCCTTATCGCTATAAATACGAATTACTGTCATTCTTTGAATTGGTAAGTTCTTATTATAGATTTAAGCTTGTTCGCTTCTCGAACTGAAACATCCGTTTCAGGTGGCTTATAGTGAACAGTACAGATCCGGCCAGCGAACTGAAGTGGCTCGTACATGAGCTCCAGCAAGCCGAAAATAATAAGGAAAAAGTTCATCTGATAGGTACATAATGTCAAAATCTGTTTTGACTATTTTTAATAACATAATATCTATACCTTTTTATATGGATTATATCTTTCATCTACACTCGAGAAAATGTCAGCATCGCTCCTTTTTTTTTGCTCGCTGGAATGGGATTGATTATTCACAATTTTCCATACAGTTGATGTTGGAATTTTCGTCAATGTGGCCGTTGCTTGCTTGCTGGCACCACATTCAATGAGAGTCAAAGAGTCAAATAAACATTGTTTATAACTTCCTTAGTCCCAATAAAACAGACAATGAGTCCGAAAGCTGCTCTACATTTGCCACTGTTATCCTTGCACTCAAAACAGCTAAAGAAAAATCTCTTTGATCTTCGATCAGTCGTAGACATAGACATCCTCTAGCTCCGCCCCCTCAAACAATATATAAGCAGGAGGAATGGTTTGTTAGTTTGTAATAGCCAGCGGAAATTTCTTCGAAAAATAACAATTTCTGATGGTTGACCTTTAAACTTTTTTCTGATAAAATAAAGTTGTGTTTTGTTACTAGAAAAATTGAAATGATTTCACTAGGAAAATGCATTTCAAAAAATTAATTAATTTTATCTTGATTGTTCCCAATTTGATTTCTAGCAACATTAGTAACTCTTCTGGGTCATCTACTTCTGTGACCAAGCTGATCAATGTACTGGTCCATCTCGACCTATCCACTTGTTTACAAAATTATTATCTAACCAGTTTCTAACACGTGTTGCGTAATGCTGAAAGCACGTCTCCAAATGAGTAATTTAAGCAAGCATTAGTATTGAAGCTGTTAGGGAAAATATGGACCCATTAACTCATACAAAAACCTATGTTTAAAGTTGATTCTATGACCAACCTTTCATTTTAATAACTCTAGAAGTGTGCGTTGTGAGTGTTAAAAGCTTTATCTCTTGAAACTGTTGCTTCGCCAGATCACAAAATTCTGTCCAAAATATCTTGATGGTTGAAGATGCACTGGCGAAACTCTAAAAGATTTGGAAGGCGTTTGTGCCTTAAATTTAAGATGCAGAATCTAACAACTCGTTTACCTACGCAATAAAACTGGAAATAACGGCGAAAATTTTCAACAAACAAAATTGAGGACTGATATAAAATATTTATCCTAGGTGGAGGATGTGAGATGTAGGCCTAAATGTGGCTTCAATTCTAGGGACGTAAAATTTTACTTTGCTTAAAAGCCACTCAGACTTCACCTTACCATGCAAAAGCCCATACAGAAATATTAAAGAACCTCCTCCCTCCTAACCACCAGAGATGATTCCTTGCCTAATAGTACCTGATCAAGTCTTCTATCACCGACTATCATCAACTCCAAGTTATCAATATGACATTGACATATTGGACGCCACACCGATGACCCATATTCTAATTCAAGAATAGTTGACGTATTATTGAAGTGTCTTCAACTTCTTATTACAAAACCCAGAGAAGCCGATAAGACTAACTGCTCAATATGAGGTATAAGTCCTTTACTTAATCAATTCAATTTTTTTGTGACCACTTCGATTGACTTGTTAACTATTACTACAATCAAACTATTCGTGTTGTTTAATTTTGCATTAGCAATAGCTTGGGCTCTTTGAGAAGTTGTTTATAATTATTCGTGATTATGTTGTCATGTAGTAACATGTCAATGTAGTAGCATTTAACCGCTTTGTGATACTGTTGTAAAAAATGACCTTCTTGAATTATGCCAGTTTTCCTAGTGACCATTTGATTTTGAAAATATTTTTCAAACTCTAGACGGAAAGTTTTTTCCTGTCTAATAAATTCCCGCATAAAAAGATCGCTTGATTGTTGTTGATTTAGTAGTGTGCCTCACAATGTTTTATAATTATATGTTTCATAAGTATATGTATTATAGTTTATAATTTTATAATTAATATAACATATATTTGATTCTTTTTTAAAGTTTATTTCTTAAGACCGATCGTTTTATTTGACTCCGTGTTGTTACTCAGGACATATAGCGCCAGGGAGCTACGACTGCATGAAGATGTGGTCGAACAACTTCTACGACATAGTCGAACGCTACGAGTACACGATAGTGGCCCAGTTCTACGGACACAGTCATCACGACGAGTTCGAGGTTTTCTACGACACGGCCGAATACAGTAAGAACGAATCGTTAGGAAAACGCTCAAAGTTATCAAGAATAAAACACCTAAACCCGATAAAATTTATAGGTAGACCGACAAATGTTGCGTATTTGGGTCCCTCGGTTACCACCTATGAAAATTTCAATCCGGCCTACAGAATTTACTACATAGACGGTGATTACAATGGTACCACAAGGGTGAGTTCTCTGTTTAGGCGATTACCTCTCTGCCAGAAAAGTTTAATATGAGAATATCCTGTATCCTGCAGTTTTGAGAATTCTATATTGGTCTGTAATTGTACTCCATAGATCCCGATAGTGACAGGTAGTTTGACTTACCTGTGCCTTAGTGTTTAAAATTGAAAGTACCTAGGTGTGCTTTCTAAAAAATGAGATAATTTCTCAATGTGCTTAATGGTTTTCGCCACCAAAACTCAGCATTCGGAGTTGCAAAACTAGTTGAAATGTGCTCGAATACGACTGCAGTTAATAAAGGCAAAATACCATTATTTTTAAGGTTAACCTAAGCACTTGATTTTTTTTTTTTACTAGTTTATTGGCCCAGTAACTTAAGCGATTTGGCCAAAATTCCCAAAGCATGCTTGTAAAAAGGTACTTACCCATAGCAAAAAACGGCTTCCCCGCTCCATCCTCTGTCCATCCGGGGCCATCCCGCCTTTAACCGGCGTGGATGGCGAAAACAAGAGGGCCGACAACGATTAGACACTTTAAAACCTTCACAAAACACTTAGGAAACAAAAACCACACAATTGAAACCAATATCAAAACTTTATGGGACTATATCGGGAGTCAGCACAGGTGAAACCGCTATGTGCAATGCTCACGACAGAATCCGGTCTACTAGTTTTTGGTTAGTAACGATTCTTCTTATTGTATGCGTGCATATTAATTCTAGGCGGTAATATAATAAATAAAATACACGGACTAAATTCGCTATAAATAAATAATCGTTTATTGACCACTTATAAATACAAAAACGTATTTTTGAAATCAGGAAGAGTACAAACAAGATAAATATGTTACATATAAACAGTAAAACCAGGTCGACCGGATTGTGATATGTTTTTAAAATCTTTGACATTGGCTTCTGGTATGGTTCGTTTTACGCCACCATTATCCCAATATGTATGACGTTGCGGGCTATCAGCCAATGGTCGAATTTTGTGACAATTGACCTATTATCAAAGACCCATTGAAAATGACCAAAAAGTTTTGAAGCAGTAGAATCTATTTTGTTAAAAAAATCAGGAGTTTTAGCAAATTTCAAAGTCATTTAGAAAATGCTTAAAGTAGGAGAAGAAGTTTTTGAAATATAAAATTATATTCGCCTATCTTTTTTTCTTATTTCAATAGGCAATGTTTTAGTTAAATAAAATTATTATTATCTAATATTACAGCGATTTTCTGCAACCCCAATGAGTCTCTCATTTTGGATTATAAATATTTTCGACTCTCAACATTTTTCTTAAATTGAAATTTGAAAATTTCGAATTGTTTTGAATTTAAGTATTTAAGTTGTAGAGAAGACCACTTCACCCTTTAGCAAATTTTATATTTTTGTACTTTCTTCGTGCCCTGTACAAAAAAGAACCTTATATTTAAAGAAGCAGAAACTTTTTTTTTATAAAGAATGACTTTTTTCCGTATCGTTCGCATTTTAGTCAATTTCTACTCTTGTCTACTCCATCCGTAGACATATTGTATATCATAGCCTTTCAACTTGCTTTGCCTTTCTGTAAAAACCTCATCTGCTCAAAATCTTGAGAAATCTAGTTTTACTTTTTACAAAACCTCTGGATTAATCCTGCGCCTGTTTTTGCTGAATCGAACTTGCTGACGTTTCGCGAATCATCCTGTTGGCTTCTTCAGAGCTTGACTGATGACTCGGATGACTGATTCCCAAATTGCTGACAGGTAAAGACCTGAGTCGCGGTTGAGATTGTTAGGTTGTTTATAAATTTCTATAGACTCTCGGATTTTTCGTTGGTAGAAGAACTGATTACATGCAAGAATTTTAGTTTTATCGAATAAAATTTTATGTCCGGTTTCATGTGTGTGTTCGGCTGACAGCTTATTAGTTTATTTGTCGTAGTCGTAAGGCTCTTTCCTGTTCTTTGAGCCTAGTTGATATTTTTGGTCCAGTTTCTCCAATGTATTTTTTACCGCATATGCATGGAATGCTGTAAACTCCTGGCATCTCAAACGGAATTCTATCTTTGACGGACCGAAGATGTTGAGAGATTTTTGGATAAGTGGTAAATCTGGTTTTGGTTAGTTATACTTCTTTAGAACTTTTGATCTGTGGTCAGTGATGTTTTGAATGTAAGGAAGGACCACAGAGGCAAGTGTAGGTTGCTTTCGGCCTCATTGCTATTGGAAGTATGTGTGTGTGCGTAGGTTTTCTGTAAACACAATGACTGTTAGGTCTGATTTTCTATTGATAAGAATATCTAAGAATGGAAGGTTATTATTAGTTTCCAACTCAATGGGAAAAATCTAGTTTTGCTTTACTTCGAGAAATAATTCATCATGCCCGTAAAGAAATAGACCAAATCAATAAGAATCTTTTGTCCCATCCGAGGTCTCAAATCTTCGTTTGAAGGGGACAACATTAATTTTTGATAAATACTTTTTGAATAAACTTAAAAGTCACCTCTTATGTATATATGTAACAATTTCTTTCTTATCAACTTATTTTATTTCAAATTTAACGAGCCGATAAGTCTTCTCTTCTCCATACGTCACAACTACTGCTGAAGCAGTCGGAAGATTTTTTTTGTCACCAAAATATTCTTCGAAAATATCCGAATTTATGTTTTTATGAAAACCTATCATAAGGGGCGGGATTCAAACGTAAGCAAACCCAAGGTTTACTACTGCCTTCCTCTACACTCGCGTATAACTTAGTTTGTTTATAAAGGAAGTTCTTGACCACGAAACTTGGACCGCAGACTTAGACAAGGCCAATGCCGACGGGCAGCCCACCTGGGTCAAATTGTATTCTGCCAGGGAAGCCTATCAGATGAAGAACCTGCGACCTACCGAATGGAGTAACCTCATCGAGCGTATGATGACGGACTCTAACCTTTTTAATAAGTTCTACCGGTAACGCGAAGAAGAAAATGATCAAACCGATCGTTACTATGGTTAAACATTTTTAGGTACTCCTATAGGGACAGTGCGATGAGGCCCGTGTGCGACTTGAAGTGCAAAAAGGAGATATTGTGCAACCTGAGAAGCGCAAAGTCTCAAAGTAAAGATGACCTGTGTCGGAAGCTGAATTTTGGACTGTTATGACATTTTTTGTGTTGTGTTGGTTGTCTCGCTGTCGATTTATTTAAATAAAGGTTTTGTTACTACGCGTCTCTCATTGAAAATATATAATAGTATTTAGGGAAGATGACGATTGCGCGCATTATGGCAATATTTATTATATATACGCGCTGCCACCAAAAATAAGTTTCAGTTAACTTGGCAATTTTTTAAAGAATAAGTCGGAATTTCTGAAAAAACAAGTCTTAAAGGACATTGGGGTGATTCATAAAGACAGGGCAACCTCTAAACTGGAGGTACTAAGCTCCAAAATATTATGAAATCCCAACATTTGTTTTGACCTCTTTCCATTAATAAGGGCTCAAATTTTGTCATGCCAAAAAAAAACAACAAATGATCATCGGTTTTTTATTAAACTGAATCAAAAAGAAACGTACCAAAAACTAAGATTAATACGTCAATGTGGCGGGGCTAAGTAAAAAAAAAATATTGTGTTGTGTTTAAATGCACGTGTGACTAAGGCGGAACAAATTTCAATAAAACACGTTGACTAATAAGCCCGTTTCTCACTTTCGCAATTTTTTTTAAGAATTGCCGCAACTTTAATTTGGGGGCATGCGCACAGACAGATGATCCAATTTTTGAAAACTAACCAAAACTAATGTCAAGGTTTGGAGCTCGATTCTCCTAAAATACTTGATGGTATCTGTTTCCGTTCCAGAGTCAAAAGGTTTTGAAAAATAAGCAATTTAAAAAGAAAACAACGTTTTGCGCGACATTTAATGCTTTCAATACGATATTTTTAAAACTACTAATTTTATTGATTATCAACGGATTTTGTATATGGGACATCGGAATTGGGCCACGCCCACCTAATTGTCATCTGTAATATGGTCGCACTGTCCAACTTCTATCAGAACGTGAATGATTTAGGTTTAAGAATGTTATATTGAAACTAATAAATTGCGTTGGAAACACAAAACTTAGTTACAGTGATTTTATTAAAAACGCGAATTTTCAAAAAACACTCTGGGGAACGCAAACAGATATCCATGTGCGGTTTTTACAATTCAGTTTTTGTTTAACAAGGAGGTTTCCCTTTAAAAGGTTTTTTGGCCACCATGTAAGTGCAAAAATTAATGAAATTTTCTTATGCTATAGAACTTCGTCCGATTTATATTAAGTCGCTAATTACTATATTTAATTTATTTTTAGAAAGTAACATTTAAAAAAATATTTAAAAGTGGAAATGGAAAACTAACATTTTTGGACGTTTTTTTTTTGACGTTTTTTTTTTCTTCAAAGCTAAAGCCAAGCAAGAGTTACATAAAACCATCTGTAATTTATTTATTTTTACTTATTACGCAGATTTTTCTCTCAGGTGAAACGTCTTTTTATAGCATGCCTAAATGTTATATTACCTTCGAATAAATGGATTGAGAACCAAACTCCGCTTAACAAGTTTAATTATAAATATATCTCGGGAACATTTTTGGCAAGTACGAGTTGATTAAGCAGAGGAAAGAGAAATGAGTGAAGACGAAACTGAGCATTGCTGTTCCTTTGCAAAAACCTTACTGTGAGTAACAGAAATCAAAATTAAAAAGGTTGTTATTATATAAAGCACAAGGTCGAGGTCGAGGTAGAGGTCAGTCAGAAAATTTGGAAACCCGGAAAACCTGTTGAGGTAGTTTGTTTTCTATAATTTAACCAATGGATCAAGGGATAATTACCAATGTTAAAGCAAACTACCTCGCTTGTCCTTCCAAACAACTTGCTAAATTAGCTGGAATGGAGAGACCATCCTTCAATTGGTTAATTTTGAAAAAAAAAACACATAAATGCCGTAGAAAACGTAAAAGCAGCTTGGGATGAAACCTCAGAAAACTCTACGATGGGTGCCTGGAAAAATGTTGGAAGAAAAACAATAATTTATAACTCTTTTTTTTTGCCGAGAACTAATAAACAGAAACAGAAACCATTAAATCCATTAGACAGTTTCCCTTCAAAAGGGCGAAAAATCACTCTGGCCTCATTTAATGAAATTTTTATATGTTACAGTACTAATTATTCCTTTAAAAACCTCAGATTTATGACCAGTTTCCGACATTTATTAAAATGTGTTTATTTTTAGAAAAAGGCAATAAAAAGTGTGCTTTTATAATTTCGGTAATTTCGATTATTAACCGAGTTTTTCTCTCACGTAAAACGAGCTTCAACGATCAACAGAGGCCAATTTTAAAGGAAACAACTTGCTGGGTTAGCAGGAATGGAAAGACCAAGGACCCCCAATTTTGGAAAAATATAAATTAAAAGTGTGCATTTTGGGACGCATTTAATAAAGTTTTCCGATTTTCTGACAATTGCCAAATTTTCATTAGGAAAAGCCAATAAAAAATGTTGTTCTGTTTTTACGATTCCGCGCATGCCCGCCACAAAGACGGCGGCCATTTTGAGGGCGAGAAACGGGCTCGACCAAGATTAAGAGGGTCGTCGCGCCTCCCACTCGCCGCCACTGCGAAATATTATTTATTATATTATTTTTTTTCTATTAAGGGACGACGACGACCAAAGCCATATAATTAATAATTAACACGTTAACCTAAGCAAAAGGCTCGACATTTCGCGATGCAAAGATTCGCTTTCGATCGGACTACTCCGACAATACTGGACGTCGCAAATCTTTGCACATCGACCATTACCACCCTATATATGTATACAACGGGACGCGTTAAGTGGACGACCACTCCATGTTGTCCTGCTGCTGCTGGTTGCTCAGCTTGTCGCCCGACTGTTCCGCGTTCTGCTGTTGTTCTTGGGTTTCTTTCGGGGGAGAGGGCGCCTTGGGCGCGGGCTTGTTCAAGATTGCGTTCACCGTCGATTCGAAACTCCCCTTCTCCTGTCGTATTTGGGCGATCGTGATTGGTGGCGGCAGATGTTTGGGCGCGCTTTGCAGCTTGCCCCTGCTGTCCTCCAGCCACTGGTAATATCGGTTGAAAGCTTGCTCCACGCTGTTGACTTCGTCGCCGGTCAAGTGCCCATATTTGGGATCTTTTTTCCTGCAAAATTAAAAAGAAAAACATTCAGGTTAAGCAATCACGAGAAAAACCCCCAGTGGGGCATTGTTAACAGCCCTTTGCTTTCCAACATGTTGTAAGATCGCCTGAGGAGATAGAAACTGTACATACGTGATGTGTTCAAACAGTAAGGAGACTTTTGTAATTGCCTACGTAGCAACGTCAGACGTGTTTTGTGTGCTTGGCGATTTTTTGCTGTAACAAAAAATTTGCACAAAATTTTGTCTAAAAAATGGAATACAATGGTACAAAACACTTGAAATGTTGACCACGGCATATGGTGAGTCTATTTTGAGGGAAAAAAATGTGTAAAATCTATTCCAAAATGGCTGAGAAGACGCCGGTAACGAACCTCGCACTGGACGCCCCAGCACAACTGATGAAAGTGTTGAAGAAATGAAACAAATGGTGTTGAAAAATCGTCGAATCACTATTAGGGAAGTGGCTGAACATGCCACGCAATTTCTTCCGAAATTTTGGGCATGAAACATATAGCAAAATTTCTTCCAAGCTGCTAAATTTTGAACAAAAGGATAGCCGTTAAAAAACGTAAATGATATTATATATATATATATATATATATATATATATATATATATATATATATATATATATATATATATATATATATATATATATATATATATCATATGAGGCAATACGACGAAAACGTCCGGAATTGTGCACCTGCTCACGCATCATTGCTTGAGTCTAACTGTTTCGCCAAAACAAAACCAGATATGGCCCCCTGCGCCATTTTTCTGCTCCCAAAACTCAAATCCAAGAAAGCAAGGAGGTATGGTACAATTGAGGAGAAAATGAAAAATAACTGGAAGAATCCAAGGCTATACCAGACACTGCAACATTAAATTTGATGAAGAAATAAATACTTTTTGATAAATCTTAAGTCACCTCACTTTTTGAATACATCTCGTATAACCCAATTTAATAGGGTGGAATGTCTAAAAATTTTTTGAAATTTGTATTTATAATCAAATCTATCAGCAACTGAAAAGCAAATAAAGGAAATGCTACGGTAGTCATGGACACAAATGAATATCAGGAAAAGATTCAAGATATTCTTACAGACTGATCATATCGTCAACTTGAAAAAAGATCCTACGTCATCTATGGATCGCAACCTTAAATCTGTTATTAAGGCTTCTTCTCTATCAGACTCTGTGAGTGAAAAAATCTGTTACCCCTCACGACTCTAAAATTCCTCGTCTCTACGGATTCCCAAAGATTCACAAACCAGGATTACCCCTTCGATCTATTGTCAGCGCTATCTAACATATTCTCTAGCAAAATATCTAGCTTTCTTATTAAAACCCCTTACAGGAAAAAATTCCTATTCCTGAAACTCTCGACATCATTTCAGATATATTAAAATCCGAAAATCTGGAACCAAACCTTCTCACCTTAATTGAAAAATGCTTATCGGGAACATATTTTTCTTGTAACGGTCAAATTTTTGAACAAACATCGGGAACAGCTATGGGTTCTCCACTATCACCAGTCATCGCGAATATATTTATGGAAGCATATGAAAAGAAAGCTCTTGACAACTTTCATCTAAAACCAAAATTATGGAAACGCTACGTCGATGATACTTTTGTTATTTGGCCTCATGGTGAAGAAACCGTAGTAGATTTTCATAGACATTTAAACTCTATATACCCTAACATAGGTTTTACCATTGAGTTGGAAACTAATAATAACCTTCCATTCTTAGATATTCTTATCAATAGAAAATCGGACCTAACAATGGGTCATTGTGTTTACAGAAAACCTACGCACACACACATACTTCCAATAGCAATGAGGCCGAAAGCATCCTACACTTGCCACTGTGGTCCTTCCTTACATTCAAAACATCACTGACCACAGATCAAAAGTTCTAAAGAAGTATAACGTCAAAACCAGATTTACCACTTGTCCAAAAATTTCTCAACATCTTCGGTCCATCAAATACAAAATTCTATTTGAGATGCCAGGAGTTTACAGCATTCCATGCATATGCGGCAAAGAATACATTGGAGAGACCGTACGAAAAATATCCACTAGGCTCAAAGAACATGAAAGAGCTTTACGACAAAGGCAAATAAATTCATCAGCTGTTGCCGAACACACTCATGAAACTGGACATACAATTTTATTTGATAAAACTAAAATTCTTGCACGTAATCAGTTCTTCTACCAACGAAGAATCCGAAAGTCTATTATAGAAATCTATAAACAACCTGAAAATCTTAACCGCGACTCAAGTCTCTACCTGTCACCAATTTGGGAATCAGTCATCCGAGTCATCAGTCAAGCTCTGAAGAAGCCAACAGGATGATTGGCGAAACTTCAGCAAGTTCGACTCAGCAAAAACCGACGCAGGAGGAATCCTGAAGTTTTGTAAAAAGATGAGAGTGTTATTAGCGTTATTCGAAGATGAACTGACACACATATACGTCATTATATTTTCTGGAAGATCTTACAAAAACCTACAACTTTATTAGGTACGTCATTTACCTATTTCCCTTCGTTCTATCCAAGACTATTCCTATAATACTGATTGAACATGACAAAACTATTAGCCCTTTTAATGTTAAAAAATGAACAGGTGAAATAATATTGTTGTAGGCGTTGGATAAAGCGAGGGCCAGTTGGTGAAAAGAATCGCCTAATTTTTAAATTCAACAATTAACAAATTAACTTATGTTATTTTTACTTATTATTATGGCTTCATCTTGCTGAAACCACATTTTTTGGATCTCAATGTTATCAACTTCTTGACTGTTTTACTCCACCGCACACATCAAGTTACCAATCAAAATTATGGAAACGCTACGTCGATGATTCCTTTGTTATTTGACCTCCTGGTCAAGGGACCCCTTCGAGATTTTCTTAGCCATTTAAACTCTATACACCCTAACATACGTTTTACCATTGAATTAGAAACTAATAACAACCTCCCATTCTTAGACACTCTTATCAATAGACAATCAGACCTAACAATGTTTACAGAAAACCTACGCGCACCTTATTGCACTCTCAATGTAATAATTTCTACATTAGAGGGTACTAAACTTCGCACATAGACCGGACGAAAAATATCAATTAGGCTCAAAGAACATGAAAAAGCCTTAAGATTACGATAACCGAAGACTAAGACACGAATCATAAAATAAAAATTTCTGCGACTTTTTCCTACTCCCGTGTGTAAAATGCCTAATTACTCATCGATCTAGTGTGCGGGAAGCGATACTTTACCACATCAGTTTCGTTTCCCACGGATCGGAGCCACTTCGGACATTTCCGGGATTTTACCGCACGGGTTTGGGAGCAATCGGATGTTTCGGAGATATTTCCCACGATTTGAATTATGACGTTTGTCAATTCTGACGGTCATATCAGTGAATGTATTCGTGTTGTTTTGCGAAAATGTACCGAAAAACGAACGGTCGTAGAAAAAGTATAGAATGCAACACTCGCTTCGCTCGTGTCAAATACCGTTTACCGCACTTGCTGCATAATACTAATTTTCTACTCCCGTGTGTAAAATGCCTAATTACACACCGATCTAGCCTGCGGGAAGCATCATTTTACCACGTCAGTTTCATTTCTCACGGATCCGAGCCACTTCGGACATTTCTGCGATTTACCGCACGGGTTTGGGAGCAATCGGATGTTTTCGGAGATTTTACAGCACGCCTTGAGTTTTGACGTTTATCAATTCTGACATTCATGTCAGTGAATGTATTCGTGTGTTGCGAAAATGTAAACAAAAACTAACGGCCGTGGAAAAATTATGGTATGCAACGCGTTCGGTAAACTTTTTAATCCACTCGTTTATTAAACACTAGCTCCGCTCGTATCAAATAAACTCGCGAGTCAAATAGTTTACAGCACTTGTTGCATAATATACTATAAGTCACTCGTTTATTAAACACGTGAGTCAAATGCCGTTTACCGCACTCGGTGCATAATATACTATTACCAACGAAAAACCCGAGAATCTATAGAAATCTACAAGCAACTCAAACAATCTTAACTGCGATTTTCATGCCTCCCCTTTAGTTCCACCCCCCTCAGACCATATATAAGCATCGACAGCTGAGGTGCAATCCAGAAAATTCGTAAATAGTATTTCGGTAGACTGGGGAAGTTTTTTTGAAAAATTAAAAACCAAGATAATGGACTTCGCCCCTAACTTATAATATTCTGTAACGTTTTGTATGTGTTAACAAATAAAAATCACTTATTTTATGAGTGACCTATCGCCACGTGCGAAAATATAGCTCACCTGATAAGCTCCAATGCTTTCATGCAAAGCTGCAGCGACTTGGCGAAATCCTCGACTATGGCGGGTCGCAGTTCGTGCTCGAGCCTGCGCTGCTGAACTGGTTCCCCCATAACCTTCAGGTTGGCCAATTTATCGATGTACACCTGCTTGTTGCAGTCCTCGCCCTCCTCGTAGAGCCAGTTTTCCATGTCGTCGAGCCGCCTCACCAACTCATCCCGATCGGATTCCAAAATGAACTGGCCGAGCTCGTCGTTCGACGAAACCTTGTTGCGCAGCTCGTAGACGTACTCCTCGAGGGCGTTCCGTGCGTCCGCCCTCTCCTTCTCCTGCTTGTCGGACGCGATCATCTGGTACTCCTGCTCGGTAAACTTGTTTATCTCGACGTTCGAAAAGCCGAAAGTTAGCGCTTCGATCGGCAACTCCACCGACTTGGCCAGTTTTTTCTTGTTGTCCCCGCCGTCCTGGAAACAAGATTATCGATACCGTTTTTCGACAATCCGAACCGTCAACTTAACAAGTTGCATCGAGATGAGAGCTTTGGATGAAGGTCAAAAATGCCGCAGCAGAAAATTATACAAGGTTTTTTCTCATCGAATGTCAATAATTACGGGGGAGATTTTTGGGGTCCGTTTTCAAAAGAAAACTTTATAAGAACATACGCCCCAAACGCATTAACTTTTAAGACACTGGGTGGTAAAGTTTTCAAAATTAAAATTATCTGTAATACCACTTTAGATATTTTAATGAAATTTGGCACACATGAACTATGAAGGCATTATTTAACAAAATAAATAAGAACTAAAATTTCAGATTTTCACGAAATTATATACATTCACATAACAATTGTTTCGACAACACCGTGTCTTTATCAAATGTAATATTTACAAACTACCTGCAACTATATATTTTGATCTGATTATAGGAAGTCCACTTAGTCCTTTGTTAGCCGAGATTTTTATGCATAATTTGGAAAATATCATACAAGAACATCCTTTAAGTAAAAGTTTTCTATGGTGGTATAGATACGTGGATATCTTTGCTTGATTTGTTTGGAATGGACAGACGATTGAGTTCATCATTACATAATCATATAAAATTCACTACCGAGATTGAACAAGATAATTCTATTAATTTTTTAAACTTAACTATTACGAAAACGCAAAACAAATTAGATTTTTCCATTTACCATAAATCTTCACACACGGACACAGTCATATATAACAGCTCAAATCACCCACACAAAATGGCTGCATTTCACTCTTTTATATACAGACTTCTTAATAGGCCACTCCCAACAGAAATTACAACAAAGAACTTAATATCATTAAACAAATTGCACTGAACAACGGCTACAATCCGTCCATTATAGATAAAATTACAAATAAAAAACAAATCCAGACCACAGTAAACTCTATTTATCTGAAACCTAATACAGAACACAAATAATTTAAAATTAGTGAAAAAATTTGAAAACATTTGTCAAAATGTGGTTTAAAAATAGCTTTCAGAACTAACACACAATAAGAACATTTTTAAAAAACAATAAAACGAAATGTCCAAAATCTCAAAAATCGTGTGTCTACAGGTTGAAATGCGGATATTGTCCTAAAATTTATATTGGACAAACAGGTAGATCCTTCAAGAAACGCATTAACGAATATAAAAGAGCGTTTGAAAACAATAGTCCAGATTCTAATTATGTTACACACTTAAACACAGAAAAACACATTTTTGACGACAATTTTGATATTTTACATACAGCCACAAAAAGTAGAAAATTAAATTAAGCAATACATTTGAATGTCTCACATGTATTGCTTAATGATCAATTAGATTTAAATACCTCGCCATTTTTAAACTTAAATTCTCATAACAACATTAATTAAGATTGTATTGTCATTTTTCGGTATATATGGTGGCAGGTAGTTTGCAAATATTACATTTGATAAAAACACGGTGTTCTCCAAACAATTGTCATGTGAAAATATATAATTTCGTGAAAATCTGAACTTTTAGTTCTTATTTATTTTGTGGATGGATGGATTTTCATCAAGTAAAAGCCCCCTCAATTCAAGGCATTATTTACCACATTTTTTTAAAAGTACACCAGTGGCGGGCGCACAGTATTAATAATAATAATATTTATTTAAATCATTAAAATATATGTACAATTTAATGACTTATTGCAATGTAAACATTAAATAAATATTAAATTATATTCAAAGTACTAAGTTAAAAACTTGACAACCATCCTTGAACATAACGCAGATTAATTTAACTATGTTTCCCATTTATTATATATTATGAAAAATAAACGAATCGATTTTATATAGTTGCAATATATTAATGAATCTGTGAATTTGACTTAATAGCCACTTAGAAACTTAATTATAATTTAGCATCAATAACCCCTTTCATTAATTTTCTTATAAATGATTTTATGATTATTTTATTTTTCAGTTCTAGTGGTAGTGCGTTGTAAATTTTTTGACCAGTATAAAAGTAATTATTTTGTCCAACAGATAAGTTAAATTTTCTCCAAGTTTAAAGCGTGTGAGTTTTTGAATTAACCAGTAAGTTATTTATTTAGTAAGAACAAAAGGTATGATTAATAATATAAATTATTTGTGTGAAGTAATTGAAATTGAGATTCTTTTTTGTATTACGTAACGGGGCTGAAGAGTTGCGTGATAGGCAACACCTCAATCAATTATTCAATAAGATATAAGTGATTGTACCAGTGAAAAATAAGTAGAAAGAAGAAGTTGCTTATGAGATATTTTAGTAAGTTGTCGGAATAAATACATTAAGGATCGTAACTTGTTCGCTAACTGTTCGATATAGAAGTTGCCATTTAGATCTGAGTATGAGTATGAATTACTAGGTACATAACATGACCAGCAACTGTTTCTAAACTATAGTTTTATGGTAAGTTTATTGTCCGTAGATCATTATAATTTGAAAAATTTTTTTTTATTACACTCCGGTCCATCGGCTGTAATAAATACACTTGTTTTGGCTGGAAGAAATGCCGTAGATTTGGAATATGAGGATGTGCAGGGCAGTTATCTAAGAGAAGTAATATTTTCCCCCCCATCCGTGCAGACTTGTTTGCCTTGTAAGTGACCGGCAAATTCTTGATGTGCTTACAACATCGTGGGTTAGTTGCTTTTCCAATCACAACTAGCTTCCTTTTTTCTCTCCCACTCATATTGGCAGCTACTAACACTGTTATACGTTCTTTAGAAAGTTTTCTACTCATACACTTTTCCCTTCGAAATATAAGAGTTTTATCTGGCGTCATTTTGTAAAAATTACCAGTTTCATCAGCATTAAAAATGTAGTCAGCAGGGTACTTTTCTGCTAGTTTTGGTCACGTCTTCTCCAGCCAATCGTTAGTGACGTTTCTGTCGACATCACGGGCTTCGCCATAATTTATAGCATGTCTCTGAACTTCCCCAACCATCCTTCCAATGCCTTGAAATCGATAATGCCAAGCTGTTCAGCAAACTTTTCTGCTTTTAGTTTTACGATAGGTCCAGAGAATGGTACATTTTAAAGAGGTTGCTGTTGGAACCACTGCAACATTGCCCCATCCAAATCTTTAAATTTTGTATTTCTTAGTTTTTAACTAGAACTGCCGACCGTTTCGGACTGAATAATTTTTTCTTTGCACCTCCAAATCGTGAATACAGTCGACGGTGTTAGTCCGTATTGACGTCCCACATCACTTTTCTTTTCTCCCCGTTTTATCTCCCGAATTAAAGCAACTTTATCATCTAGAGATAAAATTTTTCGCTTACTCGCCATGCTCGCCGCATTCATTAAGTCAAATTAGAACTGATTGAAATAATGGTGTGCTATTAACATACTACTTTTAAATGTAGATTCGTCAAGCTCCTCAAAACAATGATTTACAGCTTTGATTACTTCTTCGTTGCTCTTAAATCTTTTACCGCCAAGCCCGTTTTTGAGGTTGGGCAACAGGTAATAGTCGCTGGGGCTAAGTCTGGAGTACAGGGAGGCTGCGGCATCAATTCAAACGTCAATTCGTGCATTTTGGACATAGCAACATTAGACGCATGCGCACAAAATGTTGGGTACATTGGGTACTGTACATACAAGCTTGGTAGGAATGGTACTGTAGATCTAGTAGCGTCACCCCACCCTCATATATTGTAATGTATAAATAAGTAAAAAATTATGAATGTCAATTATCTGTAGTTTCTTTTTGAAGATCCACATTGCGATCGAAACGTTAATTTTTTTTTCTCAAAATTTTGCTATTACTAAACAACTTCAACCCAAGGACAACTCCGGTATTATCCTATTTAGAAGCGTTCGTGTAAATATAAAAATTCGTGCTAGGGCCCTTATTAAAAGCGACAAACGACACGGAGAAGGCAAAAACGAAAAAGAAAAAAAAACGAAACAGGTGGAACGAACAAAAATAAAAACCGGGCCGGGCCAGCGTTGTATAAATGCGTACCCCGCTGAACCAGGCTGATATTTTCTTCGTCCAGCTGCTGCCGGAGCCTACCTCTGGTGCCGCCGCCGCCGCCCCGTTGGCGGTTTCGTCCGCCATCGGCGCGTCTACGTTCTGTTGTTCCGCGCCGCCATTTTCTTTCAGGTCCGCCTCCCCGTCTTGCTGCTGCTGCTTCGAGTCCGGAGATTCCGGCTCGGGAGATTCTTTCGCTTCGTAGAGCGACGCGCTCGAGACCGTCATTATACCGTGGAGGTTGATTCGCACCTTCACCTTCACCTTTTGAGATTTACCGTCGCGACTCGGCCTGATGTCCTTCACCACCCACGTGCCTACAGAACGAACGTTAGAGATATCAATGTAAACAAAAAACAAAATGTCGGGTTAGTAGCCAAGTTTTTTTCCCAGTGACGTATAAAACACTATCAATTTTTTGGCATATAAGCCTACATCATATTTTTTCAAATGGAACACCATGTATATTATATATGTTTAATAGAATATCTTATTCCAATTACAATAATGTAACACACTTTATATTTTACTGACAAATCGACAAAGAAAGAACATGGACATTTCTGAGCCGCTCTGGTCGTGAGTCCAGAAGCCAGGTCCACGACGCTGCAGATTTAAAGTATTTTTGTATCACCAAGAAATGTCCCACCTTAATTATAAAGTCGGCTAGGGGTACGGGCCCAGAAATGTATGTGACCCCAAGGCACACTCGCAACTGCCTAGGGCAAATTGCACAGTGAATTCAGTCAGCTTATAATCAGTTTTATTCCCATCATCAGGTGTAAACCCTACCTATTTTGCTAAAAAATGAATTTTCTTTTGGACATTGACATTCATAAATTTGATTTGAAAGACGTCAACTTTTACTTTAACCGTGGCTGTTATAAATGACAACAAAATATTCAAAAGATACTCGAGGGTAAATAAAAAATATTTTTTTTAATGCGGGTTGCAGCACCCTTCGATAAAATTAGCCAATATTTTTTTGGAAATAATAATCGATCGTATGCATAGGAATTCGTGTCCTTGTATCGACTGTCAAATTACAAAATATATCATTTGACCGTTTGTTACATCGAGATCCCTTGCCAGACGAGATTTTCCGAAACGGGACCGAGCGCCATTCGGGATTTTCGGCCATTTGAACATTCGACCATTTGTGGTGTTCCCCATCCCCGATACCGGTTACAAAAATATTGTATCATTAAACCGGTTAAAACCGGTCACCGAAATTATTTATTTCGTTTTGAATCATGAACGAAAAATAAAAATCTCGTTTTCGTTTCCGTTCTTTTAAATTATACATTTAATTTCGTTCTCTCGTTGTCGTTATCGTTCCGTTCTTAGTCTCTGCTTAGGAGTACCGAAATTATAAAATTTCCATTTGTAGTGATAGTTACTACATTAATTATCCGAACTCTCTAATTTAGAGTGATAATAACTTAAAAGTAAAGGTAATAATTACGTATCAAGTAATTTTTTAAAATACCTATCAAGGGCAAGAAGAAATTATGATGCACATATGCGAGCGTTTTGCTAAAAATCCAATACGTGATTTTTAGATGAAACCAAATTATCTCCCGCCCGTTCATAGATATAAAAAAGTGACAACTGATACGAATTAAAGAAAGACCCGGGCAAGTTGTAAGAATGAAATATGGCCGAACAGGATTTGTTAGGAAAGATACTAAACAATATTTATTTATTTATGTATGTATTTATGTTTAAATCTAAAATAAAATTACAAATTATTTTTATTACCTGTTCTAATTATTATTTGTTTCATATTATTTGCAATATGGATATACGATTGTTCTGCTTTTTCTATATGTTTAACAGAATTTGCCCCACTTTGTGGAGGGATGTTAAAAACTTCGGTTTCTATAAGTTTGAGGACATTGGAGTTAACACGGGGAAAAACATTGTTACGACGAATGGCAGATTTCAGTTGGTGCCAAACATGTTCAACGGGATTAAATATACAGTGGTAGGTTCAAGCTTTGTAGCACCTCAATTAATTGCTTATCTTCGTGAAAATAAATGTCGTTATTATACATGTAGTTTTGGATTGTTGCTTTTGTGTCACATGAGGAAGGGGTTTTAGTCAACTGTCTACTGTGATAACTTGCATTGTCCATTACAATGACGCTGTTAGGAGGAATGTTTGGAACTAGTTTGTTTTTAAATCAACTTCCAAATCAATCAGCGGTGGTGTCTTCATGGCAATCCAGAGAAGAATTTTTAATATTTTTCGCAGACAGAGAGAGTCCATTTGGAATCCAACAATCTTTAGAGCCAGCATGCAAAATAGTTATTCTTTTACCTCTTTTTCATGGCGCGTTTGTTTTACACTTATCAGTTGAGTCAACACAACCCTTTTCCAGGTTTCATCCAAGTAAATAATTGGCCTTTGTTGTTCTCCGTAAATCCTAATTTTTTCCAAATATTCCAGTCGCCATTTCCGAATTCTAAAAGATTCCATTAAAACTTGTCTTTTGCCATTTTTTTTTAAATCTAAAACCCATTTGTGTTGAATACACTTCCATAAGATAGTTCTGCCACATTTAATACCGGTTTAATCTTTTTCAAGCCTGCTAATTAAGATATCTAATGTAGGCACGCTTTGTTCCTGGTAAAGCTGGTAAATTTTATGCCGTATTATATCTTGATCACTTTCATCTACATTCGAGAAAATTCACACAATTTTCCATACATTTGGTGTTGGAATTTTCGTCAATGTGGCCGTTCTTCTAAAGATGCTTGCTTGTTGGTACCACGTTCAATGAGAGTCAAATAAACATTGTTTATAACTTCGTTAGTCTTTTCGTTAGTGTTTTCTACATTTGGGCGGGAGCATCTCCTGAGATACACTAGACTCGCACATATTTTGCATAATTCGCACACGATTCAACACACGCTGTATTACACACGAAATAAGAATGATTACTAATAAACTTAAACTAACTAGTATACCAAACCAAAGAATATTAAACACAGGTAGGTTTAAAATTATTTTCTATTACAGACCACAATTTTACCTGAATTTAAATTCCGAAACTTTATTTAAAAATCTTGTTGCATTGTATATTAATGACCACCCTTGGATAATTAATCCCATTGAAAAGCAATTGGTCACTTTCTTATATCTATGAACAGACCATACCTACCTATGTTCTTGTCGGGATACGGAATGTCCCCGCCGTAGAAGGCCTTCACTGAAAACGCTTCGGTTCTATAAAACGTCAGCAGCTTGGAGAACGGTACGGCGTGGTTCGCCGGGAATACTTCCATCTCGCCAGCGGATTCCCCGCTAGGGCTCGAGTCCCACGAAAGATGAATCGGGTAATTCTAAAAAGTAATAAAACGTTTTGCGGAAAAAGCATTTTTTTCCGTTTTTTAGGACTGTAATATGGTTCCTATATAGTGTAACTCAACTACCCTTGTATTCCCCGTTTAGTTAATCAATATTTTGCTTTACCTTACTGAATGCATATTTTTTTTAATTCCAAATCAGCAGGTGACCTACAGAGACATACAGGAACACACACACACACAGCCCTTGTTTAGTAAAAATCATCGTTACATAATAAAAGTTTCTCAAAAACCTATCACTACAGGGCACTTTACCTAGATTTTTTTTAATTTCCTTGCATTTTATTTATTTAGACTGATATTGCAAAACAGAGCAGATTGCCTTAAGCAGAATCACAAATCCTCGAAAATTGTTACTCTTGTTCTAAGTCGATAAGTCGAAATTTTAGACGGGTACCCTAGAAACTTTTTTTTTTTCACGAATTGTTCGTGATCTTGACCATGCAGTAGTCAATAATTGAAAACACTGTCCAAAACTTGTCCTAACGGAAGAATTAGAAAAATTAGAGATGCCTAACGAGATCTACCGGATATTAGTAAGGACATTCAAATTTTCTACTGTTCCCTTATGATGGACCACTATTCTGAAAGTGACATCATCGAAGTTTCTTATTGTAATTAGTAATAAATTCTATTTACTTGCACTACTTGTTGATTTTATATTGAATTTAACTAATAATGTTAAGAAAAAATAGAATACGATATTATCTAAAACATTTAAATTGGCCATAAATTTTAAACTAATAAATTAATTAATGAAATGATACAGAATTAAATCTCAAACCCAATAAAAGTGCTTGATAACCTGTAAAATATATTTTCGCCATAGATAAGTCAAAAAGGATTAAATATTAACCACTTCTAGGGATCTATAATAAAAATTCCCGATTTTAGCTTTCAACTATAAAAAACATTTTTCCAAAGATTCGTTTTTCCACAAAAAAATGTGGAAACGTTCATAATTGAATATAGGGCTTGTTGAATGGTTGGTGGTGGTCCCAGATCAACTTCTTCATCTTCTTCCTCTTGGTGCTCTTCCTCACCTTTTCTTGCTTGTTGTAATGTGGCTTCCTCTGTCAAGTCTGCTGTTGTAGGCAAATCCTGATCTATCACCCTGAAATCTTGCCACTCCTGACTTGTAAACGTAATTCCAATTCCAAAATTCCAAGCTTTATGAATAATGTTGACTGCATCTATCACATTAATGGAACATTTGTCATCGGACTCGATCATTTCCCTTAAAATGTCTTTCCTGTATCGACTCTTAACACTTTTTATTACTGTCTGGTCCATCAGCTGTAATACACTTGTTGTTTTGGCTGGAAGAAATGCCATTTCAATATTCCGTAGATTTGGAATATGGGGATGTGCAGGGCAGTTATCTAAGAGAAGTAATATTTTCCTCCCCTTTAATTCTGCATCCCATTTCCGTATCTCCTCTACAAAAATTTGCGATGTCATCCATGCAAACTTGTTTGATTGTAAGTGACCGGCAAATACTTGATGTTCTTAAAACATCGTGGGTTAGTTGATTTTCCAATCACGACTAGCTTTCTTTTTCCTCTTCCACTCATATTGGCAGCTACTAACACTGTTATACGTTCTTTAGAAAGTTTCCACCCACACTTTTCGAAATTTAAGAGTTTTATCTGGTGTCATTTTGTAAAAAATACCACTATCGTCAGCATTAAAAATATCGTCAGCAGGGTACTTTTCTGCTAGTTTTGGCCATATCTTCTCCAGCCAATCGTTAGTGACGTTTCTGTCGACATCACGGGCTTCGCCACTTATCTGTCCATAATTTATACCATGTCTCTGTCCAATCATTCTTTTTGAAATTGATAATGTCAAGCTATTCAGTTAATTTTTCTGCTTTTAGTTGTACGATAGGTCCAGAGAGACGTTGCTGTTGGAACCACTGCAACATTGCCCGATCCAAATCTTCAAATTTTAGATTTCTTAGTTTTTTACTAGAACTGTCTGGCGCTTCAGCCTGAATGATTTTTTCTTTGCACTTCCAAATCGTGTAAGTCCTGTTCGATGTCCCACATCACTTTTCTTTTCTCCCCGTTCTATCTCCCGAATTAAAGCTACTTTTATCATCTAGAGATAAAGTTTTTCGCTTCGATAAAGGCATTAACAACATAATCGCTTATTACGAGAAAACACTTAGGATGACCAGGTTCTCAGTAATTAGATTATTAGGGTAAGGAATTCTGAGAAGGTAAGAGACTCTATTAATTACAAGTCGGCCTACATTCCTTACTTGGTTACCTGATGTGCCCTTTTTTCTTTCGTTATAGAGAGTGAAAAATTCATTATACAGAGTGGATTAATAGATAGCTTTGTATGGAGGCCTAATAGTACAACAAAGTTTGTTCATAATACAGAGTTTCCATATAGGGAGTTTTTACTGTATATAGTTGGGGTCAAAAACTTTTTGTATTTAACTTTATCTCCACGGTGTCATAGAGATAATACACGTTAAATGGACTACCCTCTAACCGTTTAAAAGTGTTTATTATCAATATGAAAAAATGGCAACCGACCCATGAACCATTAAAATACGTATCTCTTTACCTGAACGTCGGTTACGTTAAAGTCGCGGACACGAACCGCCGGCGATAGCATTGCGCATTGCAATGCGCAGCCGCGACTCACGGCCTCGTCTTGGTTCAAGGTGGTGCTCGCGTGTTTATTGAACACCTTCTCTATGAGCGCCTTGATCGCCGGGATCCTAGTCGAACCGCCTACTATTTCCACGGCGTATATATTGTCGAGGGATAAACCTGCAAATAAAATTCGAAATGTCACATTTTGTATTTTCACTTTGTATTTTTAAGCTCCAGATACCAATGCGACTTTAGAAAACGAAGTTCTCCCTCATTTTGAAATTATTTATTCAGGTGGGTCCTTATTGTGTCTTATTTAGCGTGTTTTCGTCCGTATCTGTCACGTTGGATGGTAGATTATTACCATTCCCGGAATTTGCAGTATGTTGTTCGAGAAAAGACAGCACTGGCCAAAAAATCAGAAAATAAACAACATATTGGTAGAGTTAGTCTGACGTGGGCCCATGAGTAGTATCTTGTTTTAAAATTTACCCTACACAATTAAAATATTAATATAAAATTTTTTTTGCATAAATTAGTTAAAATAAGCATCAATAATTATTTGCAAAAAAAGGTTTTTTTGTACCTAAATTGATTAAAAAAATCTGCATTAAGGGTCTAAGATCGGTGCATATGCTTTTTTCGAGAGGCATCAAAACCAATCATGAACATAAAGTTAAAGTTCGAACCAGTCATATCGCAACACACGGAACATCCCCTTACAAAGTACAGGTATGAAAAAAATTTGAAACTTTCCCTTTTGCCACTGCTTTTCTTTGTGCGTAAATTCGAAAATCTATATAACTTTTTTGTGGTTTTTGGATCGAAAAAATTCATACCCTTTATTAATTATATTTCCTCCCTCATACGTGAACATGTCGCAGTAGATTCGCTACGCAAAAATTTAAACCAAATCGATGGTGCTCATATTTCACAAGGTTGAAATTTTGTTGAAGAAAATGTAGTATTTTAAACCGGAAATATCTTTTGGAAAATTCTAATTTTGAAAGTGACCTAAGTCCACTTTTATTGACGATGTCAAAAAGTGCGGCCCAAAATGTTGAAAGCAGGGATGAAGGTAATTTAAATTACGTTTTGATATTAAAATGAAATTTAAAAAATAATATTTAATCAATATTCAACAGAGGAAGAGGAAGTAATTAAGAATGAGAATTTACAAAACAGCACCTTCAAAGAAGGATTCAGAGAACACGGAAATGGTACTTATATTTAGAAAATTCGTAAAATTCAGGAATTCAGGGAAAACATACGATACACAATCGAAAAAAAATTATTCCTGCCAAAGTTTTTCACAATGAAGATTGCTAATGTTGCAGACTGCTTGAAAAATTTAAATGAAACACAAAGGAAACGTATTTTCGAAATATTTTGGAACTTAGGAGAATTTAATAAGCAAAATATAATGCTATACGAAGCGACCGGACGCAGTGTTTTAAAAAGAAGATGTCAGAAACGAAAAAGGTGCATGTAGAAATAAAGGTTTTACGTATTGATTAAATTCTAAAACAAGCAAAGTTGCTGTTTGACCAAAAATCCTTTTAGATACTTTTCAAATAAGCGAAGGACTATTGAAACCTGTATTAAAATCTAAAAACGTCGGTAACGATTTACGTTGGCGTTTGCCTGGATCGTCGAGAAAAATATGTGATGAAGCAAATATGATTGTTTAAAACCATATTAACAGTTTTCCGAAATTTGAATCCCATTAAACTAGGGACCATAATCCCGACTGAAAATATCTTCATCCTGAACTGACTATAAAAAAAAGTTTAATATTTTTATGGACTTCTAGACAAATATTCAAAAAGGATTTTAATCTACATTTCCACCAACCACGCAAAGACACATGTCAAGGATGTGATCTGATAAACATTAAAGTCAAAGCATCAGAAAACCATGAACAGAAAAAAATTATGGAAGAACATGATATTCATTTGAAGCTAGCAGAATCGGCTAGAAATGCATTAAAACATGATCAAGAGCGAGTATCAAATAGACCACCTCATTATTTTGGTTTTTCATTTGATTTGCAGAAAGCGTTACCATTCCCACAGTTAACTACTTCAGTGGCCTATTAGAAATGTAACACGTATATTTTAAATTTAGGCATACACAATTTCCACAACGATAATGTATACATGTACGTTTGGGATGAAACAAAAGCTTTTAGAGGTTCATGGCTCTTGAGACACCTAAAAACCTTGAAAGGTGAAAAACACATCATTGCATATAGTGGTATGTGTGGACGACAAAACAGAAACATCAAAATATCTTTAATGTGGTTAAAAATTCTCTCGATAGGAAATGATGTTGAAATCATAGACCCCACAAATGTTTAATATCATTTAATATCAGGGCATTCATTTTTACCTAATGACAGAAATTTTGGCGTTATAGAAATGTCGTTAAAAAGAAATCAGTTATTGTATGTGGCACAAGATTATTATAATATAATTAAAAAATGTAGAAAAGGTAATACTTTCATACTAAATGAAATGAAATAAGAGGATTTTATATCAACAGGACTCTTGAAAGAAGCAGTTTACAAAAGATAGAAAAATACCAACGGAGAAAAAAAAACTTATAAAATTTTATACAAAACAACCATGGATGAGAACGCAGAATTTAAAATTCTTGATTTATTGCCACCTCCAAATAACTTGTTACTAAATTTATTTCTATTATCTAAAAATATAATTTAAATATTTTTTTTCTATTTTTTAAGCTATATGTAATGGACTTAAGCTCTTTCACTTTTTGTAACAAAACAAATTTTTATTTTGAAAATGGCTTAAGTCCTTTTAAGGTAAGCAAGGTCATATTATACACTTAATAATAGCGACTTCTTAATAGGATGTATAAAATATAAAAAATGCGATTTAACATAGCAAGTCAACCATATATCTTACGTATATGTATTTCTAATTCTGTAAAAACGCAAAACCTTAGGTATTTCAAATTAAAGATAAATGGACTTAAGTCACTTTCGAAATGAACGGCTCAAATAATAAAAATGAAATAATTTACGAGATCGAAGCAGAACGAGAAAACGTCCGAACAGAAATTCCAATAATTAAAGTTTATCTGCACTGGCAAAATTTTTTATAAATGTGAGAATAAAATAGAAGATAACATTCGTTAGCATATTAAAAAATTTCGCTTACCGGACGCTTGCAAACACTGTCTCATTGTACTCTCCACTCGCTGAAACAACCCAGCGCAGATCGCCTCCATATCCGCCCTCTTCATTTCACTCTTGACGTCTTTGTCGTTCATGAAGCATTCGATGGCGAGAGGCAACGTAGTCGAGTTGGCAGACATTTGCTTTTTTAATTTCTCAACCTCGGTTAACAGCCTCAGGTACGCCCTATAAACGGAATTTAAATTAAAATTATGTTAAATTTTGCTAAAATTCTACTTATTTAAAGATCCCCAAGGTTAAGGTATCATAAATGTTAGCAAGTTCGACTCAGCAAAAACCAACGCAGGAGGAATACAGAAGTTTTGTAAAAAGTAGCTTGTATAGCAAATTTAAAAATTAAATTAAATTGAACATAAATTTTGCTAAAATTCAAATTATTTAAAAATCCTTAAGGTTTAGGTATCATAAATGTTACTGAATAATACACTTATTTTGATCCTGGAATCCAAATATTCTTAATATACAGGATATTTCGTTTGAAAAATACAACTTTATTATTTTTAACGATTTTTGGGACCACTTGTATAGTACAAAAGCACTTTTAACATTTTATGATTGAGAAATAAATTATTCTTATGTATTTGAGAAATTAAAATTAGGTTAAATTTTGCTAAAATCAAATTATTTAAAAATCCTTAAGGTTTAGGTATCATAAATGTTACTGAAACTTACACTTATTTTCATCTTAGAATAGAATAATTCTTAATTTTTTTTCCGTTTAAAAAATACAACTTTGTTATTTTTAACGATTTTTTGGGCAACTTGTTCACTAGGAAAGCAATTTTAAAAAGTTCCGATAATGAGAAATTACACATCGCAATTGTTTTTCTTTTAAACTGCAATAAAAATTAATTTTATTAATTTAATTACAATCATTATAATACCAAGTTGGATATAGGGGAAAAAACATTTTTTTTTTGCAATATTTCAACACTCTAAATTTTATAAAACTTCTGGATTCTTACTGAGACGGTTTTTGTTGACTCGAACTTGCTAACTTTTTGCCAATCATCCTGTTGGCTTCTTCAGAGCTTGACCGCATTTTGATCTGTACCTGCTTTTATACTGTTTGAGGGGGGCGGAGGACAGGTAAAGCAGGGTTACCGCTTGTCCAAAAATGTCTCAACATCTTCGATCCGTCAAAGACAAAACTCCATTTGAGATGCTAGGAGTTTACAGCATTCCATGCACATGCGGCAAAGAATACATTGGCGAGACCGGACGAAAACTATCAACTAAGACTAAGACAAATAAACTCATCAGCAGTTGCCGAACACAATCGCGCAAGATTTTATTCGATAATACTAAAATTCTTGCACATAATCAATTCTTCTACCAACGAAAAATCCGAGAGTCTATAGAAATCTATAAGCAACCTAACAATCTTAACCGCGACTTTGAAATTTAAAATTTTCAAATTTATTTCGTGATATTTACAATAAAAGATCTGTTTTCACACGTCAACTATAAAGTATAAGATATCAAAAGATATCGCAGTCTATGCATCACATATTATAATACTAATAAATAAGCAAATACAACTAATCAAAAGTATAAAACACAAGAATGTACGAAACAAACTAATAAAAACGAAGTTTACAAAATTTAAAATAACAATATGAAAATCCCAGCCACAAACACTACCTTATCTACCCAAAATTCATATTTTCAGAATCAAGCGCGATATATTCTTGTATATTGTAGAAAGCCCTTTCAAGTAGAATTTTTTTTAAGTTCGCTATAAACGACTCAGGTCTCTACATGTCACCAATATGGGAATCAGTCATCCGAGACGGTGTTTATGCCCCTAATTTAGCTCCGCCCTCCTCAACCAATATAAAAGCAGGTACAGAGTAAAATGCGAGCCAGGTGCAGTCAAGCTTGGAAAAAGCCAACAGGATGATTGACGAAACGTCAGCAAATTCGACTCAACAAAAACCGACGCAGGAGGAATCCAGAACTTTTATAAAAAAATATTACAGTAGTTTCTTTGAAAAATTATTTCAACACTCTGTATATCTGGAATGAAACATTTTAGTGTCAAGTTACTTAAGTTTTTTACTTATTCTTCCCAGCTGAATACGCCGTCAGGCTATCTCTGTTATAATTCGGACCACTCTGAATATAAGCACTTTATTTTCCTTCAGTCGGGTAAGGGTTCACAATAATAAGTAATAAAATAAACCTCTACGCTTCGTACCTCGGGCTGGATTTAGCGTCGACGTGGTATTTTTGTTGGAAATCTTTGGAGAAATGGTCCGCCAACAATCGGTCTATGTCTCTGCCGCCGAGGTTCGGGTCCGAGGATGACGTCAGCATCTTCAACTTGCCCTTGTTGAATGCGCAGGCAAACACCTGCAGCGAGGCGTAACCGCAATCGACGAAGACCACATTGCGAGGCGGCTCCTCCGTGCCTGGCAAGTCCTGCTTGTAAATACCGTACGATAAAGCTGTCGCGGTCGTCTCGTTGAAAAGCCGCAGCACATTCAACCCTAAGAAAAGTGAACGGAATGTTAGCTTCTGGTAAACGGCAGGGATATTTTTTAAACACCAAGAGTGATGTAGACCGAAACTCGTACGCATATACTGCGTGAATAGTAATTTAAATAATTCCAAAACTTAAGGACCTGAATATCTAGGAAACAAAACCTAGAACACCTGAATTATTGACAAAATAAACAAGTTTTTTGCTATCGTCAGCTCGACATTCTTCGTTGAATAAACAGTTATTGAAATACAGTGGAAACTCTATATAGTGAAATTGAAGGGGCTGCTTTTTTTTTTCGTTACAAATTCTGCATGACGATAAGAGTGTTGAATTGTTTCTGCTGTCATCTCTTTCCAAGCTTTACTAATAAAGTTGACTGCATCTAGCATATTAATGGAAAATTTGTCTTCGGACTCGATCATTTCCATTAAAATGTTTTTCCTGTATCGACTCTTAAGACTTTATTGCGCTCTGGTCCATCAGCTGTAATACACTTGTTGTTTTGACTGGAAGAAATGCCAACTCAATATTTCGTAGATTTGGAATATGGGGATGTTCAGGGCAATTATCTAAGAGAAGTAACAATTTCTTCCATCCATGCAGACTTGTTTGCCTTGTAAGTGACCTCCAAATGCTTGATGTTCTCAAAACATCGTGGGTTAGTTGATTTTCCAATCACGAATAGTTTTCTTTTTTCTCTCCAACTCATATTGGCAGATACTAACACCGTTATACGTTCTTTAGAAAGTTTTCCGCCCACACACTTTAAGCTTCAAAATTTAAGAGGTTTATCTGGCGTCATTTTGTAAAAAATAGCAGTTTCGTCAGCTTTAAAAATGTCGTCAGCAGGGTACTTATCTGCTAGTTTTGGCCACGTCTACTTCAGCCAATCGTTAGTGATGTTTCTATCGACGTCACGGGCTTCGCCACTTATCTGTCCATAATTTATACCACATCTCTGAACTTCCCCAACCATCCTTCCAAAGCCTTAAAATCGATAAGGCCAAGCTATTCAGCAAACTTTTCTGCTTTTAGTTTTACGATAGGTCCAGAGAATGGTACATTTATAAGAGGTTGCTGTTGGAACCACTGCAACATTGCCCCATCCAAATCTTTAAATTTTGGATTTCGTAGTTTTGAATGATTTTTTCTTTGCACTTCCAAATCGTGGATGCAGTCGACGGTGTAAGCCCGTCTCGACGTGCCGCATCACTTTTCTTTTCTCCCCGTTCTATCTCCCGAATTAAACGAACTTTATCATCTAGAGATAAAATTTTTCACTTACTCGCTTCTTGCCTTCCAGCTTTTCCGTGGTCTGCCTCTTTTCGACTTCACTCGACTCACATGTCCAAACCACATTAGTTAGTTGTTTTTCTCCAATAGTATCTAATAGTCTCTTTATTTGATTGTGAATTTTCAAGCCGTATTAGTTTTTTATGAAACTAGCCCTACTTTTACAATAACATTAGCTTTCGTACTGACGTTCATAAGCTGAACTTGACATTTTGTGGCTACATATCGCCTCCGCCACATCAATTAACCTCCTTTCGAAGATCTTTCTCTAATAACATCTATAAGTTGTACAATGGAGTTCCGGAACAATTAAAATACTTAAGCCTAAACTTATTTAAACGTCCCCATAGAGAGTACTCCAGAATGATTGTGTCTAGTCAACGAAAGAGAATCAGTTTTTTCCTCATAGACTATTTTTATTTCCAACTGTAGAAAACTTGATGAATTGTTTGAGAAATAAATATTATTACTATTTATTTAATATAAACAAATCCATTAATTATATGCTACCTGTGAATCTGCAGTAATTCACAATCCAAAATTTTAATCCTTCAAGTTTGGTTCATAAATTTTAAAGTTTTAGTGATATATTAGCTAAATGATCAAGAATCAAGAATTGAGTCACAGTATAGAATGCCTTCTGCAAATTCAAAAAAATGCCGAGTTTGTGCTTAAATTTTTAAAAATATCAGTGTGTTACACAACAGATTGTCCGAAAAAGTCATCAAATGACTTACCAGAAATTGCTGCAGAATCCAGCAGGGCTTTCCTCTCATTGTTCGTAAAATAAGATGGTACCGATATGACGCAATCGTTAACGGGCGTCTGAAGGGCGGTAGTAGCAGTGTCTTTCAGTTTTGTCAGTAACATCGCTAGGCATTGTTCGGGAGAGAAGGTGTGTTCTTCATTTAAGTAGTGGACCTAAAATTTAGGTTGTTACAAGAATTGCTAAGTATAATATAACAATATACTAACTAACCACAACCACACTTCCAAAAAACAAACCAAATAAAAATGAGAACAAAAATGAAAATTCAAAAAGAACTAAGTAATAATTATAAAATATATATCTCTATGTTTACAGAGTTGCTGGAGACAGTATTCAAGAACTACACCTTTGTATACTTTAGCTTGTAGGAAATGTACATCAAAAAATGTGTACCTTACTGTTTCTATATTATGAATATGTATGTTATAAGGCAACCAAACCCAAAATCTATACTCAAGATGACAGCGAATAAGTGCTCAGTAAAGAAGTTTAATAGATGAAAGAATATAAAACTATCAACAGGACATTTTCTATTTTGTTGGTGGAAAGCTCTCAGAAGCCAGATTCTGTATGGTTAATGACCCAATTGGTGACTCGACTCAACCCACAAAACATGAATATAAATTTTAAGTGCGAACCTTTATACCAATGCTGCCATTTTTATCTTCCAAAACGTTATAAGGTAGCATTTGAATTTCCCTTTGAACGTGAGGGTCTCTAAATTTTCTTCCTATAAGTCTCTTTAGGCCATAAACTGTATTTTTCATATTTGTAACTTGTTGATTCTTGGCAGCGACCCCGAGAATCCGATTCTTTCCGGAAAACGCAATGTACGATCTACAAGGAAAAATGAATATTTGTAATACGCATGGTTCTCCAATTACTCCAAACTAATGTAGATGAATGAAAAAATCCAAATAAGGTATACCAAGGTAAATGAACTAAAAGGTGAGGTATATGGAATGATACTTTACCTGCACTAGATGATCACATTCAGAAATACTTACGGAGTGGACCTTAAGCTATAATCGTTAGCTATTGTTTCTATGCCACCTGCTTTTGCAACGGCAATATAACAGGATTCATTTCCTAGATCAATTCCAATAACCGACATTGCAGCCATGACTTAATATTTAACAAGCTATTCCGCGTTTTTAATTTTCAAACCGTAAGAACACAAACCCACTAACTTTTTACTTCTTTCTAAACGTTTGGAAACGCACCGGGCGGCCACACTTTTCTGCCGAAAATTAACTGACGACAAATGATATTAAAATGACAGTGCCGATTTTATCTTTCGAACAGAGAACAGTGGCGACGTATCCGGAACGTTCTGGAAAGGTGTGCTCTCATTGCAAAACTTAGTGAGTTAGAAAGAGATAAAATCATCGCCACAGAATCGCATATTATAACCTTTACAACATTGTTATAACTTATAACAGTGAAACAGGTTAGTTACATCTCCGATTCATTTGCTTGACGTCACTTTGCCCATTTGAAACTAGTATCGGGCATTATTTTCTAAAGGACCATAAAACCGTTTAAAATTACTCTCGAAAGACAAATATAAAAAAAAAGTAAAAAATAGTAGCTGACTGAGTTAATTCGAGATAACAAACAACAACAAATTATATTTTTTATTTTTTTATTATTATTTATTTTTATTATGAAAAAGAATAAAAACAGCAATTACAATAATAACACAATAGAAAATAAGTGTAAATTCTGGTTTAGGACTGCTTCAACTATTATAAGAAATTTGGTGCAAACATTTAAACAATGCCTATCGCCGGCTTTACTCCTGAATTAAAATATCCGGCGAAAATTTGAAAATGTTTCCGGGATAAAACTAAAATTTTGCACTTTTCGGACGAACTTTTGACCTGTTTTATTGTTTGATGACAGGTAGAAGTCGTTTTTAAATTTGCTGATTGTGATTATACCTCGTGGTGTCTGGCCAATTCAGAAACTCAAAAATGATTTCCAGATTTTTCTCTTTGCTAATTTATGTAGTTTTAATTTGTTAATTTTTCAAATTTATAGGACAGTCCGTCTCCGTAATAACATTCGTACCCGGCATGTTTCCAAATTTGTTCCACTTGCATCATAATTGCTTTGTTTTGCTGGACCTCGCAGTTTCTTTGCTCAGACATTTTATAATTCCTTATCTCTTAATAATTGCGGTTCCTTTTTTTCCCCCTACTTCTGGGGAACTTTATTTTAACAACTATTTGATTGCGGATTGGAACCCATCCCGAATGGAGAATCCCAAAAAAAAACCAAACCTTATACCAGGAAAATCCCTAGTTACCTTCCCTCTGCCGTTACACCGGAACGCTAACAAAAAGAATGGAATAAAGGTTTAAAAGCGCTCACGTTAGATGACGCTATTCAAAAATAACTATAATTAATACTACCTCATCTCATATTTCTCGTTCAGCAACTTGTTCTCTTCTGTTCTGCTTGCACTTGAAGATTTTGGCTTCGCAGACTTCTTTTTTTTTTTCGTGTTTTTATTTCGTCTTTTTTTTATCTCATTATGAAGTAGGATCGAAATAAACTCTTGACTCAAATGCTAATCAGTGGAGAGGGGTACTAAACAAAAAGAAAACAACGAGTGCCCAAGTTCGAAATTCATCATACCATGGAAATATAAAGAAACTACGACATTTTGTCAGAGAACGACAAAGACAATGCAAAATGCTTCTTGTCCAACCTCAGACAGATGAAACATCAGACATATAAATACAGATAACTTAGAAATAAATGACAATGTGGAGGAAGGTTTTGCTGCTAGTGCTATTTTCAAATAGAAAACTTTTAAATATAGAATAAAGTCAAGCTAGAAAGCTCACTTCTACTAGCATAACACCAACTGTACGTGGGTACAGCAGAGAAACCAGAGTGTTTGATATCAAACAAAGAAAAAATATGGTGCTACAGACTCTGTACAGTCCGATTGATTCTTTTTTTAACAGACTGACAGGAACAGAAAAAAAATTATACTATCAGAACATTAAATATGACGGCTAAATTAGGTAATAAATCAAACACCAGTAAAATACATTTTAACAATGACAACATGAAAACTTGACATGATATTACAGTATTTTTATTCATGATTGTTATACGTTATTAAACGCGCTTTAATTAAAGGTAAATATACATTTGACAGCTGAAGAGAGAGTAACCATAATTTTGAGGTATTATGCAGGAAACAGTGTCTGAAATATTTTCAGTTTATTTCCCTTCTAAAATTATACCCTATTAAACAAATTGACCTTAATAAATAACTGCAAATGTTCAGAAAGTGTCGATACTTTATCTCAGAAGCTATAGGGGATGGAGCCAAAAGTTAAATACAAAAGTTACTTGAGATATTAAAAACTTTTAATTTATTTTAATTTTGTATATACGGGTGTTTAATTTTTCGGCGGCGAATATCAACTTTCTTACTTTAAATGGAACACCTAGCATATTTTTGATTTCTATACAAAATTCTAGACATACTTTGTGTATAATGTCCTATACCTAAGCCTAACCGTTTTTGATATTTGAAACTACCTGTTTTTATAATCTTGTCATATTTAGAATTAAAAATTAAAGCAATTTTATATAGGCTTGTATATGTCTAAAATTTTTACTTTTTGAAATATTTCCTTTTACAAATAAGTAAGGTGGCTATGACGGCGTTTAAACAAAACGTGTTTTGTTGTTGATTGCCATCATAATTCAAATAATTTTTGACACGTTATTTATTTATTTATAGTTTATAAATTTAATTTACTCGCATTACTAGAGCAACAAGAATAACAATAAACATATGGAAGTGACAGGATCAGGAAGAACTTCTGTCAATGTATGGTGGGCCAGACTAATAGGTCCAGTATTTTTTTATCAGAATTTAAATTCCCAACGCTACCTAGAGCTTTTAAATATTATGCATCCCTTTGTTGAAAATCAAGTGCCTGAAAGTGAACGGCGGAATTTAATTTGGCATTAGGATCAGAAGTCAAGAAAATAGCACCTATAGAGCCTCGAATCAACTCCCCTAGATTTTTTCTATACGGTACATTTAAAGATTTAGTTTACAGACACAAACCGTCAACTGTCAGCCTTCTAACAATTGTCTTGTTCAAAAGCCGTCATAGCCACCTTACACTAACTGAACTTATATTGCGACAGCATATATTTAAACGGAAATATTTCAAAAAGTAAAAAGTTTAGGCATACACAACCTTATATAAAATTGCCTTAATTTTTAATGGAAAACATGACGAATATAAAAATAGGTAGCTCCATTAAAAAAAAAAGTTTTTTGGAGTTTTTTTCATCTTCGTCATTTTTCGCATAAAATATTAAAAATGTCAAAAACGGTTAGACTTAGTGATAGGAATTTTGTATAGAATTCAAAAATGATATGATATAATATACCAGCGATTCCATTTAAAATAAGAAAGTCGATATTCGCCCACGAAAAATGAAACACATAGTAAATTGAATGTTTGTAACATCATAATTAACTTTTGTATTTAACATTTGGCTCCATCATCTATAGTTTCTGGGATAAGGTAGTGTCTCAAGAGAAACGACCCACCCTATACATTCACACTCAACATCGAACCAAATGTTCAAAACTGTCAGTATAAGCCAAGATAATGAATATCGTTTTGTTCATACTCGAAGTTAATATCCTCAAAAAATAAATGTTATAGTGGGAATTTGCGGACATCATATAATTGGGCCATTTTTATGGACTATAACCTCACGGCGGAAACCTATTTGGATTTATTACAAAATCCAACTGAACCAGCACTAGAAGTTGTTCGCGGAGATCAGGAGATCTGGTACCAGATGGGTGGTTTTCCCAGCCATAATTGCCATTTAATAATAAAAATAATAATAATAATACATTTATTCTGCAATGTTCAATTTCAAAAGGAGATGAAAGCAATTAAAATTGTTCCAAGTTCAACCAGTATAAAATAATATATAGCAACTATTTTAAAATTATTAGTTCACATGAGATAACTATAGCAAAAAAAGAAAATGTGTACGTGTATATAAAAATTAAAAATTGGATAGAAAATTTTAGGACTGAACTTAATCGAAAATCACTTGCAATTTGCTTGTTGGCTGAACATTTCTTATCTTCTTTTTATTTTTGAAGTTTAATAGTGATAAGACTTTTAAAGAGAGAGGAACGGCATTGTAAAGTTTGTAAACGTTGTAGGAGAAGCTTCTTCGAAAAAGAGACGTCCTGTGTGGTGGTGGAGAGAGAAGACCCCTAAATCTAAGGTTCAATCTGTCCGATATGTTATTTTATTTGTCAAGTAAGGAGGACTGTTATTAAAAATAATGTTGTGAAAAAATACCAAGGAGTGTAATCTACTCATATTCTGCATATTCAACCACTTAGCATCCTGTAGTTTGTTAGTAGTTTTTTATATTTTCTTATACCATAAATTCCCCCCACCCCCTCCCTCAAATTTTTTTGTACTCTCTTAATTCTATATATGTCAGTTTTATCTAGGCATGGACCATATAAAATGTCACAATAGTTAAAGTAACTTAACACTAGAGAATCCGTTAATTTAATCTTTTGAACCTCAGAAAATAAATGGCGATGCGGATAAAGCAACTTTAAGTACAACCGATCCCTATTCTTTCCAAAGAGCATAACAGGTGATTTACTTGGATTAATTATCAATCCATGACGTGCTGAAGAATCTGTTAGTGCTTTTAAATCCGCATTGATCAATTTTTGAGCCGTACACCAAGTACTGGGGTCAAATGAATATAATACCTGGGTGTCATCAGCATAAAAATATGCCGTAACATTTTTGTTTGAACATAAATAATGTTTACTTTAAATAAAGGTGGCAATGTTTTGTGGCCCCATTTCCATTATAATTATAATTTATTTTTAATAAAAGACTTGAGGGTCAAATTTATAGCCCTTCCGGAGAAGAATCTTTAATATTTTTCGCAGACAGAGAAAGTCCATTTGGAATCCAACCATCCTTAGAGCCAGGATATTGCGTAAGTGTTGATGATGGACGGTTGTTTGAACATAAATAATGTTTATTTTAAATAAAGTTTCTATTTAGCAATGTTTTGTGGCCCCATTTCCATTATAACTATAATTTATTTTTGATAAAAGACTTGAGGGTCAAATTTACATCCCTTCCTTGAAGCTTCCTTACCTATTGCTTAAACAGTCCTTTAAATGAAATTCATGCCAAGAACGCCTTAAGGGATAAAGAGGTCTTAAGTATGAGTTTGATCCTAAAAAAAACATAATGATAAATGATATAGCTACATACACAGCTTAATTTGAATGTGCACGTCTTTATTGTAAACCAACCTTTATTTAATATGTCATTGTTTGTTTGATGTCAAATAGCATCATGGAAAATATTCGCTGGTGTTTGTTGTATTGACCTTTTGCAATTTGACATCATATCAATAACTGATTGGCTTCTTAAAATTTATTCAAACTCGGTACATGAATTAACCATACCGGCTACTTGAAAGGGGAGCCAATATTTGGGCACCTAAAAACTTACAGCAGAGGCAGATGGTTATCTGTGATCCCTTCATGTTAATAGAGGAGAAACCATAGTCATAACATCCGCTCGTCTCCAAGCCTCTTTTCCTGATTGATTTTGGGTCTAAAATCCATTTTTAACTGTGCCCCAGTGTTCGAATTACATCCTTACCTAATGACTGATAAGATGATCGCCCCCAATAACTGGTGTAATGGGAAATTGAAAATACATTTTCTAACGTTGACCAACAATTAAAATCCCTCGTTGAAAAACGTATACTTCTGCATGCTTCTCGAATTAGGGCAACCAGTTGCTTACACAAGCTATAGCTGGACGTGGTTCTCGCTAATGATGTTTTAACACAGATTTCTCCATCTGGTTTAAGAGTGATAAGCTGTGCAATAAGATCTGGAATATGAGTATAGGACCTGACTTAGGGGTAACAGGTCTAACAAAGTTAGACTCGTTTCGACTCTGATGTTTTCTACGTTTCTGGTCGAATGTCAACTTTCAAACGGAAAAGAATTTGCTCTTCATTTTCAGTATTGATGGTTTTGAGTTTTAGAAAAGCGGAACTAGATGGAAGTTGTTTGAAAGTTACCCTTTTGCCAGGAAGGTGCTAACTTGGTTTGATATATCAGGAGCGGGAAAGAGCTCACTAACACTTTTCTTATTGCTGTCGTTTGTTCGTTTTTGCTTACGTCAAATCTTGGTTTTTTGATCCTGATCCTTAATACTTGGTGCGCCACATTTTTTTCAGTCATTAGCAAGTTTTTTTCATTTTCACTATATCTCAGAAACTAAGCGAGATATGAGAAATGCGAAGAGACTGATTTTGTAGAGAATTAAATTTCCCACAACAAACGTCGCTACAGCTTTTTCATATTTTTAATAATTGCAAAGTTACACTGGAATACGCACACACGGGATATTCAAGTCGTTCTACCACGGTGTTAATGCCGCCAGTTTGTTCTGAAAATTGGCATTTACACTTAAAATAGCATAGTAAATGAATAAAAATAATAAAAAGCTCATCGCTCACGCTCAAAAAATATGCCTTAATCGTTCAAAAATGTCACTGTCTCTGCTGCTATTGGTTTTGTATTCGTTTATTCCTCAGCTCAGCTTGCGTTTTTACCTTCGCAAAGAGCCACTACGTTAATATCGTCGACAAAAGTTGGGCGCTTATTTGTTTTTATTCCACGCAATGCGGTAAAGTAGTCCCTTTCGATTCAGTAATTACAGGGCACGAAGAAAATATAGGGAAGTTACACTGAAGTTTAGTGGGCGTGTCAAAGCAGGTCGCTTATAAAAATCTTTGAACCAAATGAGTCAGCTTTAATAAGTTAGAATAGTTTTCGTGAGACAGCGGAGGAATATTGCCGTGAGTAAAGCCTAGTAAATATCATTGCTAATAAAGTATTAATAATTAGAACACATAACTGATAAACTAAAATAATGATACATGTTATTCAATGAATCGCCACGATTTGCTTTTGTCGCAAAATAGAATCCAAATGGAACTTCGGAAGTGGTTTTAAGAAAAAAGCCTTCATAAAGTATGTCGTATTTGAGATGAAGACGCCCCCATATGTTGGGTATGTAAATAAATACAGATTTTAAGTTTTGCGAATCCACAAATACAAAGAAAGAAAGAAAAATCTCTTGAATATGTAATTCATGTAATTTAAATTCCTTATTATTAGAAAACAATGTTTTTTAATAGGGAACTGATCAAATTTCATTTTTCATTTTATTATAAACTTTGAAAAAAAAAGTGCCTTGAGATTCGTATTGGTTTTCTGTGAAACCAGCAGTGTATACTAATGAATATTTATGAAATGTCAGCTCTCTTGAATAGTCATCCATTTATTCGAATATGTTTGTCAATTGTTTTAAGATTCTGTTTGAGTTCTGTTAGATTTCTTCCCTTTATGCGACGCTGTATCTCTTACAGTTTCCAATAGCCCCATGCACGTCATCTTATACTGTTAACAAAAAATTATTTAACCTAAATGGTTTATATTATTTCAATTTGCAGTTACTTATGGCTAGGAATTAAAATTTTGGCTATAATTACGTAGTAAACAAAGTATTGAAAAGTTGCTGTTATTAGTAGACTCTCACTTTTTGAAATTTGAAATTGTACTATTGGGGGTGGAAATGTAAATGTTTTATAGTAAATAATTACAAAAAGAAACATAAGATCCCTTCAAATACACCTATATCAAAGTTAAAGTCTGTTCATAGATATAATATATATAATATATCAGTATCACTATCGCCTATTTTAATTATTATTTGTTCTATATTATTTGCAATATGGATATACGATTGTTCTGCTTCTTCTATATGTTTAACATAATTTGCCCAACTTTGCGGAAGGATGTTAAAAACTTCGGTTTTATATAAGTTTGAGGACATTGGAGTTAACACGGGCAAAAACATTGTTACGACGAATGGCAGATTTCAGTTGGTGCCAAACATGTTCAATGGGATTAAATATACAATGGAAAACTGTATGCCCTAGATTTTTTTGCATAATTATCACAGACGTATTCCTTTTGTAGGCTCAAACTTTGTAGAACCTCAATTAATTGCTTTTTCGTATAACCTTCGTGAAAATAAATGTCGTTATTATACATGTAGTTTTGGATTGTTGCTTTTGTGTCACATGAGGAAGGGGTTTTAGTCAACTGTCTACTGTGATAAATTGCATTGTCCATTACAATTACGCTATTAGGAGGAATGTTTGGAATTACTTTGTTTTTAAACCAACTTTCAAATAAATCAGCGGTGGTGTCTTCATGGTAATCCAGAGAAGGATCTTTAATATTTTTCGCAGACAGAGAAAGTCCATTTGGAATCCAACCATCCTTAGAGCCAGCATGCAAAATAATTATTCTTTTACCTCTTTTTGATGGCGCGTTTGTTTTACATCAGTTATCAGTTGAGTGAACCCAACCCTTTTCCGGGGTATCATAAGTGTCGAAGCAGGTTTCATCCAAGTAAATAATTGGCCTTTGTTGTTCTCTGTAAATCCTATTTTTTTCTAGATATTCCAGTCGTCATTTCCGCATTCTAAAAGATTCCATTAAAACTAGCCTTTTGTCAATTTTTTAAATGAATGTGTTGAATACACTTCCATAAGGTAGTTCTGCCACATTTAACACCGGTTTCATCTTTTTCAAGCCTCCCAATTAAGATATCTAATGTAGGCAGCTTTGTTCCTCGTATAACTGGTAAATTTTACGCCGTATTATATCTTGATCACTCGAGAGAAATGGGATTATTCACAATTTTCCATACAGTTGATGTTGGAATTTTCGTCAATGTGGCCGTTTCTTGTAAAGATGCACACGATTCAATTCACGCTGTATTACACTCGAAATAAGAATGATTACTAATAAACTTGAACTAAGTAGTATACCAAACCAAAGAATATTAAACACAGGTAGGTATAAAATTATTTTCTATTACGGACCACAATTTTACCTGAATTTAAATTCCGAAACTTTAGGTAATAATCTTGTTGCATTGTATGTTAATGACCACCCTTGGATAAGGCCATTCAAAAGCAATTAGTCACTTTTTTATATCTATGAACAGACCACACCATGATTTATCAACTTTGATTAAATAAAGGAATAAAAATGAGATATATTTATACTAGTCTATTGTTTTCGCGAAATTTCATTATACCAAAGGTCCTACATTACAACAAATATACAAACTATCAACTTTAGTTGCTGAAAACAGTTTAAAAAGTTGCTACTAGTTACTCATCTTTAATTTTTTAGCAATTTTGTGGTAGGAATCTATTTTTTCCTTATTATACCTATATTATTGCCGATGAAGCCTTTCCTTCACAAACACACCTAATGAGGCCATATCCAGGAAGAAATTTAACTAATGAAAAGAAAATTTATAATTACCGTTGATATCGGAAAATGCATTCGGCATCTTGCAACAAAGATTTAAAATAATCTGCAGAAGATTTCAAGGAAAATTTAAAAATGCAATGATTATCACTTCTATCTGGTATTTTATACAATTTTATCAGATAACGTAATTCAAATTAAAAAAAATCCTAAAAACTTTACGTTTAATTTAGGTAGTGTAGGATATACGAAGTTTTCTCTTAAAATGAGCTCAGTAGTTGACATTCCATTAAGGAACACTCGTACGTTTTATAAAAACGTACCGAAATACATTTTTGCATTAAAATTATTACCTGAAACACTACCATTTACAAATTTGTTGATGAATCGAACTTGCTGACGTTTAGTCAATCATCCTGTTGGCTTTTTCAGAGCTTGACTGAAACTGACTCCCATTCTCTCTGTACCTGCTTATATATCGTTTGAGAAGGGCGGAGCTAAAACAGTGCATGAACATTTTCTCGGCTGACTGAATGTCATATTTGTGAGACGAGGTTGAGATTGTTTGGTTGCTTATCAGTTGGTTGGTAGAAGGATTCATTACAGGCAAGAACGTTAGCTTTGTTGAATAAAATTTAATATTTCGGAATGGCTGGTGATAATGGAGAACCTATAGCTGTTCCCGACGTTTTTGATCGTTATAAGAAAAATATGTTCCAGACAAGCATTTTTGAGTACGCTCCAGATAATAATATTCCTTAAATAATGTGTCAGGAATAGGAACTTTATTAAAGATGAATTCTACGGCTAAACTAACCATAATATCCTGTGGATCTAATGATATGGTCTTAAATTGTTCAATGCTCAAAAAATTTCTTTAAAAAACTGTTTTTTACAGAAAAGGACCTATATAGGTCAAATACTAGACGTACATAACTCACAACTGCTTAGCATAACTTACCACTGCTTACTATTGAATTTTATGTACTGAAAAATAATTATAGATATTGTGAAATATATCCCAACATTTTATTTATTCGATTGTAACACTTCAAAAGTTTTGTTTAACTTTTTTTTAACCTCCTTTTTTTCGACATTGATTTTGATTTTTTAGTTCGTTGAGTAATTCAAAAAAAATATTTAACTGCGTAATACATATACCTGCTTTTATTAAGTGTGTTCATTTGATTGATTATATATCCAGGTTTTAATTCACTCTGTTGATACAATATTGAATTCACTACAAACGCTTGTTTGATACTCAGTGGTCTATCTGCATCTTGTCCCTTTATTCCAATAATTTTGAGCGTGCGCTTCTGAAGCCGATCCAACGGATCAAACGCTGAACTATGGAGACCTCCCCAGTCATTCAAAAATGACCTCCTCAATCTGCACAAAGCGTTTTATTCTAAGGTATCCGTTCCTGTCATTAGAGATACCTCGGGAGAGGTCTCCTATAACCCGGACTTCATTTCAAATGAATTTGCTTTATATTTTGCTTGTGTCTTTGCTGATGAGCCAGCTAATCTACCGTCTCACTATGAGGGTCCTATGAATCTAGATTTATTAGAAGACATTCGCTTTGACCAAGAGGACGTGAGGACGTGAGTTAAAGGAAAAATCTGCTCCCCTACCTTTTTTTTTCTCAGTAAAATCTTAAAAGCGTGTGCCCCTGTGCTTGCAGAGCCTATTTATATTATTTTGAGAAAATCTTTGGACTCTGCCATACTCCCAACCCACTGGTTATCCGAAAATATAACACCGATTTATAAAAAGGGTGATAAGCTCGATGTTTCAAATTACCGCCATATCAGCCTAGTGTGTATTTTATGTAATATAAGGTTCTTGAACGCCTTACAGTAAATCAGCTGTTACCGTTTTTGATCGACTGCTGTTGTTCCCGGCAGATCTGTCCTATCAAATACATTGACATGCTTGAATCACTTTACATTATCTCTTGACTCAGGCGATCCGGTGGATATTATTTACCTCGACTTCAGCAAATTCTTCGACAAAGTGCCACGTCGACGCTTGTTATTCAAACTTGATACGGTCGGAGTGGGGGCAAACTGCTAGAGTGGATAGCGGCGTTCTTAAACCACCGGTCGTTCAGAGTTCGAATTGGTAACGCGTTTTCACTGCCACAAAACGTGCCTAGTGGTGTTCCTCAGGGATCGGTGCTGGGGCCAGTGCTATTCTTAGTGTACACCACGGACTTGCTCTCCAGCATTGATTCTCATGTGAGCGCTTATGCTGATGACACTAAATTATTTGAAAATCCTATTTCCAAGTGGTGTTCAACTTGGCTATTGCAGCTGAATGGTCAAAAGTGCTCTGTGCTTCATGTTGGCAAGAACAATCCTGGTTTGAATTATTATATCAATGGAAACTTTGTGTCAAGTGTCGATTCTCGATGGATCTAGGTGTGCGTGCCCCTTGTGGTCTTAAGCAATGATGAACGCCTACGTGGTCATCCATTTAAAACAAGAAAGGAACAACTCAGAACTTCACGTCGCCTGCATTTTATAAGTTACAGGATTTTCAATTATTGGAATAGTTTACCCCCAGATGTTGTGTGTGCGCCGAACTTGTCTGTATTTAAATGTCCCTTGGACAGTGTATTGTTTCACAGCAATAACTAAATATTTATTATATGTATTATGCTACTAACTATCAATGTGCCTAATAGGTTCTCCTCTGCACTTTATTCTTTGTAATAATAATAATAATAATAAAGATACATCAGCGGCGCGTTTTACAAGTTGTGACAGAGACGCCCTTTGTACCGAACGTTGCTTCGAGATCCGGCAGTGTAAGGAACGCGAGAAGACATGAGACAAATTCTGGCATCGCAAAAATCATTAAGCAGAAAAACTCTTCCCGACAGGTTGTTTTTTTAGAGTGTACCGGAATAGTTAAACAAGAAATGAGCAGAGCTCATAGAACATGAAATTCTTGCATGTAATCAATTATTTAATTAAAGTAAAGTATTTTTTTAGAAATGATTGGAGATTGTAAGAACAATTTTTATTTTACGAGAAATCAGTGGCGTACCATCAATGTCTGCCTCTTGATAAATAGTGTATGTGCGGCAAAATTTGTTTAATATATTAATATTATTACTAATTAATGACATTCACCCTTTATAAGAATGTACGGAATAGAACGCGAGCCAGTCCCAGTCAAGCTCCTAAGAAGCCAACAGGATGTTTGGCGAAACGTCAGAAAAATTACGTTAAACACTATTTTTTTTTCAGGCAAACTGACTGTTCGACCGATGCTGAACTTCTCGAAATACTGTATGATTTCGGCGGGTATATGGCGGTTGCCTCTGCCCACGGACAACCCCATTTTTAACAAAATTTATATCTTTTATTCGGCCGTGGTGAACATTTATTTCCCGCTGCTTGTAAGTTCCATGTGCATTCAGTTCGTGATAGTATTTATCGATGAAAATGCCGACAAAAGTTCGGGGAAATTGTTCAAGCACTTTTCTTACCTCATCACGCTGGCGTGCGTGGAAGTTACGACGATTCTCTGCCAAAGCGCAAGGGTCAAAGATATCGTACGTTACATAATGGAAGAAGAAGAGCGGATAATTCGATCGGAGGACGAAGAATTCTTGCAACATCACTATGAACAGTTGCACTATGCCAAAAAAGTGAACAAATACTTGTTTGCCGTGTCGTTTGGCGTAGCCGTTTCCATGGCCTTCGACAACCTGCATCGTAGGTTCCAGGTGGAAAAATTCAACAGAAATCACTACGAGCGCATGGTGAAACCGCTTCCTTACGAACTGTATTACTTTGAACTGGACCGGGAAAAGTACGACAAAGTTTTACTAGCGATAAGTTACGTTACCATCGTCGTCACTGGTTTTCTGGTTGCCTCGACTAAGATGATATTCATTTCTTGCATTATTTTCGTACAGTCAGCCCTCACGGGCCTGCAGATTAGGTTTAGGAAAGTAGCATTTTCAGAGGACTATCTAAAGAGACTTGCCTTCGAACATCAACGGATCGTAGCGTAAGTGATATTTGAATATCAATAAATTAAATAATAAGCTAATTTTAATTAAGTTTATTTTATTTTTATTATTTAATATTTGCAAATCTTCTGGGATTGAACTACCGGTTGGCAATCTTCTCTGCTTACATATAGTTTGAGGGGGCGAAATGCTGGTGAAAGGTAAAGACCTGAATTGCGGTTAACCCATTTTGTTCGAGTGGTGCGTTAATATGATTTTTTTTGTCACATCCAGGAAATATTTTTGCATATCCATTTCGAAATTTTATTATTATCACTACTAAAGGACATAAAACCGTAGAAATCGCTAATTTATGTGTAAAGGGAAGATCTCATATGATTTCAAAAGTTAACAAAAGCGGTACATAAATTTGTATCACATTTTCAAATAAATCCAAAATAGTAAAAAAAATATTTTGGATTTGTGTTGCCATTTTTGTTAAGTCTATACCAGTTAGATTACATCGTATAAAACATACATTGGAAGTACTATATTGATTATGCTTTATTTTTTGAAAATATTTACTGGTGCGTGAATGCACTACTGGTTTTATCTGTGAAACAAAACTTTGTTATTGCAAGTCTAGACAAGTCAGGGCATGTAGAATAAACATCCAACAATTAGCGTGTTCTTTAGTATTAATTTGTGCCTTGTGCAGTAAACGTTACAGTTCGTAAAATATGACATTTCCGAGGTATTTGACATAGAACAGAACATATTGACGCGGCCTATATTCTACCCGACGTGGATACCTTGACTGACGAAGAAGATATGAACGATAACATAAACCTACAAGAGTTTGGGGAACCAACTGATATAGTTGGAACTTTCGAGTTACATATACCGAATGATACAGCTGTCAACAATCCTGTAATTCATCAACTACTGAACCTGAATCGGACTCATCAGATGATGAAACACTGGAATTCAAGAGAAGTCGTATGCTTTCTGCAAACGACAGGCTTGCTTTTACTGTCAAATAGAAGATTGGTCAGATTGAGTACATTCACACACCTATATCCGAGGAATTTAGATCATGTGAGGAACTAAAAAATAGGCTTGCTGGAAAAACTCCGCTTGAAATATTTTTTACGTTTTTTGATGACGAAGTGATTGATTTCGGTAAAATATATGTATATATAAATGTTCAAGGGTAAAAACTGTAAATCATTTGGAAAAAAAGACCGCGGATCCTATCTTTCAGCATATCAATCTGAATCAAAAATTTCTATTGTCCGTTGGCACTACAATTCAGTTGTAACTGTGGCAAGTAATGTTTCTAGTGTAGATCCTGTCCAAAATGTAAAACACTATAATAGACAAGAATGTAAACATGTAAATATATCCCAAACTTATGTAATTGCCCAATACAATAGATATATGACAACGGAATTGCTAATTACAGGTGCCAGGTATTTGGAAAAAAATGGTGGTGGCCTTTATTTTGTAACTCACTGGATAATAAATTGGTTAAGGCTTTCGCGGCCCGTTGATAAGCTATTATCTTGATTCGGGTTTAAAGGCCGTCGTCGGTTGGAATTACTTCCTAACGTTTCGCTAGCACGAGTGGCGAGCTTCTTCAGAGGTCCTTCCATCTCCGATGTTGGACGTAGACTGGGAGTCTATATAATATTGTCAACGAACAAAAGATTTCCCAGTTAGATTTTAAATCTTACATTGCCTTGCGACTTTTAAAAACTGATAAAACAACATAGATGAAGTGCGTTATGATAATCAAGGTCACCTCAAGATTGTTCATGCTAATAAAGCTCGAAGGAGATGTAGAATCTGCCACAGCCACACAATTTACGTTTGTAATAAGTGTAATGTACATTTACATACTTCATGCTTTGTAAAATATCACCAAAAATGAAACCAGGTGTTACGAGAGGCGCGCACAATAAACTAATATGCGTTTTTTTTGTATCAAATCAGGTTCTATTTGGAAAACTTTTAGTTGTTTTCTGTCGAATTTAAACTTTCTTTGGTATATTTATGTATAAATTATATGTTACATCTTATGTGCCTCAAAACATTATTTAATGTTTTTTCCCAGTGGTTCGTTTACGCACCAGTATTTTTTTGTATGTTTCGAGTTTTTATTTATTTTTTCACACATGTCATGTATTCTTAAGTGCAACAAAATAAATAGTTGCAGAGCAAAAAAGTATTTTTTTATTTTTTTTATGCTTGGGACAATATGGGCGAAGGTTGTTTGGTTGCTTATAGATTTCTATCTATCTCAGATTTGAAAGGCAGCGACCTTTGTAATTTGGGATAACGTATTCGATGACCGTTGGTCAGATAAAATGCCTCAGAATGACCACGACCAAAACACAATCGCGAACGTTTTGCCCTGTTATGCAAAAAACTTGGACTTCTAAAATCAATAATATTCGAGATATTTGCAAATGAACTTTTTTCTAAATAAGAAAACCTGCGGTCAACGCATACAAAACTGAATACAAAAAAACTGTAGCAATAGTACAAGTGTCATCTTACTTTACAGTATAACGGGTTTTTATTATTATTATTTTTTCAAAAATAACAAAAATTTTGTGGCTTGGTAGGATTTTGCAAAATGTAAAACAGCAATAAGATGCGTCGTTTCGTTAAGATTCTTGCCAGAAATTGGTTTAACAATGAGCCACAAAGGCACTAGAGATGTGAAAGGTAGACTAATGGTTGTGGATGGTCTTCCTCTTAGATTTTTTTTAAATATTTATTGCCTGGTATCCATTTGCGAAATTATATTCTTTAACTAAGCCTATAAACGGGTCATTCTTTTGTAATTGAATCGATCTATTGCAATATTTTTTCAATATTTACTTTTTTAAAATTTGCATTCTATATCCCTGAAATCCGAATCTTTCGGTAAAAAGTTGTGTCCCGAGATTAGAAAATTTGAATATTTCTGTTTTGACCCTCAACACAGAATAAGATGTTTCGCTTCTGAGAAATGTATATTTGACTGTACTTACTCGGCCAGAATAAAGAGTCATTAATTAGTGACCAGATCACCCGTTTATCTATTTTTTTCATATAATTTGTTGGCTGGTAGCTTTTTGGATAACACACAAAACAGCTCAGACAACATCGTCCAACTATTGGTCAGCGACAACGAAAGTTGTCCAGAAGTCCAGTCGCTTGCTTGAGTTGATGATATAAAATTCTCAAGAAGTGTACACATTAGTAGTATCTTTCCTAAGTTCTACATCCCCCGTCTCCCGGGGGAGATTTTGAGATTGCAAATTTACAAATTCCCAACCAACCCCAAAAAAACAAAAAAAAAATAGTTTGATCAGTCTACGAGAGATGTCGCGCATTAATAAGTCAGGTTTTGATCACCAGATGTCACCCTTAATGGGGGTAGGGGGTAGTTTTTGTGTTTGTGCTTTTTTAACAATTTTTTTCCGCTCCCTGTACTGTCGCGGAGCGAGATTTTTACGTCACCGAGGTCGCTCATAATTCATGTGAATAAAACAACCAGACGTTCTTAATGTTTTGCGATAGCAATGACGGGATCCCCGTGCCGAATATGTTTCTTATCTCTGGATGCTACTCGCGGTTTGTTTGCTTATTCGCAGATTAAATAGAAAGCTGCAGCGCAAAAGACGTCTAATGGCACTTATATCGGACAAATTGTGTTATTAAACATGCAATATATACAAAACCCCATCAGGACAGACAAATATTAATAAATATAGGCGCACGATATGCATACATTAAACACAAACATTATATAAAAGTATACCGTACCATATTATTTTTCCAAAAGAAATATCTGTTTCGTATGTGGTCGGATGGGTCAGTGATGTTCCCGATGTCCTTTGAACTATGCCAACTTTCGATGGCCCAAAGTTAGCGTGTAATCTGATCCTGGTATAAGATGTTGTTTGTCATCCGCGTAAGACAACGCCCCTTATTTGTCAGTTCGACGTACATATCAAGTAAATGTGAGCGAAACGACGACATTTGCCGCAAGATTAGCGTGCCTTCCTCGTCGACAGTGCACTTATAGTCGTCGAGACTAAGTTCGCGCTGACTAACCGAGTCAGAAACGTCCTTCATTTTGCCAAGAACGGACTTGCTTGCAGGAATGCCGTGTTGGTTGTTCTACGAGTAATTAAACGTATCGAATCTGTCCAAATTTTCTTTCATATCTCTGCAGAAATTTTCGCAAAAAAATTGGACAACGAGGTTGTCTGTATCGGTGTAGAGTAAGACAACTTTGTCGCCGTCCTTGGCTTTAAGATAGTCGTAAAAAAAGTTGTATATGAGAGTCTCTCGCTCCGCGACATAAACGCCGCCAGCCGGGCACAAACACAAAAACTACCCCCTACCCCTATTAAAGGTGACATCTGGTGATCAAAGCCTGAGCTTTTAATGTGCGACATCTCTCGTAGACTGGTCAAACAATTTTTTTTTGTTTTTTTGGGTTGGTAAATTTGCGATCTCAAAATCTCCCCCGGGATGTAGAACACAGGAAAAGATACTTCTCACATTTGTTTTCATGAGTCGCTTATTCATTTTCGTGGAAGACAGAAAACCCACAAATATGCTGATGGGGCTACACGTGGAATATACAAATATATGCACTCAGAGAAAAAGGCACTGTTGCTTGATTCTTGAACTGGACATTATTTAATTGGATAATTATTACTTTCTTAATATCACACCGAAATGGAAATCTATAAGTAACCGAACAATCTTAACCCGTCTCAGTTAAGCTCTGAAGAAGCCAACAGGATGATTTTTCGAAACGTCAGCACACTTTGATTTATAAACAACTGACGCAGCAGAAGTTTTGTAAATATTATAACAGCGGCCTGTGGAAGTTTTCTCGAAAAATTATTTATTTCCAGTTTCGCTGACAAGTTAAACGAGGCCATGAAGTTCTTGATTTTGTTAGAATATCTACTGAATTCGATGAATATTGCCGCAGTGTCTATTCAATTTATATCGGTAAGTTTAACTAGTAAGTTTGAATAGTTTTGATAATGTAAGCGTATCGCGAGGAAATATTTTTACTGGGCCGCAGAAAGAACTAATCTAATGTAAAAAAAAGGAGATAACATCGAAGCATTGCAAGAACGAAGAATGAATGGAGAATGAAAGAAAATCTAACTGGCAACAGTGCTTGGCTTATCATTTGGAATAGTGCAATGGAGCAAAACTAAGCACTTTTAACTAAGTTTGGATTCCACCATCCTATTAGTGGACCCGAGAGAACCAACGTCACGAGGGTGGTAGACGATTAGTAGACGTACAGTAGATAAATAGCTAAACTAACTAGTGGCAAATCTTCGAAGCTACTTCTACAGGAAATCTAAGGATTCAGAACTTCATAGTAACTCCACTCCAATACGACTAAAAGAAGAACAGGTCCGGGTTCACCATAAGACGAACATCGGAAAGATACAAAACTGGAGAGAAAAACAACTGCACGAGAGACACCAAAACGGGATTACGCTAGTATCTGGACAGATGTTTCCCGAAATAGAAGATTTCTTACTTGCAATTCAGGATCAGGTAATACCAATTCGCAACTGTTTGAAATATATAGCCAAAGACGCGACAGCTTTTGCAAAAAGAAAGCGTCATATGCTATAATTACAGTCCAGAGCCCATGCTAGAAAATAACAACTTTACTGGGAGCGCACCGTCGTAACCGATCAAACTGTAAACAGTCCTGATATATGCTTAGTCGATAGTGGAGATAAGACAACAACACTTATAGAGGTAGTGATTCCAAACACTAACAACTTGACTGAGAAACCCGCTGAGAAGATTGCAAAGTATAGAGAGTTAGAACAACTTCTGTTATACCAAAGAACTTGCTGAAGGATATTAAAGAACTTGGACGAACATCTATTCACGAAAATGCATAACAGTAATAATAATAATAATAATAATACTGGGGAATCAATACAACACATCATGGGAGGGTGTAGCGCACTAACAGATGATGCTTATTTAGGAAGGTACAATCATACATCAGCAACTGGGCTTCAAGTGGCAACTTTTGTCCAAAGATACGCCTTTTTACAAATAACCATTTTACAAATACGAACCAAAATACCACGATCGCTCACATCAGATCAGATATTCTCCTCATTAATAAATAGGAAAAAAAGCTGAGAAAATTCGAAAATATGAATACCTGGTTATCCAGCTAAAACAACTACAAAAAATTTCAAGAAGAGCGACGTAGTGCGATAGGAGGAAGTAATACCTGCAAAGCAAAGAAATCGGAGATCGATAATAATAATAATATTGCCGCAGCTTCTATTCGATTTATATCGATAAGATTGAACCTGCACAGAATTGGACTTTGAAGCACCAGATAGGTGCAGAAAGTGCGACAAAAACCAAGAAACCATAGGGCATATATTATCTAGGTATGAAAACCAGGAGATAAGAGAGATAATATATATATAGAGAGAAATAAATATATAAAACCGCACAACAAAGTTGGAAACTATTGGGATAAAACCCTCATGACAGACCTAACAGTAAGACAGAACAGGCTAGATATTATAATAAATAACTCTAATATTGAAAACAAATATAATGAAAACTAAACAAATATAGAGGGAGAATATTAAAAGAGCTGTGGAATCTCTAAGAAGTCGAGATCATTCCGGTTGTTTTGTCATGTATGGGGTTGCTTCCCAAGAAACCGATCTCTCAAGGACATTTATATTGCACAGTCAACATATCGAACGATGCAAAAATCTATAGTCGTGGATGCCACGAACATCGTAATCGTAATCGTACTCTACCCCTCTCTAATCATTATTTACGTTTTTAATATTGACGCACTGTTCTCTCTTTCTGATAATTAATTTTTTAGTAAATTAAAAACTTTATCTCTGAAGCCGTATTTTTGTAATTTCTCAACATAGTATGGCAAACTATGTCGAATGTCTTGGACAAATACACAAAAAGGCACCTATGTGTGTTCAAAAATGTAATTATATCCACTATCCACTAATTCAATTACTAATATCACTTTCGTTGTTGTTGTTGAAGTCCACTATTTGAGCAATATTATCGCTCAGAATAATTGAACATTTATTTTTTTTAGATGGATCTTGAATTTACCCCGATTTTTTATTTCTGCTATCTATGTGTTCAGACCTTCACGTTGGGTTGGATGGCAAACGAAATAAAAATTCAGGTACGTAAACTAGAACTATTTTCCTTATTAATTGAATCATTTTAAAACTTACTCTCATTTATTTGACATAAACCATTCCTTTATAAAACTTCGAAGCTCTTACTTTTAAGTCATTTATCTATTTTTAATTTTAAAATTGTTTTTCCACGTCCACAGATATATGTTTTATATTTTTTGTTAAATGCACTCTTTTAACAAACAACCTCTCTGTACTTAACTATTTCTAAAAAAAATATATATCGTTCTATCCACTTGTAGGCAGATTGCTGACTTGACAACAATGGATACTGTCAGCTTTGTTGTGTTTCAAAAAATTAGCACTGGGTAGGATATCATCCATCATTTGATGAAAAAGTAATAGTAAGATATAAATTTCAATTTAAAAGGTTATCTAGCTACTGAAACTAACCGTCTCAGTTAGCATGAAATTAATTAATTAAATTAATTAATTGATAATTAACTATTATTATTTTATTGTTTTTATGCGAAGGTGTCTGTTGTCCAATTATGAGAAATTGAATTATTGTTTTGTTTTTAGTATATTTTCGCAAGTAATTTACTTTTTGTAACAAATCGTGCAATTTATATTTGAAATAACTTAATAATTTAATATTAATAAGTGATTTTTGACATCTTGTATTGTTTGTTCTCACTGATGATGAAAAAATTAAAATTCTAATTCTAAAATCTTAGAAATTTCGAGTAAAGAAGCAACAGTTCAAACAAAATTATCATTTTAAAGAGTTTAACTCTGGCTGATGCTTTGTATGCCACCCAATGGTACGATCAGCGCATAGAAGTGAGGAAGCTTTTGCTTACAATGATAACGCGAGCACAGAAACCACTGGTGTTGACAAATGGTCCTTTCGACGCCATGACTACAGAATCGACTTTAAGGGTACGTTCACAATTCGTTTTCTGAATAAGCGTTAAGTAATGGACCACCGAAAGAATTTATTGGCGTGACGTCATTTTTGGTTATTATCTATCTCAACTGACAGAGACAACTTTTTTTTCAAAAATAGTTGTCATTTTTCTATAGTAATGATGATAATAATAATAATAGCCTTTATTAAATTACTACGAAAGAATATATCACAATAGAAGTAACACAGATGGTGACGTCTAGCAGGGCTACTCCACCTAGCCACTAATACAATATAGTACATCCTCTACACAACAAATAATAAACTAATATTAAAATGATATGGTATAAACGTGGAGAAACGAATCATGATCACAGAAAAAAGAAATTAAAGTAGTTAAAAAAATATATTGCTTGGGCTGAGTTGAGCAAAGCAGAAAATATTAAAAGCTTTTTTTAGTTCATTTTAAAAAACGCAGTTTTTTGATAATCACAATGTTGAATATTCCGAATTTAACAAAAACAAAAAACCTAACAAATATAAATGGCAGCCCTTAAATTCACTTCAAAAGAAGATGAATATCAATATTTTATATTACTAAAAAAAGGGGAAAAACAAATTGGAAAAAGCATGGATACTATTCAAAAATGATTAAAAGAAAAACAAAAAACAATTTAAACCTCTCCTTAATCCAAACAACTCTTTTAATTTCTTTTTGGATGTAGAAGTTGATGAAGAAGCAATAACATCTATTAGAAGTGAGTTTTTTAATAGAATTTGAAAAGCAACAGTACTATGCTTGGAAACATACTATTGGTTACTGCAATTTTATTCACTAAAGTAGACAGATGTAAAAAATACCTTCCAGACTTCGTTATATAATCAAATTTACACAAACCATAGATGTATCTCAGGCGGACATGCTGCTGCATTGATCTTTCCGACTTAGAAGCTGGCTAGTATAGAACGTCCTCCCGATAGAGAAAGTATGAGAGAGTGACACAATTTGAGTTTAATCACAGTAGATAAGTAGTCTCCATATATTAAGGGAGTCAATTAAACATTTTATGAACTAAAAAGTGGAGATTATCATTACAATATGAAGGGGGAAATGTAAAAAATTGGCTTAAAAATCAGCTGGCACTAAATCTTCCTCCGAAAAGTTTCATAGGGGATATTCCAAGCAAATCATGGACAAAGCAGAGATTGATTAGATGGTTAAAAGAAAAGAACATTGACTTCCCACATAAAGGATGAAATATAGAGTATTTTAGAAAAAAATTGTAACAATGAAAAAAGAATTCCACATGGACAAATATGTGAAACCTTTGGGCAATAAAATACTAAGACTTCCTCCAATGCTATTGAAATGGTATGGTACAAGCCTTATGAATAAAGCAAGGATTAAATAATTTATGTTAGTAAAGCAAAGTTTTATGATCTTCTTTACAAGAAAATTTTATCTTGTGACGTTACAAGATCGTTTTGGACCAATTCTGTTGGTGTTTTCGAGATCTTTCAAAACTGGTTCGGTTTTGAAAAACTTGTCATTTTCTACAAACTACAGCACTTTTTGCAGGGAAAATGGCAATTTTAGGTTAGCTTTCGTCAGCGCTGTACGCATCACTGTATACGTCGAGGTTAGGAATCATTGGTAAAATATAAATAATATAAGACATACGTTTTTTGAAACCAGCTTGATGTCATTCCAAAAAAGTAATACGCCAAAGCTTTAAGTGGAAAAAATTTATTGTTTAGTTAACAAGCTTATTAAAGAATCAAAACTTTGACACATTGTATCCCCACAAAAAAAAAGCATTTTAGGCCACTTGTTTGTAGAAACTTTTTATCTTTTAAGTAACACCAAGTATAAAACTGATTTTTGATTTCAGATACTTAAAGCATCTTATTCGTATATTTCGTTGATGTTAAATAACTATCAATGAAAACTCAGCTAGTCGAAAGATATTTTTTAATTGCTCCTACCACCTGCGAAAGCACAAGGCCATAATTAGTCCGAAAAAAATATACCCATTAACTCGAGTGCTTTTGTTTTATTGAAATAGGCACGAGCAAAAAGGTAAGTACAAATTTATATTTAATACAAAACAAAGGCTAAACCGGACTATTAGACGTATATAAAGAGTATCTAAATAGTGTGTCTAGTATATCTCGATAAACGTTCTAGGTAAGGTGCCCTCTAGTGACAGATTTCTGAAACACTTGCATTTCGTAACGATGTTTTACTAAATCGGAGCTGTGTGTAAAATACCAGCCTATTCCGTTGAGAATCAAGCCAACTGCGTTAAAAATAAAATTAAAAAAAACGAATTTTGACAAGATTTGTAATTTTTGTTACATGATCTACTACCATCATTTTACCACGTAAAATCTTTTTTCCAAGTTTCCGAACACTCTGTATAGATTCGCAATTCTACCATGACGTTCCATAACCGTACTTAGGTACTTCTTGCATACAAATGCTGAAATTATGCTGATTTATTTAATAAATTTGATTGGATAAACTGTAATAAAAGCAATGGTTCTTTCCGCTTTACAGCATGCTGGTCTTAAAGTCATTCCGAAGTCAAAACCATAAAAGGTTGTAAATACGGTATATCGTTTGGAGAACTCTACTTCCAACAGTTATCCGGCATCAAAAACCTACCTACAGAAAAAAAACATTTTTTTCGAAATTATAACCAAACAAACTTTGAAAACATAGATTATAAATCAGTTTACATAAGATTTTGTATGGCATTCCTAGGAAAATATTTTAGAGACATTATATTAAACCGTTAAATTGGAAACCAGTCTAAGCTTTCTAATGTGTTTCTAACTTAGGAGATCATCTAATCTAATGGGCAAATTCAACTTGAAATCGAGCTACCTCAAGCAGGGACTCTTTTAGGAAGATTAATAAAAAGTCCACTAATATGAATGAATATAACAGTTTAATCAAAGAAAATTTACCTGCCCTTAAAATACAACAGTTCCCACGGCACAGTTCTTGTCTGCTAACACCTTAAATGCGGCCCTGGCTTGTGCTTCAGGTGCTGAAAATAATTGTCCCTTTCTTTACAATAGGCGTGTCTTAAATTCATTCAAGTCACCAGCTTGTCTCCTTATGTCCAGATACTTTTTTATTGTGTTTATTACTTCTCGTTCCTTGTCCATTCTTTCTAGTACTGGGTTACCTCTTTCAGTGACCATAACTCGTAGAGGAAGTACGTAATGTATCAGAAATCTGACTACTAATTAGGCTCCAATTGTGGTTTTAAAAAAGCTGGGAAATTTTGATGAAAGTATGTCTTGTTTTTCTATTATATACAGTTAATCTGTTGTCATTGCTGATCAATTATAGTTCTCAAAAATGGAGAAACTCATCTTACTGATCTCTCCTGGCAGTTTTAGATGCCCCGTCTATCATGAATTTGGCTTTACTATTGTTCGTTTTTAGGTTATATTATTCAATGGCCTGATTTATTTGGTCAGACTGTCAGATTCTAGTGTTGTCTGTATACAGATAGTTTCATGGTTAATTTTTCCAAGTAACTTTCACAGGCCACTGTAATAACTTTTTATAAAACTTCTGGATTCCTCCTGCTTCGGTTTTTGTTTAGTCGAACTTGCTCACGTTTAGTCAATCATCCAGTTGGCTTCTTCAGAGCTTGACTGACACTGGCTCGCATTTTACTCTGTACCTGCTTATATATTGTTTGAGGGGCATAAATACCGTCTCAGATGACTGATTCCCATATTGGTGACAGGTAGAAACCTGAGTCTCCTTAAACTCTCGGATATTTCTTTGGTAGAATTGATAACATGCAAGAATTTTAGTTTTATCGAATAACATTTTATGCCCGGTTTCGTGATTGTGTTCGGCAAATGCTGATGAGTTTATTTGTCTTAGTCTTAAGGCTCTTTCATATACGTTGAGCCTAGTTGATATTTATCGTCCGGTTTCTCCAATGTATTCTTTGTCGCATATGCATGGAATGCTGTAAACTCCTGGAATTTTGAGGCATTGATGTTTTGAATGTAAGGAAGGACAACAGGGGCAAGTGTGGGATTACTTTCGGTTTCATTGCTATTGGAAGGTTGTGGTGAAGTGTATTTTGTGATAGAACGCTTAATATCTTTCATGTGGAAATTATTAGAGAGAAGAGCAAAGGTTAGGTGTTTTATTCCGGGTTCAATGACTCGGGCTGAGATAGTTTTACGTCTCTGTAAACAAGAGAGTTGATAACCGATGATTTTTGGGCCGGATGGTGATGTGACAATGCATTAAGGTATCGGTCTGTGTGCGTAGGTTTTCTGTAAACACAATGACCCAATATTTCATCTGATTTTCCATTGATAAGAATATCTAAGAATGGGAGATTGTTATAAAACGTATGTTAGGCTGTATAGAGTTTAAATGTCTAAGAAAATCTACTAGGGATTCCTGACCATGAAGCCAAATTCTTACAGATGGATCATATCGTCAACTCAAAAAGGATCCTACGTCGTCGTTATTAAGGCTTCTTCTCTATCAGACTGCGTTAAAAAATGTGTTACCCCTCATGACTCTAAAATTCCTCGTCTTTATGGACTCCCAAAGATTCACAAACCAGGATAACCCCTTCGACCTATTGTCAGCACCATTGGTTCTCCAACATATACTCCAGCAAAATATCGATCTTCCTTATTAAAACCCTTTACAGTGAAAACTGACAGTTTCGTACTTAATTCCTTACACTTCATTGAACAAATAAAAAGCATTACACTAGATGCACAATATATTCTGGTTAGTTTCGACATACTTTACTTTACTAAAGTTCCTATTCCTGAAACTCTCACGATCATTTCAGGAATATTAAAATCCGAGAATCTGGAGCCAAACCTTCTCAACTTAATTGAAAAATGCTTGTCTGGAACATATTTTTCTTAAAACGGTGAAATTTTTGAACAAACGTCGGGAGCAGCTATGGAAACGCTACGTCGATGATACTTCTGTTATTTGGCCTCATGGTCAGGAATCCCTAGTAGACTTTCTTAGACATTTAAACTCTATTATTATTGAACCCAGAATTAAAACACCATTTTTCTGTTCTTCTCTCTAATAATTTCCAGATTCAAGATATTAAGCGTTCTATTACAAAATACACTTCACCACTACCTTCCAATAGCAATGAAACCGAAAGCAATCCCACACTTGCCACTGTTGTCCTTATATTCAAGACATCACTGACCATATATAAAAAGTTTGAAAGAAATATAACGTCAAAACCAGATTTACCATTTGTCCATCAAAGATAAAATTCCATTTGAGATGCTAGGAATTTACAGTATTCCATGAATATGCGGCGAAGAATTGGAGAAACCGGACGAAAAATATCAACTAGGCTCAAATAACATGAAAGAGCCTTAAAACTAATACAAACAAACTCATTAGCAGTTGCCGAACACAATCACGAACACTAAAATTCTTGCATGTAATCAATTCTTATATCAACGAAAAATCCGAGAGTTTATAAAAATCTATAAGCAACCTAACAATCTTAACCGCGACCTGTCACCAATATGGAAATCAACAATATAAAAGCAGGTACGGAGTAGAATGCGAACCAAAAAAAAAAACGACCAGGAGGAATCCAGAAGTTTTATAAAAAGTTTCATGGTTGGTTTTTTCTAGGACTGTGGTGAATATCTTGTCCAAATACAAGATGAACTTGATAAGGACTTGGAAAACAAAATTGTTTTTATTTTTGTCGCTGTGGCAATAATGTAGAACTTATATATATTGTAAAGCTGGTACCGCCGCGCGAGTTTAAAGTGTAACCAGTAAGGTCTGAGGGGAGAGAATATAGCTTGCATAACTCCTCGTTTGGTATAGCAATGGAATTTGCTTTTTCCTATTTAGCTAAAAAGATTAAATAATTAATTATATATAACCATAAAAATGTGTTTATTCGATAACGAACTGAGGGCAACAGGTTGTAAAAACAGTATACGTTCGGAGAACTCTACTTAAAACCGTTACCTGCTTTCAAAAACCTACCTAAAGAAAAGTTTAAACATTTAAACACCGCGTATATAATGCGTATCTACCGACAACTTTATTCGACAAACGATTGTGGGTGTCGATACGTAGTGTCTGCAATGGTTCGCACTTCTAAAAATAAGACGTTCTAAATATAGAGATGCTTCCGTTACGTTTGTGCGTGCTTTATACGCGAAATTAGTCGCGGGCCGTCATGGAAAGTCGAATAAACGCGGAACTGATGTTTGAGTGTCTGATTTACCTAAACATGTTTTACTTCCCAGTATTCGCTACTTGCGAAACCATAATAACGGTTGCCAAATACTTTTACGCCGGCATTTTCACACCCAACATTAAGCAAGATGCGGCCGTCATCTTCACCCGGATCGGATGCGAGCTGACCAAAATTTTACTTTACAGGAAGTTCAAGGAGGAAAAGAGAAGTACTGATTGGTAAAGTCTGTTCATAGATATAAGAAAGTGACTAACTGATACGAATTAAGGAAAGACCCGGGCAAGTTGTAAGAATGAAATATGCCCGAACAGGTCCGTACTTTGCTTAGAATTTAATTATTTGGGGATTTATTAGGAAAGATACTAAACAATATTTGTGTTTAAATCTAAAGTAAAATTACAAATAATTTATATTACCTACTTAAATTACTTAAAATTATTCACATAATATATCAGTATCACTATCGCTATCATCGCCTGTTCTAATTATTATTTGTTCTATATTATTTGCAATATGGATATACGAGATTGTTCTGCTTTTCCTATATGTTTAACAGAATTTGACCAACTTTGGTGAGGGATGATAAAAACTTCGGTTTCTGTAAGTTTGAGGACATTGGAGTTAACACTGGGAAAAACATTGTTACGACGAACGGCAGATTTCAGTTGGTGCCAAACATGTTCAATGGGATTAAATATACAGTGGTAAGGTGGAAGCCTTAAAACTGTATTATCACAGACGTATTCCTTTTGTAGGTTCAAGCTTTATAGAACCTCAATAAATTGCTTTTTGGTACCTATAATCTTCGTTGAAAATAAATGTCGTTATTATACATGTAGTTTTGGATTGTTGCTTTTGTGTCACATGAGGAAGGGGTTTTAGTCAACTGTCTACTGTGATAACTTGCATTGTCCATTACAATGACGCTATTAGGAGGAATGTTTGGCACTAGTTTGTTTTTAAACCAACTTTCAAATAAATCAGACACCAGGTCTTCATGGTAATGCAGAGAAGAATCTTTAATATTTTTCGCAGAGAAAGTCCATTTAGTTATTCTTTTACCTCTTTTTGATGGCGCGTTTGTTTTACACTTATCGGTTGAGTCAACTCAACCCTTTTCCAGGGTATCGTAAGTGTCGAACCCGTTTTCATCCAAGTAAATAATTGGCCTTTGTTGTTCTATGTAAATCCTAATTTTTTCTTGATACTACAGCCGCCATTTCCATATTCTAAAAGATTCCATTAAAACTTGCCTTTTGTAAATTTTTTTAAACACTTCCATAAGGTAGTTCTGTCAGATTTAACACCGGTTTCATCTATTTCAGGCCTCCTAATTAAGATATATAATGTAGGCACGCTTTGTTCCTCGTATAACTAGTAAATTTTACGCCGTATTATATCTTGATCACTTTCATCTACACTCGAGAAAATATCAGCATCTCTTCTTTTTTTCCTCGCTGAAATGAGATTATTCACAACTTTCCATACAGTTGATGTTGGAATTTTCGTCAATGTGGCCGTTACTTCTGTATGAGAGTCAAATAAACATTGTTTATAACGTCCTTAGCCTCAATAGAATAAATAGTGTTTTCTACATTTGGGCGGGAGCATCTAATGAGATACACTAGACTCGCACATATTTTGCATAATTCGCACATGCTGTATTATACAGAATATTAATTTAATATATAATTTAATTTAATATATAAAATTTAATATTAAACACAGGTAGGTATAAAATTATTTTTTATTACGGACCACAGTTTTACCTGAAATTAAATTCCGAAACTTTAGGTAATAATCTTGTTGTCCACCCTTGGATAATCCCATTCAAAAGCAATTGTCACTTTCTTATATCTATGAACAGATCAAACCGGACGTCCCAACGATAGGGTAAAGTGCGTTTCCCCCGCTCTGGTAGTAATTGCGCAAAAAATAATATGCGCCACGAGGTAGAGGTGTGAAAAGTCTGCGCTCTAGGAATATTTAGGACTATACAGTGCGCGTCACAAAATTATGACAAGAAAAACCACGATTTTTTGATAAATTTGTTATTCATTGAATTTGGTTTCTTACTAGTAACCAAATTTTCAATATGACATTAATTGGCTATAACTGGTTTGTTTCTAGAAATATCAAGGTAAACAAAAAAATAAAATGTAGGGTTAGCAGTCAAGTTATTTTCCAAGTGACGTATAAAACAAAACACTATCAATTTTCTGGCATATAAACCTACATCAAATTTTTGTAAATGGAACACCCTTTATATTTTGTATGTGTTTAATAGAATTTCAAATTCCGATTACAATTATGTAGCACACTTTATATTTTAGTACACTCGTTTTTGACAAATCGGCAAAAATAGAAATTTTTATACAATTTCAAATAGTGCCACGACTGACTGTGACAACAACAATTATTTACAAATTAAAGTAGAATAAAAACACTGAAAGTGCCAAGACACAATAAAGTAAAAAATTCTTTAACTATTCTAAACACTGTTTCGAGGTTAGCGCCAAAATTTCCCGGCCTGGCAAAGATGCAGCCCAGTATCACGATAAAACTTTGTATTGTTTTAAATATATATCTTAGTAGGCTGCAAAAAAAAATTGAAGCCTTGCTTCAAATAGTTTTTTATTGACAGTATTTTAAACAAGACGTGTCCGAAAAAATGTCGCAAAAAACGCAAAATGAGTATAGAGCAGTCATGAAGTTTTTGACAAAAGAAGGGTTAGCACCTAAAATTATTAAAGAAAAGCTGGATGGCCAAAGTTCTCCTTCGTATTCTGTAGTGAAAGAATGGGCAAAACATTTTCGAGTGGGGCAGGAGTCCCTTGAAGATGATTCAAGAACTGGTCGACCAGTGGAGGTCATAACGGAAGATATTGTTGCGATTGTGGAAGAGGTGGTATTGAGTGATCGACGTTTAAAGGTCAAGGCAAACTCAGAAATTACTAAGCTTTCTGATACAAGAGTTCGTCGAATCCTGCATGATCATGTAGATATGCATAAAGTTAGTGCAAGATGGGTTCCTAAAAACCTTTCGGTTATTCAAAAACAACGCCGTGTCGAGTGTGCGCGGTCTTTTTTGAAACTCTGTGGGTCGGAACCCAAGCCTGTGATAGAAACCATTGTGACAGGAGATGAAACTATGGTTCTCCATTATGACCCTCTATCGAAAAAAGAATCAATGGGGTGGCGTCGTAAGGGTGAAGCACCTCCAAGAAAATTCAGAGTCAACAAAAAAAACTGATGGCCACGATCTTTTGAGATTGTGTGTGTGTGTGTGTTTTCTATTTACCTTGATATCTCTAAAAACAAAAAAGTTAACTTCAATTAAAATGTTATCCAGATAAATTGAACGCACAGTACATGTGTGCCAAATTTCATTAGAATGTCTAAAGTGGTATTACAGACAAAAAATTTATATTTCATTTTTGAACACTTCAGGACTTTAGGGCAGATGTTCATATGAAGTTTTCTTTTTAAAACGGACCCAAAATATTTTTAAAGCTTGCTCTTTTTTTACCCCAAAACTTTACTTCGTGGTTGGGACACTCGGTACAATGCGACTTCAATTGTGTAACTCTAACACACAAATACAAATTTTAGGCCTAATTACTGCAATAGCGGTATTCTTCACGTGTATCACTATAGCAGGAGTTGCGTACACTTTCGCGATACAAACTCCCGCGTTAAAACTGGAGCACATTCTGAGTTCGCTGACGATCATGCTGGCAGTCACCGAAGTGACCTTTGGAATGCTGCAACTGATAAACGCTTGCTGCAGGAGAGATTCGTATTACTAAATAAACAATGTGCGTTACTACTTTTTGTTTATTTAAGCATACCGAGATTTCAACAAGAAGTTATTCACTATTTTATAGCAAAACTATGGTTACTTCCTCACAAACTTTTTATAATGCTCCAAACATGATTGAAGTTTCTCTAGCAGCTTCCATTTAAATCTAGACTAAAAATTAAAATTCCGGCAAGTAAGCTCAGAACTTGACATAGTGGTTTAAAGTTAGTCTACAGTCAACGTCATTTTTAATTTCGCAAAATTGATGAAATCTCTTCTCGCTAACCGCCAGATCTCGATATGCTTCCTACAGAGTCGCCATTTGTACAAATGGAATCAGATTCGAAAAAAAAAATTTTTTTTTGTCTGTCCGTTCTCCGTTCGCTGTTCTAGGATATGTAGACGATAGCTTCAGAAAGGTTTGAGCTAGACGCTTCAAATTTTACTACTTTTTAACAGTACTTCGATTTTAGGACTTTTTCTGGATATTGCGATAAGTTTCCGAAATTTGATGCTTCAAATTTGGAAAGCAAATAACCTTTGATCTCTTGAAGGAACCTATTCGAAATATTCGGATCCATAAATTTTTATACCTGAAAGTTTTTCAAAAATGTACAGGCCGCGCAAAAGAACCGAAGAATAGTTCCCTCTATTATTGAAAATTGGCTATAACTAAAAGACTGTGTTTCGTATGTCAGCTTCTTTCACATGGCGATATAGCCCTTATAGAGAGCTAAAACTTTTGTATTTAACGTTTTCAGGTATTGTACAGGGTCCTATACTCCTCCAAACCGGCAGGCGATTTATTGCTATCGCTCGTTGTTCAGACATTCTACCTATTTGTTGATTTCTATTGGTTTTTGCATTTTGTTCTCTTATTTCATCCTCTAAGTTATTAACATATGATAATCTAATTCCTAAATATTTGATGTTCATTACCTGCTCTATAATTTGGTTATCAAGTTCCAGATTACATCTAATTGGTTCTTTATAGATTACTAGTGACTTTTTTGGCCCATATTTTCGTGTTAAATTTCTTTGCATTTATTTAAAATAATGTAGTAATTTCTGCAAATCATCTTCATTGTCAGCAATCAATACAGTATCGTCGGCGTAACACAGCACATGTATTTCTTTATTTCTTTTATTACCCATTTTATAGCCTTTTAGTGTGTTTACTTCTCTGCTTGCCTAATACCTGTAGTTACATCAATGGACACAGTTAGCTATGAATTTACTCTAGCTTCTATTTTATTTCCTGTTATCAAGTATATGTAGCTGCACTCTATCAAATGCTTTTTCGAAGTCTATGAAGAATAAAAACACTTGCTTATTGCACTCAAAAATTTTTCTATATTTTGTCTAATTACAAATAATGTGCCATTACAAGATCTTCCACTTCTGAAACCTTGTTGTTCTTCAGAGAGTTTTACAGTTATTTTGTCTTCAGTTTTCTTCCCCTTTTTAAAAAGTGGTGTCATTATGCTTATCCTCCAGTCTTCCTGTATTTGTCGTATTAGCTTTTTACTTTCGAAAATCGATGAAATCGAATTTTTCGAACGTATGTATGCTCGTATAAAAATTTTATATCTCGGTAACGATAGGCCCTATGGGATCGCCGTTGGTACAGAAATGATCACCGTCGAAAAAATTTTTTTTTTGTCTGTCCGTTCTCCGTTCTCCGTTATCGTGTTTTGGTTTTTCCTGAATAACTTGCGAACCGTTCGAGCTACAAAATTTAAATCTGCCTCCTGTTTAACCCTCCACGAGGCACATAAACTTATAAGAAATGGCCCTGATCTGACGACGGTATCCATCTTTTTTTTTGCCATTTTCGACTGTTGCTTGGACATTGCTATGAAACACGATAAGTATGTGAAATTTGAAGCAATTTATTTCATATTTGCACATAAATGCAGCTTTACCCCGTGGCGGAACCTATTAAAAATGGTGGGACTGGGGTGTCGGGAAGTATTGCTGTTTTGATTTTAATAGTAGCGTAGATGCAGAGGCATTTATAAATCAAGATCTTAACACGATTAGTGAACTTTCTCCTGTCCATAATTTAAAGCTAAATTTGGAAATGAAAATAAAGTTAAGCTACTTAAACAAAGTATCATAGATCATAGATTGTGATCTAAGATTTCGTGAATATTTAAAAAATATCTTTCAAAAGGCATATTTCTCACTAAAAATCCTATATACCAACAGGCATATTTTAAATTTTAGACAAAGAAAACAATTATGCGAGTCACTTGTTCTCTCACATTTTAACTTCTGTGATATAGTGTATGGTTTTTTTTTATAACTAGTGTAAGTGCCGTATTCAATGATTCCAGAATCCTTGTGTTCGTTTTATTATGGGTCTTCGAAAATATGACTGTGTATCTGCTGCATATCATCAACTTAATTGGTTTAAAATGGAACAAAGAAGAGCTTTTCATTTCAACGTATTCGTTATGAAAATTATCCATAACCTCGATTCACCCACTTTGCTGAGAGAGCGGCTTACTCCTGGGAGTACTATCCATTCTGTGAATGTAAGATACAGGTACAGACTAACGATGCCACATCATCAGAGTGCCTTGTTTCGTAGATCTTTCACATTCAACGCAATTCGTGTTTTCAATTCTTTGTCACAGGAGTTCAGTAACTAAAAAAAGGTACAAAGATCATTTGTTACAAATACAGTTTTCCTAATAATGTGATGCTAATTAGGTTATTAGCAAGGGATTATATTGAGTTATCAAATTCTTTATCTTCAATTGCATTTTCTATAGTGTGTAGTAGAATCTTGTTGTTCTTCCGATTTTGCAGGTATTTTTCATATTTTATTTGATGTTGATGTTGATTTTTATTTCAATAAATAGTGCGCAATTTATTAATTATATAAATAGTTCTTTAGCGGTTCAGTAGAGTAACTATTTAAAGCTATCTTTTGAGCTATCTGTTTACTTTTCGTTGAAAAATATTAATATTGTATATTCTTTTTTTTTTGTTATAATAAACGCTATTTATTATTATTATTATTATTATTATTATTATTATTAGTTGTTCTAATAGATACAAAACGCATAAGCAGTTAGTAATTATTTATTTATTGTGTGAATTATAATGTTAACATAAAGTGCAAACAGTACATTCAAAAAGTACATATTTGTTGTAAGGTGCATGAAGTTGCACAGCAGCTTTCGTTAGGTTGCATTAAACATCTTTGTACTTGAAATAAACACAGCATCAGCGCATTAAAGAAGAAATTACAATGTAGGTGTTCGTTATTGTTATTATTTCTTTAGCTCCCTTCTATATCCAACCAGTGCTTTTCTGACCAGTTAGTTTGAATTCCATGGAAGGAGGAACATCGTTGTTATCTACTGACCCGAAGCTTGCTGCACTTCTTCGAGCTTGTGGTGACGGTAGTTCAGGTGGTGCTAGAATTGATGCATTTCCTGACATGCTCGACATAGAAGTGTTTAATGCAATATATTGAATTTACCTGGAGACTCCATCAGAGACGGTAGAGCATCAAGGTGTTTAAGAGACTGTGTCTCCCTCTAAAATGAAGTAAACGTTGAAAACTACATGTGGTGAGAACAAAAGTCGATAGTGCGATTAGTGCTATTAGATATTGAAACTTTTTGCCCAAAGATTGAGTCACTAATTTAGAACAAATAGAACAGTCGCATTTCAAGTAGTGCCAAGGTAGCTTTTAGGACTTTAATGTAAATTTTAATATCAACTTTTGTACTAAACTACATAAAGACAATTTTTTTTGGTGAATAAGTATGGTATTATAACGGAGATTCAATGCTAATATGTACGAGGGAGGGGTAAAAAGTGTCCGGCCTGACGATGTTTTTTATTTCTTTTTTGCTTTATTTTTCAAAGTAATCTCCATCAACATTTCTCAATTTGGTGATACCAGTTTTAAATGTAGATTCGTTAAGTTTCTCAAAATAATGACTTGCAGCTTAGATAACTTCTTCGTTGCTCTCAAATCTTTTAACGCCAAGCCATTTTTTGAGGTTAGGAAACCGGTAATAGTCGCTGGGATGCAGTCTGGAGAGTAGGGAGGTTGGGGCATCAATTCAAACGCGATTAGCGGATTTTGGACATGACAACAATCAACAAATACGCTGGTGCGTTATGCTGATGAAAGAAAATGCTTTTTTAGGCAAATAAGGTCTTTTAATTCGCACCTGTTCCTTCAAACGTTGCAAAAACTTTGCGTAGTATTGCCCAGTGACAGTCTTACCAATTCCAAGTTAATCAATAACTTTGTTTGTCGATAAAATTGTTTTAGCCTTCTTTGGAGTCGGCGAGTTGAAGCGAGGCTTAAACTGAGAAACCCACTTGTTAATAGTTGAATGTGATGGGGCGGAGTCTTCTAGTGTTGAATCGATCTCTTTGTTTTGGTGTAAATCTTTGAAATAGAAGTATTCGATGACAGCGCATTTTTCCGATTTTTACATTTTCACGAAAACAATAGTTTTGGTTTGACTGAGACGGAAACTTTTCACTCCACCCTCGTATGTATACTTACTTTAAACGTATTTCTCGAAGCGCCTGCGGTGGTGTTTGTCTGGGAACCTGAAAATTAATACTTATTTCCAAGATCTGGAATTCAATAATGGCTTTACAACACGATAAAGAAAAATAACTGAAGAAAATCACGAAAAATCCATGAATCATAGGATCTAGTGTTGCCAAGAAATCACGAGAAAAGTACATACAAAAATGTTTTTGTATCGTCTTCTTGAAACGTTTTTGTTTGCCTTGTTTTGGAAAGACCACTGTGGCCGTGTCTGTCCAGTGTTTGCTAAAATGCCGAAAACTAACTTCTATATGTCGTGAATAAAGAGCTATCGGGATGGCAACAATTTGATTTGTGCCTCCTATTCAAAAATTGTAAGAATATAGTATACTTTACTTCTGTGGTTAGATCCTCATCTAAAGAACTCACCAGCGGCGTCCCACAGGGAAGCATACGGAGACCTTTATTATTTATAATATTTATTAATGATATATCTGATTCTTTCAGACAATTATGTTTCCTTATATATAGATAACACTGCTGTGGCAGTGTCATCTAAGAGTCTGGAAGATCTCACGTTCTTGGCCACTAGGGCAGTAAGTGGTATGACCCGATATTGTGACCGTAACGGTATTTGTTTGAATGGGACAAAGACTGAGATGATGTTGTTTTCGCTTAGGGATTTGAACAAGAGCTTATTGGTTAGAATGCAGGATAAATCGATTAATCATACTAACGTTGTCAAGTATATGGGTTTGTTCATAGACAGAAATTTGTCCTGGACAGGCCAAATTGGCATACTTTTGTTATTTGGCGACTGCGGTGGAGTGCGGATCATCAGCTTTTACTATTGTATGATTTCGATCATGCTTATCTTAGCATAGCATAGCATAATTTACATAAAGAGTAATCTGTCTAATTATTGCATGTCCAGAATTGATGGAGATTACAATTTTAGAGTTAATCTTAATTTGTAGGTGCCAAGTCATAAGTTAGCCAAAGTAGCTAACAGCCCCATGATTTTACCAATAATAAAGCAAAAATTAAAGCTCAATTTGAATAAGAATATTTTTTATTCTATAGATGAATACTTTGATTGCATGCACATGCTGATCTCTCAGTGTGATATACTTTGTGTGTTTGTACGTATCTGTTTTTAAAGTTTTATTTTAGTGTTCTAATGTATTTTTTTTACTTTTTGACATTATCCGATACTTTTGTTACAAGTCAATGGAAATAAACATTATTATTATTATTCACTTTTTTTTTTCAGTACATAGTGGTATAATAGGAACTTTTGGAATTTATAAATTACGCATTGAAAAACACTATTATTGGTAGATATTGTTAACAATTTCAAAGTATTGAGAAAATTTTTCCACTCATTTAATATATAGTGAAAAAATAAAGATGTATTATGTGTTTTAGGGGAACCCTCTCATAATACATACATAATACATAATACAACATTGCCTTGAACAAATACCAAAAAACAGAGAAGAAGTCTAGTTGAATGAGGACTGATGTAATGCATTTAATATACCACTTAAAAAGCTAACCTACGTAAATTTAGGATCATTTTAGATAAAATATTCTAAAGTCAACTGTAGTGGGTGAAAAAAATTTTTATCTTATGGTTGATGAAACAACTGACTCATATGGGAGATATATTGCACCCGCATTGATTGAAGTCTTATGATTTTGGTAGATCCTACTTATTTGTATCCAGATGTGTTCAAGAAACATTAATCAACCCTTTTTTGTCCCACGGTCTTCCGACAGTACTGTACTATTTACAAATCTTCTAGATTTGTAAATAGTAGTATCAAACATGCCAATATACAGAAACTAGAAAATGTCTATGAGTCAAAATTTGGTTCAGGATATCAGCTAACTAGTAACTACCCTTAAAAAAGCAGCGACCACAGAAAAAAAAGGGAAATACATAAAACAAGACAGTATTAAACTTAATGTTTCAAAGAAATTTCCACAAACAATTTTAATACTACTTATAAATCTAGAATTGCAAATAGTAGTATTAAACTTATCTGGTCAATATACACAAGATGAAAAATGTCGATGAGCCAAAATTTGGTTTAGGGTATCTGCCAGTTCGTAGCTTGCCTCAAAAAAAAAGGATCCACAGCAAAAAAGATGGAAACACATAAAACAAGATAGTATTAAACTTAATATTTTAACGAAACTTCTACAAGTTTTTGTAATACTATTTATATATATCATGCCAATATACAGAAGCTGGAAAATGTCTATAAGTCAAAATGTGGTTCAGGGTGTCAGCTAGCGAATAGCTAGCCTTAAAAAAAGCAATACCTACAGAAAATGAAAGGACGGACAAAAACAAGATAGTATTAAACTTAATTTTTCACAGAAACTTCCGCAAGCTATTGTAATACTATTTGCAACTTTTCTAGATCTAGAAGATTTGTAAATAGTAGTATTAAACTTATCATGTCAATATACACAAGACGGAAAATGTCGATGAGCCAAAATTTGGTTTAGGGTATCAGCCAGCTAACAGCTAGCCTCAAAAAAGCAGGATTTACAGTAAAAAGAAGGGAAACACATAAAACAAGATAGTATTAAACTTATTTTTTCAAAGAAACTTCCACAAGCTTTTGTAATACTATTTAAAGATCTTCCAGATTTGTAAATAGTAATATTAAAATTATCATGTCAATATGCACAAGATAGAAAATGTCTATAAGTCAAAATTTGGTTCAGGGTATCAGCTAGCTAGTAGCTAGAATTAAAAAAACAGGACCCTCTGAAAAAAAAGGAAACACATAATATAAGATAGTGTTACATTTAATGTTTCAAAGAAACTTCCACAAGCTATTCTAATACTATTTACAAATCTTCTAGATTTAGTATTAAACTTATTATGCCAATATACAGAAGCTGCAAAATGTCGATCAGCCAATATTTGGTTCATCAGCTAGCGAGTAGTTCGCTTAAAAAAAAAAGCAGGACCCACAGAAAAAAAAAGGAAACACATAAAACAAGATAGTATTAAATTTAATTTTCCACAGAAACCTGCACAAGCTATTGTAATACTATTTGCAAATCTTCTAGATCTAGAAGATATGTAAATAGCAGTATTAAACTTATCATGTCAATATACACAAGATGAAAAATGTCAATGAGCCAAAATTTGGTTTAGGATATCAACCATCTAGCAGCTAGCCTGAAAAAACGTAAGAAAAAGGGAAACACATAAAACGAGATAGTATTAAACTTAATTTTTCAAATGAACTTCCACAGGCTTTTGTAGTGCTATTTATAAATCTTCTTCTAGATTTGTAAATAGTAGTATTAAACTTATCATGCCAATACATAGAAGCTGGAAAATGTTTGAGTCAAAATTTGGTTCAGGGTATCAGGTAGCTAGTAGTTAGTTAGACTTAAAAAAAAGCAGAACCCACAGAAAAAAAGTGAAACATAAAACAAGATATTGTTAAACTTATTTTTTTAAATAAACTTCCACAAGCTATTTATTTAGTATTAACTATTACGATTACTATTATTTAGTATTAATCTTATCATACCAATATACAGAAGCTGGAAAATGTCAATCAGCCAACATTTGATTCATCAGGCAGCTAGTAATTAGCTTCAAAAAAAGCAGGACCCACAGAAAAAAAGTGACTATTTGTAAATAGTTGTATTAAACTTATCATGTCAATATACATAAGTTGGAAACCGTCTATGAGTCCAATAGCTAATAGCTAGCCTTAAAAATATAGGACCCACAGAAAACAGGAAAACATAAAACTAGATAACATAAAACTTAATTTTTCAAAGGAACTTCTACAGAATTTTGTAATACGATTTACAAATCTTCTAGATTTGTAAATAGTAGTATTAAACCTATCATGCCAATACACAGAAGCTGGAAAATGTTCGAGTCAAAATTTGGTTCAGTGTATCAACTAGCTAGTAGCTAGCCTTAAAAAAAGCAGGACTCACAGAAAAAAGGGGAATACATAAAACAAGATATTAAACTTAATGTTTCAAATAAACTTCCACAACCTATTTTAATATCATTTAAAAATCGTCTATATTTGAAAACTTATTATGCCAATATAGAGAAGCTGGAAAATATCGATAAGCCAAGTTCAAATAGTTTTCATGTTATAACTGCTAATAAGCACTACAAAAGTGAAGGAGACTGTCATCGACCAATCCACTTGCAACGTTGTGGTTATGGAAGAGAAGGAAAGTTCCACTTATCTTCGAACCAAAAGCCGGCGGCTAAGAATGCCCAGAAGAACAATTTCATGAGCCCACTAAACAATCTAGACATAGACATACTCTACAGAGTTCATCAGGGCATCAAGAACTCTCAGCAGTTAAGAGAACACAATAATATGAGTTAAATGAGTTAAATTCGGGAAACTTACATGAAAATGTGACTCCCAATTGTTTTGAGTGCTGCGGATCCCTTAACTTATTCTCAGAATGTGAGCAATCGTTCTCCGATTTCTTGTATTCCTCTTCAATCTTTTTGGACATAAACTTCGCGTAGGCTACTCTCGCTGTTCTTGGCACTTCACATAGTTTTGGATTGTACTCTACATGTTAAAAAATCATAATCAATGTGCAACGACAAAGCACGTAAAGATACAGAACAAAAGATTAGGTAAGGGCTGAGTTATAATCACGATGAAGTGGTTGTTAAGAACCAACAGTTGTTCTTGGAAAAGCCAAAAGCTCATTTCAAGCAGTAACGTGTTATTTTTTTCGAGCATTAAACCCAAGAAGCAATTGCCATTTGTCAATTTGAAGGTTAACCTAATGAAAATTTCTTTATACCGAACTCCACTTTAGGTGCACCGTTGCTGATTTACCAGAACTAAGAGTTTCTAATAATAATGGGACTTTGGGAGTAATTTTATACAGCAAATAGGTTTTGGTCTTTATCATAAGCAAAGTTTTGAATAAAATAAAATTAGTGATTCATTTATGATGGCACCTTAGACGCTTAAGGCGCTTCTTTGAAAAAGTAGAATCAATATTGGAATTTTTATTACTACGACACTGGAGTCAGTAGAAAGTTAAAATTTTTGAAGTACTGTACATTTTTTTTATATCGAAATTAGTTCTATATCATACAGGGTTGGTCAAAACTAATGATTCGCCTATGAAGTACAAAAATGGTGAAAAGTGCATTTTTTAAATATAACACCCTGTATATGATATATATATATATATATATATATATATATATATATATATATATATATATATATATATATATATATATATATATATATATATATATATATATACATATACATATATATATATATATATATATATATATATATATATATATATATATATATATATATATATATATATATATATATATATATATATATATATATATATATATATATATATATATATATATAGTTGAAAAATATGCTTTTCTTGGATCCTTGTATATTTTTTATAGGATGATTCTTAGGATTTGGTCCACAGTGAACAAAACTCACAAATAATTTTAAAACACTGTAATTGTCATTGACGTTTCGACCGGCAACCCAGGTCTTTCTCAAAAACTGCAAAACAAAGGACAAAAAAAGCGTCTAACACAGAATATCTTAAACAGTAGACATAAAACCTGATAAGACTAACAAAACAGTCATAATGTACACTACCGACTATGACAATAAAATAAATGAACTTCTATCAGATAGGGCCACATATAGAGAATTAAAAAACGATCCCACAAACATATTTCAAAAAAATAACAACGATATAATAAATCGATGGGAAAAAGCTCTCCTAATCTCGCCGCAAACTGCAAAACACTTAAAAATTAATAATGCTATCGCCCCAAGGATCTACGGCTTACCAAAACTGCATAAACAAAATATCCCGTTAAGACCTATTGTCTCTTGCACTCAGTCCCCTTTCGAAAAATTATCAAAATTCTTAAAAAACATCTTAAAAAACATAGTGAATGATAATGAATACTATATTAAAGATTCGTGGCAGTTTAAAGAAAAAATTAGCAGAATCATTCTACCGCATGACCACATTTTAGCATCTCTAGATGTAGTGTCCCTCTACACAAACATTCCTATCGATTTAGCTATAGACATAATAAATAAAAAATGGGACATGATCAAACTTCACACAGACATTCCACTAGACGAGTTCGTGGAAGCCATAAAATTAACTCTAAATTCGACCTATTTCATATATAATAATAAATATTACAAGCAGATTGGCGGTTGCGCCATGGGTGCTTCTATTTCGAGTGTAATAGCGCAACTTGTTCTCGAAGACCTAGAAAAAACAGTTATTGACAAAATGACTATTAAATTACCCTGTTTCTATCGATATGTCGACGACTGTTTTCTAGCAATACCTAAAGAAAAGGGCGACCTCATTCTGAATAGTTTTAACTCATATCACACAAAGATAAAATTTACCATAGAATATGAAAAAGATGACAAAATTAACTTCTTAGACATGACACTAATACGCAAGGAAAACAAAATCAGAACGATGTGGTACACAAAAGATACATGGTCTGGACGATACCTTAATTTTCACTCCCAACACCCAATATCACAAAAAAAGACTGTTATTATCGGGTTGGCTGACAGAGCTATAAATCTATCTGATCCAGAGTACAGAAAAGAAGCTGTATATATGGCTAAGTACACACTAAAACTAAACAATTACCCAAGTGCCTTAATTAACTCTATTTTTAAAAGAAGGATACATAAATTCTACAACAAGATTTCTGTTAAGGAAAACACACAACCATCAAAACGAGAATATTGTTCGTTGCCATACATACCAAATTTATCGGAAAAAATCTCGAATGTGTTTAAGGGAAGCTCTGTAACAATCTGCCACAAGGGTCAAAATTTGTTAAATAGGAATTTCAGTAAACTAAAAACACCAATACCCAAAGATAAAAAAAGTCACATTGTATATCAAATACCATGCAACGACTGTGACCAAGTGTACATTGGACAGACTAGCCAACTGTTGAAGAACCGCATCAATGGTCATAAGTACGACAAAAAAAATAAAACAGCCATCAGCAGCCATATAACGGAGAAAACACATACCTTTAACTTCGATGACACAAAAATACTTGCTACCGAACCAAACACACAAAAAAGGGAAATAATTGAGATGATACATATTCAAAGGAATAAAAACGCCATAAACGCGAAAACCGACATAAAACACCTGAGTGAAATCTATTTCGAATTGTTAAAGTAGACCATTTTAATGCTCAGATGCTTCACTGCGTATCAGTAGATCTTAAACTTAACACAAACGTACACTCTAAAAAAATAAATAAATAAAAACAAAGAGGTAAAAAAAAAAAAGACATCAGATACAATGAATGTTTATTTTCCACTTCTGTTTGTGATTCGTACGCCAAGGCAAGAACGTTATTGTTTTTGGCAATGATGTATGTTGTGGTACTTTTTCACAAACAGCGCTAATAATAGACATTTAAAAAAAAAATAATAAATTTGTGAGTATGACTAATATATGTCATTTATTTTTATAATATTTGTAATTTTTAAATTCGTATATGTCTACTGTTTAAGATATTCTGTGTTAGACGCTTTTTTTGTCCTTTGTTTTGCAGTTTTTGAGAAAGACCTGGGTTGCCGGTCGAAACGTCAATGACAATTACAGTGTTTTAAAATTATTTGTGAGTTTTGTTCACTGTGGACCAAATCCTAAGAATCATCCTATAAAATATATATATATATATATATATATATATATATATATATATATATATATATATATATATATATATATATATATATATATATATATATATATATATATATATATATATATATATATATATATAGCGAAGGACAGTAACGGGGCTACTGGTAACACACAAACAAACTGTTAATTATTGGGCTCACCCCAACTTCGATGGATCGCCGTAAAGGGAGCAATAAAAGATGTTGAAGCTCAAAACAAATCAATCGTTTTGGTCGACCCTGCATAATGTAGAACTAATTTCGATACCATCATAAGCTATGTCCAACAAATATCATCAACGCTATATAAAAAACAAATAATTTCTGATGATGTTACTTTGGGCGCACAGCAGTAGGTTTTCAAAATGAAATTACCAAGAAGCTTTTCATCTTCGATCTGCAATGGATGGTCAACGTTGGTGATGATGTGCTTCCTTAGGCTTTGCCTCATTTTTCGAGATTCTTCGGCTTCTTGGGCGGACCCGATCGGGTTGCTGGGCATCGTATTCTTCCTCACCACCGCGTTCCAATCCTTCTTCTTCGTCTGGAATGTAGTTCTACGTCCCAGCACCTTTGCAATCTGTTTGAATACATTTATAGGTCCGGCTGGGTTCTGTTGCATCTCGCTCGCCAGACCTTCCACGATACCGATGTGAAAATCTTGTAATAGTCTGCGTTCCATTGTTTTCCCCTTTTTTCCTGACACTGGAAAAAGTTCTGGTCATGGCAGTCTGCGAAGAGTTTCGTAAACTACCCTTATCATTCGGGTTGATGAATGAATCAACCAAATCAAAGCAAAGAAGATCTGGTTTAGATCCCCGAACAAAGGTAGTAATAATCATTTTTGTAGTTGATGGGCCCTTACTTAACTTTGGTCAAACGGGTTATCAAACTGCCATGGTTGTCAGAAACCCTAACAACTCTGTTCAGGGACTATAAAAATAGGTTCAAATGTCTTCTAACACCTAGGGTTCTTGACTATCATCCAATGAAAGCAGAACAATGTTTACCGAACTTGTTTGCATTATATTCTGTACCTGTTTATATTTTGTTTCAGGGTAGCGAATCTAAAGAACTGCTGATTTATTTGTCTCAACGCTCTTTCATGTTTTTCGTATTTTTTGTATTTCAAACGGAATTATGTCTTTGACTAATCGAAGATGTTGAAAGATTTTTGGACAAGTAATTTTAACATTGTTCCTTAAGACCTTTTGATACGTGGTTAGTAATATTTTCAATGTGAGGAGGGCCTACTTCGGTCTTTGGAACGATTAATATCTCTAATGTGAAAATTATTGGAGAGAAAAAAGGAAAAATTCTTGGTTCGGTGACTCGGAATGGGAGAGTTTTACGGCTCTGTAAACAAGAGTTGATAACCGATGATTTTTGGGCCGGATGTTGATGTGACAATGCTGTAAGGTATCGGTCTGTGAGCGTAGGTTTTGTGTAAACACAATGATCCAATGTTAGGCGTGATTTCCGATTGACAAGAACATCTAAGAATGGGAGGTTGTTATTACTTTCTAATTCAATGGTAAAACGTGTATAGAGTTTAAATGTCTAAGATAATCTATTAGGGATTCTTGATCATAATGGCAAATAACAAAAGTATCATCGACGTAGCGTTTCCATAATTTTGGTTTTAGATGGAAGGTGTCGAGAGCTTTCTTAGCTTTCTTCTCAAAGGCTTCCATAAATATATTCGCGATGACTGGTGATAGTGGAGAACCCAGAGCTGTTCCCTACGTTTCTTCAAAAATTTTACCGTTATAAGAAAAAATATGTTCCAGACAAGATTTTTCAATTAAGGTGCGAAGGTTTGGTTCCAGATTCTCGGATTTTAATATATATGAAATGATGTTGAGAGTTTCAGGAATAGGAACTTTGGTAAAGAGGGATTCTACGTCGAAATTAACTAGAATATCTTGTGCTTATATATAGATAGATAGTTTTATGGCTATGTACACAACAAGTAGTCTTAGTTCAAAAAAGAATATGGAATATAATATACAACTGAAGAATACAAAGAGTAGGACATGGATATTTTGTATGTCTTCATTGACTGAAAGACCTTTCGATCTCAGTTGCCAAAACGATCTGTTAGAACAAAGGAAGGAAACGTCTCTCATGTTGAGCAAAATGCTACTATTCTAAACATTTTAAAGGATCAAAGCTAATTCTTGGCCACCACTCTCTTCAGTTTGGCCATCTATCTGTGGGGTCAGTTAAAAGATATTGTTGATCAGATTCCACCAGCAACATTCGTAGCCTGTCAGGAGCAGAAATTGAAACTGAACAGGGTTCGAAAATTTAAGAAGGCATTAGTTTCATTTCATAACCGGTGATTGTTCACTCTCGTGAATTTTTTTTTGAATTGACAATGATTTTATTACTTAAAAATCATAAAGTCATAAACTTTTACGATTGAATCGTGAAAAAAGTCCACTAAATAAGAACAACTATCGGTGTTATAACAACTTTATAAAATTTTATGATGGCTTAATTTTTATAGTACTATATTTTAGGTTAGGAATAAGTTATCAAGGTGCGGTTTGCACTAGCCCATTTAGGCATCATTTTACTATATTTTAATTGAAAAAAGGTCATAATTTTTTGGGAATTTTGAACATCAAAGAACGCGCCATAGCGCTATCACTAAGAACTAGACATATTACAGGAAAAACGAGGTTGACAGAGAAATCAAAGTTTTTTTTTAACTGGATTAGGTTTGTCCAAATCCATTCAGTCGTTTATATATTTTTTTGTTGCATTCACTAGAAGGATTTCAGTGGAAAGTTCACGTTTAAAGTTTAAGATCGCCGCGCCGAGGGCCAGAGTCTACGCAGAAATGTAAACGTGAGAAACAATAAATTATACAGAAGGCGACAGAAACGTTTAAAGTGAAAATTCGTGTCCATCAGCATTTGTGGTCGCATTCTCATTGTGAAGTTGACTAGTAGTGAGTTTATTTGTTTTTTTTACATACTTTGATAATAATATCAGACGTAAGTATAACAAAATGCATAAAGGTACCACCAACGGTGAAGATGATCCATCCTATTCTATATCGTAAGTACCTAATTATTAAATTTTGTCTAGTATACCTTTTTTTTGTGTGTAAGTGTTTATTATTTTTAGGGGCTTTCAGAAGACGATGAACTTACACTTGCACAATATAACCAAATACCTGCAAATTAACATACTCCTTTAAAACTCACAGAGGTGTATTGTTGGGTACCTAGGAAATAAAATTGGAAAACAATGTAAAGTGATTGATCTAAAGAGCAAATATATATGGTACAATCAGTGATCAGTATTTATATAAAAATACTCAAATATGCTTTCTCAGGTATGTCGTAACATGTAACGCTGCCTGGCGACCTTGAAAATATAAAGATATTTTTGACATTTTGTTTCCTACTTTCATAATAATTTTTTTTACTGCAAATCTCTACGTCGAGCAGTTTTTGAGTTACAGCACTTTACGTTCTTATCTGGCATTGTAAATAAAGTGAGAATACCTTGAGTATCTTCGATTTTAATTTCAGGTGTTTTCATCCCATTATTCCTAAGAATGTTGATGAGCTCGTATCTCAACGAGGATATATCCTGCCTAATCTCCATCACGTCGTCCTCCGTGATACGAAAGTCGTCTCTCTTTCTCTGTTCGGCGGTTACATATCTTCTAACCAGCAACCTCATAACAGTTTCATGTCTCACCTTCGCGATTTCTTTCGATTTATTCTGCAAAAAAAGGACTCGCAATGCTACGCGCTTAATTTCAAAACTTTGAGCTTCCTCCTCACCCGAAAACTAGCTGAACTGAGTTTCGATTTCTGACATCCGCATTTTTGAAACAGAGAACTAGGTCTCGGAATGACATTGAACGGAGCGGGTAAATCGCCGTCATCGTCAAAGTAACTAATCCAAAGTCGACTCCGTGCGAATTTCCATTCCGTATCCGATCTCTCCTAAAATTAAACGCATTGTACAGCAAATTTCTTCCTATATTGAAAGTGACATAAGTCGATTTATCTTTAATTTGAAATAATTAAGGTTTTGCGTTTTTACAAAATCCAAAATATACGTAAGATATATGGTTGACTTGCAATGTTAAATCGCATTTAAGAGATTTAATTTTATACATTCTATTAAAGTCGCTATTATTATGACCTTGCTTGCCTTGAAAGGACTTGGGTCACTTTCAAAATAAAAATTTGTTTTGTTACAAAAAATGAAAAAACTTAAGTCCGTTACATATAACATAAAAAATAGGAAAAAAAACATTTAAATTATATTTTTAGATAATAGAAATAAATTAAGTAACAAGTTATTAGTTAACATTCTCAGTATGCGGGAGTGATTTGAAGTAGTTATGGGGTTCCGGAGGTATATATATATATATATATATATATATATATATATATATATATATATATATATATATATATATATATATATATATATATATATATATATATATATATATATATATATATATATATATATATATATATATATATATATATATATATATATATATATATATATATATATATATATGATGACACTATACTCCGGGATATCATCCGTTCGCTCGTTGAACTCCGACTGGAATCCTGCAAATCCTGCATCCGACTGGAATCCTGCAGACGTTTCGCCAAAATCTCACTTGGCATCTTCAATGCTCGCGCTCCGAAAACACTTATATATATATATATATATATATATATATATATATATATATATATATATATATATATATATATATATATATATATATATATATATATATATATTCCAACCGTCAGAGAAGCGTACGGAGAGACGGTGGCAACCAACCTAAAAGCGTACTCAAAATTTAATCTACAATGGTGTAAACAGAAAAACCGTAGAATCTTTCTTTTGCGTTGTAAGGATGACAATCTAACACCCACATTTTTAAGAATCAAAGTTGCACATATCAATTTTTCATGTAAGTACCTCGAGCGAAAATTCAACGAAATAATTTTAAAAACATTTGTTCGAAAAACCCTAAGCCTTCTAATTACTGAGACGACCCATACGATAAACCATTTAACATCGGAAATCGAAAAAATTGAAATATTTTTGAAAACTCTTTTAGAACCGAATATTTTAACAACTATGTAACTATTGTAAAAATTAAAACCGAAAATTTATTTAAAAACATTAAAGAAAAAAATGTAAACAAAATTAGAAAAATAAACCCTGAGCTAAACACGCAGACAAACGGTGTTGATTCCTCCAAATGGATCGAAAACCTTACAGATATTGAAATCCCCAACTACGTGAATGACATATTAGCCCTAGGCCCAAACTTTGCAGTCCCAGTAGAAAAACCTGAAGAAATACCCATCACCGATATTATTTGTAACATTGAAACTATATTACACAACACTGTCTCTAGCGGAAGGGATGAAATAAGGGCCAAGTCCTGTAACATAATTACAAACTTTAAAAATAACTTTATTAAACAAAAAAGTAACCAAACAAACAAAAAAATTTTTACTAGCAAATTGAAAAAGACAAAAGCTTTCCTAAAAAGAAACAAAACTATAAAAATATTAAGACCAGATAAATCAAACAAAACCGTAATTATGCACGAAAAGGACTACAACACAAAAATGTATGACCTTCTAAACGATGACAAAACATATAAACAAATAAATAATGATCCTACAAACATTTTCCAAAAAAGAAATAACGATCTGGTATCAAAATGGGAAAAAGAACTTTTTATTTCACCGAATGTAGCCAAAAATCTTAAAATACAGAATGCACTACCTCCTAGAATCTATGGATTGCCTAAACTACATAAACCTGGCGTACCTCTAAGACCCATAGTGTCATGCATTCAATCCCCTTGTGAAAAATTGTCAAAGTTCCTTAAAAATATACTACAAAACGTTATAAATCAAAATCAATATTATATCAAAAACTCTTTCGATTTTAAAGAAAAGATAAAAAATGTCAGAATACCTGAAAACTATGTTTCGATCTCGTTAGATGTCATTTCTCTATACACAAATATTCCCATCCCTTTAGCTAAAGATATAATAAAGAAAAAATGGCCAAAAATTAAACATTTCACAGATATTCCGTTAAATCACTTTCTTGAAGCTGTAGAATTAACATTAACATCAACCTATTTCTTATTCAATGACAAATATTACAGGCAGGTCGATGGTTGTGCAATGGGAGCATCGATTTCCAGTGTTATTGCACAGTTAGTAATGGAAGATTTGGAAGAATCCGTACTAAAAAATATAAATCTTCATATCCCCCTATTTTATCGTTATGTCGATGACTGCGTAAGTGCTGTCCCAAAAACTGAAATCGATAATATTCTAGAGAATTTTAATTCATACAACGACAAACTTCAATTTTTAATAGAGATCGATAAAAATAACGTCATTAACTTTCTAGACCTGACTCTATACCACAGCAAAGACCAGATAAAAACCAAATGGTACACCAAAGATCTAGGTATATAAGTTTCAACTCCCAACATCCCATCACCCAAAAAAAATCCGTAATAATAGGTTTAGCCGACCGAGCTATTAAACTGTCCGATCCTGAGTACAGACAGCAAGCTATTAAAAAAGCAAAACAAGCCCTAAAATTAAACTGTTATCCGGATGTATTAATAAATAAAATTTTCAATAAACGGATACACAAATTTTACAATCAAAATGCTGGTAACAAATCCGAGAAGAAAAATACTCAAAAACAATATCTCCCATTACCGTACGTTCCAGGGCTATCGGAAAATTTGTGCAATGTGTTCAAACAACACGACATTACTGTGGCACACAAAGGTTATAACCTATTAGAACAAAACTTTAGTAAATTAAAATCAAAAATCCCTGACGAGAAAAAAAACCACGTGGTGTACCAAATACCGTGCCAAAATTGTAACGGTGTCTACATCGGACAAACTAGTCAATACTTAAAAAGTCGCTTAAACGGCCATAAATATGACAAAAAAAATAACACTGCTCTTTCGAGCCATTCCAGGGAGAATCAGCACTCGTTTGACTTTCAAAGTGTGAAAATTTTATGCTCAGAGAGGCACACAAAAAGACGGGAATTTTATGAAATGATTGAGATCCAAAAAAATCCAAACGCCATAAACTCTAAGACTGACACAAAAAATCTCAGCAAAATTTATCACAACTTAATTAAATAAAGAGACACATTAACCCGTGAATCTCACACAAACAAAAAAAAAAAGCTTTAGAAAAAAAAAAAACTCCGTTTTCCTACTGTGAAGAAACGTACATCCGGGCTTCGCATTATTGTTTTGGTTCGTCGTCTTATCAATGTGGCTTGTCGATTTACATATTCAATATGTCTGTTGTGAATGTTGTAAAACTGTAAATTACCAAACAACTATATAGTGAACCGTTGATTTTTGGCTTAAGGTATGTATGTAATCGTAATATAAAAAATTATGTATGTTTTATTGTTGTGCATCTATTTTTATACAATTTTTAATCACTTTGTTTGTTCTATTGACTTGCACTAGTAATTTTTAATCATTTCAATGCTGACTCCTATACAAATTTTTATCTATGTTTTAATTATGACCAGGAAAACAATGCTATAAATAATTTTATTTAAAAACACATTTTTGTAGGTTAAAATTAAATGTCTGAAGAAGGTCTTGAAGGCCGAAACGTCACAAAAAATAATGTATATATATATATATATATATATATATATATATATATATATATATATATATATATATATATATATATATATATATATATATATATATTTGTTTTTTTCTTCACGTATTGATTCACGGATGGAAAAATGTGATGACACTATATTCCGGGATATCATCCGTTCGCTTGTTGAACTCCGACTGGAATCCTGCAGACGTTTCGCCAAAATCTCACTTGGTATCTTCAATGCTCGCCCTGTGAAGTGTTTTCGGAGCGCGAGCATTGAATATGCCAAGTGAGATTTTGGCGAAACGTCTGCAGGATTGCAGTCGGAGTTCAACAAGCGAACGGATGATATCAACGATGGCAACACAATATTCAAAAATTTTTTAGTTCCAACCCGACGTGGCAATAAATCAAGAATTTCAATTTCTGCGTTGATTTGGATAAAATTTTATGTGGTTCATTTCTTAAAAATCGCATGCAGCATATTTGAAGCCAGTTTTTTTTCCCCGTTGGTATTTTTGGATTTTTTGTAAACTGCTTCTTCCAAGAGTCTTGTTGATATAAAATGCTCTTGTTTCATTTCATTTAGTATGAAAGTATTACCTTTTGTACATTTATTAATTATTTTATAATAATCTTGTGGCAAATACAATAACTGATTTCTTTTTAACGACATTTTTATAACGCCAAAATCTCCGTCATTAGGTAAAAATGAATACCGTGATATTAAAAATTTGTGGTCTATGATTTCCACAACATTTCCCATCGATAGAATTTTTAACCACACTAACGATATTTTGATGTTTCTGTTTTGTCCTCCACACATCTGGAACCAAACCTTGTCATCTTAAGTGGAAGATGCTTTTCTGAAACATATTTTTCTTGTAACCATGAAATATTTATGTAAGACTTCGAAAAGAAAGCCCTCGACACTTTCGATCTAAAACCAAAATTATGGAAAAGGTACGTTGATGATACTTTTGTTATTTGGTCAAGAATGTCTACAAGATTTTCTTAGCGATTTATACCCTATTCACCCTAACACCCTAGCAGGATGATTGGAGAAACGTCAGAAAGCTAACTAATAAATAACTGTTAACTTGGCAGACTACTGTTTCGTGTTTGTTGTCAGAATGTATGTTAAGTGGCGACTAGGACTGTATTTTCTAAAAATTTTCATCATTCTATGTAAAGTATTTTTTGTTAATTTTTGTTTGTTATTGCGGAGCATCTCACTGCTTGATTTTCTTGAAACAAATGATGATATTTTCAAAACAGCGGGTATGGATTTTTTGGGTGCAAGCCAAGGTTGCGATTCTTTAAATTGTTCATCCTGTATATTTTTATGAAACTTTCCAAAAATATATAATTATCTAAATATATTTATTTAGTTTGACCTCTTAGGAAATATACTTCTGTCTCTTCTATCAATTAACAATATTAATATATTAATATTTCAGAGATCAATTTTATCGATTAGTTTGTGGAAATCTTACTTAAGTAGCACTTACCGATATGATCTGGTAAGAGTTCGACATCATAGCAATCAACATATTGAGAAGTACTATGATGTTAATAACGGAATATGAACCGAACATCAATAGAGCCCAAAACCTAGTAAAACCCTTTATGCCGGTTAACTCGAAGCACATCAAGTCGACGAGACCGAAACTGGCCCAAAACAGCGACTGCGAAGTTTCAAATAAGCTGGAAATGGACAAACAGTAATAACGGAACATAAATCGAGAGTGCTTTGTAGAATGAGTTAAAATGTCTTGCGAACTTTGGTGAATATAAAATGTTTAATCGGCTATTTACTCAGTTCACCACGCTAGTGATAGATATACTAAATCATGGCTGATGTAAGTAAAATATGTAAATATTTCGAGAACCGAATAATCAAAACGTTATTTTTCAAAGAAACTTCCACAAGCTAATTAATTTGACGTTGTGACTGATGTGTGCTATTACAAAAGTCGTCGGTGTGTACTATTTGTTAAATTATTGCTATGTGCATAATTTAATTGCAATTGCTGTGTGCTATGACAATAAATTATTGCTGTGTGTTATTTGTAAAATTATTGCTGAAAATTGCAATTACAATAATTATTGCTGTGTGCTATTTGTTAAATTATTGCTGCGTGCATAATTTAACTGCAATCGCTGTGTGCTATGACAAAACTTATTGCAGTTATTTGAAAAACCTATTCCTGAAAACTATAGCTGTATGCAATTACAATAATTATTGCTGAGTGCATAATTTAATTGAGATTGCTGTGTGCTATGGTAAAAATTATTACTGTTTGCTATTTGCAAAATTATCGCTAAATTTATGGCTGTGTGCTATTACAATGATTATTGCTGTGTGGTCAATTTGACATTGTAAAGGCTCTGTGTGATTTTTAGTTTGTGGTATGTGTCAAATTATTGATGTCTGCTTGTTTTTAGTCTAGACATTGTCTTAATCTGCTCTTAATGAAAGCAGATACTTTTTAGAGGAGGGTGTTTTTGAAAATAGAACTCGTATTAAAGAAAGTGTTTAGAGGACGTCAATCATTCGAATACAACGTGTAAATTGTTATCGAAGGTGTCATGGCTCATGACTTTGCTGCTCAAAGAATTCATGTGATAAATCTAAGCTCCATCACAAGGGCGAGTATGTATTTAAAAATGGCAGGTTTAATAGTGCAGCCATGATACACTATAGCACCCTACTTCGCATATCGCCGCCATATTGTGCACGCCTTGTCGTTATTGTCAAAGTCCGGCAAGCCGTTGGGCAAATGGTAACATTTTTTCTTTTCCAATTCGGCGTAATACCACAGCAGTTGATTTAGACCTGAAAATTGTGCGCAATGTCGTCGGAAAATAACTCAACCGATCGCCTACCGCAGCCAAATGCGAACAAAACCAGTGTGTAAATGAAGAAGAATTTGACGATATCGATTATCATGCGGCCAAGAGAAATCTGGAGCGGCCCCAAGTGCGGATTGACACTGAATATGTGAACCAACTTTAGAAAACTAAAACGAATGTAATGCCGATTTGAGTTTCAAAAGGTAGCCTCATTCATCACCTGAATATCATACCGGCGGCGAACGCACCCTCCGACAGAAGCATGGGTTCGAAAGAGTCCCATTCCTCTCTAGGGTACCAAGTGGGCTTACCCAGGGAATCGTCCCTCTAAAACGTACGGATAAATAAGATCCGTATCCATCATCCCAGCTTTAGTTCAAACTACTTACCCAACAAACGTACCACGATGTTAATCTCAGCGCCAGCCAGAGAAAATAAAACATGTTGGTGATAAAATCCACAATATTCCACAAATCCGCAATGTATTCTATTAGTCCGTCGGACCAGAGCGATCTTATTTCGGCCCAAATTAAACCTGAAATTATTTACGAAACGTGATTAAGTCTTAAGGTTTAAGGCTCTTAGTGTGTAAAACTTTAAGCCTAGTGGGAATAGAGACATGAAGCGGAGACACAATATATTGCGGACAACGGATCAGGTAATGTCAGTGACAAGGTTAGGGAAAGTATTACTTCTGGATTCCTCCTGCTTCGGTTTTTGCTGAGTCGAACTTGCTGACGTTTCGCCAATCATCCTGTTGGCTTCTTCAGAGCTTGACTGAAACTAGCTCCCATTTTACTCTGTACCTGCTTATATATTGTTTGAGTGGGGTGGGGCTAAATGAGGGGCAAAAACACCGTTTCGGATAACTGATTACCATATTGGTGACGTTCCATCAAAAAATACACTTTACCGCAACCTTCCAATAGCAATGAGGTCCTTCAAATATTAAGAAATCATTGACCACATATCAAAAGCTCTAAAGGAGTATAACGCCAAAACCAGATTTACCACTTGTCCAAAAATCTCTCGACATCTTTGGTCAGTCAAAGACAAAATTCCGTTTGAGTTTACAGCATTCCATGCATATGCGGCAAAGAATAGATTGGAAAGACAGGACGAAAAATATCAACTAGGCTCAAAGAACACGAAAAAGACAAGACAAATAAACTCATCAGCTGTTGCCGAACACAATCACGAAACTGGACATAAAATTTTATTGAATAAAAATTAAATTCTTGAATGTAATCAATTCTTCTACCAACTAAAAATCCGAGAGTTGGTAGAAGAATTGATTACAGGCAAGAAGTTTAGTTTTATAGAATAAAATTTTATGTCCGGTTTCGTCATTGTGTTCGGCAACAGCTTATGAGTTTATTTTGTCTTAGTCGTGAGGCTAATTCGTGTTCTTTGAGCCTATTTTTGTTTTTTCAAAGAAACTTCCACAGGATAGTGTAATGCTTTTTACAAAACTTCTGGATTCCCCCTGCGTCGGTTTTTGCTTAGTCGAAATTGCTGAAGTTTCGCCAATCATCCTGTTGGCCAACATTAGCAATTTCCACTAAGCAAAAACCGACGCAGGAGGAATCTAGAAGTCTTTGAGCCTAGTTGATATTTTTCGCCCGGTCTCTCCAATGTATTCTTTGCCGCATATGCATAAAATGCTGTAAACTCCTGCCATCTCAAATGGAACTTTATCTTCGACTGACTGAAGATGTTGAGAGAATTTTGGACAAGTGCTAAATCTGGTTTTGACGTTATACTTCTTTAGAACTTTTGATATGTGGTCAGTGATGTTTTGAATGCAAGGAAGGACAACAGTGGCAGGTGTGTGATTACTTTCGGCCTCGTTGGTATTAGAAGGTTGTGTTGAAGTGTATTTTCTGATGGAACGCTTAATATCTTTAATGTGGAAATTATTGGAGAGAAGAGCAGAGGTAAGGTGTTTCAATTTTAGGTTCAGTGACTCTGGCTGAGATAGTTTTACGGCTGTGTAAACAAGAGAGTTGATGACCGATGGTTTTTGGGCCGGATGGTGATGTGATCATGCATTAAGGTATTGGTCTGTGTACGTCGGTTTTCTGTAAACACATGGGTCATTGTGTTTAGCGTTTTTATAGTTTTGGTTTTAGATGGAAGTTGTCGAGAGCTTTCTTCTCAAAGGCTTCCATAAATATATTCGTGAGGACTGATGAATCCAGAAGTTTTGTAAAAAATATTACAGTATCAGGTGAAAGTTTCTTTGAAAAATTAACTAAATGTATTGTTGAAATAACCAACTAAATTTCTAATATTCCTAGTACTGTCTTCTTTATTCATTCATTTATTCATTTAATCTTGGCAATGTCAAATTTCGGGAGTTATTGAAAACCATTTTAAATTTGCCTCTTCTATTATTTGTTTAGCCTATATGTTTTCCCCTTCTCAAAATCTTCCAAAATCCTTCAGTAAAAACTCGGCACACTTTCCAACGCGTAGGAATACGTTGTTTAGTAAGTTCTTTTATATCTGGTATATATTATCTTTTCTCTTCTACGTTGAATTTCTTCATCACTGCTTGATGTTACATTTTACGGCGTACTTGTAATATGTAACTGACATCATATTCTTCCCTAAAATGGATGTCCTTTACTTACCGACTACGTAGACAATAACTCCGCATTCCGCTATACCAAATAAAGCTCCCCGTTCTGTCCTTTTCCATTCCCGTACGATATCTTGAACCCAGTCTGTGCCGAATAACTCGAGAAACAATATTTCGACTCTTTGTGATGCGGCTCCCAGAAGAGCTGGAATTGTGAAACCTTGAAATTTTCCAAAAATTAGCCATACTAATTGCTATATTAAATGCACTAGTTATTAGGGGGCCCAAAAGGATTCCAATTTAAGAGAGGGAGCTCACCATCTGTGGTTGCGAATTGCATCTTAAATTTTTTGGGTCCCAAATTTAAGATGCCAAAAAATCTCTACACAGGGTGTCCCACGAGTAACGGTACATGGCAAAATAGGAGATTCTTTACTTTTCACTTTTTTTTTAATAATTCCTGAAACAATCTAGCTTTTTGTACAAAATTTGCCAAATCGGGTTTTTTTGGGATAAGAAATCGATTTTCTTGAACAATCTTGGACGCTACGTATCGTACTTGTCGTGCATTTGAAACTTGCAAACTTTTTTGCGCCTTAGTGAACTGCAGGTTTCTAAGAAATATATCACATTTTACACCTGTTTTATAGAAAAATTTGGTTTTGAAATTTTCAGTACATCATTAGGAAATATTTAAAATGTGATTTTCTTATGCCTTTTTAAAATAAGATAAATAATGTTATTTATCTTATTGATAAGAAAAAGATTTCTATTCTTCAATGAATGTTCAAAATGATTTCCATTACTCCGTGACAAAGATGAACTGCAAATCAGATAAAAAAAAGAAGTATGCGAAAAATATAAAATCTATTTTAAAGAAAAGGATATTCAATCAAGAAAAGGAATCAACAGTCTACATCAGGTACATAGTGATGAAAGTGCCATTTGTATTTTGTAAGGGTTGGTACAGAATATAAGCATGGAGGGAAATGGACAAGATGCATCCATGAAGAGTGGGCAAGGGTTTCTTTGAATAGGGTCTCAAATTACGTTCGCTGCATTTTTTTATTAAATTGTACCATATCCTTATTTTGAGTCATTTTGACTTTACTTTTAAGGAAATACACTTTACTTTTTATAAAACTTCTGGATTTGTCCTGAGACGGATTTTGTTGACTTGAACTTACTAACGTTTCGCCAATCATCCTGTTGGCTTCTTCAGAGCTTGACTGATACTGGCACGCATTTTACTCTGTACCTGCTTATATATTGTTTGAGTGGGGCGGAGCTAAATGAGGGCTAGAAACCCCGTCTCGGATGACTGATTCCCATATTGATGACAGTTGAAGACCTGAGTCGCTTTTAAAATTGTTTGGTTGTTTATAGATTTCTATAGACTCGCCGATTTCTTTTCGGTAGAAGAATTGATTACATGCAAGAAGTTTAGTTTTATCGAATAAAATTCTATGTGCGGTGTCGTGTTTGTGTTCGGCAACAGCTGATGAGTTTATTGGTCTTAGTGGTAAGGCTCTTTCGTGTTCTTTGAGCCCAGTTGATATATTTGGTCCGGTCTCTCCAATGCCGCATATGCATGGAATGCTGTAAACTTCTGGCATCTCAGATAGAATTTTATCTTTGACAGATCGAAGATGTTGAGATATTTTTGGACAAGTGGTAAATCTGGTTTTGACGTTATATTTCTTTAGAACTTTTGATATGTGGTCAGTGATGTTTCGAATGTAAAGTAGGACAACACTGGCAAGTGTTGCAAGTGCTTTATTGTTATTGGAAGGCTGTGGTGAAGTGTAAAAGTGCAAAATCTAATCCAGACATCGTAATCCTAAAAGCAGATAAAGGAACTACTACGGTGGTCCTGAACACAAATGAATACGAGGAATCGTCAACTTAAAAAATATCCTATGGAAATGTCCTATGGAATGCAACCTTAAATGTATCATTAAGCCTTCTTCTCTATCAGACACCGTTAAAAAATCTGTCACCCCACATGACTCTAAAATCCCTCGTCTCTACGGACTCCCAAAGATTCACAAACCACTTGGACCTATTGCCAGCACTATTGGTTCTCCCACATATCCCCTAGCAAAATATCTAACTTCCTCATTAAAACCCTTTATAGGAAAAGCTGATAGTTCCGTTCGTAATCCCTTTCACTTCATTGATCAATTAAAAAATATTATATTAGATACAAAAGATATTCTGGTTGGTTTTGACGTAGAATCCCTCTTTAATAAAGTTCCTATTGAAATCTGAGAATCTGGAACCAAACCTTCTCATCTTACTTGAAAAATGCTTTTCTGGAACATATTTTTCTTATAACGGTCAAATTTTTAAATAAATGTCGGGAACAACTATGGGTTCTCGATTATCACCAATCATCGCGAATATATTTATGGAATCCTCTTACACATTTAAACTCTATACACCTTAACATACGTTTTACCATTGAATTAGAAACTGATAACAATTTACAATTCTTAGATATTCTTATCAATAGAAAATCAGACCTAACATTGGGTCACTGTGTTTACAGAAAACCTACGCACACAGACCTATACCCTAATACATTGTCACATCACCATCCGGCCCAAAAATCATCAGTTATCAACGCTCTTGTTTACGGACCCGTAAAACTATCTCAGCCAGAGTCACTGAACCCAGAATTAAAATACTTTACCGCTGCTCTTCTCTCTAATAATTTCTACATTAAAAATATTAAGCGTTCCATCAGAAAATAAACTTCAACACAACCTTCTAATAGCAATGAGGCCGAAAGCAATCCCACACTTGCCACTGTTGTTCTTCCTTACATTCAAAACATCACTGACCACATATCAAAAGTTCTAAAGAAATATAATGTCAAAAGCAGATTTACCACTTGTCCAAAAATCTCTCAGCATTTTCGATCCGTCAAAGACAAATTTCAATTTGAGATGCCAGGAGTTTAGAGCATTTGCATTCGCGGCAAAAAATACATTGGAGAGAAAAACCAAAATTCTTGTATGCAATCAATTCTTCTACCAACGAAAAATCCGAGAGCCTATAGAAATCTATAAGCAAGCTAACAATCTGAACCGCGACTCAGACTTGTCACCAATATGGGCATCGTATATGGGTAGGTGAGAAATTTTACCATTCCATTGTCCTCAGAACTCAAGTTAAACTGTTTTACGTTGAACACATTGTTAAAACGACCTGGTCGTTTTGTCGTCCATGGGTCCAATTAGATTACACTCACCCAGAAAGAACGCGTATGATGACGAATGGACGATGAATTTAACGAAAGGTTTCTTCATGAAACTGCCCATTTTAGACGTTGGGTTGATCATGTACATGGTGCACAGTATCGGAAACATAATTCCAATTTTGGCCACCTGGAATCCTTGACCGATCATACCTTTTCGTCGAAATCCTGGTAGGCCGTCGTACCATATCGAGGCGAGTAGTTGCTGGACGTTCGGATGGGCGATAAACTAAAAATTTAGCGGCAAATTATCACTTTTTCCACACCTTCCTCGCTTACCTTCTTTTGTTTGTATTTAATTGCCAGCTTCACTCGCTGAAGACTTTCGCGCTGCCTGCATTCCCAAGACTCTTCTTGAGGGTCGTAGTTTAACATTACTTTGAGTTCGTTAGACGTTCGTATGTGGTCCAGTAAGCATGTGGCGAAATTTTGTACTTGCGTTCTCATGTCCTGTAACGATATGGCCTCATTCGAAAATAATTTAAACTCGGAACATAACCTGACATTGTATTCTGCTCGAAATTCCGTCTCCATCCTGCTGAGTCGTCTTAGATCCCACGACAGTTGGAAGGCCGTCAATATAGGATCACTCGATGACAAAGATATCAAAGACGGGGCTGATAGTGCCCTATAGGCATTGATGCGAGCCTGCGAATGTCTTAGAGAATCGGCTCTGCTCGATTCCAAGCATTCGTCGCAGCCACATCTGCGGCAGAAGCCAAAAGAATACTCCTAATAGTGAATCACAGTATATTCTATAGTTACATAAATTATGACAATGTTCCTATCGAAACTTCTTTTATGAGGAGTTGGGTAGTTCCTCGGACTCAATGATTTTAGCGCTTATTATTTTTATGCGCTGCCCTCTAGTTATGTAAAGCTGTTCAGGGGATAAGCTGACGTTTCTTGCTGGAAGGAATACTGGAGGGGATATGGAAAGACACTGGGGCAAACCAAAAGAAAACCCCAAAGAGCGAATCACGGTATTCTAGATTATGACAATGTTTCTACACTGCACTCTCGAGAAAGTTCAGTACTTCTTTTTAGAGGAGTTGGATGGTTCCTCGGACTCAATGATTTGAACTCCTAGTACTTTTAATGCGCTGCCCTTTAGTGGTGCGAAGCTGTTTATTATATAAGTTGACGTGTCTCGTTTGGAGGGATACTGGATGGGATATGAAAAGACACTGGGGCAAACAAAAAGAAAACCCCCAATGGCGAATCATAGTATATTCTATGGTTACATAGACAATAGACATGACAATGTTCCTACCTTGTACTATCTAGCAATTGCAGTACTTCTTTTATGAGGAGTAGGGTAGTTCCTCGGACTCAATGATTTGAACGCCTATTATTTTTATGCGCTGCCCTCTAGTTGTGTGCAGCTGTTCAGCAGATAAGCTGACGTTTCTTGCTTTCTTGCTTCCTGAATACTGGAGGGGATATGGAAAGACACTGGAGCAAACCAAAAGAAAACTCCAAAGAGCGAATCACAGTATTCTAGATTATGACAATGTTTCTACACTGCACTCTTGAGAAAATTCAGTACTTTTTTTGATTTGATTGATTTGAACTCCTATTACTTTTAACACGCTGCCCTTTAGTGGTTTGAAACTGTATTATATTATTTGACATGTCTCGTTTGGTCTCGTACTGGAGGGGATATGAAAAGGCACTGGGGAAAGCCAAAAGAAAACTCCCAGAAGCAATTCACAGTATTCTATGGTTACATAGATTATGACAATGTTTCTACCCTGCACTCTCGAGAAAGTTCTTTTATGAGGAGTTGGGTGGTTCCTTGGACTCCTACTATTTGTAATGCGCTGCCCTCTAGTGGTATGAAGCGTTTCTTAGATAAGTTGACGTGCTATGTTTGTTGGGATACTGGAGGGGATATAGAAGTCTTTCTATATCTTCTGGTTTGCCCCAGTAGACACTGGGGCAAACCAGAAGACAACTCCCAAGAGCGAATCACATTATTCTATGGTTACAAAGATTCTGACAATGTTTCTACCCTGTACTCTCGAGAAAGTTCAGTACTTCTTTTATGGGTTGGGTGATTCCTCGGACTCAATGATTTGAGGTGCCATTACTTTAAATGCGTTGCCCTCTGTGTGTGGTGCGAAGCCGTTTGTTAGGTAAGTTGACGTGTTTCGTTTGGAGGGATACTGGAGGGGTTATGGAAAGACACTGGGGCAAACCAAAAAAAAACTCCCAAGAGCGAATCACAGTATTCTATGGTTACATAGATTATGACACTGTACTCTCGAGAAAGTTCAGTACTTCTTTTATGGGGAATTGGGCAGTTAGACAACTTAACCCAACCCAAGCCTCGAGAACACTGCCCTCTTGTGTCACTCGTAAGATTTTCCCCTGTGTTCCTCACGATTTTGTTAACTGTCAGAATGAAAAGATACAGCTCAGTTTTGGGGCTGTTACCTTAATTTTTCGATTCTTACATTTAAATGCGTATTATACTGTGATGATACCAGTCGCATAGGCTTTGGGAAAAATTTTCAAGAATTGAATAGGCTACTCTTGATTATTTAGCAAATAACGCCTTAAAACTGAACCTTGACAAAACCCAACATTTGGCGATTTCAACTATTAAACCTCTTACGAATGGTAGTTCTAAGACTAAATTGGTCGGAACATGATGACCAATTAAAGGTAAAACTTAGCAGTGGACTGTTCGTTCTCAGACGACTAAGAGGATTTATTGATGATAAGTACCGAATTATAGTGTGGTCGGGTAATTGTTTGTCTTCATGTGTTATTTTTAAATTGCAAAAACAAAGAAATAAGAACTATTTCTAGAATTGACTGTCGTGATCATTGTTGGCCATGGTTTATAAGAGTACCTACGCATTATGCCATTGTCATGTGTTTGGCTGTATCAACAGCTTCATAAAAAATGGCGCATATATACAAAAAAATGCTGATAATCATAATTATCATTGCAAATTCTGTTTCTACTCTACCGTTAAATTTAAAGATGAAGTAAAAACTAACACATATCTCTTCATAGTTTAAGTTAAGTTTAGTTCAACACTTTAATGTCTACAAAGCGATTTGTCTTTATTGTGATTGATTGTTTTTTTTTTGTTACATTTTTGTTGTGAAATTTTGACTTTATTGACAATTACTCTTTGCGAAACGTACTCAACGAAAACTGCTACTGCTCAGTGCTGCTACTACTCAGTGCTTATTCCATGTTCCTGTTTTTCTTTTGTCTTGTGGCATCCTGTATTAGCTTACCTTACATCGTGAGGCAAAGGTAGCGTAGCTCCCCTGTCTAATAAAATTTTGATGATTTCGTAGTTGTTTTTATGAGCGGCCAAAATCAACGGTGTGATGTCGGCTGTAAACGACGCTCCTGATTTGTCGACCTGCTCCCAAGTCTACGGATTGCAGTAGCGTAATAATTAAAATTTGTATAGGATATTTGGAGGTCGCAGTAACACATACATAAGGCTCTCCTTCCTTGTGAGATGTTTCCTCCCAATTTAATAACACTTCGACGCCTTCCACGTATTCCTCCTTGATGGCATGTAGAAGTCCATCCTTGAAATTTTTAATTTTAACGATTTAATTTAATGTTTGAATTGTTTAAAAACTTTGACAAATGAATACCTTAACCTTGATGCCTTCGTTGAGCAGTAGCTTGATAAGTTCGATGTTTTCGTTTTCGATTGCTGCTATTAAAGCGGACCTGTTTAACGAGTCTACGCAGTTGATATCAAACTCTGTTGGATTGTTTTTATATTGCTCGATTATCCTGAAAAAAAAAATCCAAAGTTTTTAACCCAGACCTTGGAACTGGGTTAGGTGGTCAGCTTCAAGTTATTCTCAAGGCGGGGTGCTATCCCTCGTTCTATGGAGGCTACTGGTGGACCACCTATTGACTACCCTTTTCACTGTGGAAGCAGATGGTTCTACAGGCAGAAGATGTTTTAATTGTGAAGACAGAGTTTCTACTATCCTCCAAGCAATACAACTGGTGCCGGAAGGAAAGCATGACTATAAGCGGTGGTAGTACAACTTACCCGCAGAAGGAAACTGGAAAATTTGGTACCTGTCTCATTATTAAACTAATTATTAAGCTAATCAACTGAAACGAGTGTCTTCAGCACTATGCTATACCGGCGATGGAAGCCCTACTGGGTCTACCATCCCTCTATTTACAGGTAAATGTAAATTATCGATAACTAGATTACGATGGTGAAAAGAGAAAAACAATTGAATGTAGGGTTTAGTAAACATGAGGAATATGTACCCTCCTTATATCAAACACGCTGTATATTTTTTATTCTCATGTTCGGGGATCACCAACAGAAAAAAGGTCATATGCAAATTTTGTCTAAAATTGAAAATAATCGACTTATATTTGTTGCAAAATAAAACTCCATTTTCCTTTTATTGTTTGACTGTCTCTTATACGTGCCCAACCATCTACTCCATATTAAACAATCTACTGAACTAGTGCAAAATACATAATTTTTAAATGTTTTTCACACGTAAACTTCCCATCAGTCCCCTGCGTGTTTCTATAACTTTCTAAACGTGAAAGTTCCATTTAAAAAATATCTATATGTACGCATAGATACTTAATTGTATTGGTTAGCTGAAGTTCCACAGTATTGCTTACTTTTTATTGAACTGTATGGAGGTAAGTATTTTTTATATGATGTGCATAAGTATATTTATAGTCGAATCGTTTAGTTAGTAATTCAAAATGTTCTCTATATCTCTAGTTGCCATGAGCATAACTTCGTCCCAAATGCTAGCGATGTATACTATGGCGGTGTCATCTGCAAAGGCCAGTATACTTCCATCAGAAGTTATTTTAAGTAAGGTGCGGCACTCCACTTTTTGTATCTTTTATTTGAGCCTGCTGTCCTCTATTTTGAAAACCTGCAATGTCTCTTATTCCCATATGCTCATCAGAAGCCCACTACTATTCGAATAGTCAAAATACAAATTGAAACTCTCAAAATCTGGTTCTATTAACCAAAGTCATTTCAAAAACTGGCAATGAAATCGAAGCTAGAGCTCGGACACAGCTAGACGACGCATCGTTTTAAGAACGCTAGAAAAATAAGACATGGGCAAAATGAAAACACATCTTAACAGGCCTTAATTTATTTATTTATTTATAAACAAGTGCTTGTTTCGAGATTCAATCAAATTTTTTTCAACTTTATATAGAAACAGTAGGTCGAAAATTGTTCTACGATTTTCCAAAAACTGCATGTTTTCACTAGAACGAAAAAATGTTTTGTGTATATTTAAGATTGATGTGATTCCAGACTGCCAAGATTGTAAAAAAGTATTATTAAAGATTTTTATTAAAGATTTTTTATTATTAAACCCATTAGTCACCCATAAAATGAATCCAAGACTCTTTACAAACTGACTGACCAACATCATATAGGAAAATAGCACACAGTAAGGGACCCTTGCGGTATGGTCTGTTCATAGATATACGAAAGTGACCAATTGCTTTTGACTGGTCATTAACGTACAATACAACATGATTATTACCTAAAGTTTCGGAATTTAAATTTAGGTTAAATTGTGGTCCGTAATAGAAAATAATTTTATATCTACCTGTGTTTAATATTCTTTGGTTTGGTATACTACTTAGTTTAAGTTTATTAGTAATCATTCTTATTTCGTGTGTAATACATCGTGTGTTGAATCGTGTGCGAATTATGCAAAATATGTGCTAGTCTGGTGTATCTCAGGAGATGCTCCCGCCCAAATGTAGAAAACACTATTCTATTGAGACTAAGAAAGTTATAAACAATGTTTATTAGGAGGCTTGAAAAAGATGAAAGCGGTGTTAAATGTGGCAGATCTACCTTATGGAAGTGTATTCAGCACATGGGTTTTAGATTTACAAAAATTGACAAAAGGCAAGTTTTAATGGAATCTTTAAGAATTCGGAAATGACGACTGGAATATCTAGAAAGACATAGGATTTACAGAGAACAACAAAGGCTAATTATTTACTTGGATGAAACCTGCTTCGACACTTATGATACCCCGGAAAAGGGTTGGGTTGACTCAACTGATAAGTGTAAAATAAACGCGCCATCAAAAAGAGGTAAAAGAATAACTATTTTGCATTCTGACTCTGATGGTTGGATTCCAAATGGACTTTCTCTGTCTGCGAGAAATATTAAAGATTCTACTCTGGATTACCATGAAGACATCGCCGCTGATTTACTTGAAAGTTGGTTTACAAAGAAACTAGTTCCAAACATTCCTTTAATAGCGTCATTGTGATGGACAATGCAGATTATCACAGTAGACAGTTAACTAAAACCCCTTCCTCATGTGACACAAGAGTAACAATCCAAAACTACATGTATAATAACGACATTTATTTTCACGAAGATTATACCAAAAATCAGTTATTTAAGGTTCTAGAAAGCTTGAACCTACAAAAAGAATACGTCTGTGATAATTATGCAAACAATCTAGGGCATACAGTTTTAAGGCTTCCACCTTACCAGTGCATATTTAATCCCATTGAACATGTTTGGCACCAACTGAAATCTGCCATTCGTCGTAACAATGTTTTTCCTCGTGTTAACTCCAATGTCCTCAAACTTATAGAAATCGAAGTTTTTAACATCCCTCCACAAAGTTGGGCAAATTCTGTTAAACATATAGAAAAAGCAGAACAATCGTATATCCATCCATCTTGCAAATAATATAGAACAAATAATAATTAGAACAAGCGATGATAGCGATAGTGGTACTGATATGATATATTATGTGAATAATTTTAAGTAATTTAAGTGGGTAATAAAAATAATTTGTAATTTTATTTTATATTTAAACATAAATACATACATAAATAAATAAATATTGTTTAGTATCTTTCCTAACAAAACCCTAAATAATTAATAAAAGTACGGACTTGTTCGGCCATATTTTATTCTTACAGCTTCTCGGACAAGCCTTAATTCGTATCAGTTAGTCACTTTCTTAGATCTATGAACATTACTCATTTCAAAATGGGCACAACTTGGATGGATTGAATGTATAGCAAAAAGAGATGCCGACAAAAATCGGGGCATGATTTTAAAAAAGCGTTTTGAAGTGTGCAAAGCCTTGTCGAAATGGGTATACCGCAGGGAACCGTGCCAGGGCCCCTATTATTTAATGTATACTTAAAAAATGAATTGGGAAATCTATATTACCTGTGAACAGTGGCGCAGTCGCCACGTTCCGCGTGCAGCAAGAAAGTTTTCTCAATTTGCGACAAGGGACGTTCGATGGGGTCGCTTAAAAGCAGCGTCGCAGTAAATTCGTCGCGGTTGCTTTCCACCAGACATTCTCGCGATTCCGACTCCTTCATTTTTCCGCTGACACCGACACGATTACCGGACACCGTAATATCATCGGTCCAATATTTTTCCTTAACTAAACAGCTAACGGAAATCCCGCAAGTTGGATCGATAATTTTATTTTTAATTTAATTAAAACAAATGGGGTTTGATATATTCGCGTTTAATCGGGGCGATTTGGCGATTATTTTATCCTCGTTTTGGCTTTTCTAAATTTTCCCTAGGAGTGGTACTTTTTGTAGGTTTAATTCACACCTTGCATATGATTTTTCGTTGGTAGAAGAATTGATTCCATGCAAGAATTTTAGTTTTATCGAATAAAATTTTATGTCCGGTTTACATTAGATACATAGGATATTCTAGTTATTTTCGACGTAGAATCCCTCTTTAATAAAGTTCCTATTCCTGAAACTCTCACGACCATTTCAGGTATATTAAAGTCCGAGAATTTGGAGCCAAACCTTCTCACCCTAATTGAAAAATGCTTGTGTGGAACACATTTTTCTTATAACGGTCAAATTTCAAAAAAATCATAGTTTCAATCATCATTTATAGAAGAGATGAAAGCTCTCGACACCTTTCATCTAAAATCAAAATTATGGAAACGCTAGGTCGATGATGCTTTTGTTATTTGACCTCATTGTCAAGAATCTCTAGTAGATTTTCTTAGTCTACTACTACCATTGAGTTGGAAACGAATAATAAACTCCCATTCTTAGATATCAATCAATAGAAAATCAGACCTAACAAAATCCATATGAAAATCACTGTTCCGGGGGCTGTCAAGGCCCGATGACGTCATTGATTATTACGGCGCACTGATGGTTTCAGAAAAATCTTATTTTCTCGAAAACCATTTACTATTTTCAAAAAATTCTTGGACCAGGAAACGTGGAAGATCCAGGGCTATAACCTCGATTTCTGGAATTTTTTCAAATATGTACAGGGTGCGTCGATTATGGGCAAAAAAATCTAAAAGACCCTGAAAATTGCCGTTTTCGTGGATAAATTATTCGCCATAAATGAAAAACTGCAAAACATGGAATAATTTGGTTTAAACAGTCCCAAAAATTGTGTGGAGAGAGAGTTTCAGATTTCGTTGATCATAGAGGGAGCGCGAAATATTTGAGAGAATTTCATTTTCGCTCTTATTTATATATATATATATATATATATATATATATATATATATATATATATATATATATATATATATATATATATAGTTATATATATATGATGACACTATACTCTATATCATCCGTTCGCTCGTTGAACTCCGACTGGAATCCTGCAAATCCTGCATCCGACTGGAATCCTGCAGACGTTTCGCCAAAATCTCACTTGGCATCTTCAATGCTCGCGCTCCGAAAACACTTCGAACACTGGGCTTTCGGAGCGCGAGCATTGAAGATGCCAAGTGAGATTTTGGCGAAACGTCTGCAGGATTCCAGTCGGATGCAGGATTCCAGTCGGAGTTCAACGAGCGAACGGATGATATCCCGGAGTATAGTGTCATCACATTTTTCCATCCGTGAATCAATACGTGAGAATATATATATATATATATATATATATATATATATATATATATATATATATATATATATATATATATATATATATATATATATATATATATATATATATATATTATTATTATTTGCATATTATTACATTTATCAAAGTTTGCTGTGACTTTGAAGTTCGGCGAGAAGTGAAAGACACTTTCCTTGTGAAGGAAGATACATCTATCTGGATATTATCCAAATTATCCCCACCATCTCGAAATTTCGTTCCTGACACGCATAAAATGTCATAATTGTATTATATAATCGCTAATAAGTGACCCGTTAATGATCTAACATTGAAAAAAGCTATCTAAAAATTGTTCATTTTCTTTTTATTTTAGATTAAATAACGAAGAATATTAATTCCATTAAAGAATGCGAAAAGAAACCAAGCAACGAGTATCTAGTAGTATCTATCTGTCTTTCTTCCATCCACATTCGCATAGAATCTCTCCTGGCTGGACCGCACTTCCATTTTTCCAAACTTTTCTTTCACAAGTATCATCAAATTGTATCTGCACTTCAGTTAAGTTACAGTTTATTTGAAAAATTCCGAATGCTCCATAGATACTGTCAAGTTTTAACGATAAACCAGTTATTTCGGCAAAAATATGTGAGGTGAACGTTAAATCTGTTTAATATTTTCAGGTTTCCTTGCAATATTCGAGGCTAATTCAATTTTGTAAATGTAATAATGCGATTATACGTGTCCCGTAAAAAGGCACCACACAAACTCCCCAGTAGGTTTCTGCTATTGGGAGATTACAGTGCCATTTTAAGTGCGTTTTGTATTGCTGTCGCCATGGGCACCCAAAGCGACGAGGTAGTCGAATATATGCGAGTGATTTTACCAGATGGTAAACTAAACGCGTACGTTTCAGGAGGACGTCGAAAATAAAATAACAAGGAAAAATATCATCATGCCGAATTTACCGAAAACGCTTTCCTTAGAAGAGAAAAAATATCTATTGGCAATCGAGAGAGGTGATTTGGGCAATGTCAGACGGTAAGGGCCCACCTCAACAGTAGTTGTTTTATTGTAAAATAACATTAAAAGTAAAAAGGCGGATAAAATACGAAATTACCCTGTGGCGTGCGACAAAATAGTTCTACAAAAAGCGTATAATATAAAAAATAAAAAATAAATCAAACTTTGGCCCTATTTTAACTAGAGCGGAAGCGTTTTCGAAGTATAGTAAAACAAGTAAAACTAGTATCTGTATTGATAATATATTTCAAAAATAAAAATAAAAACTTTAATACAGCCCAATTTAAAACAGAAACAAATTGGCAAGTACGGTATACTAAGTTCAATGAATATATTCCTCTAACATCCCTTCTGGAAACTTAAAAAAAACCTAAATAGATTAAACATCATAAATACGGTGTTGGGAAAACTTTGATTTTTATTTTAAAAAATCAAAAATTTTGTTTATTTGAATTGATTTCCCGTTTTTTTTTGTATTTTTAAGACACTATAAACAATATAGTACCACATACATACAACGAGCTTTTCGCGTGAATATTTCTGTTTTTTTCTCGATCTATAAATTGTCCCTGTCGAATACGTCTCGCGAAAAAAACTAAAATCAGCCTAATTATAGTAGTTTCGTAAAGGATTGACAAACAAAACAATTTGTGCTACTAGTTCGAGCATGCATTGACACTCATAGAAAAGACGCCAGTATCAGATGCTGTAGAACAACGGAAAAATTTCAATATATCTTCGAGAATGTTGTAGAATTGCCTTTGTCAAAAATACAAAACATTCAAAACCGTAAATGGAATACACTGGTGGAGATCGCAAAAGCTACCAATAATAAAACAGTTCCTGTGTGCAACTGCTTCCTCAGCGTCAGTATATCAAGGAACGGCTGTAAATTTGATCCGCCAGTCTTTTATTTTAAAATAAATGCATAGTTTTGAACATTTGGTTGGTTGCTGAGTGTAAAAGAAATATTTTTTTCCATAATTTCAAACCGAAAGGCTACTTTACTTTCTTCATTGCATTCCCGGAGCTCTTGATGTCCAAGAATCCTCGTACTTATCGTTTTGTTTTCCTCCACATGCAATCTCTATTGTCCTTTTCTTCTGCTCTGTTATCAACATTCTCAGTTGAACATTGGCAGCTATTTATTATGGTGCCTTTGGACTCGAGTTGTTCTAATAAGGTTCTGTTCCCTGCATAATACCACTTAATTATGGTTACTTTTTCTTCAATTAAATCTAGATAATAGTAGATTTTTGACAGTATACGACTTGATGAACTCATTAGGGATCGAACTGAATGTCTTAAGAATTATAATTATATCAGGTATTTAGATCTATACCATATTAGGCTACTTACCTCACTTGAACACATAGTAATGGAAGCAGTGTTAATGCCTGGAAAAATATTAGATTTCTGTTGCAGTTTATTGCAGAAGGTTCAACGCAAAAAAACCTTCGATATAAACTGCATGGATAGCTTGGGCAGAGGCGCCTTATCCATAGCGATAGACCAAGAAAACTTGGAAATGGTAGAGCTTCTGGTTGTGATGGGCGTGGAGACCAGGGACGCCCTATTACACGCGATAAATGTCGAATTCGTCGAAGCGGTGGAACTGCTGCTGGAACATGAAGAGCTCATACACCAAGAGGCGGAGCCATATGTAACACAATACCTTTCTGGTGCATTGTGCATTGTGTATCTCGTGTGTGATTGTTTCAGAGTTGGCAAAAAGTCGACATTAACACAGCCATGTTTACGCCGGATATCACTCCGCTTATCCTGGCTGCACATAGGAATAACTACGAGATATTGAAAATTTTATTGGACAGGGGAGCTTCGATTCCCATGCCTCACGACGTCAAGTAAGAAAACTCTGCTATTAAATCGGGCAAAAGAAATTGCTGGAAATTATTTTTGAGGTTCTGCGATGCCATCACGTAATTGCTATCTTGGAAACCCGTTTTGTGCAAAAGTTTATCATTTTTTCAATCAGTGATGCACTGTTTCAAAGCTATTACAAATATCTATCTCTATAGAAAAGTGGTGAAGGGTTGGTTTTTGAGTGATGTTTTGAAGGGAAGGATTTCTAATGTGGAAATTATTAGAGGGTAAAGCAGATGTGTTTTAATTCTGTTTTCAGTGGTTCTGATTAAGATAATTTTTCGCCCTATAAACAGAATAACCCAATGTTAGGTCTGATTTACTATTGATAAGAATATCTAATAATAGGAGGTTATCATTAGCTTCTAATTCAATGGTAAAACGTATCTTAGGGTGTATAGAGTTAATACAAAATTATATAGAAAAACGTTCGAACTCTACTGACACTGTTGTTAAAAAATTGCCGACGAAAAGCAAAAGTGAAAAGAACCAATATTTCATGGTCGGAGTTGAACCAACATTAAAGCAACAGGTGCATCAAGAAAGTTTATGGCCAAAACAAATTTTATTTAATGAATTCTACTTTAGATTAGAACAATACTTTCTAGAAAATCTACCCGAATCTGCAAATAATAACAAAAACACAATTATTAGACCTAACTCTTTTTATAACAGGACCCAATAGACAACTTAAAAAGAAGATCAATGTAAACTACTTGGAAGAAGGTACAAAAAAATTAAAACAGTTAGATGTAAACGTAAGATCCCTACGCAATAGAGGATTACAGTTTGAAGCATTTATATCTAACAAGAATTTTGATATTTTATACATCATATATCTTCATTCGGTATTAATGGGTATGTTGCTGCAGGTAATAGTGCAAGACAGGCAGTTACAGGTGGAGGTACAGTTATTTATGTTAAGAGAACTTTGAAGTTAACTACAATATTGAAAAATATTTTTGCATTTTGCTGTATGTATTTAAAGGGTTTCAATATGTTCATTTTGACTCCTGTATTGAAGCAATAGACAAAGTTTTGAATTCTCTTGACGCCAGAAAGAACCTTAAAATAGCAGTAGACTTTAATGTGAAACGAAACCAACACTAACTTTGGTCTAAAACAGACGGTGTATGCCGCGACCAGAGGAGATGCGTATTTAGATAACATTTTCGTAAGAGATGAGTTAAAATTTCAGCACAGGGATGTCGAACTTCGGACAGTTGTATCACTACCCGTTATCAAGTGTAAACTAAACTTAATTCTAAGGTTTATATACTAGGCGACGGCGCTCATCCATGACGGAGTCGGGTGTAGTCAAGCATTGGTGCGCCTTATTAGAGGTTGCCAAATTGTTGGCATATCCACGCTTAGATTGCTGAAGATGTTTTCATTGTTTCTAATGGAAACTGCTTCTTTAAATTTGCGCTTTCTCCAATGCTGCTCTCTGTGAAAAACCCACGCTCTGGACCATTGTTGTGTTGTTTGGTCCACACGTGTTCTCCGATACCTGATTTTTGCGTTTCACCCTTCATTGCATGTTTCTTATGTTCTTCAACTCTTATTTTTAGAGATCGTTTGGTTTCGCCAATATGTGATTCTCCGCATTATATCACGACGTCCAGATTTTCTTTCTTCAAAGTTCCAAGTGTTGGTAAATCCTGTCGAAGATCTTTTTTTCTGGGCGCCCACTTAATGGAAATTTTCTAGTATGGTCTCTAAGAGCCATGGTCCGGTTTTTATCGTTTGATATGTAACTTTCTAACATATCAATCTTTTCCTCCGTGGTAAACATAATACGCAAGCAGCCTTCTAGCACTTGTTTTGTTTAAACGCCGTCATAGCCACCTTACACTAACTGAACTTATATATCTGATTATATCTGACGACAAATATTTAAAAGGAAAATAAAATAAAATAAAATTGTCTTAATTTTTGACACGAGGACTCCAAAAATAGTAAAAGTCATTGGTTCCAATTTACTAATATTAACAATTTATTTGGAAACAAGTCCACAAAACAACCCTAAATTATTTTATAACATGCTCAAATTGAATATTATGTAACACGTCTTCGGTTATGTGTCGACATTTTTAGTTCTCAGATATCCCCATCAGAAGAAGTCCAGAGGGGTTAAATCGGTTGAATATTGAGCCTCGCTTACGTATCCACCTAAAACGCTATTAATTTGACCATATAAGTTAAATTTTTGGAGCTTTTGACTATGAAACTTCCTTATTACGTGTGAATCATTTTCCGAAGTGAACATTTGTCGGAAAAGCACATATTGCACAATTCACAAAATTGCAGGTACTTGACTAATTTAATTTTGTAGGGATGGAATTTGTGTAAAATTTTGAAATAACTGCTACATCCAGTAAGCTAGAAAATTGTGAGACTGACTATATATATATATATATATATATATATATATATATATATATATATATATATATATATATATATATATATATATATATATATATATATATATATATATATATATATATATATATATATATATATATATATATATATATATATATATATATATATATATATATATATATATATATATATATATATATATATATATATATATATATATATATATATATATATATATATATATATATATATATATATATATATATATATATATATATATATATATATATATATATATATATATATATATATATATATATATATATATATATACAGGGTTTTTCACTTAAAACTCCGCACGCCAATAAGTCCAAAACGAAAAGAAATATTTAATTTCTGTAAAAAGTAGTCAAAGTGTGGGGTCAAGTAGATATTTCCTAAAGTTTAAAAAATTCGACGCCTGCAAAGAGCTGGGCGTCGCGACGCGTCGAAAAATTATTCGATTGCAGAGACTTTGGAAATACGCGCATACAAAAGTACATATTATTTAAAAACTTTTTTGTTATTCACTCAAACTTATTTACTTTACCCGTTTCTAAGTTATACCGATTTAAAGTAAACATTTCTTGATTAATAAAAAAATGTGATTAACGCTTATTTTTACAAGTATGGCATGAATGTTAGTTACTATGGCAACCATTGTTATCGCAGTTGTTTTAAGTGCAATTACAAACAATAGATTTCAACTATTTTAGTATGATTTTATTTATTATTTTTTATCGATTTAGTTCTGATAACATGATAAATAAATGAAAAAACAGTAAAATACCTACAAGTTAATAACCAAAATTATTATTGCAATTAACTACATAATAAGACATTTCAAAAATTTTGTTCAAAATTATGTCCATCTGCTCAAACACAACTATCAAAAACTTTTAACAGATGAGCTTGGGTCACTTGTAGGAGAGTCCTTCTTGTGATAGCGGCACACGCTGCACTAATTTTGTTAATGAGATCAGCCATATCTTCGATAGGTTCTTCATAGATAACGTTTTTTAGGTAGCCCCAAAGAAAATAATCTGGTGGTGTAATGTCAGGGGACCTCGTCGGCCACCTTACCGGTCCATTATTACCAAACCATCTATTGGGATATTCTCGGTTCAAATACCTCGTTACTATTTGGGCATTATGTGCAGGCGCACCATCCTGCTGTAGCCACATATTCATTCTAGTGTCAAGAGGCACTTCTTCTAATAGTTCCGGAAGTGTAGTTTGAAGAAATCTTAAATATCGATCTGCATTTAAAGTTCCTTCGTAAAAGTAAGGTCCAATAAGGAATCCATTTAATATGCCGCACCAAACATTGATACTAAAAATTCGTTGGTTACCTATTTCTGTAATCCAACGAGGATGGTTTTCAGACCAAAAACGACAGTTGTGTCTATTAACGATTCCATTATTTTGAAATCGACTTTCGTCGCTCCATAAAATTTTCGAGAGAAAATTTGCATCTTGGCTATACAAATCGGACAATGTCGCTAAGAAATACATTCTTCTAGCATAATCGCCTGGTTTTAGTTTATGAACTAGTTTATTTTTGTACGGGTGAAAAGAGTTTCTATGTAGAATTCTCCACAAAGAACTTATGGTAACACCGGTATTTTTTTTATCTCTGATAGGGATATCTTGGGGCCGTCCTGTTCCTATCTCTTTTAGGTTTTATGAAGCTGCCATATTCTCTTAAGTTTTTACATAAACTTGAAAAGCTTTTTGCATCGGGGACTCTTCTATGCGGATAACGCCGTGCGTAAACTCTTTTTGCTTCTCTACAATTGCATCTGCATTCTCCAAACACCAGTAACATGTCTACTTTTTCCTCATTGCTAAATTGCACCATTTTCACATAATAATTCTTAGTTTTTTTTAAACCGAACTAATTTGGATATTTCTTGTGACAAAATGTAACAATTTTTTGATACAGCAATAACAACTTACGTTTGTAATTGCACTTAAAACAACTGCGATGACAATGGTTGCCATAGTAACTAACATTCATGGGTAAAAATAAGCGTTAACATTTTTTATTAATCAAGAAATATTTATTTTAAATCGGTATAACTTAGAAACGGGTAAAGTAAATAAGTTTGAGTAAATAACAAAAAAGTTTTTAAATAATATGTACTTTTGTATGCGCGTATTTTCAAAGTCTCTGCAATCGAATAATTTTTCGACGCGTCGCGACGCCCAGCTCTTTGCAGGCGTCGAATTTTTTAAACTTTAGGAAATATCTACTTGACCCCACACTTTAACTACTTTTTACATAAATTAAATATTTCTTTTCGTTTTGGACTTATTGGCGTGCGGAGTTTTAAGTGAAAAACCCTGTATATATATATATATATATATATATATATATATATATATATATATATATATATATATATATATATATATATATATATATATATATATATATATATATATATATATATATATAGAGGAACTTAGGTTCTCGTTAATCTTTTAACTAAATACTTCATTTTTTTAAAAAGTGGAAAGCAGTTTCAATAGAAAAGGAATATCAGAGATATATGCTGAGAAGAACAGAAGTTTCCAAGAAAGAGCCTTAGCTTCTTCAGAGCTTGACTGAGACTAAACAGTTTTAGTCAAGCTCTGAAGAAGCCAACAGGATGATTGGCGAAACGTCAGCAAGTTCGACTCAGCAAAAACAGACGCAGGAGGAATACAGAAGTTTTGTAAAAAATAATGAAACACCCAGTATATACAACATTAAAATAAATTGATGGTTTGTAACACCGCCATTAACTTTTGTATTTAACTGGCTCCATCCCCTACAGTTTCTGAGATATGGCAGTGTCCCAAGAGAAATATACCTTCTGCTTTATATGATTTTTGAAGCGTTTTTTATTTTTTCGTAAAAGTGACGCCTTCTGGATAGTTGTCACTGAAATGCTCTGTATTTGTACCGTTAGGTGTGGTTGTGACGAATGTATTAGAGAATCCGAAAAGGACTCCTTGCGTCATTCGCTATCTAGACTGAACGAATATCGAGCACTGGCTAGTCCATCACTAATCGCACTATCGTCTAGCGATCCGCTGCTGACGGCTTTTCAGCTTTCATGGGAACTGCGTAACTTGGCCGGCCTTCGCCGAACCGGTAAGCGTAAACCATTCGAAGGGGATCGTATAAGTCCGCTTCCGTTTCTAAAGGAATGCAAATCGGAGTACATGGATCTCAGGCGCCAGTGTCAGCAATTTGCAGTCGATTTGCTGCACCAATCGAGGAGCTCACAAGAGTTGGCGATTATTTTGAACCACGACCCAGATAATTCAGCTATTGAGGAGGGCGAACACATGAAATTTGCCAGACTTGAGCTGGCCATTATGTACAAACAGAAGAAGGTGGGTAGTAGGGTGCTTCAAATTTTTTTTTTTTTAGCTCTTATCCTCTCGAATGTTTCTTTTTTATATAAAAAATGCTTAACTCTAAGGAGGGAAAAAATCTTTTTTCACTAAAATTAAATTTACGTATAATGTTCGCGATTTTTTACAAAAAAAAAACAATTTATATTGTTAAAGTGGAGTCTATAAGCTTTCCATAACCGTATAAGAAAGTATGATTATCATCAAAAGAAGATTAATTGCAGACATTTAGAAATTACTAAACTATGAACTTTTCAGAAAAAGCTTCTAATAATTTTTTATCTTCATAATTTCTCAAAATTTTTATCCTAACTGACCCTGAATACAAAAATGAATTTAAAAAAATTGACAATTTCAATTCTGCATAAGAGAAGGAATTTAAAATATGTCGTTTTTTCAATACTTTTCAATTCATTTTTTAAATCAGGGAATAGTCAGTATTATTATTCTTATGGATTACAAATTTATAAAATGGTCGTCAGTACGTAGTGTGGGTTGCAGAACTCATGATAACTGAAAAATGAATGATAAAATGAATGATATGTATTATTACATGTAATCATCGATTACAATTTTTTGACGTTTTCCATTCTTTATTTCAATATTTAGACTGAGGTATGACAAATTCTCAAGGCGATTTTTAAATATATGCTCCTTAATTTTTTGTTCCTAAGTTTTTTTTTTTTTAATTTTTTTTCAATAAACTTTCGATAAACTTTCATGATTTTAGAAATAGCGTTATATGGTTGACAGACGGGAATGCCAGTAGGTTCCAAACTTTCATAACATCACGAATCGCTTCATCAAAACACTGTCGAATTGTGAGGTTAGAATCTGTATGCTTGTAGAAAAATAATTGTAAAACTTTTCTTATACTCGGTAATTTTCGTTTACTTAATTTTCTACATGAAAAAGCAACCAAATAAATTCTCTTTTCAATCATTTTCCTGATAATAAATGAAATTACTGAGAGCTTTAAAGAATGACAATACGCAATAATTTCATAATATATGTATGTATTGCAGACACTGATAATTTGACAACTGTACCGTACTGTACTGACAACCATTTTCAAATTTCAAATCCATAGAAATAAAACACTGACTATTTATTAGGATAAAAATTTTGAGATATTATGTAGATAAAAAACTATTAGAAGTTATTTCTGAAAAGTTCAAAATTTGGTAATTTTCAAATAACTGTAATTAATCTTCTTTTAATGATGCTCATACTTTTTTATTTTTTTATAAGCCTAAAGACTCAACTTTAACAATATGAATTGTTATTTTGTAAAAAATTGGGAACATTATACGTAAATTTAATTTTAGTGAAAAAATATTTTTTCCCATGTTATTTAAATGGAAAACTAAAATAATAATGGCGACCTCTTAGGGTTGAGCTGCAGGGCTCATCTCTGGTGAGGATTTTTTTTATATCAAAAAGGAACATTTGAGAGGGTAAGAGCTAAAAAAAAAATATAAAAAAAATGGTTTAAGCACCCTAGTGGCTAGTCTAGTGTCTGTTTTTTTTGCTCAAAAATAATATTTTTTAAAAGTCACTCTAGTCAGACCAGTTTTGGAGTTTAATTTGAGGGTTTAGAAAGTAGTACTGGCCGAATTAATAAAGCTATTAAGTGATTTTTATGGGTGAACAGGAAACGGTTGTTTCAGAAGCAACTATAATTACGAATATTATAAATTATTTAAAAGAGGTTTTAATTATATGACATGAACACAGAACACTCAAAGAATGCAATAAAAAGGAACAACAACGGATAATACACGACATACAGAAAACAATAACACGAAGGTAATAAACTTTTCTTTGCATACATCAAAATCCAAGGGGCGCCAGTCGGGAAACCTTGGATTCCGACGGATAGGTAGACGAAACATATTGTTTCGTAGATCAAGGGACAAATCTTCGAATAGCAAGAATAAACGATTATACGAAAATTAAACACCATTTCCTGATTCGAGTCTTATATAAATCATATTACTCGACAGGCTAGACATGTTTGGATCATTTCTTGATCTGCAGGTCGAAAATCTTCATTTTACCTCTTATGTAAGAAACTATGACATAACAGATCATGTCATGTTAAATATATCAAATCCATAGCAACAAAATAGCAAACCCAATGTGAGATTAAACAAAGACAGAACAAATTACAACGCACTGAAACTCAAATTAGAATCTGCAAACTGACAAAAAGGCCATTTTATAGAAACTTTTCAGTACTATTTAAATCAATGTAGAACAGAAGTTAAAATAAAAGATCGTAATAAATTGAAGCCTTGGATTGCTAATGCCTTGATTAACTCTATTAAAACTCGAGACAAACTCTAAAACAACTTCAGAAAAATTACAGCTTTGCTAAAGTTAATCAATATAAGAGCTACAGAAATAAACTTAAAGCCCTTTTGTCTAATGTTAAGAATAACAATTATAAGCATAAAATCGAAGAAAACAAGAATAATCTCTACTTATAATAAACTTTTCAAGTTTATTATAAGTAATAGTGGTTAAATTTGAAGTTAATCGGCAGAACTAATAAATAAATAATAAAAATATCATGAGTTTTTGAACAGTTTGTGGCCCATCCCAACATCCAACAACTGCTGGCTGCGTTTTGGTACGAAGGCGTCCCAGGCTTCAGAAGAAAATCAAGCATGAACAAAATCTTGATTATAGTGAGGGTGGCGCTCCTGTTTCCCTTCTACTGCATGTTGTACATGCTGGCCCCCGAAACCAAAACCGGGAAACTGATGCGGAAGCCGTTCATGAAATTTTTGATTCACGCTTCGTCGTACCTCTTCTTTTTGTGTAAGTATATTTTAAGCGAAGGGTAAGCCACGATGGACCTAACAGTGGAAACGTGAAATTAAAACCTAGGTTTTCGTCATTATCTCAAGTCGTTATTAAATTATTTTAAGGGATACAGGGTCGCACAGTTTGGTTTTGAATTCCGTTTAAAAGTCTTCAACTTATTCGTGAATAATACATACCTAAAGCGAATATTTTTTCAATGTTTTAATTTTTCCAGCAGTATTATTTTTAAAGACAGATAAATAATAGATCACTCACATTTGATAATGGCGTTATTCGAAGATGACGTAAAAGATATATGCAAGGCAATTTGAATTAGATGCTACAGGGTGTTGATAATAGACGAATATATTTGGACCTACGACATTTATTAACCCATTTTGTCCCAGTGGTGTGTGAATGCACCACCTATTCAACATTTTATTCTATTTTTGCACATCCGTTTCGGAATTTTATTATTATCACTACTAAAGGACACAAAACCGTAAAAATCGCGAATTTATGTGTAAAGGAAAGATCTTATATATGACTTCAAAAGTTAACAAAAGCGGTACATAAATTTGAATTACATTTTGAAGTAAATCCAAAATAGTAAAAAAAAAAATATTTTGGATTTGTATTGCCATTTTTGTTAAGTTTATAGCATGTAGATTACATCCCAGAAAATATATATTGGAAATACTATATTGATTATGCTTTATTTTTTGAAAATATTTACTGGTGCGTGAACGCACCACTGGTTTTACCTGTGAAACAAAACTTTGTTATTGCAAGTCTAGACAAGTCAGCGCATGTAGAATAAACATCCAACAATTAGCGTGTTCTTTAGTATTAGTTTGTGCCTTATGAAGTGAACGTTACAGTTCGTAAAATATTGCATTTCTGAGGTAATTGACTTAAAAGGAATTAGAGGCGGCTATGGAGGAGATCGTGGTGGATGAGGACAATAACAATGAATGTCGTAAGTATTATTTGGATTTACGTATTCCTATGTATTGTAGCATTCCATTCCTCATAAATTTATGCTAAAAATAACGTGAAGAAATATTTACAGAACATATTGACGCGGTCTATATTCCACCCGACGTGGATACCTTGACTGACGAAGAAGATATGAAGTCTTCGAAGTCTACGAAGTCTATGAAGTGATAATAAGTCTACAAGAGTTTGGGGAACCAACTGATATAGTTCGAACTTTCGGGTTACATACACTGAATGATACAGCTGTCCTTCAATAGTCCTGTAATTCATCAACTACTGAACCTGAATGGAACTCATCAGATGATGAAACCCTGGAATTCAAATGAAGACGTATGCTTTCTGCAAACGACAGGCTTGCTTCTACTATCAAATGGAGTGAAGGTCAGATTAAGTACACTCATGCACCTATATACGATGAATTTAGATCATGTGAGGAACCAAAAAATAGGCTTTCTGGAAAAACTCGGCTTGAAATATTTTTTAAGTTTTTTGATGACGAAGTGATTTATTTAATTTTAAAATTTTCGTTTTAAATATGCTCAAGACAATAACCGCCATGAATTCTCGTTGTCAAAAAATGAACTTTTAAATTTGGAGGCATTTTATTGTTCTCGGGTTATCTTTAGTATGAGCCGCAATAGATTCCAATTGATAAAGCAAAACTTGCACTTATCTGACAATAATCTGTTCGATAAAAATGATAAATTTTCAAAAGTTAGACCCTTCTTTGATCCTGTCCAAAATGTAAAACGCTATAATAGAAAAGAACGGAAATATGTTAATATACCCCAACCTTAGATAATTGCCAATACAATAGTTGTATGGGTGGGGTAGCTTTACATCACAAGGGAATTGCTAATTACAGGTGCCAGGTATTTGGAATAAAATGATGAAGGCCTTTATTTGTAACTCATTGGATAGTTTAGTAGTGAATGCATTGAAATTGTATAAAATTGTCAACGAACAAAAGATTTCCCAGGTAGATTTTAATTCTTACATTGCTTTGCGACTTTTAAAAACTGATAAAACAATTACTCAAAGAAATCTTGCACCTGCCATAGATGAAGTGCGTTATGATAATTAAGGTCACCTCGTGATTGTTGATGCTAATAAAGCCCGAAGTAGATGTAGAATCTGCCACAGCCACACAATTTACGTTTGTAATAAGAGTAATGTGCATTTACATACTTCATGCTTTGTAAAATATCACCAAAAATGAAACCGGGTGTTACCAGTGGTGCGCTTACGCACCATAAAATATTATGCGTTTTTTTGTATTAAATCAGGTTCTATTTTTAAAACAATCTACTTTTAATTGTTTTCTGTCGAATTTGAACTTTGTTTTGTATATTTATATATAAAATATATGTTACATCTTATGTCTTTTCCCAGTGGTTGGTTTACGCACCAGTATTTTTTTATATGCTTCGATTTTTTTTTGACTCATGTAATGTATTCTTAAGTGAAACAAAAAAAAATAATTTCAGAGCGAAAAAGTGTTTTTTTATGCTTGGATAATATGGGTTAAGTATGTAAGAAACCTTATTTTTAATAATTTACGATTTATTATTACTACTTTACTCCTCTCTGTTTAAGCTTATGGTTTTATTATAGGTGCAAATGAGCAAATAAATTCATAAAATTTATTGTGGTGCCGGTAAAGTGAAAAAAAGATTAGGTATGGATTATTTTGTAGCTGAATTAATGAATGGGAAAAAATACTTCATTGACTTTAAAAGGCGAAGCACCCCAAGTGTAAAAACTAGTAATTTTTGGAAAAATTAAATTACTGAAAAAAGTTGAAGAATTTTAAATGCAACATTACAACGCAAATCGATAAAAATGTAGTATAAATTTTTTGCTCAGAAATGATCACTCTAAAATAATCTTCAAAAAAAGTAAAGTAACGTAAAGTAACAAAGAAGTTATTGCATGAAATAACCATGTAACCATCGTCACCGTCTTGAAAAAGTGTTTTATGTCGATATTTCATACAGAAATAACAATTATTTCTTTTTGAACCTATATTGATTTTAAATTTGACGATCTAATTAACGGTTTTAAATAATTAAATCGGAACAAAGAATTTTAAAGGAATCTCGTTAAATTATACGTAAGAAAGGAATTACGGTATACATTCTTGGCTCTGCTGTTTATCCCTCCATTCCATGTCAAGGATTCGTGGTCTGATTATGTTCTTCCAGTGCTCCTCATCCTGGTTTCTTTACGGGCAGAAGATCTATTTTTCGAATTTTTTGGCTCGGAATCGATGAAAGCGTTCGTGATCGAGAAGAAAGCGAAACAAAGAGGAAATTATCCCACAATTCTCGAATACGCTGTTCTGATATACGTTGTGAGTAAGTAAAATGTTTCGTTTTTTTGGTTAAGCAACATAAAAAAATGCTAACTAAAAATAATAAGTTCTTTGTCTTTATTGTACGTTTAACTATTTTTCAGTTTTTATTTTTTTCCTCAAAAACGAAGGAACATTTTTTTTTATTTGGTTTTTTAATCTAGCTCCTTCCACGTCTTTTCCTTACGCCCTGCTCTCATGACAGATTAGATAAAAATAAAATATTTGTTATTAATAAATGATTTTGAAATGACCTAAGCATTTTACTTCTTGTGTAGAAACATAATATCGTACATACTGTTACATTAACAATCATTTCTTTCTAGTACTAGTTAAACATAAAAATATTTAGTTATAAACAAAATATCATAATAAAATTGCATTAAATCTAAAATTAAAACTATGTAGTCAATCACAAACCAAAACCATTAGTTTCTGAGAAAAAGTAGTTCTAATATGATCAAACTCTTCAGTCCTGTAATTCTGCGCGCCATACCATCTTGAGTGAAGAAAACAGCCCTTCATCATTGTAATTTATCTATCTCGTTGTCAGGTTGAATATAAAAGTTATAGATAAGACTACAAATATAATGAGTTAATGTAATTTAAACATAATCGTATAAAATTCACTATCGAGATTGAAGAGGATAACTCTACTCTATTAATTTTTTGGACTTAACTATTACAAAAACGCAAAAAAAACTGGATTTTACCATTTATCATAAACTTTCACACACCGACACAGTAATACATAACAACTCAAATCACCCTTATACACACAACATGGCATGGCAAATGGCATTTCACTCTTTTATACACAGACTTCTTACTACGCCCCTCTCAACAGAAAATTACAACAAAGAACTTAATATCATTAAACAAATTGCACTAAACAACGGCTACAATCCGTCCATTATCTATAAAATTATAAATAAAAAACAAATCCAGGCAACAGTAAACTCTATTTATCCGAAACCTAATACAGAACACCAACAATTTAAAACATTTGAATACATAGGAAAATTCAGTGAAAAAGTTTTAAAAAATAGCTTTCAGAAATTTAAAACATTTGAATACATAGGAAAATTCAGTGAAAAAGTTTTAAAAAATAGCTTTCAGAACTAACAACAACACAATAGGAAAATTTTTAAAAAACAATAAAACGAATTGTCCAAAACCTCAAAAATCAGGTTGAAATGCGGATTTCGTACCTAAAAGTTATATTGGACAAACAGGTAGATCCTTTAAGACACGCATTAACGAACATAAAAGAGCATTTAGAAACAATAGTCTAGATTCGAATTATGCTACACACTTAAACACGAAAAAACACAGCCACAAAAAGTAGAAAATTAAATTTATTGGAAGCCATGGAGATTAACAAAAAAAAAAATTAGATTTAAGTACCTCTCCCTTATTGAACTTCAATTCTCATAACATATAACAAATATAAAGTAGCAGGTAGTTTGTAAATATTACATTTGATAAAGACACGGTGTTGTCAAAACAATTGTCATGTGAAAATATAATTTCGTGAAAATCTGAACTTTTATTTCTTATTTATTAAGATTAATGATTGCTGGAAACAGGATTTCAGAAAACATTTGTATGAACTTTTGTGATTATTTCCAAAAGTACCATCAACTTTCAAAGTCCTGTTACAACAAATCGAAACACCCTGTATGCGTAAATCGTGGGCTCTGGCGAATTAGCTACGAGGTGTTTCGGCAAATTCCAGAATATTGGTAGTTTGTTAGTCGGAAAGCAATATTGCTATCGAGACAGAAACTAATAGTAAATGATGTAAACGCGTTTAGGTTTTATCGTAGAAGAAACGCAAGAGATATTCACCGAAGGGATAAAGTCGTACCTGCGCAATCTATGGAACTTCATAGATTTTACGAGGAATTTGTTTTACACGATGACGTTTGGGTTGCGTGTCATCGCCTATATACAACAGGCCAATGAAATCCGTCACGATCCAAATACTGCTTACTTCAGGAGAGAACAGTGGAACGCGTTCGATCCCCAACTGATCGCAGAAGGATTGTTTGCTGCCGCTAATATACTCAGGTAGAGTTGAATTTTTATCATTACACCGGGTAATATTTGTTTTATTATTTAATGGTTTATTTACACACTTAATTTTTAAAGTCAAAGTGGAAACAAGGTTGCTTTCGAAAAATCGTCGCTGGGAGGGGCAAGTTAGTATAAAAGGAAAGAACTTCGCGGTTTCCTGTGGTAAAGGGACGAATGTTTTTCTATCGTGCTCCTGCGGAACACTATGAAACTTTCTTAAAATCGATTTAATTTAATTGTGCGCGCACCCTGTATAAAGTGTCCTTCACATCTCGTCGAACTTCAAAGTTACAGCAAACATCGTTAAATATTAAAATTTGCACAAATAATGATATTTTTTCAAATATCTCGCGCCCTGTATAATTGACGAAACCTGAAACTCTCTCTCGACACAGTTTACGATACTGTTCAAATAAAATTATTCCATCTTTAAAGGTTTTTCATTTATCGCCAATAGTTTACCTAGAAACGACACACCCTGGACATGATTCAAACAATGTTCGAAGTAGGGGTTATAGCCCTGGATCTTCGACATTTCCTGGTCCAAGAAGTTTTTGAAAATAGTGGATGGTTTTCGAGAAAATAAGTTTTTTCTGAAACCATGCAGTGCGACGTAATAATTTTTCAAATATCCCGAGCAGCGCATGTGATAGACGAAAACCGCAAATACAAAAACTATAGCTCTTGATGCGGCCTATGACACTGTTTGAACCTATTAGCCATATTTTTCACGATTTTTGATTTGCGCCTAATAATTTAATATGTAAAAGAACAATTTTCTAGGTCTTTCAAATTTTTGCCTATAATTTGAAAACTCTGTATATGCTGGCTAAAAAATTAAAAAATTTAAAAAATATTTTTCTGGAAGCTAAAGTTACCAAAAAGAAAATTACAATTTTCGATTTGATTGCACCCAATTTCTACCGTTCAAAAGTGGACACGGACTTTTACTTCTCTGCTAAATTTGAACATGATATCTGCAATTTTAGGACACTTAACACATTTCTCATTTAGCACGGAATATCGGGAATATAAAAGTTTTTGCTGTCTATGCTGGCTATATCGCAACTTGAAAGAAAGTGAGATCTGATTTGCAGTCTTTCAGTTATAACCATTTTTCAATAATAGGGGACCCATTTTTTCAGTTTTTTTTTGATTTTGCGGCGCACCCTGTCTATTGTTGAAAAATTTGTCAAGAAAAAAGTTTATGGAGCCGTATCTTCTGCGTCTTCTGGTTCAAGAATTTTTTTGGTCATGTAAACGGTTTTTGAAAAATGATGGCGTCAAATTCACAGAGAAGAAAGGGCTAATAAAGAAGATGGCTGTTGCATCAAAGATATACAGAAATTGCAGAGTATGTGCAAAACATTTAGGCAAATAATGATTTCCTTGTAATCGGAAGTTAAAAAAAAAGGTGTAATACCTTCTAAAAATTTACCAAATACTACCCAAATACCTGTAAATTTTTCTCTCTTGTGTACCTAGGCAAGAAAATTATAAAACAATCATGCAACTCCAAAAAACTATTTTTTAAAGTTGATGAAATAGAGGAAGAGGCGGAATATTTTTTAAAATACAAGGAGTGTTCACAAAATCGGAGAGCAATAATAATAATTAATACATTTGTAACCAAAATTCGATATGCTTTTGTAATTATCAAATACATTTTTTAAATGGTTTTTACAAACCAGGTATTTCAAAATATGCTTTAGAAAGACTTGTGCTAGGTGTAATATTAATACCATGTATTTTCTCAGATCAGGCACATAATAACTGTTCTCAAATAAACAGAATATCAAGAACAAATGTGCTACAAAAATGCACCAGGCTAGCATCAAGCGACACTGTAAGTAACAGTACATCGAAAAACATTTCAAACTTCTATCATCTGTTTTCATGTGTATCCTAAATTCGCTATGCACTGTATATATATCTTAAGAACCATTCAAAATACACCTTTCTAACTTTTCTATTATTGACTTTGCTTTGAATAGTTTCTGAGTGCGAGCCTTCTCCTAACTATGTTTGAAGTTTCCGCAATTTATCTTATAGTCTGTCAGTTCAAAACAAGAAGTAATAAAATGATATAACTATTTATTACATAAATTACTTCTCCAATGTTACAGAACAATTTTTCGTGAGTAAGTTTACCAAAATAATATTCAAGAAAAAATAGAACATTTTCTAATTGCATGCCTTTGCATAAAAAATGTCTTCAAATCTTTTATAGTAACATACCAATCATTAAAAAAAATATAGAAAATATACCTAATTTTATGACCAAAAATTTCCATAAAAATACTATTGGTGTGACATAAAGATGTGACGTGGGTATTATTGTTATTCTCAAATAATAGTTACTGTATTTGATTAGTAGTTTTTTGCATATTATATTGTTAATGTTAATACCAATAAATCGAAAATTTTTAATTTTTGTTTTGTTAATGATATAATTATTAAAAAAAAAGAACTAAAAGTTCAGATTTTCACGATATTTCGTGAAAATCTCAATTTTTAGTTCTTATTTATTTTGATAAATGGATTTTCATCAAGTAAAAGATACCTCACTTCAATATAATTATTTCCTTTTTTCGTATACTTATCACTTTTTTTACTTTCTTTTTGTCCAAATATGCTGTACGTTCAAAGTCATCTCTTTCTTGGCATTCATCGCATGTGTGGTTTTCGTATTTTTTAATTTTCAAAGTGGTATTTGGTATTTCACCCATTGTACTACATTTGGGTTAGTATCTGGGTCCATTGTCCGATCATCTAGATTATCTACGTTCGTTTCTCGAACCAAACTTTACAGCTTCGATATTAGATTCTTGGTGCAGCTGATTGCCTCTGGTTTAGTTACTCTCTCGATATACCTACACACTGGCTAGGTACTTTTGTCCCTATTTCCTCCTCTTCTTGGCTGAATTTCCATTCAGTGTTTTCTTTCACTTCATTAGGCTTTGATGTTTCTTAAGCACGACCTCGTTTAATGCCTTTTGACAATCCAGAACTATAGTTTGAAGTTATTTTGATGTATTGGGAGAAGAGTATGTAATGGATGCAATGGATAATGTCTATGTTAACATGTGTCATACCAACAATTTATTTTTGCAGTGCATTGAAATTGGTACATCTGTTCTCCATAAATCCACACCTCGGACCACTGCAAATATCACTCGGACGGATGGTAATAGACATCGTCAAGTTCTTCTTTATATATTCGTTGGTACTCTTTGCCTTCGCATGTGGTAAGTAGCTGAACCATTTTGCTATCTCCATGTTAAACATCACATAGAAAATACTCATTTTATTCAAGAAGAATTTTTCTATTTGCTCTTGTCTGTTGGATTTTACTGATTTTTTATGTGTTTCTACATTAAAGATGTCAAAAGGCACCACAATCTTTGATAAATATCTTTACGTAAAACTCATTGGCGTGCACAACAAATTTTATGAGGTCTTTAAATTATAAACCCGTCAGAATTCGAAAGTATATTGAAAAACACTGAAATATCTATTTTAGGTCTAAATCAACTGCTGTGGTACTTTTCGGACTTGGAGAGACAAAAATGCTACCATCTTCCCTCTGGCGATCCCGATTTCGACAATGCTGGCGATTCTTGCATGAAGTGGCGACGGTTTGCAAAGTAAGTAACTTTTTTTTTATTTGATTTTGCTCCGTCGCCTATAAAACTGGCCCCATAAGCTGGAGGATTGGTAAATAAAAAGTGTTCAAGTACAAAAATGCATTTGAAGTTTTGAGCAAAGTACATTTTTGCAGTATTGATTTTTAGTGACGTCATGTATTTTTGGGTGATAGTGTTCTAATAATTGATTTTAGGTACAGTGATTAATTGTGTTAGTGCTAGTGTTGTACTAACTCTATTAAGTAATAGTTACGTTTAATTTTAATTAAGTTGTACCTCCAAAAGAACTGAAGACAGATGTACTATTGTATATGGAAGAAAAATGTTTGAAAAAAATTCTGGATATAGTGCTGAAGAAGTTAAGGCGGTCAAGGTCAAAGCTAAAATAAAAGAGAAAAACTAGTTTTTCAATTAGTTATGGATGAAATGTTTATCCATCGGCGTATACAGGACGACCAATTTATGAGGCACCACTATCTTATCCCAACAACGTGTCTTTATTATTGCAACGATGTTTTATGTTGATTGATTTTGCAAAACTTGCATTGGATATAGACGAAACTGAAACCTTTTGCAAGAACTGAGAGATGGTTTCTCTATGGTTGCCGTTAGTTTTTCGAAATTTTGAAGGTGATTTTGAGTAGCTGAAACCCTTTAGAGGGCAAGCTGATAGTTTCGTACTTAATTCGTTTCATTTCATTGATCAATTAAAAAGCGTTGCATTAGTTTCGACGTAGAATCTATACTAAAGTCCCTATTCCTGAAACTTTCAATATTATTTCCGATTTATTAAAATCCTAGAATCTGCAACCAAACATTCCCAGCTGAATGGAAAATTGCTTGTAGGTACCACATTTTTGTTATAATAGCTAAATTTTTGAACAAACATCAGGAACAGCTCTCTATAATCACCAAGCATCGCGAAAATATTTATTACCACATTAAATATATTAAGCATTCTTTCACAAAATACACTACACCACAACCTTCCTGAACACTGAACCGGGAATTTTACGCTCTTTCCAAAAATCGAAAAATTCAATATGGCGGCCATAAGGAAAAGGATGGTTAAGGCGCGTTGCGAGATAACGAAAGACAATTGACGCACGCCATACACGCTATCTTGCTCGTCCTTAAAAAATGTCTGAATTATGTCACGTCTTGACAGGTGTCAGTTTTGGATTTACTGGCGAAAAACAAATTCCGCCATTTTGCACTAAGTTTCCTGTAAGACTTTTTCCATTTAACCTCTGCTGTAGGTATAATGGGAGCGGGGATCCCTGTATACACAAGCGAATCTGGGACACATTGAATGTATATTTTCAATCTGGGACTGATTGCTGGCTTTAAGGGGTTGCGATGTCGGATTTCGCCCCTAACATTCTGTAGTGTTGTGTATGTTAACGAATAAATAATGTTTATAATAATAATAATAATAATAATAATAATAATAATAATAATAGACTTTAGACTTTAGGCTTTATTGGCCATTAAATAAATTACAAGAACAACAAATGGCAAGTCACATCTGTGAATGAAAATGAATCAACACAATACCAAACACATTCTAATAACATTCATAGAGAGCCACATAATTATCAGATAGACAAACACTAAATATGACAAGAATTAGCTAAAAAATAAATAAATAAATAAATTCCCAGTTAGTATTATAGAGACACTCGTGACGCAACACGGATGTACTCATCTGCAGTATAGAATGCGTTCTCCAATTCCCAAATTGTTTTATTATCTTACAAAATTTAGTGAATGGCAGATTTTTGACAACGGTTGGTAGAACATTGTAGTAATTAATGTACAATGTATTTAATTCGGATGTGCGCAGCCTAGAATGACCCCGGACAATTAATTCAGATCCCCTGGTGTAGTGATTGTGGCGATCACTGTGCTTAGGCATATCGTTCTTTAGTTCATGTATGCGAGTGACTGTATAGTAAATAAATGGTGATGGTAAGGTCAAAATATTAAGCTTTGAGAAGAGCGGGCGGCAGTGATCACGAGGTTTTGCATTCGCAATCACACGTATCGCTCTTTTTTGCATAAGAAAAGCCTTGCGGGCACGCACGGAACCACCCCACAAGACAATAGCGTACGCTAAGTAAGAATGGAACAATCCGAAATAAGCAAGTCTTGACATGATAGGAATGAGTGACTTGCTTAAGTATCTAATTGGAAACAATTGACTTGACAGTTTGTGGCACAGGTGTTCAATGTGATCTTTCCAAGAAAAAAAAAAAACGATCGATCCAGACTCCAAGTACTTTAACCGGAGCATTCTTTAAATTGTGCACCTTGCTACAAGAGAAAATAAGATTGTTCGTTTTATTTTCGTTTAACTGTAAGGAGTTAAACCCGAATCATCCACGCGCTCTAGTCTTATTGGCCATACTATCAATACTAAGTTCATATGGGTTCCTAGCTCCGGATAAAAGAATTGTATCATCCGCGTAGAACGTAGTTTTACATGGTATGTGGGAAGGCAAATCGTTGATGTAAACTATGAACAGCAGAGGCCCGAGCACCGATCCCTGCGGCACTCCAAACGATACCGGCAAGCTAGAACTACTGAATCTTCAATAATAATAATAATAATAATAATAATAATAATAATAATAATAATAATAATAATAATAGTAATTATTATTATTATTATTATTATTATTATTATTATTATTGTAAAGGATATAAAGCAAAGTATTAGGAATTTAATATGTTTGGAAGGCTCTGTTTTTGGATATTTTTTTAGTTTTTAATTATTTCTTTGTTAAATATTTTAATAATATGAAATAAGAGCAACAATGTTGGATCTCGCCCCCAGCACTCTGTAATGTTTTGTATGTTAACGAATAAAGACTGTTTATAATAATAATAATAATAAGATTTATTATAAAGAAAATATTATGAATTTAATATTTTTGAAAGGCTCTGTTTTTGGTTATTTTTTCGGTTTTTAATTATTTCTTTGTTAAACATTTTATTAATACGAAATTTTGTTATTCTTTTCCGTTGCCGATCAGATTTCTGTAATAACATTTTCTCTTATAACTTAAACGCGACACTAAAAGTTTATTAGCCATAATAAATTATATTATATTGAAGTGGCTCTATTTCATCTACCACCATTATTCCAGCCCTTTAGTGGGCATTGCTCCTGAATGCTAGTGTGAGGTCGATATCGTGACAATCAAAAACACCTGCATATTTTTTAATCTCTTTTGAGGTTAGCAATATCAATCGACATTTTACTCGCTTAGTATGTCGAAATAGGTAGTCATTTTTCTCTCACACATCCTCAGCAGAAGGTAACACAGACTTATCACAAAAATTTCTTCATTTGATGATGTATTGTATTTATAATGTATTTTATTACGGTGGTCAAATTGCGTATGCCGGTTATTTTTCAGCGTTTTTGAATCTTCACAGTCGCTCTTTTGGGCGAGTTTCGGGATGATCGATTTGGCCAGCTTCGAGCTTACCGGCATCAAAACTTACACGAGATTCTGGGGTCTTCTGATGTTCGGTTCATACTCCGTAATTAATGTAATCGTTCTGCTGAATCTACTCATCGCTATGATGTCCAATTCTTATGCGATGATTGAGGTGAAACCACGAATTAACACATTCACGCGGTTCTGAAGATTGATCCTCCTCAGGAACATTCAGACACCGAATGGAAGTTTGCGAGAACCAAGCTGTGGCTGAGCTATTTTGACGAGTCGGGTACCCTGCCTCCGCCTTTTAATATTTTCCCAAAGCCGAAAAACTTTCTGAAGCTCCTCGGGATTAGAAAGAAGGATCGGATGAGACGAATGTCCACGAAGGTTGGTGAAACTAATTTTGGCTGTGCACGTAGGTTAGGCACCTCACACTCGCTCTTTGATAAAGTGAATTTCTTATCACTCAAAATAAATAAGAACTAACAGTTCAGATTTTCACGAAATTATATATTATCACATGACAATTGTTTCGACAATACCGTGTCTTTCTCAAATGTAATATTTGCAAACTACCTGCTACTATATATACCGAAAAATGACAATAAAGCCTTAATTAATGTTGTTGTGAGAATTTAAGTTCAATAAAGGAGAGGTATTTAAATCTAATTGATCGTTAAGCAATACATTTGAATGTCTATGGCTTCTAATAAATTTAATTTTCTACTTTTTGTGGCTGTATGTAAAATATCAAAATTGTTGTCCAAAATGTGTTTTTCTGTGTTTAAGTGTGTATCATAATTGGAATCGAGACTATTGTTTTTAAACACTCTTTTATGTTCGTTAATGCGTTTTTTTAAGGATCTACCTGTTTGTCCAATATAAATTTTAGGACCTGTAAACACCTGATTTTTGGACAGTTCTTTTTATTGTTTTTTAAAAATTTTCCTATTGTGTTGTTAGTTCTGAAAGCTATTTCCAAACCACATTTTGACAAATGTTTTGAAACTTTTTCACTGGATTCTCCTATGTATATAGTTCTAAATCGTTCGTGTTTTGTCTGGATTTGTTTTTTATTTATAATTTTATCTATAATGGATGGATTGTAGCCGTTGTTGAGTGCAATTTGTTTAATGATATTAAGTTCTTTGTTGTCTTTTTCTGTTAAGAGTGGCGTATTAAGAAGTCTTTCGATACGTATGACTGTGTCCGTGTGTCAAGGTTTATCATAAATGGAAAAATTTCATTTGCTTTGCGTTTTCGTAATAGTTAAGTCTAAAAAATTAATAGAATTATCCTGTTCAATCTCGATAGTGAATTTTATACGATTATGTAATGAGTTAATGTAATTTAAAAAAGAATTCAATTGTTTGTCCCACAAAGCAAGCCAAGATATCATCCACATATCTCTACCACCATAGAAAACTTCTACTTCAAGGATGTTCTGGTATAATATTTTCCAAATTATCTATAAAAATCTTCCTTAAAGATGTAAATCCATTCATTAACTTCAAAATAATTTTGGTCTAAAGATACTATTAAATAATCTAATAAATCTTGTTTCACCAATGGGTTAACCTGTTTCTGAGTGAGGGTGAAATCTACTAAATCTATCACATCCGCAATACTGGGAAATAGGTTTTGTACATCAGAAGATAATAGTGTTGCGTTAGAAGGGATTTTGATATCTTTAATTTTGTTGATTAATTCAAAATAATTTTTAATTGCAAATTTTGGTTTAAAATCTGTGTGGAACTTTAAAATATTTACTAATTTTGTTGAGAGTTTAACTGCTGAAGCCGTTACATAAGACACGACTGGTCTAATGAGCATATCTTGTTAATGTAATTTAAATTCTTTTGAATTAGTCAACAAAATTGAAGGTATCAAAACCCCTTCTAACGTAACACCATTGACTTTTGATGTACAAAATTTATTTCCCAGTATTCCATTAGTTAAGGTTTTATTGTCACTTTTCGGTGTATATAGTAGCAGGTAGTTTCTAAATATTAAATTTGATAAACAATTGTCATGTAAAAATATATAATTTCATGAAAATCTGAACTTTTAGTTCTTATTTATTTTGATAAATGGATTTTCATTAAGTAAACGCCACCACAGTTCGATTTCTTATCATTGACAATGTGCTAGGTTAAACAGAATAATAAACGTAACTCGTGCTTCAAATGCCGATTACCACGTGTGTTCCATAATATGCTATTAAGAAAGACGAAGAGAGACATTTACGTTTTTGAATAGGTGAACGGTTCCTTGAAACCGTACGATTTTATAGATTTTTTTTGAAGACGAGACTACTTTTTTTGCACAAATGGACACTTATCGTCACTAAATAGTCTTTATTGAACCTACGAGAATCCTAATTTATTATTCCCTGTTATGCAGAAAGCTACCAACCAACATTTTATGAAAAAATTAGTTTAACGTGTAATCTGGTCAATAATTAATACTTCTTTGTTCTGCAAAATCTTTCAAAAGCAATGTAGACTCTGAATCTTGACAATTTCCATTCGTAATGAAAACGGTTGATACACTAGATTACACAATTTGAATTTCTCGTACAAAATCTGCGTATGACATCCAGCTTAACTGTTAAGTTAAGTTTTGAAGAAGCAAACAGGATGAGTTAGCCAATGAGGCTCGGACCCTGCGCAAAGATGGTTGCGGTGATTGATGGTGATGGTGATTATGGCTGCTTGCCTTTTGATCTTCAAAAAAAAAATTACCTTTACCACGAGGGTACTAAAAATATTATGTTCTATAGAAGGCATCTCTGTGTATATAATACTGGAATTCATACACATTCCCTCAGAAGTGAAACATCTTATTCTGTGGAGTGGGGATCAAAACATAAATAATCAAATGACTTATTTTTTATTGTTGACTCGAACTAGCTAACGTTTCGCTAATCATCCTATTGGCTTCTTCGGAGCTTGACTGAAACTGGCTCGCATTTTACTCCCTACCTGCTTTTATATTGTTTAAGAGGGCGGAGCTAAATGAGGGAAATAAACACCGTCTCGGATGACAGGTAAAGACCTGAGTCGCGGTTAAGATTGTTAGGTTGTTTATAGATTTTTACAAAACTTCTGGATTCCTCCTGCATCGGTTTTTGCTGAGTCGAAACTGGCTCGTTTCAGTTTCAGTGAAGATCAGGAGATGCCAGCAGGATGATTGACGAAACGTCAGCAAGTTCGACTTAGCAAAAACCGACGCAGGAGGCATCCAGAAGTTTTGTAAAAAGTAAAATTACATGCAAAAAAACAAAAAAAAAACAAAAGCCCTATTGGAAAGCTGGCTTTGTTTTCCGTAATTTACGTTATCAAGATAAATTGAAAGCGACGCGCAAAATGTAATAATATATAATTAAACGGTCAGAGAAGGAACCGCGAGGAGAAAGAAAGAGACTACCGATATACGGCGGTGATGCGAGCTCTAGTTTGGCGATACGTGTCGGCGATGCATCGCAAATGCGACGAGAGCGAGGTTACCGAAGACGACGTCAACGAACTGAAAAGCGACATATCATCATTCCGCTACGAGATACTAGAAGTGTTGAACAGGAACGGGATGGACATTTCCTCGGCCGAAATAAAAGAGAAAGGTGAGACTCCATAAGTACCACTTGAGGTGTGATAATTTTCCGCGATTTCAGCTGTGCTGGGCAAAAAAATGAAGGTGTGGGAGAGGAGATTGTTGAAAGACTTCAAAGTGGCTCCGGTGGCAGCCGAAGAAAACGAGGATATATTCGCTCCGCCTCCGGACAATGAGTCGTCACTAGCAAGGTCGCAGAAGTTTATTTTTGAAAAATAAATAATAATGTGCAGGGTTATGTGAAGAGTATAGGGAAAACAACGGGTTTTTTTTACAAAAAAGTATTTAAAACACCATCCTAACGCAATATAACAGAAATGTTTGTTATTCGAGGCTTAAAGCTGGTGTATAAAAATATAAACACGCTTTAGAAGTAAAAAATATGTACGGGGTGTTTTCACGGTTTATGGAAGTTGAAAATTTGGTTAGTTCCACAACCGGCGAAGCTCCGTCGACTTAAAATATTTTTAGTGGAATTTGCTAACGTTTCGCCAATCATGCCGTTGGCATCTTCAGGGCTTTATCGAAACTGCTTATACAGGATGTTTTCCAATTGTGTCCATTTTCAAAAAGAAAACTTCATCTGAATGTATGTCACAAGCGCTTTAGCTTTTGCGATATCGAATTAATTTTGATGGCCGGTTTCGTGATTATGTTCGACAACAGGTGATGAGTTTATTTGCTGTCTTAAGGCCCTTTCATGTTCTTTGAGCCTAGTTGATATTTTTCGTCCGGTCTCTCCAATGAATTCTTTGCCGCATATGCATGGAATGCTGTAAACTCCTGTTATCTCAAAATGTGCTTGCGAAGATGTTGAGAGGATTTTGAACAAGTGGTAAACTTGGTTTTGACTTTATATTTCTTAAGAACTTTTGATATGTAGTCAGTGACGTTTTGAATATAGGGAACGACAACTGTGGCAATAATTGAAGAATACATGCGAAAAAAGGAGAGGGTCCATTCTTGGCCCAAGTAAGACTAACTAACTAATGGCTAGAAAGATAAGCAGAATTTAAAATGTATGATAGTGGTCAAAAGAGGTCAAGGTACCAAAGGTTGTGAGCGAAAAAGATGCTATTTCGCCGACTTATGATCGTAAATAATGCATTTAGTTCAGTGCCTAGTTATCGACTTGTGTTTATCGGTGTAATTATTGAATATTCTGTTTTTAAAGTTTTGTGGTGTATTTCTTGTTGTTGAATAATGACCGAGCAACAAGAAACAAGGAAAAGAAAATCCTAGGGACGAATGCAGGATGTAAAGTTACGCTTAAGTAGTCATCAAACTGGACAATACTACGAATGTTCAAAACTTAAATGTTTCCGAAATTTCATTGCAGCCGATTTAAGATCGATCGTGGCTATGTTTAATCAACTACAAAGTTATGATGAACAATCCCTTTATCAGAGTGGTTTAATAACACTCTATCGTCCCAGGAAATCTGAAGATGAAGCTGATTTTCATTCATTTCATAAGGTGAGATTGTTAAAAGACAACGAACTTTGTGAAGTCCCAGTGTGCTGTAAAGCTTTTTTAGCCTTACATGCAAACTGCAAAAAGGCCACAAACTATATAAAGCGTATCGAAATCAAGGGGTTCAGCGCCATTAGATATGCTACGAAAGCACTCTTCCAGACCTCACCGACTTTTTAGACAAGTAACAGATTCGATCATGGAACACATTAGATGTTTTAAGAGTAGAAAGTCTCACTATGGCTTGACTAAAACAACAAAGGTTTATTTACCTGTTGAGTTCAATATTGAGAAAATGTACTCTATGTACAAAGAAAAACATCCTGATAAATTAGTTACTTATGAAAAATTAATAGTACCTGTAGTACATGCGACGAGTTGAAAAAAAAATCAAAGTGCAGATGATCACAATGCACAGCAGTTACACAAGTTACACACCGAACGGCGAAATTGAAAAAGAAATACATTTAAAAAGAGCAGGCACCTTTTATAAACGAAAAAAAAGCTTCTAGGCTTGATGCTCAAAAAGACAAAACCAAGGAAGCTATTGTAATGGATTTTCAAAAAAATCTTCATCTGTAGAATATTACAACTAATGGACACGTATTATCGCTGATGATGTTTCTTCATTGCTATGGGATTACCTTTTTAACCATCTAGATTTTGATGAAAAGAAGCTTACAACATTTTGTGAATAATGGTGTAGACAAAATTAAAATTTCACGGTGTTTGGAATGTAACATTATTTGTTCAAAATGGTTTTTCCTGTTCGTGAATATTCGTATCTAGAATGCGATAGAAATATGGGTATAGTGAAACAGAAGAACTGCCTCAAGAATAGAATGCAGTTTTAAGTGATTAACGAAGAAAACCAAGCCCTTTTAAATTTATTTCTCGTGAAGATCAGTCCATTTTTAAGAGTTGAACCAAATTTCTATATACCCAAGTGTCCTCTTTCTTCAAGACCGGTTAAAGAATTAACTGTAACCGAAAATCACCCTCGTATGATGATACATAAGGAAAGTTATAATGGTCGAGAACTTGAAAGTGTTGTCTTAAAACAAAAAAGAAAAAGACTTTCGCTACCTGAAAAGTAAGTGTGTTTTGCTTCCAACTTTAGCTTATGATGAGCCAATACTATCAAAAGCTAAATTTCAAGACCTACAGCATCTAAAAAGATTCTGTTTTCAAAAAGCGCAGGATTTTTTTACAGCAATACCACATTGATAAGATTGCAATAATAGATTATGGACCTTCATCTTTATTGCCCAGTTTTTGTGTATTGGATTCAAAGTTTCTTTTTTATACTTTTTCGTTGACAATTTATATATTTTTGTATATTCTGTCAAAAAGTATTTTAGTTCAAGTTGGCAATAATTATATTCCAAAATCATATTTTTGTTTACCATGTTCTAGAGTAGCCTTCCTGTACTCTTCAGTTGTTTCAGCTAAACGTGCCTCATACCAATGCGAATAATTGTTGAGACATTTGTGTTTTCTTTGATATCCATCCATCCATCCAGATATCATATTGTGAATTTTAAGACAAATACAATATTTCGTTAATGACATCCTCTTGCTGTAGATTTCGCCCATTCATTATTCTTCTGATCGTTTCCATCCACGATCTACCTGGTCTGCCTCGTTTTCTTTTCCCTGGTGGTCTTAAAAATATTCTTTTGGTATTAATAAGTATCCAAACCATTTCAAGTATGGTCTTTCTATTCGATCCATCATCGTTTCTTCTGTTCTTATTCGAGCTCTTACTTCCTCATTGGTTTCTCTTTCTAATCGTTCTATAGTTAAGATTACTCTTTTTAGAAGGATTTATTAAGCATTTAAAGTCCACACTTTTGATCCGTATCTCGAAACTGCCTCCACCATTGCTTGCGCCACTCGTTTTTTGTTTTTACTTGAGATATTCTTATACCACTGGAATGAGTTCCTAAGATTTTCCTACTTTGTTGCATTCTGTGTTTTATTTATGTGTCTCCTGTCCCGTTTTTATTCACAAGTGCTCCTAGATATTTAAATGTAACCACTTGGCTAATATCTGTATCATTAACTAGAACTTGAGACCGAGCATCGCTGTTTACTACCAAGCATTCTGTTTTCTCAAGACTCATCTGTAACTACTACTATTTAACCAAACCTCCACTTGTAAGAGAAACCACCGCAAGTTGCTTTGTATTCTCTTAGAAATCCATCCGATTATTTTTAAATTTTAAGGTAAATATTTTTTTTCTAACTTTAATGACGCTTTATATCAAAAACTGTGTCAAACACTCCGATCTAAAAGAAATAAAAACCCCAAAACCTCCACTTCTAAACGACACTACATCAAGTAGGATAAATACACTCGTTCGTAAACTTGCGCATTGAAGACACATCGATGGAGATCATTGTGTCAGCTAAACATTTCGGGTTCAGTACCTTGGAGCTTAGACCAAAGAGTGAGATTGTGAGTGAGAATATTTTTTTCTATTCTCTTGTGAAAAAAATATCCTATTATACGCAGATCTAGCGTGCGGGAAGCGTCAATTTACCTCGCGAGTTTCTTGTCCCACAGATCCGAGCCACTTCGGATATTTCCGGGCTATAACCGCGCGCGTTTGGGAGCAATCACGGTCGTGTTAGTGAGTGTATTTGTGTTGTTTTGCGAAAATGTACCCAAAAACTAACGGTCTTAGAATTAGTATAGTATGAGTAAGATCACGTCACGTGGACCCCACATTTACCACTTGATTATAAAAAATTAATCTATATATATTTTTTATAAGTACTTATATTGGAAAATTGACAACAACATTTTTTTTATAATGAAAATTGTATGCACTTTTAATTAAAAATGAATTAAAAATCAACCGTAAGAGATAAATTTATGAAATTTTCAGCATCCGCAGCATTTCTTGGTAAAAAAAATCATTTTATTATTATTATTTATGTTATTTTATTATATATATTATTAATAACATTTTATTTTTTTTAACAATGTTATAAAGAATACTATCAATTTTTTAAATTATTTTCACCAAACAGCGTAAATTTAGAAAAAAAAATCAACTTTAATTTTTTAAAACTGTTATACTCTATATCTATTTTATCAAGGTAATTTAGTAAATTATTATTTTTAAATTTACTAGTCAATACTCCATCTTTAGTTAACATCTGAAACAATGACCTTCTACGTCTCCTTCCACCGCGTCGCAATGGCCGGTCCGTGTGGAATGCACATGGAAATTATCGTTCGAAAGCTGAAGGACAGCCCAAGGCTGCCTCACGGCACCTCAGTCATCGCGAATATATTTATGGAAGCTTTTGAGAAGAAAGCTTTCGACACCTTTCATCTAATTTCCTCACGGTCAAGAAACCCTAGTAGATTTTCTTAGACACTTGAACTCTATACACCCTAACATACGTTTGAGTCGGAAACTAGTAATAATCTTCCATTCATAGATATTCTTATCAATATAAAAACAGACCTAACATTGTGTTTGCAGAAAACCTACGCACACAGACCGATACCTTAATGCATGGTCACATTATCATCCGACCCAAAAATTATCGGTTATCAACTCTCTTGTTTACAGAGCCGTAAACTATCTAAGCCCCAGTCACTGAACCCAGAATTAAAACACCTTGCTTCTGCTCTTCTCTCTAATAATTGCCACATTAAAGATATTACGCGTTCGATCAAAAAATACATTTCACCACAACCTTCCAATACCAATGAGGCCGAAAGCAATCCTACACTTGCCACTGTGGTCCTTCCTTATATTCAAAACATCACTGACCACATATCAAAAGTAAAAAAAAGAAATATAACGTCAAAAACAGGTTTACCAGTTATCCAAAAATCTCTCAACATCTTCGGTCCGTCAAAGACAAAATTCCATTTCAATTCCCTGCATATGCGGCATAGAATACATCGGAGAGACCGGACGAAAAATATCAATTAGGCTCAAAGAACATACAAGAGCCTCAAGACCTTATTCGCTAAGACTAAAATTATTGCATCTAATCAATTCTTGTAGCAACAAACAAACAACAAAAATCCGAGAAGCTCTAGTAACCAAACCTGTTTGAGGAAAGCTTGGAAGAAATCAATAGGATGATTGGCGAAACGTCAGCAAGTACGATTCATCAACAACCGACGCAGAAAGGATTCAGAAGATTTGTAAATAATAGTAAACAATTATTTTCTTTATTTTTTCTACCAAAATCTAAATCGTTTGGTTACTTTGGTGTAAATCATCTTCTAGGTGACCGTCTTATGTTAAATAATTCATTTTTCGTTTGACAGTTCAATAAATATTTACTCATTATTGATTGTGGTTCAAGAATGGAACTTTGCATCTTCTTTTTCATTTCCTGAGAGTTTTAAACATAGTCTAGTTTGAATTATAATACACCAAATAAAATTATAAACCCGTTTGAATTATAATACCTCAGATATAATTATAAACCCCGTTTGAATATACGCAGCCTACGGTATGGATTTGGCGGTATCATTTACCGCATGGATTTGCCAAGCAAAAATAATAATAAAAAAAATGAACAACCTGGTTTTCCGTCTGTACTCTTCTTCTCTTACCACTTCGCATACTGAACTTTGCAAACCGATAAAAGAAACATGCACAAGTGAAAAGTTAAATTGTGGTTTGTTTTACATGCTCTCGATAACATTTCAGGTTTAGACGGATCGCTAGAATGGCAGCACTGGATTCCAATTTAAACAAGTGGAAAGCGGTAGTTAAGGGGGCCTGCATTGCGTAAGCGAAATGTCACCCTTTATGTTGGTTTTCGTTATAATCGGATTATAGATCGCAGATCGGGCGATGCCATAGCAGGGACTCGTTCAAAAAACAGCAAAATCTACAGAAAGCCATGGCGCAAGCGCGGAAGCTAGCTGAGAAAACGCCGGAATCTTCTCGGGCCACTACGCCACTGGTGTTGCCCGATTTTACGGGAGAGGAGCTTGTTAAACTTGTCACGGAAGATGAGACTTCGCACGCTAAACCAGGTTCGCCCTGTTGAACGATTTATTTCTTTTCCAATCGTTTCTTTTCTCGAAAATCTCCTTCAATGCGATTCCCTTCCATTCACTTTAATCACTTCGACTATTTCTTAATATTGTACTACAGGGTTTCATTTATTTATAAACGTTCCTAAAAAACATTTAAGTCCACCTTGGGCTAGGTTTGCTTCATAGATCCTCTCCAAAGTCTGGTTACCCTTTCGTCATCATTCTTAATTCTTAATCATTATGAAGTGGGGTTATCACTTCCAGAACATTCGTATTGTGTCCAAGTAAATTGGAGTCTTCTGTGTGTTCTGCATCGTAAATGGCACCTTCACTGAGTATAACAGTAAACTATTCTTCGTCGTCACACTTAAATAATTCTTTTCTTTTTGCTCTTTGAACTCTTTCTCCGTTTCTTTAATGTTAGTATACTCTTTCCTTTCACACAATTTTCTTTGTTCATTTTTTTCTCAGCTTTAATGACGTGCTTGTTAAAATTTGGAACTGCCTTTTGTTTCTCAAAATTTTGGTGTGTAATTAGGTTGATAGTATTCACAATGCCAGATGCTTCGGGGTTTCTAACGCTAATATCCGAAAGTCGCTATAAGAAACCATACCGAAATTAAATTGTTCTTTGAAACATAAAATTTATTTGATGAAGATGATACCTTCCCAACATTAGAGAAATTTGTAATTATCATTAATATATTTACCTAAATTGCATCTCTTTTTGAAGGTGGTGGTGTTGTTTCTAATAATTCTGATGGTAATGTGACAATGCATACCTCAAATGCATATGAGACCTGCTTTGCCTAGGTTTTATGTAAACTGACCAAATTTTTCAATCTTCTCATCCTGATTGAAAAGTGCTTGCCTGGAACACCGGGAGCGGCTATGGGTTCTTCATTATCATCAGTCAGAGTGTCAACATCTTCGATCACTCAAAGGCAATATTCCGTCTGAGATATAAATATCAACTATGCTCAAAGAACATGAAAGAGCCTTAAGACTACGACAAATAAACTCATCAACACCTCCCAAACACAATCATGAAACCGAATATCGAATCTTATTCGACAGATGTTTTCCCTGTCTATTACCTAAGGTTGTGTAACCATCAGATTCTGCGCCTATCAGGATCTCTTTTACCACCTAGTTTTCCCTGTGTTATAAGTTGCAATATTCGATATTTTTTATTTCTCATAAGAGTTCCTTATTTTTATTCAAGATAGTATCGTGAGTTACATGGTATGTCCATCATTCTACGATAGCACCACATTTCAACACTCCATGGAGCATTACAGAGGACACCTAACATTTGAGGAATCACAGCCATATTTGCAGATTAAGGTTTAATTTACACAGAATGTTTCTGAAGTGGTTAAATGCTGACGGTATTTTTTCAATTCGAGTAATAATTATCCGAAAATGATCCCATCATTCGTTCAAGCTGCAACCAAGATACTGAAATGTTTCTACTTTTTCGAGGTCAGTGTTTTTCAAAATAAATAAGAACTAAAAGTTCAGATTTTCACGAAATTATATATTTTGTGTTTATCAAATGATATTTGATAAAGACACGGTGTTATCAGGTCAAAATTTATAATTTCTTGAAAATCTGAACTTTTAGTTCTTATCTATTTTGATAAATGGATTTTCATTAAGTAAAAGCCACCTCAGTGCAATCAGTATTTTTCACTTGCAGATTAGCTTGGCGTTTGGATTTTTGCTAATGATTATAATCTTGGTCTTCTTTGTGTTTAAGCTCATGCCATATTCTTGGCATATATTTACGATTCTGTAGATTAATCTCGGTAAAAGTCAAAGTCAGTCAAAGCTTCATTGTAGTATATTTATTTCGGTAGATGCTGACTCTGCTACTCGGATGATGGATTATAAGCAACCACACAATGTTAACCACGACTGAGTCGTTTCCCTCGTTTAATTCAGCCTAGTAAAGCTCTGAAGAAGCCAACAGCCAATAGTAAAACAAGCGTTTGTCCATTTTGCTAAAGCTTAGATATTTGCCAAAATTTGAGGTTTTTAAATTTTGAACCGTTATATTGTCCCAGTTAGATCACAATACATTTAGGGGTCTTAAATCTTCCTCTATATTTTTGAAGTACCTCGATTGCTGATTCGCTTGATTTGCTTAGCTAAGAAAACAGTCACCCTTAATCCGAACGTAGCCATGATAAGAGGTCAAGGACCACCACTGTCGCCGACCATATCAGTGATCCCGCCTCAGTCGCCTGTTCCAGAGCAGTCCCCGAGTGCTGCTAACGACGTCGATCTGATTAATTTGGAAAGCTCTGAAAATTCACCTATAGCGAGCAAGAAGGAAGGCGCTTCTTCGACGCAACCGCCGGTGGAAGTGATTCCGGATGTGCCGCCTTCACCAAAGAAGGACATTTTGGAAATTCAAGAAAGCGCGCCGACGGGCGAAGATGATTCGAAAAATGAAGATACTTTCGAATGGGAAAAGTCCGCTAAGGATTCGGTCGAAGCGGATCAGCAGTTGTCCGACAAAAATTCGTTCTCTTCTAACGAGAAGCTCGCCGATTCAGAAGACGGCAGCATATACGACGAGCTGAATCGTATAATCTCTTCCGATGACGGCGGGGTCTCGTCGAAGGACGAGGACAGCGCCGATTTCGATGGAATTATCGAAAAGGAGAAATCTGACGACGATGGCGAGGAAATCGTTCCATTAAAAGATGATATCGGACTGGGCGATATTCCGATAGCCTGCGAGGTAAGTTAAGACGTTTCGAATAATATTAATAACAATAATATAATTCCTGCGGACCACTATGAAACTTTCGCAAAATCGATGTAATTTAATTGTGCATGCACCCTGTATAAAATGTCCTTCTAATCTCGTCGAACTTCAAAGTTACACAAACGACGTACTCTGTATATAATTCCAACAATGTTCTAAATAGAGGATATAACCCTGATCTCCTTAGTTTCCTGGTATCCGAATTTTTCGAATGGGGTAAATGGTTTTCAAAAACTGCTTGTTTTTTGAAACCTGGAATACGTGGTAATAGTAAACGACGTCATCGCGTCCAGATTGAGGGCGAGCAATGGTGATTTTCATTTGGATTTTTTCAAATATCTCGAACAGCGTATGTGATAGACCAAAACCGTAAATACAAAAATTGTAGCCCTTGATACGGCCTATAACACTGTTTAAACGGATTAGCCATTGTTTGTACGAATTTTGATTTACGGTTAATAATCTCTCTAAAAGAATAATTTTCAGGGTCTTTTAGATTTTTATCTATAACTAAAACACCTTGTATATAATCGAAAATATACGTGAAACAAAAGTTATAGCTCCGGGTCTCCCACGTATTACGGATGTTTTTCTGGATCCCAAAATAACCACAAAAAAAATAATAAAAAAATATACTTAGCGTTATTTTATTGCTCCCAATTTAAAGAGTCTAAAATGCGGATCCGGACTTCTACTCTCCCAAGTCTGAAGTAGGTAGCTGCAAATTTGGGGCACTTATTATGGTTTTTAATATTGCACGGAATATCGCGAACACCCTGTGCAATACTTAAAAACCGTAAATACAATTAAGCTGTCTATATGGGCTATATTGTCGTGTAAAAGAAATTTTCAATAATAGGGGGACCCATTTTTCATTATTTTTTTAATTTGCGGCGCACCCTGTATATTTTTGAAAAATTGTGAAGAATAAAAGTTTATGGAGTCATTTCCTCTGCGTCTTCTGGTTCAAGAATTTTTTCGGTCTTGAAAACGGTTTCTGAAAAATGGTCTTTTTTGTAGACCCTTGCACACGCGGTTTTTAATTTTTTTAAAATACTTCCCGTCCCGGCCCCCCATTTTTAATAGGTTCCGTCTCGGGTCAAAGCTGCATAGATGTGTCAAATATGAAGTCGAATGCTTCAAATTTCTGACACTTATCGTGTTTCTTAACAAGGTTCAAAAAACAGTCGAAAAATGATGGATACCGGTGTCGGATCAGGGCCATTTCTTATAGGCTTATGTGCCTCGTGGAAGGTGCGCCGTAATAATCAATGACGTCATCGCGCCTTGACAGCCCCCGGAATAGTGATTTTCATATGGATTTTTTCAAATTTCTCGAGCAGTGTATGTGATAGACAAAAACTGCAAATACAAAAATTGAAGCTCTTGATGTGGCCAATGAGACTGTTGGAAACCATTTGCTATATGTTTTGCTATTTTTGATTTGCGGTTAATAATTTATTCTGGAAATGAACAATTTTCAAAGTCTTAGATTTTCGTCTATAATTTAAAAACCCTGTATGTAATCGAAAAAATGCTTTAAGTAAATGTTATAGCACTGGATCCTCCGCGTCTGCCAATTAAAGAATTTTACCGATCGAGTGAACAGTTATGGAGAAAAACATGTTTTTCTGGAAGCCAAAATAAGCAAAAAAAAAATTTCGAAAATTAAAAAAATATACTTGGCGGTACTTAATTGCGCTGGACTTTAACAGGTACATCGAATTTGCAGCCATCGACTTCAAATTTAGCAGAGCAGTAGAAATCCATACTCACATCTAGAAATTCAATTGAAAATTCGCCAAATACATTTTTAAAAATTTTTACTTCTTTTTGTTGTTTTGGCTTCTAGAAAAAAATGATTTCCTCGAAAACACAATCGGAAAAAAATTTTAACCAAGAGACGCGGATGATTCGGTACTAATAATTTATTTCAAGCACTTTTTCGATTATATACAGGATTTTTCAAAAATCTCTTGACAATTGACCTTTTCCGGACTAAATATTGAAGCCGTAAAATATGGGTTGTGGATAGTGTTGTAGCCAGCATCGGGAGCTATATTTTACATAAATAAGTTGCAGAATATTTCGCCGAATCCAAAAAATGTAATAATATACAGGGTGTGGCCTTTAAAAAACCAAATAAAAACACCGCATGGCCAAAAATGTTTTAAATAAGTTCGCTTACATCAGTAACCAACATTTCCGGTTTTTACCACAAGTCACCATAAACCTCTAATAGGGCGCTCACCATGAATATCTCTGTATATGCCTTATTAATAATAAAAAAAGTTGAATAATATTAAAAAGAATTCAAAACTAAATTTCCAAATAGGGTGTTCCGTATGTATGTTTAATTCGTCATGCTTTTTTTAGCCACCCTGTATACTTTTACCCAGTATAATTTTCTCATAACTTTTGAAATCAATGTACTCCACTCTATCGTTGACTGACTGCGTACTTTCTTTTGTTACTTTATTGCCTTACAGTTTCCGTTTTCTACAGGAACCCGGATCTCCACCAAAACGACCCCCCATTCCTCAGCCGAGCGGCCATGGGTCACCGCCGACAGTGTCGCCACCTGCTCGAAAAGAGACGCTACTTTTGTCGCCTGAAGACGTACCTTCGCAACAGGCGGAGACGCATTTGCTTGTCGTAGATAAACCTCCTTCGCCGCCCAGGTCCGCCAGTCCATTAATGAGAAAAAATGTCCAACGGGTGGGAACCAAACCCTTTGGTCAACCCAGTTACGGGTGGCTTTAAGGAATATGAAAATAACTGTTATATTTGGTTTGTTGCTGGAATAAAGGATGCTTACTACAGTCTGTCTGAATCTTTATCGTGTTGGTTTTCGATGGACCCTCCCCAATAAAACTTGAATGATGTTATTACTTATTGTTATCAGGTAAAGAAATTAACAAAAAAAAATATTCTTACTCGAGTGACAGGGTATGGTCTGTTCATAGATATAAGAAAGTGACCAATTACTTTTGAACGGGATTATCCAAGGGTGGTCATTAAAATACAATGCAACAAGATTATCACCTAAAGTTTCGGAATTTAAATTCAGGTAAAATTGTGGCCCGTAATAGAAAATAATTTTATACCTATCTGTGTTTAATATTCTTTGGTTTGGTAATCATTCTTATTTCGTGTCTAATACAGCGTGTGTTGAATCGTTTGCGAATTATGCAAAATATGTGCGAGTCTAGTGTATCTCAGGAGATGCTCCCGCCCAAATGTAAAAAACACTATTCTATTGAGACTAAGGAAGTTATAAACAATGCTTATTTGACTCTCATTGAACGTGGTGCCAGCCAGCAAGCATCTTTAGAAAAAACGGTCACAAAATTTCAACATCAACTGCATGGAAAATTGTGAATAATCCCATGTCAGCGAGGAAAAAAAGAAGCGATGCTGACATTTTCTCGAGTGTAGATGAAAATGAACAAGATATAATACGGCATAAAATCTACCAGTTATGCGAGGAAGAAAGCGTGTCTAGATTAGATATCTTAATTAGCAGGCTTGAAAAGGACGAAACCGGCAGAACTATCTTATGGAAGTGTATTCAACACATGGGTTTTAGATTTAAAAAATATAACAAAAGGCAAGTTTTAATGGAATCTTTTAGAATTAGGAAATGGCGACTGGAATATCTAGAAAAAAATAGGATTTACAGAGAACAACAAAGGCCAATTATTTACATGAAACATGGTTCGACACTTATGATACCCCGGAAAAGGGTTGGATTGACTCAACTGATAAGTGTAAAACAAACGCGCCATCAAAAAGAGGTAAAAGAATAACTATTTTGCATGCTGGTTCTAAGGATGGTTGGATTCCAAATGAACTTTCTCTGTCTGCGAAAAATATTAAAGATTCTTCTCTGATATTAAAGATTCTTCTCGAGAGTACCATGAAGATACCACCCCTGATTTATTTGAATGTTGGTTTAAAAACAAACTAGTTCCAAACATTCCTCCTAATAACGAAATTGTAATGGACAATGCAAGTTATCATAGTAGACATGTATAATAACATTTATTTTCACGAAGATTATACCAAAAAGGTTCTACAAAGCTTGAACTTACAAAAGGAATACGTCTGTGATAATTACCCAAAAAATCTACAGTTTTAAGGCTTCCACCTTACCACTGTATATTTAATCCCATTGAACATGTTTGGCACCAACTGAAATCTGCCATTCGTCGTAACAATATTTTTCCCCGTGTTAACTCCAATGTCCTCAAACTTATAGAAACCGAGGTTTTTAACATCCATTCACAAAGTTGGGCAAATTCTGTTAAACACATAGAAAAAGCAGAACAATATTGCAAATAATACTGATATGTTATGTGACTAATTTCAAGTGATTTAAGTAGGTAATAAAAATAATTTGTAATTTTATTTTAGATTTAAACATAAATACATACATAAATAAATAAATATTGTTTAGTATCTTTCCTAACAAAACCCCAAATAATTAAATCCTAAGCAAAGTACGATTTCATTCTTACAGATTGCTCGGGTCTTTCCTTAATTTGTATCAGTTAGTTACTTTCTTATATCTATGAACAGACTATATTTCTTTCTTTCTGATATATTTCTTGAGCGTTGACCATTTGTAGCAGCGTAGAATAATCGTATACACTCTTTTTCGAGGATGCAACAATGTCGCGTCGAAATCATTTGTCGGTTGATGCAGAACAGGTTGTGAAAATTGTTTATGAAACTTTATTAAGTAGTGGTGTTAGCACTTCGACTGGCTAACAAAAAAAAACTTAAAAAAAGCTAAAAGATAACGGGGAGGTAGGCTCTGTGTGTAAAAGAGTGAAATGCAGCCATTTTGTGTGTATAAGGGTGATTTCAGCTGTTTTGTGTGACTGTGTCTGTGTGTGAAGGTTTATGGTAAATGGAAAAATCTAATTGTTTTGCGTTTTCGAAATGGTTAAGTCTAAAAAATTAATAGAATTATCCTGTTCAATCTCGATAGTGAATTTTATGCGATTATGTAATGAGCAAATGTAATTTAAAAAAGAATTCAATTCTCTGGCCATTCCAACAAAGCAAGTAGAGACATCATCCACATATCTATACCACCATAGAAAAATTTTACTTTTTATTTTTTTTTTTGACCTAGTTGCCGTTCCAAATTATCCATAAAAATCTCGGTTAACAAAGAACTAACTGGGTTTCTCATAATCAAACCTTCCTTAGAGATGTAAATCCGTCCATTGGTGTAAAGATACTATTAAGCAATCTAGTAAATTTTGTTTCACCAAAGGGTTAACCTGTTTCCGAGTGCAGGTGAAATCTACTAAATCTATCACATCCAAAGAACAAAGAACTTAATATCATTAAACAAATTGCACTGAACAACGGCTACAATCCGTCCATTATCGATAAAATCATAAATAAAAAACAAATTCAGACAACAGTAGACTCTATTTATCTGAAACCTAAAACAAAACAGGAATAATTTAATACATCTACATACATAGGACAACTAGTGGAAAAGTTTCAAAACATTCATCGAAATGTGGTTTGAAAATAGCTTTCAGAACTAACAACACAATAGGAAAATTTTTAAAAAGCAATAAAACGAAATGTCCAAAATCTCAAAAAATTAGGTGTCTACAGGTTGAAATGCGGATCTTGTCCTAAAATTCATATTGGACAAACAGGTAGATCGTCCAAAAAACGCATTAACGAACATAAAAGAGCGTTTAAAAACAATAGTCTAGGTTCTAATTTTTCTACACAGAAAAACACATTTTTGACAAAAAATTTGATATTTTACATACAGCCACAAAAAGTCGAAAATTAAATTTATTATAAGCCATGGAGACATTGAAATGAATTGCTTAACGATAAATTAGATTTAAATACATCTCCATTATTAAACTTAAATTCTCACAACATCATTAATTAAAGTTTTATTGTCATTTTTCGGTATATATAGTAGCAGGTAGTTTGAAAATATTACATTTGATAAAGAGACGGTGTTGTCGAAACAATTGTCATGTGAATATACATAATTTTGTGAAAATTTGAACTTTTAGTTCTTATTTATTTTGTTCTCTAAATCTGATTTTGCAAACCATAAAGTCTTTTTCCAGTGTGTTTTTTTTTGTTGCGAATTCTTTTATATTCTTCATAGTCTTCTCCTGTTTTCGTAGATTTATATTTGAGATAGGCTCTTGTTTTCTAACTAAGGTGTACTTTTTATTTTTTTTATGTTCTGTGGGTTTTACGTTCCCCGAGGGCTTTTTTTGCTGCGTTTTTGATATTTTCTCGAGTCTGTCTCTCCAGCTATTTTCTGTACCTTCTTCTTCTATTAGATAGATAGATAGATTCATTTATTGACTACGTTTCGTACAAAAGGGACGTACAATTGTAGCAAGTCAGAAGTGATATTCAAGTGGAATAAAATGAAATTAATAAATAACATAAAAACACACATCTAATACAAAACAAAATTAGACAGTGCTATACAGTTTTATAGCGCATCGATATCAGTGACAGTGGCAATGTATGCTCGCAAGGAGTAAAAACAATGATGTTGTAGGAATTTTTTAATAGTATGTTTAAATTTTCTATTGCTCATCTTTTTCACGGTACCTGGCAAAACATTATACAATTTCAGAGTTGGATAGGCAGAGCAATCGGAATTAGCGCTAAACTTTCCTTTCGTTCTTTGTATTTCTAATAACTGGTAGTAGATATAGATGCATATTAGCAACGACTCGAATGGCCCTTTTCTGCATTCTAAAAATCTCCACAGCAGCTGAGGAATCAACCCACAGCACCGTGCCATAGCATAAGTGTGAATGCAACAAAGAAAAATAGACCATAAGCAGAGTCCTTGTTCCTATCAGGCCTCTCAGTCGTCGAAGAACGAATCTATTTTTCAGGTCTGAGATATGTTGTTTCCAATTTAGACTATCATCGATCCTAATGCCAAGCAACTTGACGGACTGTCCACTATTTACCAAGCAATTGGAGTAAAACACAACACTCTGGGTCTTGTCTAAATTTAATTTTCGAACCAGACATTAGCCCCGTCCTCCAACATGCCAACCCTAACGGACAACTCCTCGATACTCTTAGCAGATGTAGTGAAGGATGTATCGTCGGCAAACATCACGCACTGATTGGGGGCCAAGAAATGATAAAGGTCATTTATGTAGATTGTAAATAGTAGCGGGCCCAGGACAGAACCCTGGGGCACCCCGCTTACTACTGATTCAAGTGATGAACGGTCATCTTGGTATTCTACAAACTGCTGTCGGCCCTGCAAGTAGGACGCTATAAGATCTAAGGACAGACCTCGTATACCATATCTACATAGCTTTTTAATGAGAAGCTGGTGAGAAACACAGTCGAAGGCCCTGGAGATATCACACAAGGTCAAACCAACTAATTCACCTCCCTCGAGGCCCTCAACTATCCCAACTCACAACTTTAGGCACTGCTTGGATCGTCGAACACCCTCCCCTAAATCCAAACTGACCAGCACAAAGACATTCGATCTTATTAATATAAGAAGTTAGCTGATCTTTTAGTAAGATCTCAAAAATTTTTCCGAACAAAGGCACGATTGAAATCGGCCTGCAGTTGTTAGCATCATTTATATCACCTGCCTTATGGATTGGAATTACTCTCGAAATCTTAAACAGCGACGGAAATACACCTGTGTCAATACATTTATTAAATAAAGTGGTTAATGGCAGTGTAATGTACTCAACCAGTCCCTTCACCAAGACACTATTGATATCATAAGCATCGCTAGAATAAGATTTTTTTAATCTTAGTATGGCTCGGTACGTATCCTCACAAGTTCTCGGATGCAAAAAAAAGTAGTTTCCTCCAGTGGAATCCCTTCAACACATGCACTATGTACATTGTGATTCACCGTTAAGATCTTTATAATATTACTCGAGACAGACCTAAAAAAACTGTTAAGATCGTTTGCTGATAAATCAGATTCTTTATCACACCTCCCAAGACTATTTCTTTCATAGTTAACGATTTTCCAGACATCTTTGTTTTTATTGGTTGATTTTTCGATAAAGCCATCAAAGGCAGCTTTTTTGGTTTGTTGAATTTTTTGTTTATATTCCTTATTTAGCGATTTATATAGTATAGTATATAGAGGGTTCTGTGAGACTTTACTGAGAGTTTTAACAGTTTCTAAGAGCTACTAGATCTTTATCAAACCAGTTGACCGGTGATTTTTTATGAGGAACGTTTTTAACAGAACAATTTTGTTTGATCAAGTCTTGAACTTTGTGCAGTATAAATGAAGACATAAAGTTGACATCGTTAGAACCATTACTGAGTTTTCGTTTTTTAAAAGTGGTGCAATCTTCGAATTTATGAATCGCATTTGAAAATAATATTAAACCGTTTCTTTTAGTATCATCTAAAACTTTCGAATTAAACAATTTTCTCTAAAACAAATAATAAACTTTGACCCCCTGTATGTCGAACTAGCTTTGCAGTGTGTATATAAACAAATGAGGTCCTGAAATGTATAAACACCGTCTATCACATCCCTTTTCTCTAAAATCCCAAGCAGATTAACATTTTGTCCTCCAGATGTCTCATTGCATTGTACAATCGTCAATTATAGTCGGACATATCGAAAAGTTGTTAAACCAATCTGCACGATTCATGCAAGTCGCGAGTTGCTACGCGCGTGTCATCGAAATGTATTTATCTCGAACCGTCGACGCCTTAAATGAACCACATATCTGAGAGGAAAATTAGTATAGGTGACGAGTATGACCTTGTCGCATCGAATGACCGGTTACGCAGTGGCGTCCGCTGCTATAGCCGCCTCAATATTAGCTTACCGACTACTCAAACGGATTAGCCAGGAAATACCTACCGAATGGGAAGGAATTGGCACTCTGAAGTCGATTTATTTCTATCCGTTGAAAAGCGGAGCCCCGTTGGACGTCGAAAGCGTGTTTTGTGCCGAAGTAGGATTGATGACGTTGGAGGACACCGGCGAATCAAACAGGACGCAGCTGCGTGACAGGTAAGGCTTAGTTAACACCGCGCGGCGCAAAAGCGGAAAAAATATCGAGTTGCACATTTCGTGTTTGAACAGTAAATCGAACATACAGTGTGTCGTATTTAAGATGAAGACACCGATATATTTTGGCTATATAAATAACTTGTCATTATTTTGGTCAATAAACGAAATTAATAAAAGCTGATTTTTTTATTTGGCGAGTTGTGAAAAGAAAATCTCTACAATATGGTCAATTCAGATTCTTCAGTAAAATAATTAACACTAACACAGAGGAATAATATTATTTCACTTTAACAAAATAATAACTTTTAGTAAGTAACTGATTCTGTTTGAGGGAATGATAAAAACAATAATTTTCATAGTAGAAATGGCATGGCAATTTGTCATTTGTCAGACCTCCATTTATTCAAATACATTTTTCAACTCTTCAAAAATTCTTTCTGTGTCACTTAACCAACGTTAGCTCTACCTTAACCTTTTGTATCTCTATTGGCAACACTGACATTGGACTGTTGGTATGTCTAACGCATGTCTTTGTAACTTAATTCCATATTACAAACAACTCTATGGACATTGACTTTCTTGGAATATCAATCTTCACAACCCAGTGGGGATTGTCTCTAGGCCAATATCTTCAATTTCGGTAAACATGACAACAATGACCTCGGTCCCAACACGATAATCTAATATTTTATTCTCAATACCTTCTTTTAATGTATTTAAGAACTTTGGTTAATAGGGCTTGATTTTAAATAACACTTGCAGTTTCATTGAAAAGAGAATCTATAACGGCCGTTTTTCCATGTGTATGTGTATGGTGTGTGATTTTTTACATTTAAAGTCAACGACCATTATAATTCGGTGATCACTAAATAAAATTCGTGACACACTAGTTTGTCGAATAAAAAAAGTAAACTCACAATAACTTTGACCAAAATGACGACAAACCTTATAATGCGAATTTTGTCATGAGATTTGGTATGTGAGGTTAGAATAATATTCGGAACCCGAAGCAAAATATTGGCAGTTGACGCTGTTTGAGGATTCGCAGTATAAAATTTAAATTTCACTTGAGTATCTTAAAAAGGGCGAACTGTATATTATCAGTAAAATAACAATTCCTTTGGTAATAATAATATTTGAATATCAACCCCTTAACGCATATTATCCCAAGCATAAAGAAAATAAAAAAAAAATACTTTTGTCAAAAAAAAACCCCAAACACAAAAAAAACTGGTGCGTAAACGAACCATTGAGAAAAAACATTAAATAATGTTTTGGGCACACAAATTTACAAAAGAAAGTTCACATTCGACAGAAAACAATTAAAAGTATATTGTTTTCCAAATAGAACCTGATTTGATACAAAAAAACGCGTAATATTTTATGATGCGTGAGCGCATCACTGGTATCACCCGGTTTAATTTTTGGTGATATTTTACAAAACATGGCGTATGTAAATGCACATTACACTTATTACAAATGTAAATTGGGTGCCTGTGGCAAATTCTACATCTCCTTCGGGCTTTATTAGCATGATCAATCATGAGGTGACCTTGATTATCATAACGCACTTCATCTATGGCAGGTGCAAGATTTCTTTGAGTAATTGTTTTATCAGTTTTTAAAAGTCGCAAAGCAATGTAAGATTTAAAATCTACCTGGGAAATCTTTTGTTCGTTGACAATATTATACAATTTCCATGCATTCACTACTAAACTATCCAGTGAGTTGCAAAATAAAGGCCTTCACCATTTTTTTCCAAGTACCTGGCACCTGTAATTAGCAATTCCGTTGTCATGTAAATCTACCCCACCCATATATCTATTGTTATGGGTGTTTTTTTTCGATGTATAGAACTTTAAGTTGGTCTTACTGTTCAAGATGGCGACCGATTTAACAGCTGTCAAGTGATTTATTCTCAGTTTGATTTGGAAATTCATCTGTGCGGAATACGTATCGCGCACTACGTCCATTTCCACTTTTGGTTCAATGGCTACGACAACAAACAAAACTGCCGCATTTGGAGCGAAGCTAATCCTCAAGTGTATGTCGAAACACCGTTACATCCAGAAAAACTGACTGTTTGGTGCGCTTTGTGGGCTGGTGGAATCATTGGTCCGTACTTCTTCAAAAACGTTAATGGCCAGAACGGTACAGTCAATGGTGATCGGTATAGAGCTAAGTCTTTCATTCCTGAATTGAAAAACCATGATGTCCAGGAGATGTGGTTTCAACAAGACGGTGCAACATGTCACACAGCTCGTGCCACAATCGATTTATTGAAAGACACGTTTGGTGACCGCCTAATTTCACGTTTTGGACCTGTGAATTGGCCTCCAAGATCTTTGTGATTTAACATCGCTAGACTACTTTCTGTGGGGCTATGTAAAGTCATTGGTCTTTGCGGATAAGCCACAAACGCTTGACCATTTAGAAAACAACATTCGCCGTGTTATTGCCGATATCCGGCCACAAATGTTGGAAAAAGTCATCAAAAATTGGACGTCCTGATTGGACTACATCCGCGCCAACCGTGGCGGTCATATGCCAGAAATCATATTCAAAATGTAATGCCACAAGATTATCTTTCGGATAAATAACATTCATGTCATGTCATGTTCAATTACATAAGGTTGGGGTATATTTACATCTTTCCGTTCTTTTCTATTATGGTGCTTTACATTTTGGACAGGATCTACACTAGAAACATTACTTGCCACAGTTACAACTGAATTGTCGTGCCAACGGAGAATAGAAATTTTTTATCCAGATTCATATGCTGAAAGATAGGATCCGCGGTCTTTTTTTCCAAATGATTTACAATTTTCCATTAGACATTTACTTGTTCTATTTTCCCGGATAGTACCGGTGGCAAAATAACCATTAGTTTTTAAATGTACAAATAGTTTTAATGTTGAAAAAAATTGTCAAAAAAAATTTGGTTATTTACTGGCTTATCTGCAACAGAAAGTATACTCATGACAACGTCACCGCCAAGACCAAGGTCAGAATGAGGTTTATTTTGAGCACCACATGTAAGTGAATAAAATAGGTACCCATGAGATTAACAAAGGCACCAGAGCTTGAAGCCAAAACGAACTGGTTCACCCCTTATTAACATTTTGCAGGAATTGCGGCCAAAGTAAGGTACCATTTGTTCATCTATGCATAAGTTGAAAGAAAATATGCCAAACTGAAGATTTTTTTTATTTATTACATTAAAGAAGGGTCTAACTTTTGAAAATTTATCATTTTTATCCAACAGATTATTGTCAGGTAAGTGCAAGTTTTGCTTTATCAATTGGAATCTATTGCGGCTCATACATTTTTTTATAAGATCAATTCCTTTGTCTTCATCAGTAGACCAATAATGCTAAATATGTGGCAATGAATGATAACCCGAGAACAATAAAATGCCTACAAAATTTAAAAGTTTATTTTTTGACATCGAGAATTCATGGCGGTTATTGTCTTGAGCATGTTCTACCGAAAATCAAATGAATGACTTCGTCATCAAAAAACATAAAAAATAATTCAATCGAAGTTTTTCCAGAAAACCTCTTTTTTAGTTCCTCACATGATCTAAATTCATCGAATATGGGTGTGTGAGTGTACTCTATCTGACCTTTTTTCCATTTGACAGTAGAAGCAAGCCTGGCGTTTACAGCAATCATACGTCTTCTTTTGAATTCCAGGGTTTCATCGTCTGATGAGTCCCATTCAGGTTCTGTAGTTGATGAATTACAGGACTGTTGAAGGACAGTTGTATCATTCGGTGTATGTAACTCGAAAGTTCCAATTATATCAGTTGGTTCCTCAAACTCTTGAAGATTCATGTTATCGTTCATATCTTCTTCCTCAGTCAAGGTGTCCAAGTGGGGTGGAATATAGACCACGTCAATATGTTCTGTAAATATTTTTTCACGTTATTTTTAGCATAAATTTGCAAGGAATGGAATGCTACAATATATAAGAATACGTAAATCCAAATAATACTTACGACTTTCATTGTTATTGTCCTCATCTATCACAATCTCCTCCATTGCCGCCTCTAATTCCTTTTGAGTCAAATACCTCGGAAATGCCATATTTTACGAACTGTAACGTTCATGTTCACTGCGCAAGGCACAAACTAATACTAAAGAACACGCTAATTGTTGGATGCTTATTCTACATGTGTTGACTTGTCTAGACTTGCAATAACAAGGTTTTGTTTCGCATATAAAACCAGTGATGCATTCACGAACCAGTAAATATTTTCAAAAAATAAAGCATAATCAATATAGTATTTCCACTGGATGTTTTCTGCGATGTAATCTACAAGCTATAGACTTCACAAAAATGCCAATACAAATCCAATTTTTTTTTTACTATTTTGGATTTACGTGAAAATGTGATACAAATTTATGCACCGCTTTTGTGGAAAAATATTTCCTGGATGTGACAAAAAAAATCATGGAATAGGTGGTGCATTGACGCACCACTGGGACAAAATGGGTTAAGTTGATGCTCAACATGTTTCTATATTGCTGATTAATAATCAATAGTATTACTTTTTTTTTCTAACAACAGCTACAAGCAGAGAACTTGCTCAGAGAACGCCAAATAAATCTATCTAATCGATTAATATAGATTCACCTGCCAATATTTGGGCAATTTTGACAAAATCAAAGATTATTGACATCCCGTATGTCGTATGTAGCTTCGGTAATCAAGAAGGCTGCACTCACTTTGTCCAACAGGTGTTAAAAATATGTCGTACTTTTATAATTGGGATATAAAATGTGCTCTTCGGTTACACTTTACTGAAAATTTTTCTTACATGCATTAAATTGGACGAAAGTATCACTCTTTTAGATCGTTTTTGATTTTCAATGAGAAACACAAAGAATTTAAGACGGCCCGGCATTATCCGAAAATAATGCTTATCAAACTGACGCCCTACGACAGAAACACCGTGGCCCTTGACGCTCCGGCAATGGAAACTATCTATGTCAAAATTCCCGCTGACGAAATTCAAACCAAATGCATCACGTGAGTATGCAGTTGTCTGGTTATTGCGGCCTGAATTTTTCCAAAAGAACTTGTGACTCATTATTGACGTTCTTGGTAACTGCGAGCTTCATTCGATAGATGTTAAAAAATTACCATTTCGTCAAAAAAGTTACAAATATCAAAACATGTTAGAGTCAGAAATTATGTGTGAGATAAGAGGAAACAAAAAGAAAAACTATAATGTTATTAAGGAATCTGCAGTATTAGTCAACATCGAAGAATTATTGAAGCTCCTAATAAAATCATTTCCAGATGTAATTAAAATTTTCTCTGAAAGTAAGGACGGACTCTCAAAGCTTTTGGTAATAAGCTGGGAATATCAATACATAATTAAATTGTTATTCTAAATGTCTAAATTTAATTCAGTTTCATTATCAGACTTGTCATTGAGGTTAATTAAAATATGGTTTATGTTTATTAATTAATTAATTATTCCAGCTTTCAAATTGCACTTAAAGTAGGAGTAACATTTTCTGTCCTACCTTTCATTTTACTTGGTTTCCAGAAAAGTTCTATGGGGTTAAACATGCCCAGATTTTTTTTAAAGATTGGTTTTGAAACCAATTTTCAAAAAGTTCGGCATCCCTATGATAATATAACAATACAGACAACAGAAAGTGACACGTCTTTGAACTATCTAAATTTTTCAAAGAAACTTCCACAAACTTCTGGATTCCTCCTGCGTCGGTTATTATTGCCCTGAAGGGGCCATTGTGATGATTGGCGAGACGTCAGCAAGTTCGATTAATCAACAACTGATGCAGGAGAAATTCAGAAGCATTGTAAATAGTAGGGGATTCGTTTTGAAAGATTATTTCATTACTTAATAAACAATCTCTTTCTTTTACCGGCAATACCAGATAGGGTTGGTTTATTCTGAGAATTTTGTTGATATTTGAGGCTGGACATTTCTAAAACCGTTCACATTATTATAAAAAAAAATTGAGGTTGTTCGAGAAAGAAACTGTGCTAACCGTCGACTGCGGTCAAGAAGTCGCCACGTGGTTGTCCAAGTTCCTGTTAAACGAAGATTTCGGGTTACGTCTCGGGTATAACGACGGCAGCCTTAAACGCGATATAGAAAAGTACTACAAAGCGTTCACGAGATACTACGCAGATTTTACCAACCAAGCTGGGGTAAGTCGTATCCTATTCAGATCGGGTGACTTTTATGTGAGTGAACTTCGCAGGGATTGTATTCCGACTTAGTAAGCGTCAGCGTCATCAATCAGGCGTCGATAGATGACTGCAACAGCAGGATAGGCGACACCACAATCACTGCAGCCAACTACAGAAACAACCTGCTAGTGACTGGACCTGGTTTGAGGCCTTTCGACGAAGACCATTGGGACTTTATTAAGGTGGGTGGAGTCGTCCTCAAGAACGTCAAAGAGTGCGTCAGGTGCCAGATGCCCACGATCGATCCAAAGACAGCCGTTAAGCACCCGAAAGGGGAACCATTTAAGACACTGAATACGTAAGATTTGGTTCCGGAATGCTAGTTATATTTCTAAATCAACTCAACTTAAATCTTGCCTCACCTTTCTTCTGAAAGTGTTAAGAATGAGCGAAACTGATATCTCTGGTCAATAACACGAAGTACACCAAATTCAACTAGGCATGTCAGATTAGAGAGCTGTTTCGTGAGTTGCGTCATTGTGAGTGGTGGAGTAATCCATCATATATCAAAAGCAAGCAGATATCAACATCGATTTCACACTACACGAACTTTTACTCAAGCCAGGCCAATGGCCGTTTTAAGAATTGTCGCACAATTAAGATTGAGTAATACCGTTTTTCTGAAATTCTTCTGTAAAGGCTGCGCTCACTTCATTAAACCTGATCAGATTTGTTCTATGGGAATCAACTTGAAATAATTTACCACCTTTTAAATAGTGCCCTCTGTACCGTGAACTTTTCCAATATCAATACTAGGTCAAAATGCCTTGTTTATCTTTTCATAAATATATGAAAAAAAAAAAATGGGTAAAAATAAAACTATAATTTGTATCTCCGTTTTTGAAATCACATGTTGGTAGTTCACTATTATGTTTTTTTAGGCTCATGTAATGTCTGATGCGGATTTCGTAGAAAGGTAATAACAAAAACCGTGGAAGATCTTATAAGGGATCAGTTTTGCGATAATTTATAGATGATGGCACCAATCTTTTTTGCAAACCACTTTGTTCTTCTGCTTCTACGTCTTCTTCTTCTTCTCTTTCTTAAATATACATTCTAGTCTTCAGGAATGTTGACATTTTGTATTAGGAATAGGTTGGCCATATATATAGAATAGCGGGTCCCTATTTTATCACCTCAATGCTTTCTGCATGTCGTTCACACTTATTTCGTTCACCTTTTTTTTCTTTAGATCCCATGATTCTATGTTTGAAATCTGCCCTGTTTTCTCTTAGTAACTGTCTGTAATAGTTTTTCCACTTCTCCATACTTATAATTTCTAATTTTCGTTTCTTCTTAAGTTCTTTATCATCATTGCACACTCCTTTATGTCCTCGTGGCTGTGGATATTGATCCATTTCTGGTAGGATCTTTTTTCACATCCCCTTCGAACATTCAATTTTTCAATTTTCCATTTTTTATCTCGTTTTTTTTAAATATTTTTATGAAAGGAACTGTATTGCAGTTTGTCATGTATATACTGGGTGTTTTCTAATTGAATATCAATTATTAAGGGGGAGATGGACATATGTCCTAAACGTCTTGATTTTTCATAGACATTTCTTTTTTGGCACACATGTCCCATGCGTCAGGAGGCCATATTTTTTAAAAGAATACACAAGTGACGGGCGTACAAAATTTCACCTGTCTATTTTGGCAGACATGGGTGGTACGCCACTGATTACTCTTAAAATAAAAATTATTTTACAATCTCCAATCATTGCTAAACAAATTCAATTTCTTGATTTTTTTAATCTGATGTACGGTTTTCGCTTTAAAAAATAAAAACCTCTCTTCTGCATTGTGATAGCAATATCGTTAATATGGCAGGATGTAGAGAATTATAATCATTATTATTTCTATCATTATTTAAAAATCGCAATACCAACTCTGAGGTGTATTTTTGAAATCTAGTATTCTGAGTCTGTAAGAATTATTAATTCTGTTGCAAAGGCGGTTGTTTGACATCAATTTTTAAATTCAGTTCTTCGCGTCTTATTAAGTTGGTGTTTAAGACATCCAAGCATTAGTATTTTAGAAAAAAATTGTCGAGTCTATTAATGAGGAGGTGGCAATATGCATTTTATGTACGGTTATGTGTATGTACAGGGGGCAAGAAGCTAGGAGATTATATCAAGAGCGCTTTCCTAGTACAGTCATAGCAGACAGGCCAACATGTTCAAATGTACATGGAAGGTTGACTGGGGCAAATTATCATTTAAAAGGAGCCCATCGAACTGTAAGAACTCCAGAAATTGAAGAAGCAGTTTTAAATTGTATTGATGATAATCTTGAGCTTAACTATCTTGAATATCGCGCACGTCTTAGTTCCAAGCAATTTTGATAAAAATTATTAATAGTAGGTAGTGTTTTAAAAAAGAATCGTTTATTATTTATTATGTTATTATTATTATGTTACTTCAATAAGACTGCAAAAGTAAAAAGGACAGTCCTCTAATTTTTTTTTGTGAAGGAGACTAGTTAGTAACTAAAAACTAGATATTTTATTTATATTTACTAATTAACCATTTATTATTTTTTCACAGAGAGTCAGTACCATGCCACCGATTTTCTAAAAAAAAAAATAACATAATAATAACATTTGCATTCATTCAACCCTCCTATATCCTCTGTACTATTCATGTTTTTGTTGTTCAGTTTTAGGATGTGCACAGGTCCCGAAAAAGGAAGTCCCATGATGGGTGTCTACTGCGCGGTCAGAAAAACCGGGCAGTTAAAAGTCGGAGACACCGTTTACGTTTCCAGAAAATAAGCAAATAAACGATGTAAGAAAAGCCTGGTTTAACTCATTTCTTTTGGGCAAGTGCGGTTCTGTAATGTTTAATTTAACCCGATATGGTAGTTTTTCTCTTTTTCCAAAACTTCCTTTTCAACTGTCTTCAATGCTTGTTTTCTCTGTTCTCATCTTTTTTACTCAGCATCGTTAAATTCGAAAATATAAACGCGTTGTGGAGAAAACCAACCAAAACTAAATAATTCCCATCACCTCCGAAGATACTTCAAAAAAACTGAAGTTTGTTAATTTATTGTTCTGGTTTTATTTAGAGAGATTTAAAAGAAAATAAGTCCCAGATAGCTTTGACAGATTTTATGTGTGACGTCTCGTTTTGACGAAATCATGAACTTATTTTTGTCATATGGTCAGTGAAAACAACTTCACTATACTGCGAATTCAACGATATACGACACGATATGATTCTACATAGTCTTAATCACAAAAAAGGGGTTCTGTTAAACTTTCAATGTTTTGGTGTATTAGGCGCTGTCAAGATAAACAAAAAAACTGATGATCACCTATAAATTCATTAAACAAACTACTTACAAAAAACTTACTACAATTAAATTATATAGAAAGTCCAAATAAATGACCACTATTTTCCAATCGCAGATAACACCTTGTAATGTTCCAAAAACTGACAAAGACTGAGGGTCAACTGAGAAGACTTGTTCTTGAAGCCTTTCAAGACATTATGGTAAACATAGTTTTCGAAATACCGCAAAAATATGTTCCAAAAATAGAAACTCACATAATAAACCTAAAACGATACTATTTACAAATATTCTGTATTCCGCCAGTTTCGGCTGTTTATAAATTAAACTTGCTGAGGCTTCTTCAGAGTTTGACTGAAACTGATGCATTTATTTGTTAGTCTTGGGTCTATCATGTTTTTTTAGTGTTATTTATGTTTTTCATCCTGTTATCTCAAACGGATCAAAAATGTTGAGAGATTTTCGTTCGATTTTTTGACGTTATATTTCTTTGGAACTTTTGATATGTTATTAGTGATATTTTGAATGTACGCAACTACAATACTGGTAAGTGTGGGATTGCTTTCGGCCTCATTGCCATTGGAAGGTTTTGGTGAAGTGTAGATGGAACACTTAATATCTTTTATGTGGAAATTTTAGAAAGAACATCAGACGTAAGGTGTTTTTATTCTGGAGTCTGCGACAGTTTAAGACTCTGTAAACAAGAGAAAAAAGAGAATTGATAGCCGATGAGCCAATGTTAGGTCTGATTTTCTATCTTTAAGAATAGTGAAAATATCAAAGGGCAAATCACCAGCAGGAAAAAGGAGCCTTGGAAGACCTAGGAAAAGGTAGACCGACGACCTCCCAAATGACTGAATGATAGCAAAGATGTGAAGAAAAACATGCAATCAGGCCCATATGCAGTAGGAAGAAGAAGAAGAATGGGAGATTATTATTAGTTTCAAATTCAATGGTTAAACTTATGTTAGAGTGTATAGAGTTTAAATGGCTTACCCAAACCTCATCCGCTTATAAAATTCTTAGTAAATTTAGTTTTGCTAAAATTCGAGAAGGCCGCAAAAAATATAACAAATCAATAGGACTCTTCGGGTTCCATATCTTGAAAATCCGAGTTCAATATCCCCTCAAACATGAATCACGACAAAGCTCAAAAACTTAGTTTATCTTCTACGTAGAATACATCCAAAAATTTAAAAAAAGAACTGATGTTAACCAGTATAAAGGTAATACTTCGTAAAAACTTTTGATATGTGTTCAGTAATGTAAGGAAGGACAACAGTGGCAAGTATAGGATTGCTTTCGGCCTCAATGCTGTTGGAAGTTTGTGGTGTAAATTATTAGAGGAGGAGCAGATGTAATTTTGGATTCGGTGACTCGGGCCGAGATAGTTTTAAGGTTCTTAAACATGACAGTTGATAACGGATGATTTTTGGACCGGATGGTGATGTGGCAATGCATTAATGTACCGGTCTGTGTGCGTAGGTTTTCAGTATAGAGAATGGCCCAGCTTTAGTTCTGAATTTTCAGTAAGCGCAAGTCGTAAGCTTGCGTTGATTACGTCCCCGCCCTTTGTACACACTATGAATGATTTAGACCAAACTTGAAATAAATGTCGGATTCTAATATATCTCAAATAAAGTTAAGAGTGTTAGGAACAGGGACTTTAGTAAAAGGGATTCTAAGTTGAAACACCAGAGTATCGTTTGAATCTCATGTAATGGTGGTCAATTGTTCCATGAAGTGAAAGGGATTTAATACGAAACTATCAGAATATATTGGATGCTGACAAGGGGTAATCCTGGTTTGTGAATCTGATGAGGCATGATAGATTTTCTCACAGATTCTAATTCAGTAGAAGCCTTAATAACAGATTTAAGGTTGCGTTTCATGCGGATCTTTTGTAAGTTGACGATAGGATTCGTCTATAAGAATATCTTGAATTTTTTTCTGATAGCTGTGTTGATGACCACTGCATTTCCTTCATCTACTTTTAGATTTACATTTACATTTAGAATATTAGATTTAGGACTGTGGTCCTTTCTTACATCACAGACCGCATAACAAAAACTTTTAAAAACTATAACGTTAAAACCAGAATTAGTGCTTGTCCACAAAACCCTCAACACCATCGATCCGTCAAATGGAAAATTCCGTTCGGCATATCAGGAGTTTACAGTATTCCATGCACCTAGAATAAAAGAACTTGATACAGCCTTAAGAGAGCGACAAATAAACTTATCAGCATGTTATTCGATTAAACTTAAATTCGTCCGATATGAAACAATGTTCCTGCCCCTCCTTTAGTTCAGTCCCCCTCACACAGTATATGTGGATTACAAGCATAATTTTTTATTGACATTGGGGTAGTGTAGATTATTTTTTTTTAGATATATCCGCATATTTTATCATCGATGCAGAGGGTAAAAGTTACTCTTCAAATTGTTATTCCTCTCTAGTTTTAATGATGATTTATAACCAATAAAGTATATTACATTTCAGCACATTTAGAATAGGTGAGCTATTTACTAGAAACGCACACATTGACATTAGCTGTGATATAAATAACAACTTGAAGTGGTTAATATATAGTCGGTACGATTTGCGATGGCATAGTCGGTCATAAAACCAAAAGTATTTTACTTGGTTCCACTCGCGTACTAAGATTTTCGAAATTACAGTAGTTTGCACTACAAAACTTCGTCGCATTTTCGAATATGCTTTAGTTGTAATTATTACTTGTCGACTGAGAAATTACAAATAGACACGAAATACCAGGAAAAGTATCAAATGATCAAAGTCGGAAGTTAGATTTAAATGTTCTTGAATATTTCCAAAAAGAAAACGAAAAGTCACTGAGAAGTTTGTCTGTGATGAAGTGCACTGAAATTAAGTTTGGGAACAGTAGTCGGAATAAAAGGATAAATTATCCAACTCTGCCTTTGCTGTACGCAATCAATTGGCTAAATATCATCATCATGGATAAATACTATTAAGACTACTTATGGAATGAGAAGATCAAAACTAGAACGAGAGTTAGTACATCTATCATAAACACAGTTGAAGCTAAAGGCCCAAGATGGTATGGTCTTGCACTGAATGGGAAATGAGAGGTGGCCTAAAGAAATGCAAAACTGAATACCGCCTCAAAGGAGAAAAAGAGAAAGACTCCTGGAAGGATTATAATACCTCCAAGAGAGAAACTTGGAGGACAGGAGAGACTCGAAACCCAGATATGATGTTTTATGAGAACCAAAATAGATATTGTTGTGAAACTTGGTATATAACCATTATCCATCCTGAGGTACAATTTAAAAGTATTCTCGCTTTTGCAATGTGGCCGGTTTTATAAGAAAGTTTTTGTTTTCGAAACAAAATAGTTTTTTTTTAAACCAGCTTCGATAAAGTGTAACACTGGCTTAAAATTGAATTATTCATTTAAAACTTTCATAGGTTCGTACGGAAAACTGCACATACAATACAATCTTTTATACGGGGGACGCCCAAAAAGTGCACTTTGGAAGGACATACCAATAAAAATAAGTCATTTTTTTTAAATGCGTACCTATGTGTTTTTAAATTCATCATTATCGTATCTTAATTCAATTGTTCCAAGAGTCATTGTTCAAACAACTAGAAGTATACAGAAAGCTCTTCAGCTTTACTTGATAAGCGTTGAATGTTTGTTTAAATGATTGAATTGAATGAATGAATCACCGTGATTTCTTTGAAAACTCCTCCGGCATTGTTAGTTGAGTTCTCCATATTTTGCGGCATGTCCACTGTACTCGACCCCCAGTGTACACACCGCGACATACTCTAACCAACAGGTCTTGAGTGGTGAGTAAAGGAGTCAGTTTGCCTTCTGCCTTAACAACTACGTAATATTGCACTTAATTTACTTGAACAGATCACAATTGTACCAATAAGTGGATCTCTCAAATTCAATAAGAAAAATTCTTTCGATTAGATAAAATGTGAGTCACACCGTAGTGAAAATTCAAGGGCACCAGTAAGCACCGGCTTCCTATAAATTAAAATACGCTTTGAATGATGACACAGTAACGCTAAAATGATGTGGGTGATTTTAACTATATTATTTTTTTCATCTGTGGTAAGTAAACCCAAACAATACAATTCGATATGCCAACATCAATATGCGTCATAGTTTGTTGTTTGGATTGACATGAAAAATACTACATTGTTAAACATGGAGATTCACCAAGAATGGGCAATCTATAAACTCAAAAACTGGTCTTAGTTACATTCCATAGGCGTGGGTCCCAGAACTGACAGAGGCAAATGGTTAAAAAGAATCTTTATTTTCATTCGCAGATTTGGAAGAACTAAATGAATATATAGAAGTCATTAGTCAAAATTTTAATATAAATCGCGCTTTGCGATAAAGGGGCAAAATCGCATTTTCTTGCTAGGGACCCTGGTGCTTTGGATACCCATCACACTTCTGAACATAAATTGATTTATTGCATTTTGAAAATTATATTAATAATAATTAATTAATTAATAATAATTATAATAATAACCAATCCCGTATAAGTAAACCAAAGGTTCCGTGGTTGACCCAGTATGTTGGAATATTTATAAGCAGAGAAATACGGCTTCGCGAGGATTGAGAAATACTAGGGATCACAACGATTGCCTTTTATATAGAAACCTAGGGAATTGTACACTATCTCCAATAAAAAAGGAAAATAGGGCATATCTAGATTCACTGTGCAATTTAAATAACTCCAAACAAACTTCAGCTGCTCTAAAAAAAAATATTAACCCAAATAAACACACTACACTTTCAAATAGTTTGAATTAAACGCATCCCACGGTAGTGAAAAAATAAAATATTACCAGCACATTCATTGATAAATATGTCACCCTTATTATTAATTTTTCCATAGTGGTAAACTATTTTCCAGGTAGCTAGAAAATGTCACTTAGAAAACCATTAGCAAAATATTAAAAATTGTTGGCGCAGCAGATAGATATTTTTGATGTTTTCAACCGAAAGTACTACAGTGCCCTGATAAATGCCATTGATGATATTGTCAGGACAACTGACAAGAAACTAATAAGCGCCCTAATAATAGTTTTGAATTTTCCGAAGGCATTCGATATAGCGAATCAGATATTATTGATCTCCAACCTAAATCTTTATAGTTTTTTAATCTAATTCTGATTAAATCTGATCATTCAAATCGATATGAAAAGATATATTCTGAGGACAGATGTTCCAAGGAAATACAAATTGATTTTGATTTGCCCTTCCGACATTTTAAAATATATAGATTATCGCGAGGTTGTCTTGTTGCAGAGATCCTTTACATTCAACGCGATTCGCTTGTCCAGTTTTATTACACAAGAATTTATTGACTTAATTTTAAGTGCATTTAAAAAATGTACAAAAGCAATAGACATACAATTTTAATGAAATTTGTGTGCCTGAACCCCTGAGCGTGATATTAGAATGTCATATTGCTTTTTCGAATTCCTTATCTTCATTACTTTGTCTACTGAGTGTTTTTTTTCTTTTCCCTTCTAATTTTACAGGTATTTTCCATAGTTTTAGAAATTAATCATTTGTATAAATATTGTTTGCTCAATTTATTAACTACATTAAGAGTTCTATAATAGTGGTTTAATAGAGTAGCTATTGAAAACTAGACTTTGTCACTGTTAAACTCTCTGGTTACTTGACCTTCACATAAAATGCTGTTAATAGATATGCTGTATTTTTTTAATAAATGCAGTTTATTATTATTATTATTAAGCTCTCGAAATAGTGCTATGTTGTGATATCCTGTTTTTTTATACTCCATTTTGTTTATAGATCCATAAAAAAATCTGAAATTGAGAGATCGGAAGATGTTTTTGAAAAAGTAAAAAAGAACAAAATACTGTCCAATAACAACAAACAAAGTACCGTCCGATAACTTTTTGACTTGCCCCCGTATATTAATTTCGAAATGGAACCAGCGGTACTATAGAAACTTTCTTCATTAATGGGAGAATTGAAAATAAAATTAAACTTTGGACTACCTCTATATATTCTAGCCGGTATATGGCCTTTTCCCATTTCGTACTAGTCGCTAGTGTCGGAATTTCATAGTTTGCAGATCTCTCAATCGACTTGCCCGATGGTAAAGTTCGGGGTCACGAGATTCAGTCGCAAAATGGTAGCATATACGCTTTCCAGGGAATTCCGTATGCTACCCCTCCATTAGGAAATCTGAGATTCCAGGTAAAGATTTAATAAAAATAGTTGTAGTCGTAATCTGCGTTATGTGGGCCCAAGTAAACTGGTTTAATAAGAGAATAAAGATAGTGAATTTCCGAAGAAAGATATAAACATGATAAGAGTGAACATAAAAAATTAATAATAAATTTTCCAACAAAAACTTACTATCAGTACAAAAAGTTAGATAATAAAAAATAAAACTTCCTGGTCTGTTGTGTCTGAAATAAAATACTTTTTAAATATATTATCGCTGTTACTGTTATCAAAATTGAAGAGAGAACGTCTCCAAGACTGCAATGACGATTTGAACAGTTCATCTGACTAGTCCATAATTCCATTCCATAATATAGAAGAAACTATTTTTTTACTCCATTCCTTCCATACATTTATTTTTAGAGTCCGTTACCGCCGCAGCCCTGGAACGACATCCTGGAGGCCAACCAAACCAGAGAAAGTTGCATAGAATTACTACCTTTCACGTCGCAGAGTGAAGACTGTCTGTATGTGAATGTTTATACACCCGCGCGACAGGTAAATATTTGAAGATTCACGAGAAAGAAAATGTTTGCAAATAAACCGGTCGTACCTCAAAAATTGCAGCCCGTACCGCACTGACCCTTTTGAGCTGCATAGCTGTAAATTGTTTTTTTCAGAATCACAGTTTCAATCCGTGGGTATAGTTAACTTGGGAGTGCAACCATACAAAAATTGATTAAGTTTTTGAAAATATCGTATAAACCCTATTTTTGAGGCAAGATTACAAAAATTTTGTACCGACTTTAACTTTTGGGAAAAAACAGCCAAATACAAAGGTTGTTCCAAAATAGTAAGCTATTTGCAAGATGTATACAGAGTACTGCAGAAATTGCCACAGATAAAATTTATATATATTTTTAACAAAACGCCCTGTATATTATACGCTTAAGAAAATCCCCAAAAAAATCTGCACATTTCTAGTATACACCAAATCCGATAGTTTTTGAGTTATATGCGCTTTTAACATAAAAGCAACATTCAAGAATAAAATAATATAATAATTTATTTCTTAGTTCGTCACCAAAGAACAAAACGGTTCTTTACTGTGACTATCTATTGAAAATTGAATATGACGTTTATCCAAAACAATACATATACCCCAGGTATATGAATTTAAATGATACTCGGCAGGATATGCTCAACTCTTTTGCACTGTATTTTCAAACAGGGGTTCTTTCAACAATTTTAATGGTACATCTGAAAATATAATCATAATCAAACAAAGAATTAAGAAAGCTCTTAAAATAATTAAACCTAAATATATAATGGCTCCAGATTCCAGACTGTCCTTTGTTTTTTTTTCTAAGCCGCTTGCAGTAACTCAAGGCTTGACACTGGGGTCATTATTATTCAACATTTTCATTAATAACGTAGGTAAACATCTTAATGTTAGTTTTCTATTGTATGCAATGCAGTGTCTTTTCCCACTATAGGTGTCGCTCTTAAATATTTTATTTTTTATAAAAATCTCTCTCGTTTTAACACTTTGTATGTTTGTTCCTCGTGACAATAGGGTACTGCCAGATCCCTCAAAAAGCAATGGATTTATCAGGTCGAAGTTACAGTATGCATTAGGAGTTTGGTCTCCTGGCTCCAATTGTCATATTAGTAGCCAACAATCACAAAAAATAGATACACTGCACACGTTAGAGGCACTTTATTTTCTATTATCTTTTTCTCTCTTTCCTTTCATCTTGAAAAGAGACTTTAATGAAATTTTGTTCTTGTTTTGTGTTTCTTGCAGATAACTGAATCCTTACCCGTTCTCGTTTGGATTTACGGTGGCGGATTGATAACGGGTTCCGGTTCATATGAACAATACGGCCCAGATGCACTCGTCAAAGAAGATATAATAGTGGTAACGTTCAACTACAGAATAGCATTGTTCGGGTTCCTTTCAACCGGGGATGATGCTATCCTTGGCAACGCTGGACTGAAAGACCAATTGCAATTGCTCAAATGGGTTAAGTCCAATATAGCTTACTTTGGCGGAGATCCGGATAAAGTCACCATTAGCGGTCAAAGTGCCGGAGGAATATCCGTAGGAGTACATGTAGTCAATTCGAAGGCAGCTGGTAAAAAGTTTAGAAATGTATAATTTCAAGTATCTAATGTATTTTATTTTAAGGGCTATTCAGGGGTGCTATTTGCCAAAGCGGATGCTCGTTGACGAGGTTAGATATAACAAGCCAAAAGGACCCGAGAAAAGTCGCCTACGACCTAGCAAAAATTGTCAACCCATCGGTTTCTGATAGTAACACCACGTCAGAAATAAAAGATCTTCTTCAAAGTGTGGACGTTGAGGTTCTAAGGGCCAATATGGGTACTCCAGTAAGTATGCTGATGTCAGGTAACCAGCAGAGATAAAAAATAGAAAGTTTGCGCTGTTTTCTTTTAATTTTTTTTTTTACAGTTGCAAATAGCATATTATTTCCGATTTTTAACAAACAACAAATGAAAAAATCTTCTGAAGTTGGAAATAAAAATACCATACAACGAAAAACAAAAAAAAAAACAAAGAAAAAACAACAACAAATCCAATCCAATCTCATCCACGAAATCTTGAGTACGCGTGTATATGAAAGCTAATTTTATTATTAAGCTACTGGGTACACCTATTCAATATCAAATAGATTTTCAATCTTTGGAAAATATTATCCATTTCAAAAGTCTCATCTTGGTCCTTTTGATCAGCATAAATTTTTTAAATTATGATTATGATAAATCTTCATTTATCAATATTTGTGCCTTATTGCTAGTCAGCGGAAAAAATTAAAGGTACAGTTGTGTATCTTCTGGTTAAAGGTGTACCCGGAATCCAATTTTGGGCACTTTCATGGGGTATCTTGCTTATTTTTTATGATTCAAAGTTGCGGTTTACGCGACACTGTGCTACTTTTTTGTGAAATTAAAGATCCGGTCATCAAAATTATCATGGGCGTCTTGGTTTTTGAGATATATGGTGAAATCCAAAACCATCGATATCATTATCATCGATATCCATCACCCGTTTAAAAAACGTTCTTAGAGGATATTTTCCGTAGAATCCAGGGGCATAGTTTGTTTTTTACTTGCTTTAACGAAACACTCTGTATGTTATATATGTATGTATATTATGAAATATGCATTAGTATAAAGTTGTTCAAAAATTAAACTCAAATTTTGTTTTTTTATTAGTGTGAAAACTAGTATTTTCCTAGAAAAATAAAATATTGGAAAAACTATTATTATTAATAAAAAAGATGAAATTTAAAGATAAGATAAATATTTTTTAAAAATGTAGTAAAAATGTGTTTAAGTCACCCTGTACACTTTAAAATGACTTTAAATTGTGCCTTTTAACAATCAATACAACTTTTGTATTTATCATTTTCTCATAACTTTTGGAACGAATGAAATGAACTTTGCTCCGTGGTTGGCTCACCAAGTACAATATGTTATTTACAGACAGGCGTAGTACTTGAACCGGACGTAGAAGGGGCCTACGTGACGGAACTCAGTTTTACCCAGCTTGAATCTGGAAATTTTAACCGGGTACCACTTATACTCGGTTTTGTCTCCGAAGAATCTCTGGCGTTTCAAATAAGTTGTAAGTAGCGCAACTCACAAGGTTTACTGGCTAGTCTTATCACCCTAGGATGGCCGCATTGGGCTAAATCATAAAGGAATCAATACAGGATGTTGGGTCTCATTTTTTTTATGGTAGTAGTGGAAAATAGGAAAAAGTACATCGAAAACCTATTTAAAGATAACAGAGCAGACATGTCAAAATTAAAGGCAGAGACAGGGCCATCAATTCTAAAATCTGAAGTGGAAAAAGCTATAAATCAAGGCAAAACAATAAGGCAAGTGGACCAGATCAAATACCAGACATACGATATCCCACGAGACTGGCTAAAATTTGTATGTTCGGATCATAAGCTTATCAGTTTAATAAGTCATGTGCTTAAGCAACTTCTGCACATTCTACAAAAAAGAATTAGCAACAAATGCGAGCAAAATATGAATTCGGAGCAATTTGGTTTCGAAAGATGCATGGGAACTAGGGAAGTACTATTTACCACGGACGCGCTTCTGCAGCGCTTTCGGAAGGTGAGAAAGTCTGTTTACTCGCGCTTTGTCGATTTTGGAAAAGTTTTCGTCCGCATTCAGCAAAATAAACCGAGATCAACCCTACAGAACGTCCGACATTAGGCTAATTTCGTATCTGTTCTGAAACCAAACAGCTACCATTACCGTGGACGGCAGTGAATTGAATCTTAAGGCTAAGTGGTCAAAAAGTAAATGTAATTGGTGGAGAAACAGTTATTCTAGCAGAAAATCTCGTAGACCTGCAAAACTTAGTAAACAGAGTCAATGAAGCTTATAAGAACTAGAGGCTATCTATTTACATCAATAGAACTAAATATATGATTGTGAGTAAAGTAGATGTTGACGAGATCCTATTACTTTTAAACGGACAACCGTTGGAAAGTGACAAAGGTTAAATATCTCGTCTGCTCCATTGATACAAATATATAAATCCTTCATATACCGCATAGAACAAGTAAGAAATGCATTTCAGGAGTTCAGATGGTTGCTCTACACTAAATATCAAAACAAGAGAAAAGTTTGTAAAATTTGGCCGATTATTATGTATGGATGCGAAACTTGGACGCCTAATAAAGAAATGTTCAATAAGATCGAGGCATTTGAAATGTTGATATACAGGAGAATGCTTACAATATCTTGGACCATGAGAACCAGAAATGAAGAAGTCCATTGAAGGATGGGACACGGCAGACTATTTCTGAATATATGACTTTCTTCGATTTATCCTTAATGGAAATATAAAAGGAAAAAAGTGGCGTAAGAGGCTTTCATGGCTAAGAAACTTGAGACAATGAACAGGCGTTAACGCAGATGAGTTACTTTATGTAGCACAAGATCGAGAAAGATATAGAGATATCGTGAACATGGCAGTCGTCAACGTTCAATAGGGACATGACAATAAACTGCAATTTTTTTTATCATAATATCAGGTTATCGAAACTGTCTGCAACCTACGCAATTTACCACTAAAACTCTATAAAAACAAACGTATTTGCAATAGTGTGAAAAAAATTCACCTTCAAACAACAAAAAAATGTAAACTGCGAATCTGAAACCTTGAACCTTCCAAACTTTGGTAGTCTCATTCCCGCTGCAAAAGCGACTATAAAGCAGTACTTGTGGCTCCGTTATCAGTTTTTGTGTTTGTTTCTGTGGACGAAGACGCAACTGTAAGGCTACTGTAATACTTCTTACAAAACTTCTGGATTCCTCCTGCGTCCGTTTTTGCTGAGTCGAAATTGCTGACGTTTCGCCAATCATCCTGTTGGCTTCTTCAGAGCTTGACTGAAACTGGCTCGTATTAGTATTGGTAAATATAAATATTGACTCCATCAGCACCTCTGTATATAGGAGACCTACACCAGGGAGTATTTAAATTTTGAGTCTAACCATAGATACCAAAACAAAGCCCGAACCACTGACTGATCTTTGATCACCCTGTGATTGCGGAGAAATAAAAGGAGCCTTAAACGTTAAAATTGAAGAACATGAGAAACACACAATGAGGTGAAATCCAAAGGTCAGGAATTGCGGAAAAGTTACGAACTAAACAACGCAAGCTCGGGGATTCGCATTGGAAGTATTCAATAAAACATATAGAAACATGTTTAGATGGCATAATCTTCAAAAATCATTGTATACCATTTTCAACCAATCGTAAAGGATGTTTTTTCCAGGCAAATTTTACTTTAGAAGTAACCGCTAGAGGAATCATTCAATTAATTTCTCGTTCTTAATCCCTAGAATCTGCCGTCGATCGTGATGAATGAAAATAAATGTAAAATCTGGTAAATGTTTGTTGCAGTCCTGCCGGCTCTAATGCTTCAAGGACTTCAATACGACACGAATGTAACACAATTGTTGCCCTCTGATTTCTTGCCTCAAGAAAACGTCAGTACCAAAGAAGTTGGTAACCTTATCAAGGAAGCATACGTCGGTAAAGATGGCTACTTCTTTTTAAATCCGGCCAAAGTTTTACAAGTAAATAGCGGAGTGCCAATTCATCTTGATTTCTGTGAGGGAGTAAAGTAGCTGTTTCATAGAGAGTTGTGATAGTTTCTGGGGATCATTAATTTGAGTTCTTAGTACTCCTAATAAGCTGCTTTCTGGTAGCTGGTTATAAGATGAATTGGAGTTTCCCGTTCATCTAAACACAGTCTGCATATGGATATTTGATCAGTTCCTTATGAACTTGGTCACAGACTTACGGGAACTTTCTCCACTTTGTGAAAAATCGAAGCGTATGCTGTCCTCATCCACCTCTATGATATGAAGTTTCCTCCTTAGGTGGCAATATCCCATGATGTTTCCTATCTGCCTTTAGAACCCTCGACTGCATGAGTTCCGGCAAACTCTTCCAATGCAGAGAAAACTACCTCCCAAGCTATATCCCATGATCGGGATACTGTTACCGCAGACCTGAAGCACCTTGTCCTCAAGACCCGGTTGTCAATCAAGCACTCAGAGCGAGATTTTATTTACTCCTTTGGAATAATTTGAGATTAGATAAATATAAAAGCCTTGAGGAAAAGGATATATGGGCGATTCGTAGTAGGAAGCGCATTGACTTCTGGCCTGATCAGTTCATGGGGTTGGTGAGTACTCTCTAGACCTTGTGCTTCTGTTGTTCCCAAAACTAACAGCCTCTCCTTTTTCTGACTGCTGCTTTAATCACCCACTTTTCAGTTTCATTTAGGAAGATAAAATAAATCAAAGATTGAAATAGTTTCATTTTGGTGGGTTTGGAAATTGATCTGTTATTCCAGACCCTGGGTGGTAGACTTTTAGTCAATTCTATTCTCATGAAATGGTCAGCGACATGAAATCTTTGCAGAGCATCTATCAATTGCAAAGTGTTGGAACGGTCGACTTCCCCTTCTGGCGCACATTGTATCGTCTGCATATCTTAGATTTGTAATCTTTTTTCCTGCAATTCCTTCCTCAATATATGTTCGTTCTCCATAGATGTTGAAGAGATCTGCAGAGAGGATGTATCCTTGCGGAATGCGCATGCCGTTCTTGAATAATGGTTTTCTACTCTAACCTTGGCCATGTTGTTGACGTACAGATTTCATATGAGTGCAATTAGGTGTTTAGACAATGCCATCTCTCGAAATACTCTCCACAGTATTCTCCAATCAACACAGTCAAGTGCCTTTTGGTATTCCAAGCAGCAGTTGACCATTGGAATAATTAATTCTATGCATTTCTCTATGCGTTTTCTTATATTAGCAATCTGTTGTCTGGTGCCTTTGCCCTTCATAAAACCTGCCTATTCATGGAGGATCGGTTGATTTATATAGGTTCCTGATCGTAGTTTAATAACGCGAAGTAGAATCTTACCTGGATGCGATCTTTACTGACCATACTTCCAAATTATAGAGATGGGTTAAAATTTTGATGCCATGTCGACCCGAAATGTGCAATAGTTCTTATATGCTATTGCTTCTTCTAAATCTACCTGAATAATGTCTGATTGGTGCAATATTTCATTTATGTTGTGCAATATTTTTGGCACACGTTGCTTCTTTGTCCTAGTTCAGATTGAATAGCATGATTCCGTGATTTGAATTTCTTTGGCCTTTTGAAACAGGTCTTTAATTTCATTTCTGTGCGAGTGTGATCTCTTCTGGATGTCTTTAGATAGGAATCTATAGGTCGCTTCATCAAGCGAGTCTATTTTTAATTGCTTTCCTTTGCTCAATAATTTGCCATGTCTGATCCAATGTTCCAGCCTTCTTAGTCGGTAGCACTGCTTAGCAGTTTCCCGACCCTCCCTAAGACTTCTCCACCAATTCTAAAACTGGTTTAATCCTGTCTCTGAGAGTTTCTGCGTTTGTTAACCTCTTATGTCTGGGAGAGTCTGTGGCTATTCTTAAATCTGATTCGAAAATCCATTACTAGTTGGTGGCCACAGTCACAGTTCTCACCGCGGAAGCTTTCAGCATTACTCACAGAAGTTTTCCATCTTTTATTAATTAAGATTAAATCTATTTAATTTCTATATTCATCACCACGCGACTCCCATGTGTGGAGTTTGCGCGGATGATGCTTGAAAAACGTATTTATTTTCGAGAATCTCCTCCGCAAACAGAAGTCCATCAGCTTGTCACCACTTTCATTTCTCTCACCCAGTCCATAACCCCCAACGAGCTGTCTCATGTGGTAGTCCATGTACACCTATTAAATATATTTGATTACCTTAGGTTCCATTTTTGGGACTAAAAAGATAAAAGGATGTAAGGGATCAGAAGAAAGTATGTTTTTGAAAATACTCAGCATCGATGTTTCTCTATGATTATCTGCTGAGCTTGCCACCCTGTATTTTAATGTATCGGTTTCACTGCGTGATGCTATTCAATTTTTCAGTTCGCCAGTGACAATATGTTTGTAAGATCAATACTGAAGCAAGCGGAAGTGCAATCAAATTTTACTCCAGTGTACTTGTACCAATTCTCCTATTACGGCACCATGAGTCAAAGCCGTCCAGTGATAGAAGGTAAAAATAAATGTTCATCTCGAATTGTGCAAATATTTGGAAAGTCCATAATACTGCGAACTCTATAAGAATTAAACGGTCTGTTTTGAATTTATAGGTGCTGGAAAAGTAGCACATGCAGACGAATTAGCGTACCTTTTTAATACCGAAAAGTGGTTGAAAACTGACGCAGATTTTCTAGCAAGCAAAAGGTTCGTCAGACTTTGGACAAACTTTGCTAAAACTTTGTAAGTATCGAAACGCATATTAAAACCTTGTTACGATAAATTTTTCCAATTTTAAAGTTAAACTAAAATTTGATTTAAAATTATTTTTTATATAAACATAGTGTTTTAAATCAAATGCGAAAAATTTAAGGAGGTGATTCATTGTTGAAAATAAAGGGTAGTTTGTTTAACATACTTTGGATCAAATATTTGGCTTTGTGCCGAAAATTTATTTGCTACTCCTTATTTTAGCGAAAGAAAGAAATCACTCCCTTAATTTCTGAGCATTGGTTCTGAAACCAATAACTTATAAAGTAAATGGAGTGTATGGTCAAACTTGAATAGACCGTGATAAATTTCAAAATTTCAATATTAATAATTAATATTAAAAAAAAGTAATTTAATTTAGGCTTCGTCTAAAGTGTTATGTTCACTGCATATATTTGCCTGTGACTCGCAAAAATTACATTAAACAATAATAACAATAACAATAAACAAAAATAATTTGTAAAGTGAAGTAACATATCTACAGGGTGGCCCGTATATTAAGGGATGAACCTGTAAGAAATATAAAAAAAATTGTTTGGATTCATGTTTACTTTGTATTTTCGTGGACAAGTATCAACTTTCGTACTATATATAAAAGGACTTGTGTAATAAATAATTTTCGAATTGCTTTCTGTGTCTGACATATTTTGAACTTTATGTCAAAATTGACATTACAAATCTAAGTGTATCTATCGATTTCTCCTTTAGAAATCTATTCTTTTATTTTTGGGATTGATTTCTCTATAAAATAAGATCTTACCTTATCGGAAAATACATCAAAAATGAATTATAAGCTTTAATTTTGTTTTTCAGGAATAAATCAGAATTTCTGAGAAACAAGTTCAAATTTGCTACATTGTTACATGGTTCTCTCAGAAATTCTAACTTGTTTTTCACAAATCCTGACTTATTCTTAAAAAAATTGAATAAGTTAACTAAAATCTTAATTTTATTTTAAATAGACTTTATAAAAGTCGTTTTGCGTTTATAGAAAAAAGTGACTTCGTTTATGGTTTAGTTGAAAAAGTTGTGGATTTCGAAATATTGGTCAGTATTTATTCTTATGGTTATTTTAATACAAAAAAAGATCTCAAATTTATAAAACATTTCTCTAAAAAAAAGCAACTATTTCAATAAAAGAGTTTATTTGCAATATTCAGAAAAAAATATATTAAAGTAAGTTTTGTTTTATAAAAATACAAACACTTTTATAACATGTAATATTTTGTTATAACTGTCTTTATTTCTTCTTTAATTTTATTTAATTATTTCTTGATATTTTTCAGCAAATTTTGTTGGTAAAATTTGTTTTCATTTTGGACATTAAAATGTTTGAAAATTTTAGGTTTATTACTTAATTATGACGGATGATTTATACAATTTTGGAAAAATGGAAAAATGTTTTATGGCCAATATTTAGAGATATGCAACTCTTAGAAATAGAAAACGAAATCACTAGTTCTTCAAATTCCAAGTACGATTAAATTGTTTATCTAGTGCGTTGCTATTTGTAACAGATGATTTATAACGACTTTTTATTTAAATTTTTCATGTTTTCTTCTGTCCATGCCGTATTTGTGTATGTATAAGATGTATAAAAAAACCTTGAGAAATAGATATAGTTCATAAGGCTTAGTAATAGGCTATTAAATATATAAAACCATGTTGACACCTCCACAGCTCAACTGAAACTAGTAGACAGGATGAAACGTCAGCAAGTTCGATTTATCAAGAACCGACGCAGGAGGAATCCAGAAGATTTATAAATTGTACCTTGTGCATACATTGCAATTTAATATAAAGAATAAGTGAATCCAAACAAGTTTGACATAAATCCATTGGTCTATTTTCCGAATATTTCTGATATTCCATTCATTGTAAACAACCTTGTGCAAATATATCTATTTTTTTTAAGGAATCCCACACCTGATGAGACAGATCCAGTGCTGAATATAACATGGCCACAAGTCACACCTGCTAATGCTCAGTACATTGATATTGACGATACGCTTCAAATAAAATCCAACATTAAGGCTCAGGAATCCACGATGTGGGATAACGTCTTCTACAATTACGGACGCCAGCCTTTTACTGGATTTTAAAAACTTGTAAATTCCAGGAAACAAATAAAGAATTATTTTCAAATAGTAGGATATATAACTAATTTCTCGAGTCTCCGTCACCCGGGACAATACATCGACAGCTGGAAAAAAATTACTGTATCTACATAGAGCATTTCAAAAATTGAAATAGTTCAGAAAACGAAGTTATCTTTTCGATTGCTTCTCACTTACTTTTTAAGTAAAAAACTTTCCACTATGTAAAATACATTCATGGCAATGTTCTGTGCTTTCCCTATTTTGGTATAATTCATCATAGGCGAACATGCAAAACGTATTTTTTTCCAGTAAAACCAAAAGATTCTTTGTTAGATTAATGAAATAATATTGCTAACGCTATCGTATTGATCAAAGGGAAGGCAATTTTTAGTATCTATGATATCTTCGGGACGTTCTTGTGTATCTTGTTTTGTATAGTATTTATATAGTGTATAGAAATTAGCTTTCATATGTCGTGGATAAAGAGCTATCGGACGTTTAATTGGGATGGCACCAATTTGTTTCGTACAATCTGTTCGAAAATTGTTAGTAAAAACCGCATATTCAAATATTCTATTTGGTAGAAGTAGGAAAGACTTCTTTAAGTCGTTGTTTTTTAAATTTAAACTCAAATTAATTATTGCTTGTTACAAATTAAAAATCAGTAAAACACCGACTCAAATGGCAAAAATTGGAAACAGGGGAACCTTTCCAGCCAAAATTCATTTCATCTAGCATCATCGAATATTGTTGCAATAAAGAAAAAATATAAAAGAAAAATATTTTATTTGTGATATGCAAAATCTGAAAATAACTGCCCTTGAATGACAGGTGTGTGAAAAAAGTCAAAAATTAATGTTGTCGCCTTCAAAGCAATCTCCCAGATATAATACACTTGTACCAACGTTTTTTCCAATCCTCGAAGCAACTTCTGGTAAGGCACTAGATTCCATTTGCAAGTTGCTACTATCTGAATGTATCAATGGTTATAATCACAAATAATATTATAATATAGATTATAATATAGATTAAAGTAGAAAGAAATAGTTCTGGCCTAATTTAAAATAACATATTTCATATAATTAAAATGTATATCGAAATTTTTTACATATATTCCTAAAATTTTATTCATTTAAATGCGCATATATATGCTCAGAGAAAAATTCAAATTCTTCTGCGTTTGCGCTCTCCATGCAATTCGATTTCATCGATTTTCGAAAGTGTCTACTCTCCTATAAAAATTTCATATCTTGTTCACCGTAGATCCTATGGGGTCGCCGTTGGTACAGAAATGATCACCGTCGAAAAAATGTTTTTTTGTCTGTCCGTTTTCCGTTCTAGGTTCTCGTCTTTTGGTTTTTCCTGAATAAGTTTCGAACCGTTGGAGCTGGAAAATTAAAACTTGCCTTCTTTTTAACCCTCCATGAGGCACATAAGTTTATTATAAATGGCCCTGATCCGAGGTCGGAATCCATCTTTTTTCCGCGATTTTCGACTGTTTTTTGGACATTGCTATGAAACACCCATCAGTGTCCGAAATTTGAAGCAATCGACTTCATATTTGGTATATATATGCAGCTTTATCCCGTGACGGAACCTTTTTAAAATGGGCGGGCTGGGGGGTCGACAAGTATTCTAAAAAAAAATATAAATCGCGTGTGCAAGGGACTACAAAAGACATCATTCAAAACCCATTTACGAGACCAAAAAAACTTTTAATTTGACAATTTTTCAAATATATACAGGGAGCGCCGCAAATTCAAGAAAAAAAACTGGACAATGGGTTCCCCTATTATTGAAAATTAGTTATAACTGAAAGACTACGATTCAAATCTCACTTTCTTTTATATTGCGATATAGCCCGAACAGACGGCAAAAACTTTTGTATTTAAGGTTTTCACCTATTGTACAAGGTGTGCCCAATATTCCATTCTAAATGACAAATGTGTTAAGCGTCCTAAATTTGTATATGTCAACTTCAAATTTCGCAGAGGAGGTAAAAGTCCGTGTCCACATTTAAACGGTAGAAATTGGGTGCAAACAAATTTTACCAAGTATTTTTTAAGAATTTTTGGTAATTTTAGCTTCCAGAAAAATATGTTTTCCTCCATAATCGTCCACCCGATTGGCAAACTTCTTTAACCAGCAGATGCGGAATAACATTTATTTCAGGCAAAAATCTAAAAGACCTAGAAAATTGTTCTTTTACAGAGTAAATTATTAGCCGCAAATTAAAAATCATAAAACATATGGCTAATTGGTTCAAATAGGCCGCATCAAGAGCTACAGTTTTTGTATTTACGGTTTTTGTCTATCACATACGCTGCTCGTAATATTTGAAAAAATCCATTTTGAAATCGCTATTTCGAGGGATGACAAGACGCGATGACGTCATTGATTATTATGGCGCACAGCATGGTTTCAGAAAAAACTTATTTTCTCGATCCAGGGCTATAACCTCTACTTCGTACATTGTTTGAATCATATACAGGGTGTGTCATTTATGGGCAAAAAATCTAAAAGTTCCAAAAAATTTCCGTTTTTATGGGTTAATTATTGGCGATAATTGATTAACTGCCAGAGATGAGATGATTTGATTTGAACAGTATCGTAAGCTGTGTCGAAAGAGAAATTCAGTTTTCGCCTATAATACACGGTCTAATGTAATGTAAAATGTAAAAAATGTAATTTTCAATCGCAATTACCAGTACAAATTTTAATATTTATCGAAGTTTGCTGTAATTAATAATTAATAATAAATCGAACTTGCTGACGATTGGCCTATCATCCTGATGACTTCTTCAGAGCTTAACTGAAACTGACTTGCACTCTCTCGCTTGTTTGAGGATGACGGAGCTAAATGAGGGAGATCAACAGGGCCTCGAATGACGGAGTCCCGTATTGGTTAGGTTAGGTAAAAACCTGAGTCCCGGTTAAGATTGTTCTTGGGTAGAAGAATTAATTACATGCATCGAATAAGATTGCATGGTTGCGTTCGGCCACTATTGATGAGTTTGTTTTGTCGTAGCTTTAAGGCTGGTTCATGTTCTTTGAGCCTAGTTAATATATTTCCCCCGTATTCTCCAATGGACTCTTTGCATCATATGTATGGAATGCTGTTCTGGTATCTTAAACGGAAGTGGAAAATTTGATTTTAAAGAATAGATGCAAGGTGTTTTAATTCTGGGAGTTGCCACGTTGCCACAACGAGATAACGTTTTACATGGAGAAATATGTCATAACGCTTGTTTCATATTCGCAGACGCTCACTGGGTAAATATGGCAACGCTGCGGATTCTTTCTTTTACAGCCATCTGCGTGTTTTCGATGATGTATTTTGAAGCAAAACCAAGCAACACAATAGTGAGGTTATGAAATCGTGGTATACTTTATTATAAAAATAAAATCTAAACAAAAAATTGCTTTTACCATACCGAATATCCAAGGGCAACAGTAATCACCCACTTCAATGGTGAGTAATTTGATGATTCGTTCTAATGTTTATGAAATATTAAACATTTTGGAAAATTTTGGCAGCCTTTTGCAAATATGTTTCTAGTTTTTTAGTATAATATAATTTTTAATATAATTTAGCAATAATATGTGTACAAAAAATCGAGCACTACAGAAGCGACTTTAATAGTCTTATGAGAGCTAATTTAGTCATTTTTTACTTATTTTAATACAAAAACTAATCACATGCTTATACTGAAAAAATGATAATGAGATTTTGTTCTAAAGCCTAACCCTAATAGTCCGATTTTTTTTATTATTATTCAATAAACATCGAGTTTAATACTCTTTCTTCTAGTTATTCGTCCATTTGGATATTTTTCAGCAAATCCAAATGCGTTCCGTTCTTAACAATTAACCAAAATCGTTAATATGACTTAAAAGAGCTAATGAATCGGACGTTTTAGAATTGCAGAATCATCTCGAGAGGTTTAATGTCTACCGTAAAAATCACAGATTTTATTTCAATCTCAATAAAGGCTGTGCAATGCAGTTTCCAAGAAAAAAAGATTGCTTTCGAAAAATCGTAACTGGCCGGGGCAAGTTCGTAGCGTGTAGCGCCAAGCAGCTTTTTATTATGAAAGGAAAGAGCTTCGCGGATTCTTGTCCTAGAGGGACACATTGTTTTTCTATCGTGCTCCTACGGACCACTATGGAACTTTCGCTAAATCGATGTAATTTGAATGTGAATACACCCTGTATAAAGTGTCCTCCACATATTAAAATTTGTACTGGTACTTGCAATTTAAAATTATATTTTTTCAAATATCTTGCGACCCCTGTATTATAGACGAAACCCTAAACTCTCTCCTGACACAGTTTACGATACTATTCACAACAAATTATCACATCTTTAATCTCCGTTTCGATTAACCTTGCTTTTTGGTCCATTATTGTATTGTGTTCTTTTGTAGGCTAAAGTGTTTTTTTTATACTCTTCAATCTCTGCACAATATTTCTGAATTAATTTTCTTGAAGCAATCCTCATTTCCTTGGACTTTTTGTTGTCTTCTGTCTTCCATAAGATTCAGAATTTTTTCTGTCATCCATACTTTTTTCTTGGGTTTCTTGCCTGATTTCCATTTGCTGTCCATTTTATGTTTTATATTACGCGGTTTACGCATTTTAATAACGCGTTTCGTCGAAATAACTTGTTATTAGAGACCATAATTAATTTTCAGATTTGTGGATCGATATCCCTAATCGCGATGGACGAGCACTAACAATTTGCGTCAATTGAAAAACCCGACGATATATCGGGCGTCCCAGTAAAGTGATTTATTAGTTTACGCCTTTTGGCTAATAAGATAAATACTCTATAAAAATTGTCTTCCGATGGAAGTAGCCCCCAGGATACGCAGCCAAACGTTAGTAAGAAAAGAAAAAGGAATATGAACATGTAGAAAGTGAACCCCTGTGCAAGTAAGTTATAGTTAGAGAGTATTTTATTGTGGGCTATAACATTCGTGAGATTTATAAATTAAATTTATTGTAGTAGAATTAAATGTACATAAGAGAGCTGAAAGATTTAGGCCAAACTAAATGAAGCTAAAGAAAAGTGTAACAATCGAAACGAAGTTGTAAGTATGCCTCTTCCCCATATTTCCATGCAAGAGATATTTTATTAGTCATAGTTTTGGATTTATGGCTTTTTTACACATACCACGAAGGGCAGGTACACAAAAGACACGACGAGGTTTGCTCTTTCCTATCGATTATGTTTTTCCTGAGATGCTATCACTACTGGCAACTAAACGATTCAAATAAAATTACCACTACTTTTCAATGCCAGGGCATACGAAAAACGAATTTTGAGAAGAAATGACAAGGTCTACCTCATTTTTATAAATCTTTATGTAGTATTAAAAATATTTTAAAAACCTTTAGTTATTTGTAAAATGGGAGGAAGTTAATAATCATAAAATGTAGGAACAATCTGGTCTTTTTCGACGGGACAGTGTCAGTAATTTAGTTATACAGAGATTTTGCCAATGACGCAATTTTTAGGAATGGAAAAATTTTAATTATTTAAATTCAAAAAGCAGGCTACACAGTTTTAAGTAGTAATATTTTGCTTCCTATCAAATTTTGTTGCTTATTTTTTTCCATTCAATAATTCACTGCTAGCAATATCCTTTATCGAGAATATTGAGACAGCCAAGGCACAACTTTGAGACACACTGTAACTGACGTAATACCGATAAGCACCACTTAGATTTTGTTTAGATATTATTTTCAAGAGTCGCTGTTTCTTATAAATTGAGAAAATTTGATACAGCACCCCAGTACTGAAAAATCACGATGTACAGCCAACTTCTAATAGGCGTGTTAATGATATCATTGGTAGTAAGTTGACTCATTTTATTATCAAAAGCTAATCATAATAGGTGCATTTGAGATATTTCCAAGTCAAACAGCATACACTGTACAACAAAAAATATGAAATAAAAATTGATCAAAATGTTATTCAGAAAAATTGTTTAGAATTAAAAGTCATGCCTTAATGTCAAAACAATACCTACTAAGAGAGAAAAATATATTGTTCGAAAAATATTAACAATTTCCTTTTTTTCAATAATTTTAAACAATGTCGTAGATTATTTAAAATCAAATCAATTTAGCAAATTTTGTTCAAATCGCATCAATTTTATAAACATTCTCTTTAAGTTGCCAAATAATTGCTAATTATAATAAGCATATTAAGAAATCGCTATTTAAATATAAACATTTTTATTTTAAATGAATAATAACAATCGCAGATAATTGTCAAAAACTATAATATACAAAATAGGAAAAATAACGAATTTTAACTAATTATGAATAAAGCATATATAAAAAGCAGGAAAAATAAAAAAGAATAAACCTTACCCAAAAATTTGCCAACAATTTGAGAAGTGTGCCCGTGTTCATTGGCAAAATCAAGAAAACTTTGTGAGCACCATTGTCAAAATTGTATGTATTTGCAACAAGAAAATTTTGAATATGGGAAAAAGGCGTGAACTACAAAATCCGTTGAGTTGAGTCTGTATAACAAAGCAATGCTTGGGTCACAGGGAACACTAGAACTTCGTCTGCCTTTATAACATATTCTCTTAATTCTCCAACTTGTCAATACGATCCACTGTATACTTGATTTTTGAGGTGACCCCTTACAAAGAAATCAAGGGGTTTTATGTCCAGGGATCTCGCAGGACTGCCTGGTCACAGGTTGCCTTGTGTGGCAGTGCACCGTCTTGTTGGAAAAACATTTATTGCAGAGCCGCCACTGCAAGGTTCGTAAGATGTTCTGTTAAGTTTGTTTGTAAAAGGTTTAAATATCTCTCAGAATTTAAGTTATCATGGAAAGACTATGGATCAATTTTGTGGGTACCAAATACCAAACCAAACTTTAAATGCCATAATACAGTGTGATTACGATTCAAGAGTCCACAATTTTCATTATTATCATCTGGATGTTTGTTCATTCTTACCTTAGCGAAAACCCCATTGACTTTCAGACGCCTATACATAGTTCTACCCGGTTCAAATATTTACGGACGTTTATTTAAATATATTTTTTCGTCTTTTAATTCGTTTCTACGGTCGAGAATTGAAAACTCATGATGTAAAATAAGTGGTGCGATATCAATCTTATTTTTGGTATTTGTCCTGAATATTTCAGTTCCTATGATAAGGAAGATCTATGGCTTCTCAGAAATGACAATTTTCCTTTTCTTGTATCTACATCAGGGTACCGACTTATTATAAAACGAAGCTAAATTATATACGCTAATTAATAAAGTCCAATAATTTTTTTATTCAAAATCCCTGCCCAAATGTTGATGTTTTGTGGGTGTGGAACAGATCCCGCATTTAACTGGAACATTTCTATCATAGTTTCATAAAACTGTAATCAACTTCTAATAAAATGTTTAATTTTACGTTTTCATTAGTTTTTGGACGATCTGTGGATTTTGTTGTGGGTCTTTATGAATATTTTTCGTTAAAAAAATTAGAAACATCTCATTTGTCTCCATATTCTCCATGTTCATTATAAAATTATTGTTATTTAGACCGATAATCACTGTTCCGGTTTATGAAAAAATATTAGAGAAAGAAAAACTTTTTGTATTCTACGATAACAATGACATTTTAGTATCCAATCAGTCTGGTTTTCGTCATCAACATTCGTGTGAGTCTAATAATAGTTAATGTATGTGACAACTTCCTCAAAGCTGTTGATAGTAATAATCTTATTTTTGCTGTGTTCTTGGATTTTAGGAGAGCTTTTGAAACTATTGATAGGTTTACGTTGTTAAGAAAAATGGAAAAGCTAGTTTCAAATTAGTTCAGATCTTGTTTGTGTAACAGAAAGCAAAAAGTTTAAAAACAATTTAAAAATAGTGTTTCTGATACAATGTATCCAGTACCGCAAGGAACTGCTGTATATTAATGACATAGTTAAGGTAATTAACGATAGCAAAATCGAATTATTTGCAGATGATACAATGTTATATATAGTTGGTAGTTACATAGATCAGATGAATCGTATTATTAACAGTGAATTGAACCGAATATATGAATGGTTATGTAAACACAAAGTCAAAATTTTGTATTTTTGGGAAAAATTGAATACTGTTAACATAGAAAACATAAAAATTGAAATAAATAATGACATGCTAGTCCACGAAAATAAAATTAAGTACCTTGGAGTCATGTTAGACTCAGAACTAACGTTACGACCGCATGGTGATTATATAATGAGAAACATTTCACAAAAAGTAGGATTTATATGTAGAATAGGCCATAGTCTTTCCATGTACACCAAATACCTTTTATATAACAGCATCGCGGCATCTCATCTGAAATTTTTATCCACACTCCTTACTGAACTATATAATAAATGCGTTTCAAGTAATTCAAAATAGGGCATTCAGACAGATCTTAAAGTGTAACAGACACACTCCTTTAAACCTAATGTTAAACAAGGAATTATTTATGATGCAAATATTTTTATGTATAAGTTAAGAAATAAACTATTACCGCAATGATTTTATTTTAGTAGATAGGTATTGCTCTAACCAAATGACAATTTCTATTCTGCATAAGGGTCTCTCCGAAAAAAAAAAACTGCCAAAAATACCTTAAAAAATTGTGATAATTTCAATAACTTAATATAGTTAATAGTTATGTTGAGGCAATATGTGAATACGTCGAGATTTTTGCTCCATCTTATTTTTGTTTATATGTTGATTTCTAGTTATAGTTATGTTGTTTCTTGATTTTGTTTGTTCATGCATTTTGTAAAACTTTGCAAACAATTGTTTTTGTATGTAGCATCCCAAATTAATTAGAAATATTATTATTATTCTTTTGTTCATAAAAAGTAAGATATGCTACATGCCATATGAATTACGCGTGAAATTTAACACAAAAATGGATTTTACAAAAATGGTGTTCCAATTTTAAAAAAAGGAAATGCGAATCGTATATTTTCTGTTAACTGAAAAAAATGCTCAAAAAAAATGTTTCACACCATAAGTTTATGTTGAATATATTTTTTAGCGTTCTGATCTGTTGGTCGATCTTCCGGATGGCACAGTTCAGGGCGTAGAAACCGTAACCGAAAAATACACATACTATTCTTACCGAGGTATTCCATTTGCGAAGCCTCCGCTAGGAAATTTGAGGTTCCAGGTAAATATCCCCGAAAATATTGCGAATTTCGTATGGGTTATGATACATTTACTAAAACTTTGCAGGCTCCAGTGCCGAACGAACCATGGGCCGGAATTCTAGATGCTACGGAATACAAAAGTTGTTGCCTATCGATGACTTTTTCTGTAGATGAACCCCAACAAAGTGAGGACTGCCTCTACGTCAATGTTTACACGCCTCCACGAAATGTAAGTCTATTTTATCGTAACTTGAAAACGAAAAGTATCAACGAACAAAAATTCCGTATTGACAATTTCGGCGACAATGATATTGATGGAATTGTATACACTCTATCGAAAACTGGAAATGCGTGTGTTCATTGTTTACTGTTTATTCATTGTGTATTACGTATACGTGCCTCGGTAATGTCGTCACAAGCTCAGAAGCGAAAGCACAAAACACTGACAATTAAAGAAAAATGTGATATCCTAGACCGCCTAAATCGAAATGTACCATTAAAAAAAACGAGATGGACTATAGGGGGTCTTAGGCAGTACTCTATGATTCGACAAATTCGATAGTTCGACACTGCTCTGCCAAATGTTTGTCGGACCACCGGGGGTCCACTGTAATTTATTTCTAGTATAAACTTTGGTTAATTCTTAGCTTCAGCATTGTTACGAGTAGAGTTTCTAATACAAAAAGTTTTAATTCTGGAATGTAACCTATTAAAATTATTTTCAAACCGTTTAAAATCATCAAATGTGTTTTTCTTTTCAATGGAACCTTCTTCGTATTATAATACATATAATAAATTGTCAGCTAGATTTTCAATGGATTGTAATAATACATTTCACTTATAAAAAGTTTACCATCTATAACTTTAAGTAGCTAATAATAAATGATGATTTGGATAATTATACAGTTAGAACAATTCCGAATATAAATTATGTGGATAGTATTCTAGGGCGGTCTGATTCAGTTTTGTGCGTGCTGTCTATCGCCGTCCGACCCGCTTAATTTGTGTCCTCATAATTACACCAGTTTCCGTAGTTCTAACACATTTTAAATGCGCTAAAAACTTACCAGCCACCTTTAGTTGTTCTTCGGCAGACGTGAAGCAAATAATCGATCAAAAACAGTGCTCACACAATAGTATTTATAGTGTTTTAGCTGCGTTCCGCGTGGTCGGGCTTAGTCGTGTTTATATTTTTTTTCTAAGAGTAAGTTTGGCCGCGGACGGACTGCACGGATGGCGCCGAATATCAACAAGCAGCCAAGATGTTCACACTGTGAGAGATCAATAAAGGACAGTCAACCTTCAATATCATGTCGTGCCTGTCTGTCGTGGTTCCACAAGGGTTGTTCGGGTCTCACTAACCATGAGTTTAACAAGCAGGCAACTATGTGGAATAAAACCAAGGAAACCACTTGGGCATGCAATCCCTGCTTAGATATTGCACAGTCTCAGTCAGGAAGCAAGCAAACCTCGAATAGCAACCCTCGGCGCTCAATTGGACCGGGTGCTGCGTCGCTCCAAGATATCTCTGGTGGTGATGTCTCCAACCCAGCAATAACCCATAACCAAGTATCTTTAAACGACATAATGGAGAAATTAATAGTCATCGAGGCTCAGTATGTCAACCTGCTGGCGAGATACGAAGATCAAATCAAAGTTAATGCTGATCTTAGATCTGAAATTGCAGAGTTAAGGAATCAAATTGCTAATAACAATCGCAGTGACAGCACTACAGCCGTCGAACAAAGTCATGAAAACGGCATTCTGCAAGAAGTGCTGCAAAGACAGGCACGCATTAACAATTTGATGATTTTTAATCTTCGCCGAGACGAGAGCATTCCTGAATCACTTCAAATCTCTTCACTGCTCTCCAGCAGTGGATCTACGCAGATTGAAGTCACCAACGTTGTTTCCGTCGGTAAACCAAACCGCAATGGCTACAAGCCAGTTAAAGTGAGGCTGTCTAAACCCAGCGACGTGTCACTTGTGCTGAAGAGTAGGAGAACCCTCGCTGAGAATCACCAAATTTACGTCGAGGCAGATCTTTCTCCGGCGCAACGTAAGCATATTCGGGATATTGAAGAAGAACTGCAACATCGTCGCTCGAATGGTGAAAACAATCTGATTCTAAAATACATCCGTGGTGTTCCCACTATCGCAACAAAAAACCCAGCTCCGCCGCCACCCCAGCCAAAGAATTGACCTGTATGTACCAGAACGTTCGGGGTCTCAGAACTAGGACTCATGTCTTTTACAGTGGCGTAACTTCCTCAGGGTATGATATCGTTGCTGTTACTGAATCCTGGCTTCAACCAGATTTTCGGGACACTGAACTCTTTCCTGATTCTTATCTGGTCTACCGCTCAGACAGAAGGCAAGATCTAACCGGAGTCTCCAGGGGCGGTGGTGTCATGCTCGGTGTTCGTGACAGTTTTGAGTCCGCACTTCTGGATACCTCCGGCATCAGCAACAGTGCTCCAAGCATAGACTTTTTAGGCTGTAAGATCTCTTTAGATTACTTTGTATTTTATGTATTTTTAGTATACATTCCTCCCACTGCTGCCAACTTCGAAGTTGAGAACTTTTTTGAATCTTTGTCGTCGCTGGACTTGTTGTTTGGTGGATCTGTCTTGCTGTTGGGTGACTTCAATATTCCTTCTTTCACTGTTTCAGCTCCTGTCAATGTCCGGCATAGATCCCTACTCAACCTCAGCGCCATATTGAATCTTAAACAGCAAAACTCTGTAACTAACCTAAATCACCGTTGCTTAGATCTCGTTTTTGCCAATTTCGACGTTGCGATAGTGAGAAACGCAGTACCACTTATCGACGAGGATCCACACCATCCCTCGTTAATAGTTTCTCTCCAAGTCGCTTTTCCATACGTCTCTAATTTTCCAATCAATAGGAATGATCAAACGCAATTTAACTTTAGGAAGGCCAACTATCCTCATATGTATGAACTGATGCAGCATGCAGACTGGAATAGTGTTATGGAGTGCTCGGATGTAGACAGGACTCTAACACTTTTTTACGACATGCTAAACAATATTTTTGCCCTCTGCACGCCCACTAAAACACCGAGACGAAGGCGCTTTCCATCATGGTTCACTAAAGAAATGATCGCAACTATATTTGAGAAGGAGAAAGCTTTCCGCAATTTCAAGCAATACAAATCTGCTTATTATTTTGGCCGATATACCGCGCTACGCAAGTCAATCAAGTTCCAGTCACGCATTGCCTATACTGATTTTCTTTGTCGGGCTGAGTTGAGTATACATGATAGTCCTACCAATTTCTGGTCATTTATTCAGCGGAAGAAGGCAGATTCGCGAATCCCAGCTTCGATGTCCCATTCTGGTCAGCCATGCCAAGGACCTAATATGGTTGTTGCAGCTTTTGCTAAGTACTTTGGTAGCGTTTACACCATATCCCAGCCAGATCCCTGTTCATCTTCAGGCGTGTCCTCTAATCCGGAACTAGTGAACATACCTAAGCTTACTATCCAGGATGTCTTGTCAGCAAGCAAAGCACTCAAGAACAAAATTACCGCTGGTCCTGATGGCATACCAAGTTTTATCGTGAGAGACTGTTTCCACGCACTGTGTGCTCCTTTATGTCACGTTTTTAACCTGATACTTGAGACGGGTGTTTATCCAGAGCCTTGGAAATATGTCAAACTTTATCCTATTCTCAAAAAAGATGATCCCTCTGTTGTTGAAAACTACCGGCCTATTTCGATCTTGTGCGACTTTTCTAAAATATTCGAGATTATATTAAATAAATTTATTTTTGCTCAAATTAGAAATAAACTATCTACCCAACAACATGGTTTTTATGCGAAAAGATCATGTATCACTAACTTATGCTCCCTGTCTTCGTATGTCTGTGACTCTCTGAACAAGCAAGGTCAAGTTGACGTTACATACACTGACTTCCACAAAGCATTTGACCAGATAGATCATCACTTACTGATTGAAAAAGCATCTCATAAATTTGGTTTCTCTGATTCGCTGATTACAGTGTTGAGGTCCTATTTGGTGAATCGTCGACAGTTTGTTGAGATTGAGGGGTTTAGATCAGTTCCTTTTGTTCCAACTTCTGGCGTGCCTCAAGGTTCTAACCTTGGACCTCTGCTTTTCAATATATTTATAGATGATCTCGTATCTTCGATCATCTGCAACAAGCTTGCCTATGCGGATGACCTAAAGCTATACGAGAGCATTGAAACTGGCATGGACTGCATGACTCTCCAGGACAACATCAGTATTGTCAGTCAATGGTGTACCAGAAATAAATTGCATCTTAACATCAGCAAGTGTAATGTGGTTTCATACCACCGCACAAAAACTCCTGTAGTCTTTGATTACAATATGGATGGTACTGTCCTGACTAGACTTGCTACCTCACATTACAAAAATGGTTTCCAGTGCAATGCAAATTTTAGGATTCGTAATAAGAAATTGCAGGCATTTTTGTAGCTCAGCTACTGGTTAATTATTTTAACTGTTACGTTAGGTCCAAGCTTGACTATGGTTCACTGATATGGTCACCAATTTATCACTACCACACTCAGTCCATTGAGAGTGTGCAGAGAAGGTTACTAAAGTATCTAACGTTCAGGGAGGACGGTCTCTATCCTGAGAGGGGAGTTGATCACGATCTTCTACTAAGAAGGTTCGCTATACTGCCCCTGAGCTTGCGCAGAGACTTGAAATCTGTTTCATTTCTCTATAAGTTAGTTCATTACGGAGTTGATTGTCCGTTTCTTCTGGAACAATTACGTTTTCGTGTGCCGCGGCTGGAAGGGAGACATCAATCAACTTTCTTACCGCAGTTACCCAGGTCCAATATCCATTTTCAAAACCCTATTTACAATATGTGTGCTACCTTCAACAAACTATCATCGCACTGCGATTTATATTATGATGGTCTCCAGGCCATACTTCAGCAACTTCGAATGGCGTCGGGTTATGCGTATCGTTAGGTCTTATCCTTTTCTTTCTCTTTCTCATTCTATCCTTCTTCATTTTTTTTTAGTTTTTTAGTTTTTAGTTGTAAGTTTAGTAGATTTAAGATTGGTTTCTACGTCCCCTAGTATATATATTGGATGATTTATATTTAATATTTCCTGTAATTGGGTCATGTTACCTGTTGGAAATAAAGTGCTATTATATATATTATATTATATAAATAGATAATAATAATATAATCTTCCTTTTGAAGGCTGAGGATTTTCTTTTGTTAAGTGTTCCATCGTTTGTGTTAGGTGGCGTTTATTTTAAACGATTTACGATTATGATACAGTATTTTCTCTAACAAATACGACTTTATAGAGCGAGTCAACGAAAGAGTAAACTTCATTATCTCATTGGTTTCAAAGCTTATTAAAAAATGTTAAATGCAAATAAATAATTGAATTTTAATTATAATTGTGTACTGGCATATTGTTTCTAATAGATTAATCATGGGACACTGCTACAAATAAAATGAAATATGAGAAAAATTAATTTTTTTGAGCTTGATATTCACTAACAAATATATTTGAAAAGCTCAAATGATTTCCAATTTGGTGGCATTAAAAAAAATATTTGCTTCACAACTAATAAACGGTGAGAGTAAGTGATAAGCAAATTACACAGCTAGATCCTACAGAAAAAATGCTATAAGAACGTTTTTTAATAAATCAATCAAAATCGATAATTTTGCATTTCACCCTGTATCTCGAAAATCAAGAGGGCAGTGATAATTTTGTTGACGGCATCTCCAATACACATGAGCTGTAAATCAAAAAATTGTAGATCTCGACACAGTTAATGATGCTGTCTAAACCAAATTATGCCATCTTTCACAGGTTTTGAGAATTGTTGCCCAAAAACAACAAACCCTGTATATAATGAACAAATGGTTCGAAGTAGAGGTTATAGCCCTGGGTCTTCCACGTAGACCATTGTCCCCAAATTTTTCCCACAGAGTAAATGGTTTCCAAGAAAATAATTCTAGTCATCGCGTCTATATTCAGTGTGAGAAATAGCGATTTTCAAATGGAATTCTTTAAATATCTCGAGCAGCGTACGTGATAGACAAAAACCATAAATACAAAAATTGTAGCTCACGATGCGTCCTATATTACTGTTAGCCGTAATTGTTAGAAATTTTGACTTACTGGAAATAATTTACTTTGGAAAAGAACAGTTTTCAGAGTCTTTTAGATTTTCGTCTATAATTGAAAAACCATGTATATAATCAAAAAAATGCTCCAAATAACGGTTATAGCACCGGCTCTTCCGCGTCTCCTGGTTAAAGAATTTTGCCAATGGGATTAATAGTTTTCGAGAAAATATTTTTTTTTTCTGATCAACGAAATTATACAAAAAAAAAAACATTTTTTTAAATACTTCGCGACATTCGACGGCGCCGAGTTTCAACAGTTTAAATGTGGGTGTGGATTTCTACCCGTCTGCAAAATTTGAAGTCGATAGTTGCAAATTTAAGATGCTTGCTGCATTTCTTTATATAGCACGAAATAAATTAAACACCCTGTAAAATAGGTGAAAACCCCAAATACAAAAGTTTTTAGCTGTGCATACGGGCTATATGACCATGTAAAAAAAACTGACTATTGAAGCATAGCCTTCTAGTTATGATCAATGACCATTATAACGAGACCCCAATTTTCTCTTTCAAAAAATTTTTTGGATCCCATAAACGGTTTTCGAGAATTGACTATTTTCTTGAACCCCTGCAAACGCGATTTTTAATTTTTTAAAAATACTTCGCGTCCCCCCAGCCCACCCAATTTCAGTAGGTTTTGTTAGGAACCGAAGCACTTATCCTGTTTCATAGCGATATCCAAAAAACAGTCGAAAATCGAAAAAAAAGACGGCTGCCGAAGTTCAGAAGCGGTCATTTTTACATATCCTGTGCATCCCGTGGATTGTTGAAAAGGAGCACAATTTGAATTGTCCAACTCAAACACTTAGAAAGTTATCGTCGAAAAACTCCGGTAATAGAGAAACGAAGAACGGAGAACGGACAGACAAAAAAATGTTTTGTTTTTCGACCCTGATTCTTTCTGTACCAATGGCGGTCCCATAGGACCTACCGTTGCGAAGATCTCGAGTTTTGTGAGGAGTGTTTTAGGAGGATTTAGTGCATTTTTCAGAGATCCATAGAACACAAAAAAAATTATCAAAATCGAAGGTTAAACAAAGATTTTACAAGGGTGCACATGGAGATATTATTATGGACACAAAAGAAAAATTGAAAGTATGGAAAAACTATGTAGAACAACTGTACGAAGATCAGCGAGATGAAGAAAGTAGTGAGTATGTATGTGATGATATTGGACCAGAAATAACGAAGGACGAAGTAGAACACATCATCAAGGAAATGAAAACCGGGAAAGCTACGGGACTGGATGAAATACCAGCAGAAATTCTTAAACTCATTGACAATCATAACATACATCTTCTAACACATCTCTTCAACAGTGTATACAAAACTGGAATTTTACCGAAAGAGTGGCTACAATCAACATTTATAACTATCCCCAAAAAGACCAACGCAAGACAGTGCTCGGACCATCGTACCATCAGCTTAATGTGTCACATACTTAAGGTACTTCTGAAAATCATCCATCGCAGAATATATAAAAAGTTAGAAATAGATATTGAGGATACGCAGTTCGGTTTTAGGAATGGACTAGGGACTAGAGAAGCACTGTTTGCCTTCAACGTATTAACGCAGCGGTGCTTAGATGTAAATCAGGATGTGTACGTTTGTTTTCTGGACTACAATAAGGCATTTGACACCGTCCAACATAAAACACTCATTAGACTGCTTAAAAGTAAAAACATTGACTCTAGAGACATAAGAATAATAAATAATTTGTATTACCAACAAGAGGCCGTGATAAGGGTACACAATGAGGTGACAGACAGAATAAAAATAAAAAGAGGTGTTAGACAGGGATGTGTCTTATCACCATCTCTGTTCAACCTATACTCCGAAGAAATATTTAAGAGAGCACTCCAAGATGAAACAGCTGGAGTAAAGATTAATGGCTTACCCGTTTGTAATATTAGATATGCCGATGACACCGCGCTAATAGCAGAAAATATGGATGATCTACAGAGAATTACGAACAAAATTGTAGAAGTAAGCGAAGAGTTTGGGCTATCACTCAATACAAAGAAAACTAAATTTATGATAATTACAAAAAAATCTATTATAAATACAAACCTTTATATAAAGAATGAACAGATAGAACAAGTAAGGAATTATAATTATCTGGGGACGAACATTAACGAGACAAATGACTATTCCAAAGAAATCAGAATAAGAATAGAAAAGTCCAGAAGTGCTTTTAATAATATGAGGAAATTGTTGTGCAGCAGGGATTTGAGCTTAAGTTTGAGAGTGAGGATGCTTAAATGCTATGTTTTCTCGGTCCTCTTGTATGGCGTGGAGGCCTGGACTTTGAATAAACAATGCCTGAATAAACTAGAAGCTTTTGAGATGTGGACGTACCGAAGAATTTTAAGGATATCCTGGACGGACAGAATGACAAACGAACAAGTACTTGTGAGGATGGACAAGCAACGTGAAATAATGGATACGGTCAAAATAAGAAAATTGCAGTATCTGGGGCATATTACACGCGGAGAAAAATATAAATTGCTACAACTGATTATGCAAGGTAAAATCCAAGGTAAACGGAGTATCGGAAGGAGAAGGATGTCATGGTTGCGTAATCTGAGAGAATGGTTTGGATGTAACTCCAACCAATTGTTTCGTGCTGCAGTCTCAAGGATACGAATTGCATTGATGATTGCCAACCTTCGCAGCGGAGATGGCACGTGAAGAAGAAGAAGACAGTTCTTAAGTTGAACACACTGTATATTTGTGAAGCCCTTGACGGATGCAATTATACAGGTTGTCAAAATTCAAATTAAACATACAGTTATTTTAATCGTACAATCCTAAGATGTTACGATGTATACGGAGTTAAAAAAATCATAATTTTTCTGTTTTCTCGCCAGATAACAGAGAAACTGCCGGTAATGCTGTCGATATATGGTGGAGCGTTTGGAACCGGATGTGCCGCAGCTACTGTCTCAGACCCCCACCCTCTTGTGGCAGAAGACGTCATTGTGGTTTCGTTCAATTACCGTGTCGGTTTGTACGGTTTCCTGAGTACCAACGACAGCGTGATTTTAGGCAACGCCGGACTTAAGGACCAACTCTTGGCGATGAAATGGACCCAGAAGAACATTGAATTTTTCGGCGGCGATCCAGACAAAGTGACTATATTTGGCGCGAGCGCCGGTGGCATATCAGTCGGGATGCATGTAGCGAACAAGAAATCGACAGGATTATTCAGAGCCGCGATCTGCCAGAGCGGCTGTGCGCTAACGCGATTATCTTCCACGTCTCAACTTGATCCGAAGAAAGCTGCCTACGACATTGCCAGATCTATCAATCCCCTGATCTCGCAGAGCAGCGAGGAGATCAGGGATTTCCTGCAGAGTGTACCGGCGGATGTTTTGACTAACGCTTACAACGCAAATCCCCAGGTAAGTGTAAAGTTGTTTTGAAATTCAGGGTGTTTTCTAAGTGAACGTCAATAACTTTGGGTCTGTTTTAAAAAGATACAGAGTGGTAAAGTATTTAGAAATAAAATACATATTTTATTAATATTTGTAATACCACTTTAGATATTCTAATGAAATTTGGCACACATGTATTATGTATCGGTTTTTGCCAATCATCCTGCTGGCTTCTTCAGAGCTTCACTGAAACTGCCTCGTACTTTACTCTCTACCTTCTTATATATTGTTTGAGAGGGCGGAGCTAAATGAGGAGCATACAGACAGATCATATCGTCAACTTAAAAAAGATCCTACGTCATCTATGGATCGCAACCTTAAATCTGTTATTAAGGCTTCTTCTCTATCAGACTCCGTGAAAAAATCTGTTACCCCACATAACTCTAAAATTCCTCGTCTCTACGAACTTCCAAAGATTCACAAACCAGGATTACCCCTTCGACCTATTGTCAGCACCATTGGTTTTCCAACATATTCTCTAGCAAAATATATAGCTTCATTATTAAAACTCCTTACGGGGAAAACTGACAGTTTCGTACTTAATTCCTTTCACTTCATTGGACAATTAAAAAGCATTACATTGAATAAACAAGATATTCCGGTTAGTTTCGACGTTACGAAAGTTCTTATTCCTGAAACTCTGGACATCATTTCAGATATATAGAAGACCGAGAATCTAGAACCAAACTTTCTCGCCTTAATTGAAAAATGCTTGTCGGGAACATATTTTTAATAATAATAATAATAATAATAATAATATGTCTTTATTCATGTTGACAGAATATTTACAAAAACTTATAAAGTAGGTGGCGGTATTCAACAGAGTTGCTCATACAACCACCAGATTAACCAAATAACATATAAAATATATCCAAAACACAGACTAAGAGAATAACAAGATTTTCTTATAAAGGTCAAATTTTTGAACAAACGTCGGGAACAGCTATGGGTTCTCCACTGTCACGAGTCATCGCGAATATATTTATGGAAGCCTTTGAGAAGAAAGTTCTCGATACCTTTCATCTAAAACCAAAATGATGGAAACGCTACGTCTAGACATTTTTGTTATTTGGCCTCACGGTCAAGAAACCCTAGTAGATTTTCTTAGACATTTAAACTGTATAGACCCTAACATACGTTTTACTATTGAATTGGAAACTAATAATAACCTTCCATTCTTAGATATTCTTATCAATAGAAAATCCGAGACCTTAATGCATGGTCACACCACCATCCGGGCCAAAAATCATAGGTTATCAATTCTCTTGTTTACAGAGCCGTAACCGTCACTGAACCCAGAATTAAAACACTTTATATCTGCTCTTCTCTCTAATAATTTCCCACATTAAAGATACTAAGCGTTCCATCAAAAAATACACTTCACCACAACCTTCCAATAGCAATGAGGCCGAAAGCAATCCTACATTTATCACTGTGATCCTTCCTTACATTCAAAACATCACTGACCACATATCAAAAGTTCTAAAGAAGTATAACGTCAAAACCAGATTTACATCTTCGGTCCGTTAAAGACAAAATTCTATTTGAGATGTCAGGAGTTAACAGCATTCCATGCATATGCGGCAAAGAATACATTGGAGAGACCGGACGAAAAAAATCAACTAGACTCAGAGAACCCGAAAGAGCCTTACGACTAAGACAAGTAAACTCATCAGCTGTTGCCGAACAACTAAAATTCTTGCATGTAATCAGTTCTTCTTCCAACGAAAAATCCGAGAGTCTATAGAAATCTATAAACAACCTAATAATCTTAACCGCGACTCAGGTCTCTACCTGTCACCAATATGGGAATCAGTCACCCGAGACGGAGTTTGTGCCCCTCATTTAGCTCCGCCTCCCTCAAACAACATATAAGCAGGTACAGAGTAAAAAACGAGCCAGTTTCAGTCAAGCTCTGAAGAAGCCAACAGGATGATTAACGAAACGTCAGCAAGTTCGTAAGTTCGGAAGTTTTGTAAAAAGTATTACAGTAGCCTGTGGAAATTTCTTTAAATGTACGAGGCATCACGAGGCTTTATTTAGTGCACCACAATTTTTAAAACATGAACCAGTGACGGGTGCACGAAATTATATATTTTTCCTATTTCCGATTTTTACTAACCAATCTTGTTTAATAAGTCCTCTACTGATTAAAGTTTCATACACATTTTTTCAAATCTGTTTTGTATCAAGCCACAAATTACATTTTTATATTTAAAGAAATATATCAGAAAGAAGCCATATGCCTGGCCCACCCCTGCCTTGTCACTCAAGTGACTTTGGGTGTGTCTTTGCTCAATAACAATAATTAATAACATAGTTGAGGTTTTATTGGTGACTGGTGACTATACTGGGGGTAGTAATGAGGCAATTAATGTGTATTAGAGGAATTGGTTATCTAAAATCGTTTTTACAGACAGGACCCATAATAGAAGTCGACGATGAAAATGCGTATATAACGGAGCCTCAATTCCATTCGATCGAATCTGGAAACTTCAACCAAGTGCCTCTCATGATAGGAACAACTGCCGCCGAATTACTTACGTTTTACGGGCGTGAGTAGTGACGAACGTTAATTTTGAATTTGAAAAATAAAATTTATCGTTTCAGTTCTGTGGGCTGAACTTATAGCCATCGCACTTTCTTTTGATTTGAATGAGGAGTCGTTGATACCCTTCAGCCTGAACCCATTGCCGGGTACCAATTTGACCAAAGTTGCAGGTTTGATCAAACAAGCCTACTCTGACAATGAATCATTTGTGTTAAATTTGGGCCCATTTATTGAGGTAACTACTTCTATCACGTTCTAACTGCTTTCGACTAAATAATACTAAATACTAATTTTTTCTACTTTGGTGATGTTTTAATCTAACTAGAATATTTTCTTTTATCAACAATAACATAATATTTCGCATTCGTATCGTCATAATAACAACATATATTTTTGTGCTTATATTCACCGCGAACTATGGAGATAGTCCAAATATTACCGTGATGTACAGTGCGTTCAATTCATCTTCATAACATTTTAATTGGCTCTAACTTTGTAAACAAAAAAAAAGAAATGTAACGATTAAAACAAAACGCTACTAATTTTCTGATATATAAACCTAAATCATATTTTTTAAAATGGAAAATGGATTGCAATGGTGTATATTTTAGTCCACTCCTTTTTGAAAAATCGGCAAAAATACAATACTTATTTACAATAATTATTAACAAATTGAAGTAGAACAAAAACACTAAAAATGACAAGACACACTAAAATAAAAAAAGTCTTTGACTATTCTAAATACTGCTATATGTGACCACCACTTTCCTGAACACATTTCTCATACAGTCTAATTGTATAATGTCTTACATTTAGTAAGGTTTCCGGGTTGTCTCTTAACTGATTGATTGCCTCTGAAATCCTTTAAACGCCATTAAACTTAAGTCGGGACTGTTGGCTGGCCAATCCATAGTTCCGCCGTTCACTAACCAACCGCAGGGATATTCTATGTTAAGAAAATTTTTAACTTGCACAATATTGCGATAAAGGGCACCGCCTTATATATATTGGTGCTCTAAGAGTTGCAAAATAATGATCTCCAGTTAAGTTTTGATCTATAAATATCGGACCCAAAATATGCCTATCTATGACACCACACCATACATTAATTGATTGGTAACTTGGGTTTCTATTTCTATTTGTCTAGGATTATTTTTGTATTTTGTCTATTACAACCCTTTCTTGTAGTAAACGAACTTTCATCAGTCTATAAATATCTTTCAAAAAATTATTATTCTCATTTAAATAATGTAAACAAAACTGCATCCTCCTTTGACATTATTCTGCTCTTAGTTTTTGAGTTTTACGAAATTTAAATATTTGTATTCTCTCAAAACCGAATGGATTGATCCCCGGGAAATACCTGCCTCTTATATATACTATAGTAATAGAGGAAACTGGATGTGCTTCAGAGAATAATAATATGCTTGCCTTATTTTATTCATTTAAAACATTATGATTCCGGCATACCTTTTTAGCATTTAATACATTACCGTTTTATGCAAATTTTTTTGCCCGCCTTGGAAATATCTGTTTTGAGGGAACTGAACGCTCTGAATGCGGTTGCACTTTTATCATTATATTAATATGTCAAACATATTAATATTTTGATTTGTCAGTCAGCGCGTTCTTTGAAATTATATACAAATTTTTCTATTTTGCCGATTTGTCAAAAACAAGTGGACTAAAATATAAAGTTTGCTACGTCATTGCAATCGGAATAAGATATTCTATTAAACTCATATATAATATGTTCCATTTAAAAAAATATGATGTAGGTTGATTGATTAAATTTAATTGTGTTTTGTTTTATACGTTACTTGGAAAAAAAACTTGGCTACTAACCCGACTTTTCGTTTTTTGGTTTACTTCGATATTTCTAAAAACAAAGAGGTTACAGCCAATTAATAGGTTATCAAAATATATCACATTTTGACGAAACAAAATTTGTTCTGACGTTCAATATGAGATCTAAGGAATAGGATTGAATGAAATAGAACTTTATTAGAGTGTACAAAATAACATTGATGCAATGTCGAAGAGAAGTAACTAATACCTATTATATTAAAGACAAATCTAATATTAAGAGTATATAAAATTTGAAAATTCATTATTATTATGACTAAGCAACTCCAAATATTCAATAGTGTTATCAAAGACATTATGAGCAAAAAAAATATTTCATTTTTGTTAGTAAGGTTTATGCAAATATGTTGAAAAAATAAGAATTAATACGCATATTTTTAAGAGTTAAGTGTTTTTTCCTTGTGGATGCCGCAGGGTTCACTTTAGCTGTTTCATCAACTGTTTTACCCGCTGCATGAGAAACTTCATAACTACAAGAAACGTGTGTCCATCTCAATTATTACCATCACAATAAAATGTGCTATTAAATCTATCAAATTGTTGTAAGCCATAAGAGACTTCTTCTTTGGTAAGTATGTGAAAATATCTTGCAGAAAATGTATATTACGCAGTTATTAGAGTGTTCAGTATTTTTTTTAATGAAAACTTCTTCAATAAACAGACTTAGTTTAAATTTAAAAATAGAAATGTAATTTTTTACTGTAAAATAAACAATTTAAAGGTTTAGGTAAATGCAACGATTATAACCAATTTTGAAGGTGGTTGATCCTTATTTTAACATAATTTAATAATAATTTATTTATTGACTTTAACAACTCTACGGTTTACACAAATCAGCAAAAACATTAAGCAAAATCTACATATATGTATAATTACAAAGCCACCGCGATATAACACAAAAAACGCTAACCATTATTAAAATTGGCAATAACGTAATCAAATGAGTAATAAGCCCCATCCCGCAGTTCTCTGACTCTTAGAGGCAACAGATTGAAGAATTTAGGTTCATATTTCTTATAATTTCTAGTCTTTGCAATTCTTGAGTAGTAAATCAACATATCATTTCTGTTTCTGGTGAGATGATGGCAAAGATTAATATGAATCGGATATTGATCCTGGTTGCTTTTAGTATGCTTTAATGCCGAATAAATATAATAATAGGGAACAGTTAATAATTGCAGATCTTTAAACTTTGCTCTTCATCCTCATCGTCATCCCTAAAATTCAACTGCGTCATCGCCCTGATGGCTCACCTTTATATCGAAAACACTCTTTCGGTATGTGAGGACTAACACCAAACCAAAATTGCGTAGCTGAATAATCCTGTAAAGAGTGAAAAATATACCATTCTATCTATACTTTGAGAGACCTCGCCGACCAAACCGCGCAACAATCGCAGAGCTTCTCGCAAAGACCAATAATGTACTGTCAATAACGTCAATTTCGGATCAAGCAGAACCCCAAGACAGTTCACATGTAATGGATTGTTGAATGTTGACTCGAGTAAAGATAATATAATTTGTTGTTTTTGATTCATTGAGGTTAAGTTTGTTATCACGAAACCAATCACTAGCCCCAGACTATGCCTCCTCTATCCTGTGCACCAAGTCGTATCACCATCCATTCAGGAACACGATCTGCCTCCTGTTAAAAAGATAACTTTAAAGGAATCCAACCAATGAGGGATCCACACCATACCACTGTAATTTACTCATAACGAAGACAAGAAACACTTCAAAGGAATTTAATATTTTGTGCAATCTCCATCCACATCAATCCCAGTTTGAAGTCTTGAAAGGAGTTATGAAGTTTTCTTCAAGCGACACTTCTTCCCATACTGCCTGAATACCTTGCCCTAAATCTTTGCACTTTTGGAGGCATAAAATTTCTTCAATGCAGCTGTTTCAACATTAACCTCCACATGTTTTTGATTGGGTTGATGTAGTGTTATTTCGTCCATACACTTTTCCCGATTTTCACTGCTATGTTGTTTAACTCTAACGTTTAAAGGCCTTCTTGTTTCTCCGATATATGACTCTCCACATTCATAGGGTATTTGGTAAATACTTTCACTTTCTTGGCGTGAATGGTGGGACATAAATCGGAGAAACAAAAAGACCTCTAAACGTTAGAGTTGAGGAACAATAAGCGGTGAGATCAAACCAAAATGGTTGGTTTTCAGTTTGCCAGTGACACCGACTTCGTACGATCGTCGCTCAAACATGCCGAACTTCAATCCAACTACACTCCTGTCTATTTCTACCAGTTCTCATATTCCGGACCAGTGGGTCAATTTCATGTGATTGTTGATGGTGCCGGAAAAACGGGACACGGAGAAGATGAGATGTATCTCCTCGACGTCCCACTTTTCCAATTAACCACAGAAGAGGAGTTTCTAACTAGAAGGAGAATGGCCAGACTATGGACCAACTTTGCCAAGACGTTGTAGGTTACGTTCTCGCGAGTCCGCATTGAAAATAGCGGAGGATTTTTATTTTTTATTATAGGAATCCAACTCCTGATGAGACGGACCCGCTTCTTAACGTAACATGGCCTCAAGTTTCGGGCTCAAATATTCCTTACCTGGATATAGATGCCACTCTGCTGGTCAAGCCCGGTAAAAAGGTTAAAGAAATGGCAATGTGGAATGAGGTTTTCTACAAATATGGCCAGAAACCCTTCCTAGGTTTCTAATAACTTTGAAAAATATAAGTTTTGGACAGCAAATTAGATTTTTATTTAACTTGCCACGTCTTTTTTCCACTGAAGATGGAGGGGAGACCGAAGCAATCCTACTATACTTTGCTCACTTTGCTACCGCTTGGAAGCAGTAAGTATAGGGCCCAAGCAGCTCAGTTTCTCAAAATATGGGCGGGGTATAAAAAAAGAAAGTAAATAAATCAAAGGTTGGAAACCTTTGCCAGCTAGGACAAAACCCCAACCTACACTATAAGTTAGTGATAGTGACTAGTGTCCTTGCTCACTAGCCACCGAACAAACTCACAAAGTTAACAAAGTTCGAACCCAAATAACCAAAAACCAAATAAATAATTAATAAATAAACCGGCACGTCAGTTTAAATCTCCATATATTGGCTCAAGTACACACTAAGCACAGGAAGCTTGGTTACGATCGATCGTTTACAAATAACTCTTACAAATGTTTCTATAATTGGGTACTTTATCTTTACCTTAACTGAGCTCTTTAATTTATATTGATATTTAAAAATTGAAATTGTATTTAATAGGAATAAAATTAACCGAAACGTAAATAGAGGCTTATCTGTGATCCTCCAGTTACCAGCAACGAACGAGTCGGGCAAGCTCTAAGATGGCTGTCCTGTATACTGCCTACGGGTTCACCAGTCAGTGGGATAGGCACGAATGCTTATCACTCTTGGACGAGGAGATATGCACTGCAACGTCCTGAACCGAGCTAACTTGAAGACTTGAAGAATTCTTGGGTTGCAGAATTCATAACACGTGCCGTCCACGATGTAAGGAGGCACCAAATCCAATTGAACCGGAACTGGGGAAGCCAGTACCAAATGGGAAGCCAAAACCAGTCCAACAATCAAAAACTGGTTCCAAAAGGAAAACCAAATCCAAAACCAAAATCAAAACCAAGAACCAGAACCAAAAAAACCCTACAAAACAAAATAATGAGTTTCGGAGTTCATAATTACTTGCAGTGTGAAATAAATTGTGAAATTTACGCCTGATGATCGTGGGTGGCGGTGAAGAGTGCCAGGTGCTGGGTTGGTTAGCTTTAATCCAGCCTAAGCTGTAATGTTGGGGACGTCCAAGCAAAATACTACCAACAAGACGACGATCCGCAACTTCTATACGATTTCAATCCGCTTTAATCCTCGAAAACTACGAGATGCCACAAACTTATTCGGATTGAAATCTTGCAACCACTTGCACCGGCGGGAATCGTAGAGCCAATGAAAGAAAGACCGATGAAGTTTCACAAAGTTCCAAAAAGAGACCGATGGTGCTGGCAATACGATGTTCGGTTCCAACACCACTAGGGTCAATGGGCCAATAATGACAGACGCTAATCAATGCAAGGAGACTAAATATTACCTAACTACTACCCGCTATTACCAATAATAGTCAATTATTACACACACATGAATGAGATTACACAGTAACGTCTTAGGAAATTGAAGACGAACGTGGGCCAAAGGTCGAGTGCTTCACTGTACTAATGGCCGAGTGCATTCGCGTTGACAGAGGATTGAAATATAACCTCTCCAAAAAGCAACAAGTGTAAATAAATGAAAGTAAGGGACAAGAATAGAAATTGTCGTTAGTTCGGAAATATGAAGGAATACAGGACGATCGTCTCGTGCAATCCAACCGCATTCCGCAGTAACATCTTAAATTGCAGCAAAAATGCAAGGACTTACACTTACTTACATTTATTTTAGGACATGCAAACCGCACCAAGCAATTAAACAGTTACAGTGTGTTCGAACAGAATGAAGTAGCAATACCAGTAGTTTTGAGGATTAAGACAGTGTGTAATTGTGAGAATAAAACATTTAATAGGTAGTCTCCGAGCATTATTAACCTACATGTGAGAAACATAAGTCGAAGTAGCCAATGACAAATTGAACCCGTTACACTCCCCCTCTTCTTCAGAAGGAGGTTTAATTTCATAGAAAAGTAAACCGACGACAATCGTAAAGCCAACCAGGCCAAACTAGGACGCAATACTCGCAAAACTCAAAACCAGATGTGAACAATGACTCCGCAAGAATCACCAAAACAATACCAGTAAAAACCCGAAATAAAAAAACAACGACTTTGAAGATTCTCCAATGAAGCGGAACCCGCATGAATCCGACCAGTCCAATGAGACATCTGGGCACACCCAGAAGGGAGCAACATCCAAAGAGTAAAATGACTTACAACTCTTGATGAAAAATGGATGTTAGCCAGCATTGCGTTACCACCAACCAAGACGGGGGAACCTCGTTTACTGGCCTCCTACAGACTGTAACCAAATGCAGCATCAAACCCGCCAAAATCCACCGGCACTCGTTCCAATTGAAAATGCTCAAAGGGCGGAAAACCAAAGAAAATCCCAACCCCGTTAAAGAAAAATCTGAAGAAAGAAAAAAAAACAAGTAACCCGCTCTGCGATTTGTGGCGAAGTTGGGTTTTCCTACACAGCAAAAACAAGCCCATAAACCTTTGACTCATTGACTGTGTTAGACAAAGTATCTCTAAATCTTCTAAAAGGGATAGCCAACTCAGAACAAAACAAAGAAACCAAGACTCAAGCAAAAGTTGAAATACACTATGGACAATTGTTTTCTAAAGAAAAACAAGAATTGCCTTACAACAAATGGAAACCTTGATTTCACCATTCGTGATGAGAGTGAACAACAGATATTCCGAGGTTTCGAACAACTTGAGCATCTTTGTAACTTTTTAGAAAGATCTAATGTAAATCCCTCACTACTTACATGTTGGAATCAAGGAACCATGATAAACTGCTACAACTGCATTGCAAAGGAAACCCTTCAAACCTTATTAAAGAAATCTAAAATTGCTGAAATGGTTTCAGACAATGAGATAGAACCAGCAGGTCAACCACCTAATGCTGACATCATCATCATCGTACTAATGTTAATCCATTGTATTTGCTTTTATTTACATCAACCTTCTTAGGACTGGCAAAACAAAAAATCCTTATATTCCTACAATAATACTTTTTGTCCTGCCTTTGATAATACTCACAGATATTGTAGTAAAATTGCTAAAAGTGTGAAACTAATACTGCAGTTAAATAGGTTCATCAATATAGATGTTGTTATTATAATAATATTTAATTATAGTTTCTTTTATAAGAATTGCATTTTCAAAAACCATTGTTAGTTGTATTGTGTTGTTTTAAGGATAAAAGAAAAAAAAATGAAAATCCCAAAATTAAATACAGCAAATGCAAACTCAATATGTTCTAAGACAAATTCGAACCCATCCCCCTTCAAAAAAAAAGAAAAAGTGTCAATGGCAATACACCAATAGGGAGCAATGAAGAAAAAAAAAACAAAAACAAATTAAATAATTAGTGCTAAGTACTCAAAATCTTCAATAACTAATACTCAAAATTACTCGCTGGCAAAAATATGTGAGTGACCCCGCATTGATTCAAAATTCAAATTCAAAAATATAGCCAAGTATTTTTTTGCAGTTCGAACCAATATACAAATCCAAACTGACGGCCTATTAACTTAAAACTCAATAAACTATAAAAAATAGACAGAAATATTTAAAAAGCTATAAAAACAACGAACCTAAAAATAATAAATTTTACACGTTGGGTGCTAAAAAATTCCCAGAAAATTTACACATTGGGCGTTAAAAAAAAAAAAATACACGTTGGGCGCCAGAAAAATTGCCACGTCTCTTTTCCATTGAAGGTGGAGGGGAGACCGAAGCAATCCTACTATACTTTGCTCACTTTGCTACCGATTGGAAGCAGTAAGTATAGGGCCCAAGCAGCTCAGTTTCTCAAAATATGGGCGGGGTATAAAAAAAGAAAGTAAATAAATCAAAGGTTGGAAACCTTTGCCAGCTAGGACAAAACCCCAACCTACACTATAAGTTAGTGATAGTGACTAGTGTCCTTGCTCACTAGCCACCGAACAAACTCACAAAGTTTACAAAGTTCGAACCCAAATAACCAAAAACCAAATAAATAATTAATAAATAAACCGGCACGTCAGTTTAAATCTCCATATAGTGGCTCAAGTACACACTAAGCACAGGAAGTTTGGTTGCGATCGATCGTTTACAAATAACTCTTACAAACAAATGTTTCTATAATTGGGTACTTTATCTTTACCTTAACTGAGCTCCTTAATTTATATTGATATTTAAAAATTGAAATTTGTATTTAATAGGAATAAAATTAACCGAAACGTAAATAGAGGCTTATCTGAGATCCTCCAGTTACCAGCAACGAACGAGTCGGGCAAGCTCTAAGATGGCTGTCCTGTATACTGCCTACGGGTTCACCAGTCAGTGGGATAGGCACGAATGCTTATCACTCTTGGACGAGGAGATATGCACTGCAACGTCCTGAACCGAGCTAACTTGAAGACTTGAAGAATTCTTGGGTTGCAGAATTCATAACACGTGCCGTCCACGATGTAAGGAGGCACCAAATCCAATTGAACCGGAACTGGGGAAGCCAGTACCAAATGGGAAGCCAAAACCAGTCCAACAATCAAAAACTGGTTCCGAAAGGAAAACCAAATCCAAAACCAAGAACCAGAACCAAAAAAAACCCTACAAAACAAAATAATGAGTTGCGGAGTTCATAACTACTTGCAAAGTGTGAAATAAATTGTGAAACTTACGCCTGATGATCGTGGGTGGCGGTGAAGAGTGCCAGGTGCTAGGTTGGTTAGCTTTAATCGAGCCTAAGCTGTAATGTTGGGGACGTCCAAGCAAAATACTACCAACAAGACGACGATCCGCAACTTCTATACGATTTCAATCCGGTTTAATCCTCGAAAACTACGAGATGCCACAAACTTATTCGGATTGAAATCTTGCAACCACTTGCACCGGCGGAAATCGTAGAGCCAAAGAAAGAAAGACCGATGAAGTTTCACAAAGTTCCAAAAAAAGAGACCGATGGTGCTGGCAATACGATGTTCGGTTCCGACACCACTAGGGTGAATGGGCCAATAAGGACAGAAGTTAATCAATGCAAGGAGACTAAATATTACCTAACTACTACCCGCTATTACCAATAATAGTCAATTATTACACACACATGAATGAGATTACACAGTAACGTCTTAGGAAATTGAAGTCGAACGTGGGCCAAAGGTCGAGTGCTTAACTGTACTAATGGCCAATTGCATTCGCGTTGACAGAGGATTGAAATATAACCTCTCCAAAGTTTTTTTTTCGGTCAACCAGGTGAAGTGGTGTGCACAATTTTACCTCGGTCCGAGAAAATTTTCATTTTTTTGACGTAATTCTAGTCTTCAACTGAATTTTTCGGTCTGGGTGAGTTTTATATTTAGTCAGCCGTTAATATTTGCTTTGGTTTGGTGTCGCAGTTCGCAATAATTTAGCGCTTTTCATATCATGGCATGTGCTTCGGGGGGTAAAGACCCCCCTGATAGAAACGATCGTATCGTAGTTAATAATCCGATAGTGTTTGCAAATGATTTTGATTCCTTTCAAGCTCAACTAAACTTGTCCCAAGCTTCTACCTCCTCTAGCAGTGGTTATTCATCAGCCTTGACGCTTTCGCCTTTAGCTAAGAAAACAGCACATGCTATCGCTCAGCATCAATACTTCTTAGTACCCACTAAGGAGGAAATAGATTTATTGGAGACAGAGTTACAAAAGCTTAAATCTGTCTTCGTGGAAGATCAGGATGCCCTAAACGAAATTGCAAGAATTTCAGTCAACATAAGGAGAACACTTAACCGAAAGTATAAGTATGAACTTACAGACCAGGGACCATTTCTTATCATAATGGAGGGAATAACTTCTCAAGTTGGAAACATTCACCCGATGAATATTGGAAAAATTTTGCACAGAGCTGGAGTACAAGGTATAACAAAAATCAATAGAAAAGGGGCTAATAAAATCGGAATTGAATTCAGAACATCAGAGTATGCTAATCAGTTTTTGTCAAATGAAAGTTTCAGTTCTGCTAGAGGCTATAATAGGTACATTCCACAACGTCTTGTCACTTGTAGAGGACTAATCAAGGATGTAGGGGACCAAATTACGGAAGAGGATTTTTACTCAGAAGCGGTAGCTTATACAGGAGAAGGATCCCGGGCCAGGTTGATTAAGATATTAAATGTAAAAAGAGTCTTAAGAAGGAAGAAAATACTTGCTATTTCTGGTGAAACAGTAATGAAAACCATCCCCACAAACGATTATATTGTAACATTTGAAGGCAAATCATTACCCCAAACTGTAAATATTTTTAATAATGAAAGAGAAGTGGAAAAATATGTTAACCCGGTTATAATGTGCGTCAATTGTTGCAGATTTGGACATGTCAAAAATAATTGTAGAGGCAAGCCTCGTTGCGGTTTTTGTACAGAAGATCATCTTATGTTTGTTTGTGAAAAAAGAGAGCAAGCAATGAAAAAAATGAAATGCCCTGCAGATCATCTTAACAATCTGACTAAAACGTGTAAAATTCCAAATTGTGAAGTAAATCCAAAACCAAGCTGCGTAAATTGCAAGGGACACCACACTGCTACTGACTGGGGATGTCCCGAATACAAACGGCAAAAACAAATTAACGAAACCATGAGCTTCTACAACCTTTCTTTTTATGAAGCAGCTAAACTGCATCCACGGCTAATTAATGCAAACCAAGGCTTTACCCGAAAACCAGAAGATTTTCCTAGTTTAAATAAAAAAACTCAGAATAAACCTCCTCATCCAACAAGTCCTCAGGGCTGTTCCTCATATACATCAGTACTTAAAAGAAAACGGCCTGACACCCAATTTACCAAAGGGTATGATAAAGTAGCCCATGAACTAACTTTGTTACCCTCAAGTGCAAGAAGAAAAGTCTCATCTATACAAGTAGTTGAAAACTCGACATCAGAGTCGGAAATGGAAGTAACTCCTGTAGGAAATGGCTGGGAAGAAGTATGCAACAAGTTTGAAGCTTTCAAAAAAGACGTTATGTCAATAAAGGGTATGGATGAAAATTGTGTCAACAATATCAAACAATATTTTGGTTCATTTGACCTACGGAGGGGGGGCGGCTGCGATGGCAGCGGTTGACCTACAGGGGTTAGAAAAAGCAAAGGTAATCTTATCACTAGTTTTAATCTAACAGTAGTTTTTACGTAACAAAACTAAGTTTAAGTTTTAGTCACAAGCGCTTTATAGTTGAGCTATAATGAATATCGTTCACTGGAACATTTGCGGGGCTGAAAAAAATAAAGATGCTATCATTAGAGTTATAAGGGATTTTAAGCTACAGATCTTATTGCTCAATGAAACCTTGCTCAAACCCAACACTAACTTTAAAATATCAGGGTTCTCTTCTGTAAGAGCAGATAAACCTAATGGTGCAGATGGTATAGCAATTTTCTTGAAAAACAAAATAAAATATAATATCATCGACTTAAGCAGAATTAATATACCAGAGAGGTGTCAGGTTATTCTTGTAGAGCTTGTCGATTTTTTTATTTGTTGTGTTTACAACCCTCCAGATATTTGTTTGGTCAGGGCAAGCCTCGATTCAATTTTCGATCTAACCCGTAATAAACCCGTCCTCGTTATGGGAGACTTTAATGCCCATAATCCAATATGGGGTTCCCAGGTCAGTTACTCACGGGGAATTAGAAGTGGGAACATTCTTTATGATTTCATTAAGGATCACGATTTGTGGGTACTAAATGATGGATCAGCTACTCGGCTCACACGCCCAGGCGTACACAGCGCTCCAGATGTAGCTTTTTGCTCCCAGAGACTGTCTGGACTTACTGACTGCAGGGTTCTCCAGGATAGAGTGAATAGCGATCATTTTCCTATTTTGTGTATCATCGGAAATAACCGTTGCAACTCAGGTTCGACAAGAAACTACACTAGCAAATATAATTTCAACAAGGCAGACTGGGAGAAATTTTCTGATTTAATCTCCACGAAATTTAGAACTTCACCTCCTATAAATTATGAGGATTTTATGAATATAATTTTCCTATCTATTGCAGAATCTGTTCCAATGCATAAACACTCATTAAACTACGGGTTACCTTGGTGGGATAATGAGTGCACCAACGCTATTAAAAGGAAAAGACAAGCATTCAGAGACTATAAAAACAACCCCTCTGAGACCAACTTCCTGGAATCATTAAGAACCCGGGCACAAACAAGACAGCTGCTACGTAAGAAGAAAAAGGAAGGCTTTGTCAACTTTTGTGAGAATCTATCTCCAAATACTAGTGCAAAAGAAGTTTGGAGCAGTATTAGAAGGTTTGCTAAAGGTATCAGGTACCAAAATTATCATTTTCCCTTGAATTTCTCAATCCCACAAGATATGTTTGATCTTTTGACGCAACCTCCCTCTATGTTGCCTAATATCCCCGAATGTCGCTTCTCATCAGAATATACAGAAGACTTCCATATCTCAGAATTTGTCGCGGCCGTTAAAGGTCGGAAGAGCAAGAGTCCCGGTGTGGATAAAGTACCTTTCAGTGTGCTCAGCCATCTCCCTGTTGAAGGAGCAGTCTTTCTTATCAAATTTTTCAACAAAATACTTCGGAGGGAAACCACCATTCCAGAGACGTGGAAAACCCAAATGGTGATCGCAATTCCTAAACCGGGGAGAGACCCCTCAGCGTTATCGTCCTACAGGCCCATCAACCTAGCTTCTTGCATAAGCAAAACTTTTGAAATTATGATCAAAAACCGACTGGAATGGTTCGTAGAGAACCAAGGTTTAATAGACGTTCGCCAAACCGGTTTCAGAAAGGGTAAGGGAACTTTCGACAATCTTGCAGTTATCTCCTCAGAGGTCCTCTGCCGTTTGGCTCTCAATCAACTAGCAGCAATGGTGACTTTGGACATATCCAATGCCTACGATAATATAAATGTTGACTTATTGACCTCGGTGTTGGCCAAAATTGGAATCGCCAGAGATTTGACTTTGCTCATTAAAGATTTTCTCACGAACAGGAAGATACAAGTTAAAGATCCATCTACTAATACATTCGTGTCAGGCAGAACCACTAGCAAGGGAGTTCCCCAAGGTTCCCCTCTTTCTCCATTACTATTTAATATTTACATCAATTCAATCAAAGAAACAATTCCTGAGAACATAAGACTTTTACAGTTTGCGGACGATACCGCCTTGCTGAGTACTGGGACTGATGCCCAAACAATAGTGAACAATTTGAATAGAACTTTGCAAAATATACATATTTGGTCTTTGAATGTAGGACTTGAGATTAACCCCAATAAATCTGCAGCTATATTTTTTTCCAGGAAGAATTTCAAGGTTAATTATCTCCCCAGACTTCACCTCAACACTCGAACCATTGCATGGACAAATTCCATCACATATCTAGGAGTGATTTTTGATCCAAAACTGTCATGGGAGTCACAAATTAGAAATATGATACAGAAAGCTTCAGGTGGGTTGAATATGATGCGATTTATAAGTAGAATCTGGTGGGGGGCACATCCCTCTACCCTTCTAACTTTTTACAAAGCTTATGTTAGACCCCATTTGGATTATGGAGCCTCTTTTTTGGGTGGTAGCTCAAGAAAGTCTATTGCTCAACTTAACAAAATTCAATTTGAGGCACTGAGAATAGCTCTGGGATATATGAAGTCCACACCTACTAACATACTTCTAGGGGAAGCAAGTGAAATGGATTTAGAACACAGAAGATACATGCTAGCGACTAAATCATTATTGAAAGCTGCCAGTTTAGTGGACAGTGAAACCTTAGCTGCGGTTAGATGGTTATATATCACCTATAATGAAAACTATTACTTTTTTCGGAAAAAGAGTATTCCTGCACTTGTGGATGCTTTTGAAAGAGTTGATTCACTGTTAGATACACTTTACAGGAGCCCAGTTTATCCCTGTTTTTCTTGCCCACTGCCGAACCTTTTAAGCTCTGTTCAAATCCAAGACTTAAAACTAAAGAAAGATAATAATAACTCCAAATTATTTGAAATTAAGAAGAGCGAGACTTGGACCCCAGATTTTCATTTAATTTTTACAGACGCCTCAAAAGATAAAGAAGGCCGAGTAGGTTTTGGCGTTTACAACTACAATACGAACCTTAAAATGGGACAAGGCCTACCAAGTGAACTATCCATTTGCTCTGCCGAGATTTATGCTATTGGTCAAGCTCTTGATTGGATTGAATTCAAGGACATCAACAAAGCAGTCATCCTTTCAGACTCCAAAAGTGCCCTCGAAGATATCAATAAAACTGGGATGGATGCAAAGTCTAACTACCTAACCTTGCAGGTTAAGAATAAACTATTTACCTTAATAAAAACGCAAAATAAGGACATCCAATTATGCTGGATACCAAGCCATACCAGTATAAAAGAAAACGATATTGCGGACCAGATCGCCAATGCTGCACGCCTGGAACCACAGGAAAATATAAAATTGAGCTTTAGGGAATTCTTCCCTAAATTAAAGCATAACATCTGGAATGCTTGGAGCGACAGATGGAAACATATAGGATTAGGGAAAGGAGTTAATTTCACCTCACATCATTCTACTCCGCCAACTAAACCCTGGTTTCATAAGCTCGACCTGAATAGAAGAGAAATCACAACTATGTGTAGACTGAGAAGCAACCATTGCTGTTCTCCGGCTCACCTAAATAGAATCAAAGTCAAACTCTCCGGAGACTGTGAATGTGGAGAACTGGGCGATTTAAGTCATGTGCTGTTTGATTGTGCTCTTCATTGGGAAAAATCACAACAGTTGTATGAGTCACTCATTAGTGCTAATTTTCCTTCGCCTCTGCATATTAATTCCATTTTATTTCACCGCACTCAGTTGGATTTTGCTGCTAGAATTGTTTGCCGCTTTTTAGATGCATGTGGATTAAAACTTTGAATATGGTTTTCACATTTTCTAATTCTTTCGTCCATTTTTTTTTCCTGTATAGCCGTCCAGTAGGATGATGGTATCACCCAGACCCTCTTTACGGAGGCATCCTTCATGGAAATAGTTTATTGCACACCACTACCGAGAAGCTGGCCGAATTGCCTTAGCAGCAGTGGCCAAATAAAGCGTAAATAAAAAAAAAAAAAAAACCTCTCCAAAAAGCAACAAGTGTAAATAAATGAAAGCAAGGAACAAGAATAGAAATTGTCGTTAGTTCGGAAATAAGAAGGAATACAGGACGATCGTCTCGTGCAATCCAACCGCATTCCGCAGTAACATCTTAAATTGCAGCAAAAATGCAACGACTTACACTTATTTACATTTATTTTAAGACATGCAAACCACACCAAGCAATTAATCAGTTACAGTGTGTTCGAACAGAATGAAGTAGCAATACCAGTAGTTTTGAGGATTAAGACAGTGTGTAATTGTGAAAATAAAACATTTAATAGGTAGTCTCCGAGCATTATTAACCTACATGTGAGAAACATAAGTCGAAGTAGCCAATGACAAGTTGAACCCGTTACAAACTTTACTTTTTGTCCAACCTATTGATCAGAAAATATCTTCTCTCTATGTATGACCAAATTTAATGAATAATTATTAGATGAATTAATTAGATGAAAAAAAATACATAAAAAAGTTTGCTTTTGTATTTAGGAGACTGGTTGAACGATAATTTTCAAAACCTGTTCTAATTTTTAATTACAAATAAAACCAACAATATAGATTTGTTTATAATTCTTACTATCAAAATAACAACTTAGAAAAAAGTGGTTAATAATTTAAAAGTGCACGCTAGTACTTTTTCTTTTTTGTTCATAACTACTTTCTCTCCATAAATCCCAAGCCTAGATGAGTTATTTTCAAGAAGGAAACTGATTTGCTTTTCCTTGAAGTCATATCCCAACGATTCGGTTGAAATATATCTCCAAGCTCTAGCAAATGAGCAATTCTTAACACTGCGACTGTTGATCGCTGAATGAAAATCTTTTGAAAGTCGATACACAATTTATTTATATTCTCGACATATGTCAACTAGAACTGTCATTGTCCGGTACTTTTTTAAAATTTGTAGGTCATTATTGCATAAATGAGGCGTATGGTATTAGAGATGGTGATGGGAGTTCATTTCAACTTGGTGAAGGCTGCGGAATAAAGTTGATGTGGCTGAAAAAATTCAAAACGCTGGCAGATATTAAATAACATTCATTATAATTCAGCAGTTCTAAAAATCTAACATCACACAAAAAAAATTCAAATTCTCTGCTTGCAAATAAATAATGGCGATGGTTTACTAAATAATTAGAATTACAAGATAATATATAAGTAGGTGCTGAGATCTAGCACAATGCAACTCTATTTATTATATGTTATATATGAAACATAGAGCAAAATACAGCTACGTGCGAAGAAAAAATGACTTTTTCAAAACAATGTAAACAATGTAAGCCAATCTTGCTGACGTTTCGCCAATCATCCTGTAGGCTTCTTCAGGGCTTGACTGAAACTGGCTGCCATTTTACTCTGTTCTTGCTTAAATATTGCTTGCTTAAAAATTTTCTCGGATGACTGATGAAATGTATTTTGTGATGGAATGCTTAATATCTCTAATATGGAAAGCATTAGAGAGAAGAGCAGAGGTAAGGTGTTTAAATTCTGGGTTCAGTGACTCGGGCTGAGATAGTTTTGCGGTTCTGTAAAGAATAGAGTTGATAAACGATGATTTTTGAGGCAAATGGTGACGTGACATTGCATTAAGGTATAGATCTGTGTGCGTAGGTCTGATATTAAGTCTGATTTTCTATTGATAAGAATATCCAATTAGTTCCTAATTCAATGATGAAACATATGTTAGGGTGTATAGAGTTGAAGTGTATAAGAAAATCAACTAGGGATTCTTGATCATGAGGCCAAATAAAATAAATAATCGCGATGACTGGTGATAGTGGCGAACCCATCTGGAACAGCTATACCTTAATGCATTGTCACACCACCCGCTTGCCCAAAAATCATTGGGCACTCTCTCGTTTACAGAGCCGTAAAACTATCTCAGCCCGAGTCACTGAACACAGAATTAAAACACCTTACCTCTGCTATTCTCTATAATAATTTCCATATTCAAGATATTAAGCGTTCCATCACAAAATACACCACTACAACCTTCCAATAGCAATGAAACCGAAAGCAATCCCGCACTTGCCACTG